CGTCTCAGCTGTGCCAGAACTAGCACCAGAGGATGATACAAAGAGAGGCCCTCTTGTTGGCGAGACTCTAGACACTGAGCTACCCAGCACAGAGCCCGAGTCTCTGCTAGAAGCACAGCCTGACACGAAGCACAGCCTGCCCGAGGAAGCGCTTGCCCCAGCGGTAGAGTCACTCCCGGTGGTCGAGGAGCTGGTGGCTGAGGCCTCAAGCCTTGACACGACCGCTCCAGAGATTTCTGCACCCGAGGAACCCGTAGCTGAGGTGCCCAATGAGGTTGAAGAAAGCACTGTTGGTGATGAAGAAAAGACAATTGGCCTGGCTAGACGGCACCGTGCTGCAGTCCCTGTTGATAGCGAGGTCCCGTCGCCTCTTGTCGCTCCCGCTCTTGACAAAGTCTCAGCCCAGAAGGATAGCTCCCTTGGCGAGATTGTCGCGGAACCAACCCCTTCGCTGCCCGTTGAAGAGTTTGGTAGCAGAGACATCGCTGTCGAGGCGCCCACTCCTGAGGAGAAGGACCTTGAACAACTAGCCTCTAGGGAGTTATCTCAAGCTAGAGACATGGGCGAGTCACACGGAAAGGACATCGCTATTGCCGCGGGCGTTGCAGGCGTTCTAGGTATGGCCGCTGTCGCGACGGTTGCGCACACACAGCTGTCGTCAGACAAGAAGCCCGACATCGCCAACACCGTCGAGGCCCTTGAGGAGTACGCTACCAAGTATTCGGTTCCCGAACCTGTGGGGACGGAGACTGCATCTACGTCATCCCTTCCCATATTGAAGGTCTCTCGACGCGTCGCAGACAAGCGATCCATCTCACCTGAGCCAGCGCCACTCTCCGAATCCTTCCACGTAGTGGAGAGGGAACCACCAGCTGGAGAAGAAGCTGCGAGCATGAAAAAAGAAAAAGAAGCTTCTTTCCAGGATGGTGAGGATTCCGTTATCCGGTCTGTGGCTCGCGAAGGAACGACTGACGACTCTACCCCTGTGCCAAGGCTATCTTCACCCTCCCAACTTAGCATCCCGGGGGGACTCAGTACTGATTTCCGTGTTGCCACACCTGCTCTCATTCTCCCTGACCTTGACGATCCTGTGGCTAAGCAGCTAAGCCGCGTCCGCAGCCTGCGCCGGCAGCGAAGGAACACCATCAGGCAGGCAGAGGAGATGGTCGCCGCGGCCGTGGTAATATATGCCACGGCCGAAGTTTTAAGCCCGCCCGGAAGTCCGAAACTCGCCAGTTCAAATGCCGACGTCTCTATCCCGGTTGAAATGCATTCTGACGTGGGAGGGAAGGGGAAGGGGAAGGATGTCGAGACGCCTATTCTGCCCCTTCAAGACTCGTTAGTATCTGTCGAAGATGCCGAGGAAGAGAGGGGTAGAACAAGGTCGAGAGACATTGGGGCAGTCCAAGAAGGCGAACTTCTTAATCCTGTTGCTGACATCTCAGTAGACGACAAAGCCAAGACTAAAGACTCGCCCTCAGCGGCGCCCAAGGTCGATGATAGCAAGGAGGCCCCGAGCTCACCGAGGCGCAGCAGCCACCATTCTTCGCGTCATCGCTCGCATCGCGACAGCCGGGACGGTCGCGAAGGCAGCAAGGAGAGCTCACGGCGCTCGCATCGTCACCGATCTGACAGCCATACATCAGCTCGCTCGCTTGGCGCCGAGGGTGGCTCATCCGAGCCACGCACTCCCCAGAGGCAAGACAGTGGCCTCTCTGAGCCCACAAGCTCACGCTCTAGGAGACGCCGCACCCCCGAGGAGCAGGCGGCTCACGACAAGCGCAAGGAGGAGCGCCGGGCTCGCGAACGCGAACTGGAGAAGGCTGATACTCTTAAGGATGCCTCACCCACTAAGACGCCTCCTAAGGCAGGCTCTGGCTCGCGTGACCGGGAGCGCGAGCGCGAACATGAGCGCTCTCGTCGCCATAGCCGCACAAGCGTTGAGCCCAAGTCGTCGTCGACCAAGGAGTCATCGCCAGCGGCCAGCAAGAAGTTCTTTGATATCAAGAACGGCGAGAGCGTTATCGAGCCCAACTTCGCCGCTTCCAAAGAGGTTCCTTCGCCACCCTCAGCCTCCAAAGCAGCAGCACCGGCGCCGGAGCTCAAGCGATCCAACACGTCGAAGCTCCGTAGGTCTGAGGACCGCAGTTCGCGACTCCAGCGGGAGCGCGACGAAGTTGCGGCAAAAGCCAAGGAGCACCGGGCCAAGGAATCGGTGTCCTCGGTATCCAAGACTAAGGAGTCTCGGTCTTCATTCGCTAACACCAAAGAGTCCCGGTCGTCGGTCGCCAATACAAAGGAGTCTCGGTCGTCAGTTGCCAACACGAAGGAATCAGTCACTTCGGTAGGCGGTACAACGACAGCCACCACTACTGCAGGCGCTTCGTCCTCTGGCGGTGGCGATCTAGACTCTCAAGCGCGTCGTTCTAAGCGCCAAGAGCGCCGTCGGGAGGCCAGAGAGAAGGATGACAAGGAGAAGAAGGGTGGGCTGAGAGCCGCTCTTAAGCGTTTCTTCACCACGTGAGACTAGAAAAGGGGGGGTGATGGAGGGTGCAGGGAGGGTTATGAAGTCATGAGAGTGTGATTGGTTGCGGTTTCATTCCTCTGACAACAAAGTACTTTCATTGTTCTGATGACTACTAGCAACGACGTGGTTTTGACAGACGGGTGTGTCTGGGAATATGCGATGAGTTTGTTCGCTTCTTTGTGCCGGGGCAAGAGGGTTGTCTATGGTGGCTTGTAGGCTAGGTTTATGATGGATTTGTGTCGTTTTTCATTATGATGAGCACACGCACCCTCTGTAGTTTGATTTTTGGTCATGCTGGAAGACAAATTGAGTCCATTTGATCTTTTACTCTTTGATATGGATTGCCTTGAGCTGATGAATGAATACTTGTAAGTTGTCGGGTTCCTTCATCCCTGCCGTGACCTTTGGTAACGGACCAGTTACATCAGATCTCTTCTCTGAAAGGAGAAGGTGGGGCTTGACCTGTATTACCCCTAACCCTCAAGACAAGTTTCGCTTGACACTTCAAGTTGCTTTGCATGCAGCATCCGTAGACTGCCTGTATCCAGTCTTGGTTTAATTGTTGGTACGGTGCTCCTATCTTATTTTCTTTTTCACATTGTCTCTCCTATATCATCTCATTGTCCACCTCAGTTGCAGGGTTCTGCAAAGGCGGAAATCGGAATGTTTTCTCTGGCGAGGGTGTCCCAAAAGCCCAGGATTGCTGATCAAGACATACAGAAACCAGGCCAAGGAGGAGGTGCACAAAGCAAGGAACCTACTATGGTAGCTATCTGGTGGCTATCAATATGAGAACCCGACATGATGGATGGTAGCGTACAGTAGAATATCTTGACACTTAGAAGGTACTCTGCTTAAAACTCGTGCCTCCAACTTGGCACTGTCGCGCATGATTGGCCTAGGCTGAGCCCCGAGAAACGAACGGCTAGGGTCTGATTGTGTCATCGATTTGGAAGGAACAAGTTTCCATGGCCCAAGCTTCATAAGCTTCGTTTATGCAATCTGCACTCGTTTCCATTCCCGCTCGGAACCGTGGGAGGTTTGGTTGGTCGAGAAATGGCTACAACAAGCCAAAATCCCGAACACCATATAGGCATCACCTAGTTTTCTAGCAGACTACCATTTCAGAATCTACCTAGGCTGTAACGGCGTGTGTGGTGCACGCAACACAGAACGGGAAAAGAACGCGACAAGCTGCGGGCTGATTGGCTATCACATGTCATGTCTGTTGATGGACGGGCGAAGCCGACTGAGTTAATCTCTGGGCGGGCACCCTTATTCATCAGTTCAGCGTAGTGTATGTACGAATCCCACATATCCGACGGGAGCTTCCCACGCATGCCTTAAACAATATGCGCTATAGGTGCTCGGTAGAGCCTGCGCACGCGACGAGGCGGTGGACCGCGGCGGGTTGATGATGGAGCTCGTTGCTCACCCCCCCCCCCCTCCGACATGCAACAGCGCGCCAGTTCCTATCGCGGGCATCCTATCCATCAGCATCCAGCTCTATGCACCGGTTTAAACAGTTCAACGGTTCGCCGGTGCAAGCCAAAGCCCCATCGAGATCGGATGCTGCCGATGACGAGCTGCAGCCAAATCGGAACCGTGAAGATTACCTACACTAGGCGACCCCCTTGTCTACCGTGGTTTTCACCTACCACATCAGGTACAGTCCACTGTATTCGTACGTTGCTTACCGCCTGTCCGGCAGAGCAGCAACTCAGCACCTCTGCCCGCCCGCCACACTAAATCCCAGCAAGCCTAGCTACCGACGCACCCAAATTTTTGGTCTGGGCCGAGAAAAATACCCGCCAGGGTTACAATATCGCTTTTTGGGACACGGTGGACAGACAAGCCCAAAAGCTAAAACAACACGCTCAACAACCTTCCTGGCCTTCTTCCCCGGCCCAGGAAACCACCAGACGCAGAGCGACGATTGCACTCTCTGATCTGCCATCGAGCCTCATGGACTGGGATCCCATGCCTCAGAGCTTTGACAGTCGACTTGTCGGATCAGGATCAGTGCCTAATAACTGAGCCGCAGAGACGAACCGTCATCTCGACGCACTCGTCCTTACCGACCGCTCTCTCTACCCTGCCGGCTCTGCCTAGGTCTAGGTTGCTCTGCTCGCCCCTCAGCCCACCGCCGCCCGACCGATTCTGCACGCCGCCCGCGGCCGTTGCCAATACTTGCGAGGCCATCTGATTCCTCGAGTGTCTCACGCCAAGGGCCAAAACGAGAAAGGCGATCGGCTCCCCCGCGACCCTCCCCCGCCTGAACACACAAGCGGCTGCGCTGCCTGCCGACCCGGGCGCCGCTTCGCTCGTCACCCCCCGCCGAGACCAACGTCGACTCACGACGAGCATCACCACTAGACTCGCACTCTCGGTCGGTATACATAGCCTCCCTACCCACCACGCACTACACACTCGCTGCTCGGCGCGGCAGCCGGCGAGACCATCCCCCGCCATCATGTGGTGGATCATAAACGCCTGGGCCAGTGCTATCTTCCTCTTGAGCATCGTACTTTCAGTCCCCATTGCCTTCGACGTCGGCGGGCGCGATGCCGGCCTGGCCTACTCGCTGTCGCTCTTCCTCTTCTACGTCTTCTACAGCACCACGAAGCTACTGACGCCTGAAAAATCGCGCGTGCGCTGGTTCTTCACCACTCTTATCGGCTGGTCGCAATGGATTGTCCTTCCCGCCCTGCTCATCTGGTCGCTGAACCGCTTCTCCGTCGACGCCGGTAGCACGGGCTGGGTGTCGCGCACCTTCTCCCAGATCGCCACTCGCCATCGCCCCAGCAGCTGGCGCGAGTGGTTCTTTGGCGAGGAGGGCTTCCTCGAGACGGTCGCCCTCGGCGGCTGGGACAATACACTGAGCTACTCGAGCCCCGTCTTCCAGCTGCTCGAGGGCTTCTGCAGCCTGCTGGTCATCCAGGCCGCTGGACAAATCACAAGATGGCTCGTCAACCGTGGTCGGAGTGACACCTGGGTGGTACGTGCTTGGAGTCCTTTTCTGCTGCGTCTGCTTGTCCCCTGTGACCTTGCTAACTCGCGCGCCCACTTTCCAGATCATTCTCCTCGTCTTCTCCGGCTCCATTATCTCGAGCGCCGTCTATTTCCTCTGGCGCGTGGCGCGCTTCCCACAAATTGGCAACCTCGATGCTACCCTTATCGGCGTCACTATGACCTCCGCCGTCTTCCTCTGCGCTTTTGGCATTGGTAGCGGACGCGGCAACCCCGTCGAGTCCTCTTTGCTTTTTGCCTACATTGTCCTCTGCGTCTATCAGATATTCACCGACTACCAGCCCTCTGCCGAGGCCGCTGCGGCCGCCGAGCAGGCTGCCGCAATGCAACCTGACTTTCCGCCGTTGCCCCCAATCATCATGGCCTCATACTCGACCTTGCTGCACATACTTGGCACCCTCCCCTCGGCCGTACACTCGTCCGTCCAGTTCCTCTACGCCGCATTCCAGACCATCACGCCCAGCGTCATCATTTCATTAACATACCGTATCATCGTGTTCTACTGCGCCACGCGCATTATCCCCGCCGTCAGGGAGTTAGGGGCCCAAGCGATCATAGAAGAGCCCAGCTTGGAGGACACGGACGGTGCTAACCGCCTGCTTGGGTTCCTCAGTTGGTTCTCGCCATCGATGTTGATTGCGGTATATACGAGCTTATTATTACAACACTTCACCGTCTCCAACGCCGGCGACGACGTTGGTTGGACACTGCGGGCAGGCGATGCCGGGGGGAGCACCTGGCGGTGGATCAACATCGCCGCGACCATGGGGCTCTACGCCGTGGAGCTGTATCTGGGCGGCGACGGAGACGGGGGTGCTCATTGGAAAACCGACTAAGGATGAGCGACCACCCGCCCTGTTCCTCCATCCCTGGTGTCATGTGAAACCAACTCGACTCCCCACCGATGCGGCGCAGCGCCAGAGATGAACAAATCTCACTTTTTTAAACGACCCAACGAATGAAACATAGAGGTAATCCGACGGACGACACTGGTTACCGTTGGGTTGGCTTAGCATGCTAGCCTTGCGAGGCCACCTGGGGGGATTGATGGGAAAGCTATTGACACGTGGTTATGTAGAATCGCGGAAGAGAGAGAGAGAGGAGGCACGATACCCCTTTTTATTTTATTTTTAATTCCCTTTTTCACGAAATAGCAAGCAACCTTGCGTGCAACTAACTGGTCTTGTCTTCCGCGAACTGTTTGTGGTGGCTGTTCCTACGGGGCTGTATCCTTATCCATTCACCGGATACTGCTAAGGAAGAAGAGGGGAAAGACCACGGGCCCAATATCCTCTGATACAAAAGAAGAAAAATTAAAGAGACAAAATCGGATGATAAACCCTTCTCTTTTTGCGGCTGCGGTTGCGGCTGCGGCTGCAGCTGCTTGTTTTCTCTGGAGTTTAGACCAATAATTGGGATGACAGAGCTCTCCCCCGCCCCCGCTTTTTTTTTCTCTTCTTTCTGTTCGGCACGTACTTGACTCGGGGACAACGCACAACGAGAGAAAGAAAGGGAACAGAGAAGACGCACTGCTGTTACTACTACTACACAGCGACCGGCGTTATTGGACAAATGGATGCAAATTCAATTGGTGTGGGGGGTCAATGGGATGGCGTAATTCCTTCTTTCTTTCTTCCTTCTCGAGCTCTTTTTTTTCTCGGTTATCCTCATTTTTTTGTCTTCTGCCAGGTTTAGTTACCTCGCTACCTTGGGTAAATAAGGTAGGTAAGAAAGTAAGTAGTACTACGACTACAGAAGAGTCTCCTAGCTACCTAACCTCTTTGTTTTGTTCGTTGTATTGTGACCATGAAAACAATGCGCATAAGCGAGAGTCAAGATCTCAGGGGTTGGCAAGACTATGGGATTTCTTTACTTCCCCGCTAGCTCGCCATCGGAGAGCCCGACCTATATATATATTATTTGAGGCGAGCGAGAGCGCGGTCGTCTTGTAAACACAGGGATCACACTTTCCCTCGCCTGTTTAAAACGTTTCAACAACCCCCCCCCCCCCCCGTCTGGCTGGCTAACCCGCTAACAGCAGACACATTCACCAATAGTCCTCTCCCGGCCCGCACTAGTCCGAGGCTCTTGCGTCCGCACCGCCCTGCTCTACTTCCTCGTGGCGAAAGCGGCGGAGCTCCTTGTGCACGGCAACAGCGGCGTTTCTCAACCGGACCACGGCGCCGTAGAGGACGTCGTACGGCCGCGTCGCGTCGGCCACGGCCTGCAGGATGCCGTCCGTGTCCCCGTCCTCGATCTGCGCTTCGAGCAACGCGCGGCGCTGCTTTTGCTGCTGGTGCTGATCGGCCGAGCTGCTGCTGCCGCGGCTGACAATGTCGAGATACGCGCCCAGCTCGCTGTCGCCGACGCGCTCCTCGTCGGGCCCCGCGCCGCCGCCGACGAGCACGCACTTGATGGCCGCCAGCCGGCGGATCGCGCCGTGCAGCTCGCGGCCGGCCTCGAAGCTGTAGTCCCACAGGTTGTACATCTTGTCGCTGGTGACTTCGGAGGTGTCATCGTCGTCCTGCGCCATGAGCCGCGCCACGTACGCCTTGAGCGTGCCGACCTCGCGCAGCGGCAGCAGCTCGGCCTTGCTCCTCGCGTCGTCGTCCGCCCGCGCCTTCTTGCACCGCCACGGCGTGATGACCACCACGCCGCCGCGCGCCGCGGCTGCCGTCGCCAAAAGGAACGCGTCCATCTTGGCCCACAGCCCGCGCTTCCACCGCGCCTGCCGCAGCCGCGCTGCCTCCCGCGTCTGCGCGTACTCCCACATCTGCGCGTACTCCCGCGTCTGCGCGTACGCCCGCGCGTAGTCACCGCGGCGCGCGTTCTCAGCAAGTGTCTTGAGGAACGGGCTGCCGAACACGTCGATGCCGATGTCGCTGGTGTCGATGGTGATCTCCTTGGCGTTGCTGACGCCGCTGCCGAGCGACTCGATGAAGGCTGCCACGACGGCCCCGTGGAACAGGATGCTACTGCCCGGGTGCTGCTGTGGCTCCGCGTTGCGGCCAAAAACAAGGGGGCGACGGGCCGGCGTAATCACCCTGCTGCTGCCTAGCTGCGCCTCCATCTCTGCGAGGAAGTCGTTCTCGTCGGGGCAGGGCCGCTTCTTGGCCGGGACAACCACGGCGGGAGCTGGCGGCGGGGAGGGCGAAGATGCGGCAGCAGCGGCAGCAGAGACTGGCAACGACGAACCGTCCTCGGTGAGGCTCGGGGTCGGGAGAATGCCGTCGTCGCTGTCGTCGTGGTCGTATTCGTCGCCATAACCTGTGCACAAATGTTTCTTCGGCTCTTCGACGCCAGCGTTGTAGAAGGGAGAAGCACTGGGGCTGTGCTTCATTTTGGGTTTCTTGGCCCGGAAGCCCGGGCTGTCGCCCGTGGACGCCATTATCCTGGGGACTGTCTGCTTGATATGTCAGTGCCGAAGTCGAGGAAAGGGGCAGGGATGGGATGGACAGGTATCAATGCACCTACTGAGATCTAGATCCCGGCGCGGAGGCGGCGGCTGTAGCCAAGGGAGGGGTGGGACGATATGCTGAATCCTATTCCAGACAAGGTTATTGGAAAGGCTTGGTTGGGTTTTGTTCAAGTGTTAAACAAAGTTGTGGAAAGGCTAAATGAAGAAGCAAAGTTGAGGAAGAGGGTGAGGCGAGGCGAGAATAAGTAGTTTGACGAGGGGGTTGTGAGAGAGAGGACAATAAGACAGGAGAGCAATAGTGAAAGAAGAACATAATAGGACAGAACATGTATACCGTACGGGAAAGAGACAATAGGAGAGATCAAATAGCGAGAGGGCGAGATGAGACGAAAAGATGATGGGATGAAATGGGCAAGGCAAGATGTGAACAACTTTCCGTCGTAGAACTTCAAAACAAAAGTCCAACTCAGACCAGAGACAGACACATGGTATCGATATCATTGAGTAAACATCCGGCGCCAAACCCACAGCTGCACTATCGCTACACACTCTCTCGCTCGTCACCACCCCTGACCAACCACTCTCAAACCTCGAATATCTCGCCGATGCCCTCGCCGCCGCCCCTCCTATTCTCGACGAGGTCCAGCCTCCAGCCCTCCCAGTTCTTGAGCAGCCTCTTGAGGTCCTTGATACGCTCAATGCGCTTCTTCTGCTCCTCCTCCTGCGCGCGGCGAAAGGCGTCCTCGTCAAACTCCATGTCATCATCGTCGAGCAGGTCGTCGTGGCCGTGACCATGGCCTTGGTGGAGGTGAGGCGTGCCCGTAGAAGCAGCGGCAGCACCGCCACCACCACCACCCGTGAGTGCACTCAGTCCGCTAGCCAGGAAGTCGCCCAGGCCGCCGCCGGTACCACCGCCGCCAGCGCCCTTCCGCAGTCCGCCGCCAAGATCGACATTCTCAAACCGCCCACCACCGACGGCCGCCGCGTCGTCTGGACCGACCTGCATCTCCTTCCGCCGCTCGTGCCAGATGCCCCTACGGAGGTCCGTGTTCTCGGCCTCCAGCTCACGGACGCGCTTCTCGAGGCGAAGCCGCCCCTCGTTCTCGAGCTCGTCGACGCCCTCGTCATCGCCACCGCCATCGGCAGCGTCCTTCTTGCGGAGCCGCAGGTTGTCTGCCTCGACCCTGTCGATCTTGTCGCGCAGCTCGGAAATCTCCTTCTCGGCGCGCTCCTTGTCCCTGCGCAGCGCCTGCGTGCGGCCGTCCTGCTCCTTGTGGAGCGTCGTTAGGGTGGTGACCTTCTTCTCGAAGGCCTCGGCCTTTTTGGCGAGCTCGTCGCGGGCGGCGCCAACCTCGGCGGACTCGCGTTCGAGTGTGCGCAGCTTTGTCTCGGCCGACGCGCGCTCCGAGCCTTCCTTCACGGCCTTCTCCGACACGCGGTCCAGGTTGCGCTTCAGGTCTCCGAGCTCGCGCTGGGCCAGCGCGGCCGCCCGCTCCGCGCGCGCCAGCTTCTCCTCGAGTGCCGTGATCTGCTCCGGCGGCTCAGAAGCGGACCCAGATAGCCGCTCCACCTGCGCCCGCAGTCGCGACATCTCGAGCTCCATCGTCTCGATCGTCGCCGACTTGGACTGCAGCTGCGCTTCGAGCTCCGAAGACGCCTGCAGCTGTCCGGCCGCGGATGACGACATAGACAGTGATGGAGAAGACCCGTGCCGTCCGCCATTGCCGCCCGCCCGCGAAAGCTGTGACTGCAATTGCGCGTTCTGCCGCTGCAGCGCTGCGAGCTCGTTTCTCTATTATGCCGAGTGCGATGTTTTAGTATAACTACCCACACACACACGTACACCTAGCGCGCAAAGACGAACGCCGAAGGGAGGGGTGAAACATACCAGCTTCTCTACCAAGCTATCCGCGCCGCCACCGGCCTTCTTGCCAGTCGAGTCACCGTCGGCTTCACGCAGGTCGGCCAGCTCCTCCTCGGCCTTTTGCCAGCGCTTCTCCGTGTCGGCAGCCTCTTTGGCCAGGCGCTTGTTCTCCTTTTCGAGCTCCTCTATGCGGGAGACGTGCTTGCGGTAGATGTCGGGCGCGGTCTCGCCCTCGGGGCTGAACATGCCGGGCGACTGGGGCGGGCCAGATATGGAGGCCTGGCGGAAGCTCGTCGACCGCGCCTTGGACTGCTGGGACAACGAGGGGGCTGACGCTGGCCCTGGAGAGCCAGGCTTCGACGTGTCGTTGTCGGCGACGTCGCCGCTGTTGTTATCGTCATCGGGGGTCCCGGAGGGAGCTTCCTCTGTAGGTGTTTCGGGGCCCTTTTCCTTGGAAGCGGATTCGGGCGCGTCGTCTTTTCTGGACGAGGAGGTGCCGGCTTTTTTGGCCTTTGCCTTTTTCATTTGCTCGACCTGGCACCACGCGGAACGGTAAGCTTGCGCGTCTTTGTGACGCAGGTACCGGCACGCCCCAATCGCGCGGGAGGGGGGAAGGGGGTGTAGGGGTTATACCCTCTTCTTGGCCGCCGCTATCTTCTCCGCCTTGGCTTTTTCGTCGTCGGCCATCGTGGGCCTTGGGGGCTTGATTTAATGTGTGTAATGTCGCAGCACTCAGCTTCTGGCCAGCCAAAATTTTGTGGCTTATTGGCGAGTTTTCTGTATCGGTGGCTCTTCGAAATAGCTTCGGTACTGAGCTTGGTGTCGTTGGCTGCCAGGCACGCATTACTTGGTATAAGACATGTGTTACCGTCGAGCTTGCTGTTTCTTGACCAATTAGAGCCTAGCGCACGGGCCCTGGCGCCCCACTGCTTCACTACATAACTGCTGAAACGGGGGCCCATTGTTCACGATGCCCACAAGCCTGAATACGTCGTTCTGTTCATCAACTGAGAAGCTGCCATTGGCCCTATTTACAATAGCATTACCCTACGGACACGTTCAAAACCCCGCCTCGTCTGGATGATAATAGGCGCCCATGTGATGGTTCAGTTCAAACCAAGATTCCTTGGGCGAGAACTCCCTCGCCTTCCGTTCGGCTCGCTCCTTCTCTTTATCCCGCCAGACGCCGGCGAACTCATATACTTTCGGAGCAGTGGGCAGCCGTGGGGAAGCTGGATTGGAGGTGTACCGGGAGACGCGAACCTTCAGGTAATCGTTGCTCACGAAGATAACTAACAGCTCAAACCTGCTGCGGGAACCGTCCAGCTCCATCTTGAGAGCTTCTTCGGTGCTCGCGCGATGCGGAAGGCGGCATGGCCCAAAGCGGTACTTGTATTTATCCACCATCAAGGTTCCATACAGCTCGCCAGCTTCGTCTTCTTCGTCCTGGAACATTTCGCGGAATTTAACCCATTTTTTCGTGAGGCGATGGCGGTTGTAGTTGCGGTTGACATAGTCGGCGCAGAATAGCGTGAACTTCCGGCCCTCGAGTGATTCAATGCGAGGGATGGCCTTGTCTTCCTTCTCGGCCTCGGCGAGAGATTCGTATGCGGCACGAACCTCCTCTTCCTTAATTCTCTCACCCCCTAGAATCTCGTCTTTCTTCTTGAGCTCCTCCACCCTCTCCTCCTTCCTATACTCGCGCTCTTCTTTCAGTTCGTAATAGTAGCCGGCGTCGGATCCGGTATACGATGCCTCTGACTCGGAGGAGTCGTCTTCGTCGTTGTCGTCGTCGTCGGACTCGGACTCGGACTCGAAGCCGGGGCCGTACTCAGAGTCACAGTCCATATCATCGCAGTCCTCCGAGTTGCAGTCTTTCACCTTTTTCTTCTTCTGTTCCTCCTCCTCTCCCCTGTCGTCGACATCTTCCGAGTCGCAGTCTGCTATTCTCCTCTTCTTCGTCTGCTCCTCCTCGTTTCCCCTCTCTTCATCATCCATGCCGGTGTCTTCTTCCAGATCTGAAATATCCTCATCAAAGTCGGATGAATGATCGCGTCCAGATGTTCTCCGTTTGAGAGCTACTCGATGGAACCATGCTGGCAGCTGGTGGCGGCGGCTTTTGGGTTGAGTCAGCGCGCGGGGCTTTCCAACTTGCGCGTGCGACGCCTGCATGGTCGTCGTGATGGCTGATTACAACTGGATTCCAGGTCTGTCGCTGATTTGTTATGTTTATTACATGTGAGCTTGCGCTAGCTGTCGCAGCTGCACAGGAAGGCAGGCATACGCACAGGTCCAGGCCTGGTTTATTTGTTTGCGCTGGGCGGGGTGGGGAGTTCAATCCTTGGATGTTTGTAGGCGTAGAATGTATTGTTGTACATATATACCCAAGGTATTTGAGAAGAATAAAACTATAGAAAATGAACCGGCCAAAAATGCCTTTTCCAGGTATTTCTAGGAAGAGATGTACCTCTAGGATTATATAATGGGGATTCTAATAGCTGGTCCAAATACCTCTTTCGGCGAAAACCCTTTAGGGCGAGCTGTACGGTCCTGAGGCCTTTCAGACCTCGGAAAGTTCCCCGCCAACAACCTGGAAAGCGTTCAGGTATTAGACTGTAATTCATTACTATTCCAACTTTTTCCATCTTTTTGAGCCAAATCAAGATCTTGAGGAATCAAAGGATGTCTTAAAGGTTGACAAGGCCTGTAATACCACCTTTCATATTCCTCGCTCCAAGGCTCTTTCTGGCCGCAAAACAGTGCGTTCTTAACTTTAGAATTTGAGCCCCTATCGCCAGTGCTTCGGCTCTACCCCTGTCGCTAGCTTTTTACAGGGGTTGCTCAACTGCGAACTACGGCGCAATGACGACACTCGTCTCCTTTGTCAAATATACATGCCAAAGGAAACGCAGTGTAGCTTCGCCAGCTATCGACGTCTACTTCGACCCCATGATTACCAGTGAGGTGGTATCTCAATGGCCGCCACAATCTACAACAACACACCTACTGAGCTCGAGCAGCTAGTTAGTTCTAGTAGCTGGCTGCTATTGGTGAGCAGATGGCAAGTGCCATTGCCTCCTGACTGTGGCATATCGGGCACACACAGCTGAGTCTCACATGGATGGACAAAAAGGCCGTTCCGGGCTCTCGACGGCCTCCGTGACGATCCGCCTCTCCTTTGTCTCTGGGAGCGCACCACCTCTGCTAGCTACATAGACACAACACAGCAGAACCAACCGACTTCTACCTCGATCAGTCCATCCCTTGTTCCCCAGTCCGCATCTCGGGCATCCAGCCTTCAAATTCTCGACTCTGAACTCAATACTGAGCCATCCCAATCACACACCCACTTACTTGCCTGCTCAGCAAGTCAGTTGTCTTGCACATACCACAGTTTTTATTTTAATATTCACCGTTTCTCTTTCAGATATCCCCTAGATCCAAACAGTCTCACTCACATTGTCCCACTTTTTGTGTATACCATTCTCTCGTGCCAGCCTCACCCACGCATCCCGACTTTCTGTGTGCACCCTTCTCCCGTGCCAGTCTGTAAACAGAACACAACCACACAACTACACAACCCGCCAGCTGCCAAACAAATGGCCTCACTCCCAGGCGACCACCCCGCGCTCTCACTGCACCTCTGTGACGACGCGCTCACGCCCATCATCTCCTCCGCCGCCTTCCACAGCAGCACCGCCAGCACCACCATAACCCCGGACCTAGACACGGCCAGCATCACCAGCCAGACCCCGCCCTCCGGGCACACGCAAATACCCCCCAACAACAAAAACAACAACAACAGCAGCAGCAGCAGCAGCCATGTGCTTGCCCGGCAGAGAGCAGGGGCACTGAGCAAGCTGGCAGCGACGGCGCTAGCGGCGCAACGGACGGCCTCGCGGCTGGGCCTGGGCGCGGCGGTGCGGATCGTGATCGAGACGGCTGACGCGAGCGGCAGGAGCGGGGCAGTGGTGGTGAACTCATTCATAGAAAGCGCGATACCGTCATCATCACCATCCACGATACCGTCTCCGCCGGGGCCAGCAGCACCGCTCTTGTCAGCACCATCATCATCAGGGCCAACCCCAGTTTTAGAACGGATCACCCCGCCTAGGCGCGGAGGAAGGGGGTCGGACTTGCTAGCAGCCGACGAAAGTGAAATCTCCAACGACAACCAAACGAAACCACCAACGTTGGTTGCCGTCGTAGTTGCCCCGGACGCCGAACATACCGCCGAGGCCCAACAAGCAGCCTCGAAACTTGAACTCATCGGGCGACATCTACAGCTTGCCTGGATTGAGGAGCAGCAAAAGACCTCCGGAAACGACGATTCCCTGGACTGAGATACCTGTTTGCCATGCCAAAGCCTGTCACAGGGCCTTAAAATCAGATCATCAACGACATGGAAAGGAGTAGAACTCGCACAAATCGTCTATTTTTGGCTCAAAATTCACGGCTATTCATAATACCAATAATCTGTCAACACCTGGTAATGTATCCTTCGGGTGGTTATCATCGCCCTAGACCTGGCCTTTCACACTGCCTGGGACGGCTACGCCACCCCATTGCTTTAAGTGCTCAAGAGTCCGAACGAGCCCTCTAGACAAGAAAGACGCGTCTTGCGTCGCCAAAAAGCTTGCAACTTTAGATGATCTGCTCGAAAGCGCGGTTGATGGGCGACCGGATGTTGGGCACATCCTTCCAGAAGTTCACAGTCGCGACGGCCCGCTTGGCAATGCCCTCGGGGGTGAACTCGAACTTCTAAAGAGAGCAGGCAGGTTAGCAGGGAAATAGCGCGCACATGTTAGACTCGAGGCAACGACTTGCCTTGTACACATCCTTGTAGGCACCCGAGGCACCGAAGCGGTTCAGGCCAAACTGCTCATGGGTATACCTCTCCCAGCCCATTGTGCTCATGACCTCAACCGACAGGGACGGGATTCCGTCGGGCAGAACGCTCAGGCGGTAATCCTTAGGTTGCGCGTCAAACACCTCGAAGCAAGGAATAGAGACGACACGAGCCTTGAGGTTGTGCTTCTCGGCCAGCTCCTTGACAGCATCAACGCAGATGCCGACTTCCGAGCCCGTCGAAACCAGGGTGATGTCAGCGCCCTCCTGCTCCTGGAGCACGTAACCGCCCTTGATGCCCTTCTCGATTACAGAGCCCGTCAGCTGCGGGAGGTTCTGGCGAGACAGGGCGATAATGCTAGGCGTGTGCTTGGACGTCAGGGCGACGTAGTAGGCAGCGCTCGTCTCGTTTCCATCGGCCGGGCGCCAGACCATGCAGTTGGGCAGGGCACGGAAGTGGGCCAGCGTCTCGATCGGCTGGTGAGTAGGGCCGTCCTCACCGAGACCAATCGAGTCGTGGGTGGCAACCCAGATGGCGCGGACCTGCGAGAGTGCAGAAAGACGGACGGCGCCAGCAGCGTACGAGACGAAGTTGAGGAAGGTACCGCCGAATGGGATGATGGTGCCGTACGCGGCCAAGCCGTTCATGATGGCACCCATACCGTGCTCGCGGACACCGTACCGGATATACCTGCCGCTGTAATCACCGAGACCGGTGGACGGGGGCTGGAAATCAACGGCACCCTTCCACCGGGTCAAGTTGGAGCCTGTCAGATCAGCAGAGCCACCGACGAGCTCTGGAAGGACCTCGTAGATCTTGTTGATGATGTTCTCGGACAGCTTCCTGGACGCGACGGCGGGGTCGGCCGGGGTGTGGAGGGGAAGGACCTTCTCCCAGCCCTCGGGGAGATCTCCCTTCTGGCGGCGGATGAGATCATCGTGCTCAGCCTTGAACTGCTCTCCGTACTTTGCGAAAAGCTTGTTCCACTCCTCCTCTTTGGCAGCACCTTCGGCAGAGGCCTTGTGGCACAGGTCGTAGACCTCCTGGGGGACAACAAAGCTCTGCTCGGGGTTGAATCCAAACTTGGCCTTCAACTGCTTGACATCATCGATCTTGAGGGGAGAGCCGTGGACGTCATGAGTGCCCTGCTTGGTGGACCCAAACCCAATGGTGGTCTTGAGCTGGATGAGCGATGGCTTGTCCTTGACCTCCTGGCACGCCTTGATGGCGGCCGTAATGCTGTCGAGGTCGCTGTCGCCGTTGCCGACAGTCACCACGTGCCAGCCATAGGCATCGTACCGCTTGACCACGTCCTCAGTGAAAGAGACGTTGGTGTTGCCGTCAATGGTGATATGGTTGTCGTCCCACACGGCGATCAGGTTACCCAGCTGGAGATGGCCGGCCAGAGAGCATGCCTCGGACGAGATACCCTCCTGCAAGCAGCCGTCACCGAGGAAGGCGTATGTGTAGTTGTCAATAATATCGAATCCGGGCTTGTTGAAGGTGGCGGCAGTGTGTGCCTGGGCAATGGCGAGACCAACGGCATTGCTGATACCCTGGCCGAGAGGGCCAGTGGTAACCTCGATACCGGGGGTGTCGTGGGCTTCGGGGTGGCCGGGTGTGATGCTGTCGACGTGCTATTTCCGCCATGGCATATTAGGCCCTGTAATATTAGGGGTGTCGGGATAAGATTTGAACTTACGCGGAACGCCTTGAGGTCGTCGATTGAGAGGGCATATCCGTAGAGGTGGAGCAGGGCATACTGGAGCATGCACCCGTGGCCGTTGCTGGAGCGGGACTTTGTCAATAAGGTGGGAAGCTAGCCATGGCCAGACGGCGGCCACTTACGAGAGGACGAAGCGATCTCGGTTGAGCCATTTGGGGTTCTTGGGGTTGAACTTCATGAACTTGTTGAAGAGAACGTGGGCAACCGGTGCCATACCCCTGTGTTATGTCAGCAACGGCTCCGGCTCCAGCGAATACAACAGTGGGCGTCGCTCGTGCAGTGCCTGCATTACTTACATGGGCGCACCGGGATGGCCCGAGTTGGCATTGAAGGTAGCATCAACCTAGAGGCAGAAACTTGTAAGCAATTGCGCAGTTTGAAGTGCTGTTGGCCAAGTGTCGAGTCTCTCGCTCTGGAGGGAGCTGCCCCGGCATCATGGAGGGGTAAAAAGACGCGGCGATAGCGGAGGCGGGGAACTTTTTGTCGGGCAGGGCTAGTTGGGAGGGAGGCAGTACATACCGCCAGAACACGGATCGTATTGATCGCAAGCGTGTCTACGTCGGAGAAACCCATGATTGCGAGACTGTGCGATGGACGAGTAAGCGGGATGTTCGGCGTTCAGGTCGGAAGGAGATAATTGCGGGTGTGTGAAGGAAGAGTCGAAAGAATGAGCGAGGTGGTGTGATATGTTTTATGTGATTGTATGTACCGGGAAGGGGCGTTGGGGCGTTCCCAAGATTCCTGAACCACTTTTTGGCTCACCAAGTGGGGGGTTAGCGAGGAGTGCCGCAGGGTAGCTGGCATGGGCCTTCTGGTTCGCCCGGGTGAATAGAGGTGGTGGAGCTGCCTGACCTCCCTCGGGTGCTGTATGTGCCTCTTGACCTATTAACTCGAGGAGAGCTCAGACGCTCTTCGTCAAAGCCGTCTGATACATATATTCGTTTTCTTACATCGCGTCAAGTATCTCGCCCGGTCCCTGTCCCCGGGAAACAAGTTACGGCACCGAATGGCGACTTTCGCCAACAACCAAGTCATTTGTTTCCTTCTCCTAGTTGTCTGTGCCTGCGCCACCGCCCAACCAACAGACAGTCACAGCAGGAATAGGAGCGTAGATGGGTGAAACGCGCGGTATGCGGCGCGATGCTGAGTCGGAAGTCGGAAACAACCCTGCGTGCGCTCTCGTCGCCGATCTGGGGGGCGATCAGGCAACCGCCCGGCAAGGTCAACTCGCCGGTTTGGCGGCTTTGGCTCACCCAGCACCCCCTTGTCCGCGGCGGCGAAATTGACTGCCAACGATAGTAGAGATGTACTCCGTAGAATGCGTCTTTTTCTATAATTTTTATATACGAGCAGCAACAACAATCGGTAAGTACAGGAGAGTGCCACTCCAAGCCATATTCACCTCACTTACTATGGCTTGTCAAGCCTCCCAAGCCTGAGAGGAGCATCCACTCTTTTCGCCTCAACATAAAAACACCGCATCCACCACGCCCCGTTCCGCGCGGCAATATCCTTCTGGTATGTGAAACCCGTGACATCTAGCCGTGAAATCTTATTAGTCTAGGCATTCCATACAATGCAGTACAGTACCAGTCGACCGCAACGTAAATGCGGTGACAGTACATGAAGCTACCTTTAGACGTCGAAAGCTGCAGGCAAATGCTGCAACAGCCCATATGCCTGCAACGGCTTTCGTGATTGGCTAATCCGCATTGCCCTCTGTGTGCCCCCTCCATCTTGACTCGGCAAGCCGGGATGGGTTTGCAGCTTGGCAGAGACATTATTCAGACCCTCGCTGCGGTCGAGCACAGTGAGAATGCAAGGGGCAGACGAAATGTAACTTACAACACCACGGCAAGATAAGAAGGATGATGCAGCAGTCGAATATTCCTCGCCTTTCCGACCGTATTTACCTCGGTAGCAAAGGATTCTGGTAATATCCTATCCAAGTCCTTCGTACAGAGTTCTCACAAGCACTTTGAGCGTAACCGGGATACGTGGGGTGATGCAAAGTCAGGAGCTTCAATCGCACAGGGTTAGGGTTATACTAGCTGTATGGATCAAAATCGGCAAACCATATTTTTCCCCAAACCTTCAGGTCGGTATAGTTTAGATAGAATTCAGCCTAAAGTCACGAATTACCGGATGAGGCTCATCAGGGTCCTCTCAACCACGCCAACCAACCACCCCCACACGTCACGGGCCGCACGGGAGTAAGAAATTGGCATTTGCAATAATACCGGTACCGCCAAGATGGTGTCCAACACTAAGGGGGCGCCGTCGATGAAACGCATCGACAACAAGCTCAAGACCAAGAACAAGAACAAGATCATCAGAAACAGGAACCTGAAGAGCACGCCGCAGGCCGACGCCGCCGCCCTGCAGCGGCGGCAGCAGCAGCACGTCCTCGACGTCTTCCGGTCCGCCTTTGGCGACGTGCTGTCGTCGCCCGCCTTCGCGGCCAGCGTGCAGACCGTGAAGCAGGCCCTGTTCGCCCGCGACTTTGCCGCCGCCTTTGGCATCGGCAGCCACGACAGGCAGGCCGGTAACCGCCTGCTTGCCGTCTACGCCGCGCGCTGGAGCCCTACCCGCGCCCTGTGCTATGCCGCCGTGCTGCGCGGTATCTACGACCAGGGCCACCTCGACCCGCTGCTGCACACCCCGTTGTCTTCCTCTGCTGCTGCAAGGAGGAAGCAGCAGCAGCAGGATGTGAAGACTGACGAGTTGCCCGACGGCGAGCAGCAGCAACCAGACTCCGCCTCGGCCGTCCCCATCAGACAGCCCGTAGGAAAGCGGCAGCTGAGGGTTCTCGGCATCGGCGGCGGCGCGGCCGAGATGGTAGCGTTTGGATCTTTTCTCAACCAGGTATCGTCTTTTTCATCCGACGACAACGAGGACGTCAACGAGGACGAGGACGAGGACTACAGCGCCGGGCTCGCGGGGGAAATCACGCTAGTTGACGCCGCGGCATGGGGGGACGTAGTGTCGACGCTGCAGACGGGCATCACCACACCAGAGCCCTCCACTCCCAAAGAACCGCCGATGGTCCCGCCGGCGTACCTCTCGTCGCGCTTCTCCCAGAACGACGTGCTCGCGCTCGGCCACGACGGCCTCGCGGCGCTGATGCCGCTACCGCCCTCTTCCTCCTCCTCCTCCCCCCCTCCTGTGCTCGTAACCCTCCTCTTCACGCTCAACGAGCTCTTCACGTCTAGCGGCGTCGGCAAGACGACGGCGTTCCTGCTGGATCTGACGAGCACTGTACCCGTGGGCTCGCTGCTGCTGGTGGTGGACAGCTCGGGGAGCTATTCCGAGACGGCGATTGGGGGTAGTAGCAGCAACACCAACTCTAGCCCATCCACAGCAGCAGCACCAGCAGCCCCTCCCGCGAAACGCCAGTATCCGATGCAGTGGCTCCTGGATCGAATCCTGCTGGGGACGCAGAAGGAGCCCGTGGGTGGGCGGGCGTGGCGCAAGCTCGAGGCGCACGACTCGGTGTGGTTCCGCCTCGGCACGTCGTCATCTTCATCGGGTGGCGGCGGCGGCGGCGGAGGAGGTGGTCTGGACTACCCGATCCCGCTCGAGAACATGCGGTACCAGATGCATCTGTACCGGGCCGAGGATGCCAGCTCTACAGCTGCTGCTGCTGCTTTGCTAAAAGACTAGAGAACTAAAAAATCAAAACCAAAACCAAAACCAAAAGAAAAGAAAAGGACAAGACCAAGTGAGCAGACCTACGTACGTGCGTTCGTGAGTTAATTTGTGTGCATGAGTGTATGTTATGGCTGTGCGCTCGATACATCTGCTCCAGGTAATTATCTTTTAATATTTTTATTCATCCATATATAGACCACAACCCTTCCCCTTATTGTACCCAGTCCGCTGCCCCCTCCATTTGGCCCTACCCAATGATCTTGCTTCTATTCCTAATCCAAAACTAAACCAAACGGATTTTCTGCGCCATAAAAAAACAAACACTCTCATGCCCACACCAGCTTCTTGATCGAGTGGCCCAGCTGCTCAAGCAATCCCGTGTTCCGCTTTGCCTCGGCCAGGGATATGATGTCGCCCTTCTCGATGAGACCAGCGTCTTCCGGCTTCTTGCCCGCGAGCCTGGGCTGGCTCAGGAGTGCCAGCCTCTCAATCTCGGCGGCAATGACGACCACCTGCTGAATCTCCGTAAGACGAGTGATGGCGCCGGGCTCGTTCGGCAGCTTGGTCGCGGTGGGGTCGGCCACCGAGGTCTGGCTATATAAGGCCTTGAGGGCGATCTTGCGGGGAGGCGTGGCCTGGGGCCGGCGAGACAGGAAACCCGCAATGGCGCCGGCCGGGCCCGATGATGTGTTCGGCCTGTTTGCTACTTCCGCGTTCACGTCGGAGCCGGGCGCCTTGCCAGGATTGGAAGACAAAGACCGCGTGTTCACCCTAGTGATATCGGTGCTCCCCGGCTTGTACTCAATGACAAGCCCGACGTTGCGCATCTCGTCCACATGAGCGGGCGAGATGGTCGACGTTATGTAGGTGCCGAACTTGATCTTTTGGATGTGTGCTAGGCTGACTCGCTCAAACGATGAGACCTTGTCCAGGTTCCAGTCAAATCTGCACAGGTACAGCGCCACATCGGTAAGCAAGAGAACCGCTTCCTCCAGCGAGGCCGCCCGTACGGTGTCGGGTACTTGTGGCGTGAGCAGCGTCCAGCCTCCAACGAGCTCCTCCGACTCGTCCGCGACGACACGCTTCTGGCATAACTCTATGGCTTGCTCGCGCATTTTCTGCATCGACATGGCTGGATCCTTGGTCATCATGTTCGCCTCGAACTCTTCAAAGACGAATGACGTGACGTTACCCAGTAAAAAGTCGATTGTTGTTTGCACAAAGAAGTCATTAAACATGCTGACCAGTGTCAGTATAATCGAATTCTTTACCCGGCAGCCAGGTTAACTTACCCGTTGAAGAGTCTCGTCAGCGATAGGCCCGCATCTGTTAGGGCTCCCCGGTAGTTTCTCTTCCGTGTCCGCGTGTAGTCGCCTTTCATGGCCCCGGTGGAGGCATACTGCTTGGAGATGGAATCGCCATTATCTGCCCACAGCGTGTTGAACCAGACGTTCTCCTGGTCGCGCTGTAAGCTCATGTCAAAGCCCTGTTCCTTGAGCTGCACATCGAGCATGTATTTCGCAAACGAGCTCTGGCAGACGTTGGTCCGGTCAAGACAGTCCATGCAGTTCGTCCTCAAGACCCCGGCCTGCTTGGACGTGACTTGGTCGTCGACAGACACCGTGCTTCCGAAACTCTCTAGCTTGCTGCCCAGAATTTGTAGCAGGAGGGAAACCTTCTCGAACTTCATGCCCCGGCAGACAGCGTGGAAGTCAAACCACTCAAACGCTACCTTTTCAGCGTCTGAGCCTGATTCTTCATTCAGCCGTTGAATGTTCCTTTCGTACTGCTCCCCAATCACGGCCTCGACGCCATGCTTCTCTACAAGATTGACTATTTGTAAAGCGCCATACCGCTTCTGGAGCCCTTCAAAGTGCTTCGTCAGCGCTGCAAAGTTTGCATCGGGGGAGTGCTGTAATACTGCTGCGGGCTTTAGCGAGTATGGTGACTGGGTAAAGAAGAGCGGGAAGCTCCCCCTGACTTGGACAAACGAGTAGACTTTTGCGGCAGGATCCCATGTCGCGTCGGCGGCCGATAGAATCTGCTCCGACTCGACCGAGTTTGCAACGTTGCCCTGCTCGTCTATTCCGCGGCGGAGGTATCGTAATCCGGCCCGCTTCGTTGAACGCCGCGAGATGACAGTTATGTCGAATTTCTTCTCCGACGGCCGTAGGTCGACCGTGTTTTTGGCCGGTGACGGCGATGACGACCGGTCAGACCCATCCTTACTGGATCCGAAATTGCTCATCTCAACTGAGTCTTTCGCATCACTGTCGACCTGTGGCGGCTGGCTGTCGACCACAAATGATCGCTGACCTACAAATCCCTGCATCAGAGGTAGCGCTAGAGCATCCATGCCGGCGTCAATGAAGGGTCGCATGATATTGCGGTTCCAGAAGTACAACGGGTCTGCATGGCTGTGAAGCGGGACCAGGGCCGTGGCCGGCACCTTCACATTGGCCAGGCTTCTGGTAATGTCGTAGTCGTAAGAGTAGTAGAATGTGCGGCTCGAGCCAAAGAGGATCTGGGTGGCGCGCAGCAGCTTGGGCAGCAGGCCAATGCCGGCCTGGCTGCCGACGGCCTCGCTCGGGAGCGGGAAGGATTTGGGGACGCTCTTGGCAGCGCCCTTGTTCTTGTTGCCTTCGGGACCTGGTTCCACGACGACTGCCTGTTCTGGGCTCAGCCCCATGATCCGTTTCTGGTCCATGGCCCAGCCCGACCGACTGAACCACCGCTGCGCGAAGCGGCCGTAGCTGCCGCGGCGGCTGATGACATCCTCTGCAATACTGCTCCGGGCCGTGGTGTTTGGGCTCACCTTGGTCGACCACTGCGATGCAGCGGCCGGGTCGGGAACATCGTCGCCCACCTCGTCATTCCCGCCCGACTCGGGCGGCGCCTCATCGTCGCTCGAGCTGTCGTCGGTCGCCTGGTCGGCAGCCCGGGTGCTCAGCGCAACTGACGTCTTCGCGATGGCGTCGCTTGCATCTTGTTGGGACGAGCACGGCGTCAAGGCAACCTCGGTGACGACATAGATGGGCAGTCCGCGGATCTGCGCGACCTGCTGGCGACGGGTTATCGATATTAGGTAGTTGTAATGGAAGACGGAGACGAGGCCTGCCAAGAGGAAGACGAACGAGTTAGTATTGGCGAGGGTGAGACTCGGACTTGAGTGAGCGTTGGGGACCGGGGTGGACAACCAACGATGCCAAAGGCCTCAAACGAAGAGTTGGGCTTGGAGCTGTCGGGTGCCGCGTCCGTCGGGATGGCAGAGATGGAGGCGTCGCCGTACTTGATCTGCACGAGAGGCAACGAGCGCTGTTCTTTCTTGGAGCCGAGTGGTTGTAATATTAGTCCATCAACAGCAGCACAAATGACGACTTTGCGCGCCAGACCCGGCATTTCGGCTTACTTCTCCATGCAAATGGAGGGGGAGGACGAAAGAAAGGAAAAAAGCTATGGAGATAGAAAGTTCTAACCCTGGCCGAGCGAATACAAGGCGAATATGCTTCTTCCGTCTCAAGTAACAAGCATCAAAAAACTATATCCAATTACAGGCCGTGAGGGAAGAAGTTGAGAATACGCGCAGGTCACCGGCGCCCAACACGAGCTGGGGTGTTGGTTCACACTTGGGAAACGGTGATGTAGGACGGCTCCAATGGAGGGGCATGCGCTCTCGGTTGATTCGACGGGCGTCATTCTGCAGCAGCCACCTGCGCATCACCCCCACTGTACCACACCACCAGGCTGGAACAGAAAACCCGAGCTTTGCCCCAGTCCAGCCGCCGCCGCAAATGGAAGTGCAAATGGTCAACTGCCGGCAAGCCTAACCCCAACCCTGAACAATGGCAGATGCTCTGTTCCATGTTGGCAAATTCAGCTTCTCAGCCCTTCGATTTGCTAGGTACTCCGTAGTGTTGATATAATTTGGGGTTATACTGAAACGCATTCCCATGCCATGTGCGACGCTGTGGTAGACAGCTATCTTAATTTATTTTATTTCCCCATTTCCCCATAGATCTTGCTGCCGAAATCTAAAGAGGGATTCCTCCCTGCGCGCCATCATCGCCCACGCTCTCAAGGAGGACTATCCAACCTCGTTGCCACCAAAATAAAAAAATAAACCGGTAAAAACAACCCTCCTTACATGGCGAGTCTCTCAACCTTGTCGCGCAGGGCACGAATCTTGGCGTTCAGGTCGGATGCCTCGTTGGAGGTCAGCGAGACGGCAATGACCGCCCGCGACACGCCGCAAGCTCTTCCGAGCGCGACTTTGGAGGGAACGAAGCAGTAGGCGACGTTCTTATCTTCGCAGAGAAGGGGCAGATGAAGGACGATGCTCAGCGGCTGGGTATCGGCGGCCATGATGACAAGCTCGCTGGTGCCACGGGAGATGCTACACGGATGTCAGTAAGAGAGCGAAAGAGGGCTTCGGCGGGGACGGGTCCCAGGTTTGGTTGAGGACAATCGGGTTCGTCTGGGGTCCAAACATACGACTTGGTGGCCTCGTTGGCTCCCTTCTTCAGCTGTCTAGAAGCGACTAGAGTTAGCATTTCTGGCAAGACAGGTCATACTCCGGAGGTGAGTAGCGCCATACCTGTAATGGCTGGCCTGCTGCACACAGTCAAGGAGCTCCTGCACAAGGCCGGCATCCTCAGCCTTGGGCCATGCGGCCGATTCGTTCTGGGCGTTCGACATGGCGAAAATATGTTTCGGTAAGATCGTTTGGTAGAAATCGCGGGGTTATCTCCAGGGTTCACGGCGTTTGCTCGCCCTGGATGGAGTGTCAGTAGCGTGAGATTGGAGAAGCGCGGTGGTGAAGGAAGCTGAGCAAGGTTGGTAGAGACCGAATTTCTCAATCTATCGCAGAAAAAAAAAGAAGCGGATGCAGAACGGCGGCCGAGAGTTTCTGGCGGTGAAAGGCGGCAGAAAGTGGCTTAGCTTTGTGCTTTTATCACCTCTCAAATACAGCCATGCAGGGTCTACGCCTGAAAAGTTTAAAAGTGGTGACCTTTTGGGATTCAACCCAGCCGGACCTCGAAGCAACTGAATCGGATTTCCATCAATACAAACATAGATCTTAGTTCCTTGGGCGTTATTTATACGGCGCGCCTGACAGCCTACGATACTTGTACGATGAGGCGTAAGGCCTAAGATCTGGGCTGACCATTTTTAGGTATTGAGCTATTAGGCGTCCTTGCCCGTGCCTTCGGCACGTTACCACTCTTTCATTAGATTCCTTAGTAATTTGGGTTTGGGTTCTTGCTTTAGACTTCCAGAGATTCCTTTCGCAATTCTTAAACCCCAAATTGCGGTCCTGTTCCATCCTCTTTGTGAATCTTATCCTATCAATATGACAATTCCACGGCGCCTACTAGTTTACTTCAACATATGAAGAGGTTTAGTCGGTTCATCTCACTTGAGAGACCTAGCTTTAAGGTCTACCTTTGTCGTAGCTTCCAAATGCCGTGTTAGAGCTTTCCGGAGTGTGAACTTTGAGCGCGTTTTCTTTGTGCGCAACCTTAGATATTGTAATTTTATGTTCCAAAAAAAATATCTACGCGGCATAACTTCACGATAATCACAGTCTATGTGCTTCTGAGGTTTCATTATTATCCCTTTTCAAGATGGAAATAACAGCAGAGGCAAGAACGATCAAGGAACTAGCCCCTAGACTGACGGAAGTCGGCGCTTTCTGCGAGTCACGTGCCGCGGTATGGGCTTAGGTTCAGCCGGCGCCCGGATTACCTAAGGAAAACTAGGTAATTACGGGCCAGGCCACAAGGCCGCCAGCAAAAGCTGGTTGCCCCCAGAGCGCCGAGTCGGCCAACCTGGAACCTGGATGCAGCAAGCAACCTCGAACCGTCACCAACCCGCACCATTTCTGATTGCAGCTGTTGAGCTCTCTCTTCACCCCCACACTATCGCGCAAACTCATCCCCATCGCTCCCTCGCCACAGCCTCTTGCTCGCCTTCGTCAGACTTCAATACAGCTCACGAATTCCCAACCGCCAAAATGTCGACGGATCTTTGGTAAGCTCCAACAAAACATCTCCCAACTCCATAGCGGGAAATGCGGGCGCCGTTGTTGGGTGGACGCGCCGAGCTTCTCCGAACTCGACAAGCGTCGATTCCCCAGTGCCATTTGGACATTGGCTCGATGCATTGGCTTCGCAACTGGCGTGTGGTTGAATGAGGGCGTGCAATGCTGATGATTTTTGTTCTTCTAGCCCTGCCTATGCGGTTAGTTTACCATCTGCGGCGTGGTCGATCCATCCTGCCTTCTGTCAACGTCGACGACAAATAATCCCGCTCCCAAACCGCCATCGATTCGGCTTCGACTATCGAGATAGCCCCCGCCATCTCTATCAATGCTAACGTTACCTTTTCAATAGCCTTTCTTTGGTGCCATGGGCTGCACAGCAGCCATCGTCTTCACCTGCCTCGGTGCCTCGTATGGCACTGCCAAGTCAGGTGTTGGTATTGCCGCCATGGGTGTCCTTCGGCCGGATCTCATCGTGAAGAGTGCGTTGCGACTTACTCTCTCCCTCCAATGCCCGTCGGGGTGGTCTACACCCGTGTCCGAGCCGATGCGATGTGCTGACAAGAATCGTTTGCTGTAGACATTGTTCCCGTCATTATGGCTGGTATCATTGGTATCTACGGTCTCGTCGTCTCGGTCCTGATATCCGACGGCCTCAAGCAGCAGGGCTATGCTCTCTACACAGGTTTCATTCAGCTCGGCGCTGGCCTTTCTGTCGGTCTCGCTGGTCTCGCTGCTGGTTTCGCGATCGGTATTGTCGGTGACGCTGGTGTGCGCGGTACGGCTCAACAGCCAAGACTGTTCGTCGGCATGATCCTGATTCTCATTTTCGCCGAAGTCTTGGGTAAGACATATTTTGATCCCAGTCCCCATTGCCATGCGTGTTTTAAGCTTTGGCCGGTTGGATAACTGCTAACCTGCCTATAGGTCTGTACGGCCTGATTGTTGCACTACTTATGAACTCCAAGGCCGTCCTAGGCACCTCTTGCGCTTAAGTCGAGTTGTCTGTCTCTTTGTCACCGAAGGGTATGGGTGGACAAGCTGTAACTTCCAACACAATCCATACTCAGAACGTGGATCCAAAACTCGGGTTGCCGGCTCCCCCCATGCCCCTTTCATATAGTCTTATCGCTACACAACGGCGAAGTATTTGAGTTGGCATGGCGGGTGCGGGCAACGTTATCACTTACTGGCGGGAGGTTGTCAAGCAAGCGGCGCATGTCGTGGATTAGGCGGTTAATGGCTTCGTAGAAACGTCACATGTACTATTGTCATATTATGGTTGCTCATTACTTGCGGGGCTGGCTTCTCTCATCATAGACGGATGATGGATTAAAGATTGTAGTCTAGGTTGGCAATCGAACTTTTATGTCGTGCATGCTGTGCGGGTCGTGAAACATGCCGTCCTATCAAAGCCGATTTTGCTCGGAGCATTCGAGTCTGAGCAAGCCAACAACATTCTTGGGTTGGTGTCGTGACCGAGATACATGTTCTAGCACACAGATGACCTCTTTCGAAAAAATAGATGCGGGTATGTAGCCCGCGGTGCCTGGATTTGGGTAAGTCATGCCGTCCACCAACCCATTCACCCATCGACCTATCATGTCTCTCTTGCTATGAACCTGAGCTCCCCTTGACCTTGGCTGCGACAAGGATCCAAGAACTAGAGGTCAGCGTTTGACAGATACAATCATAACACACTGCGGGATATCTGCGAGAAGAAGTTGGTTCAACAATATCCTTGGCTAATGTAGGTAGTAGATACAGTACACTCACTCGAATTATTTCTCTGTTCTTCTTCAAAGGCGCAGCCCAGAACGTACGATGCCTAGGAAGTGGTCACTTCCATGGCGTTCAAAGTCGATCGTCCCCCGTGATATTTGACAAGACAGACGATCCTAGCAAAGCAAAGGACATACGAATATATATGCGTACACGACGAATCTGAGTAGTATATCCAGATTCTGCACTATGCATAAACATTCTCGCGATGGCGTTTCTTTTTCAGGGCATCCTATACCCACGCAACTCACTCACAACGATTTAAATTAGAAAAGGATTAGATAAAGCATTCATATATATAAGGGTTTAAATATAGATACAGATAGAAAAAGATGCAAAAATATTAGCATGATTAGTAGCAGTTATCGTCGACGAAAAAGGAAAAAAGAAACTAGTGCAAAAGTTCTGCATGCGGAGCCGTCACACAGGCTGCCTTTTCATCCCCTCTCAAGCCGTTGTTACTATCCAGTTTTGCTCGCTCATTCCAGACATGCTTCGCGTTTCGGATTATCACCCCACCTGATGGTTTAAATGACATACTAGATGAGACATGGGTTAGTCACGCCCTATCTGATACGGTCGGTCTGATGGATTAAATAACATGAAACTTACGGGAATGAAGAGGTACGGAACCTCCTTCTCGTACTGGCGCCACGCGTCGCCGTACTTTTGACGGCAGCGGTGAGTGTCGCGCCACGCGCGATGAAGAATCATGGTGACAAAAAATACGGGGTAGAACCAGGGAAAGGGGCTGTTGAAGCCTGTAACCAGACCCCAAGTGATGGCAAAAAACGCATCGCAGGTGTAGTGGACCTTGCGGGCAAGACCGTACCAGCCATCGACCAGGATCTTGTCACCCGTGGCGGTGTCGATAGTCTTGGGGTTGTGGATTGTCTGCCAGGGCACCTGGGGAAATGTGTTGCGCTTGATCATAGTGCCGCGCTCCATGGCGCGGAAGCGGTTCTTCTGGCTGTTGCAGCTATCCCATACCCAGTAGACAAAGATATAACTGGCGAAGAGAGCGGCGAGGGGCAGGCGGCCCCAGCGATACTCCTCGGGCTCGTGGTTGGCAAGATACAGGATGCAGTGGCAGTAAGACAAGGGCACTCCAGCCAAGTTCCAGAAGATGAGCATGAAGCCCCACTTCTCGTAGTACATGTCCCAGGTCGTGATGATAAGCTCTTCGCCCTTGGAGCACGCGTTTGCGTACAGGTAGTGCGCCATCAACAGGAAGCACACCTCGCCCGAGACATAGCCGTAACGTTCGTACTGGCGGGCGGCAGTGGCCGTCGAAAGCATGAACAGGATGTACCAGGGCAGGCGCACCTCGAAGAACATCTTGAAGTCGAGGACGCCAAACATGCGTGGATTTAGCTCAGCGCCCATGAAGAAGTCGTAAATGTGGTTGCCCGACATGCGATGGGTAGCGCCGCGCGCGAACGCCGATGCGTAGGCTATGATACTGACAATCCAGCCAGAGAGGATGGCAACCGAGAGCAGAGGGCCGAATTCGTCAATAATGGTGTAGAGCGGGAAGACGCCGCTGATGTGCAGGGCTGCCGCTATGGCGATGGTCGTGTAGAAGGACGTGTAGGCTGAGCAGTGGTAAGGCAACTGCTTGCCGCCGAGGTGGTGGAGCGGCTTGCCGTATCCTGAGACGCCAGGCATAAGGCAGTACATGGCGCCCTCGAAGACGAAAAAGATCCAGTACATCAACCAAGCTTTGGTGTGCGGAAAGGCTTTCGTGTAGACGATATTTGCGAGATGGTTGGCGAACTCAGGCAAGCTCTGGCCGGCCTGGGGAAGGGGGAGGGCGCCGCCATATTGAGTAGCGCCAATCCACATGTACCACATGATGATGGGGAAGCCGAGCATGATGACAGAGATGAACCACGGGCCGCCGAACTCATACTCTCCCGACGAGTCAATCTTGTGGTCAACGGCAGCTTTCTTAGCGTCGACAACCTTCTCGTCGACTGTGAGGCTGGCGGCCTTTGTGCCGACAGAAAAGTCGGGCAGTGACTTCGCGTCTGAATCCACGGGGGTCTCGGGGGGTGTCAGTTCGTCGATATGCTCGACAAACTTGGCGGTGCGCCGCGTGCGCAACGACTTTGTGTTTCCCATTGTGTATGTTGTCGTCTCGGCAGCCGAGCTGGATTCTCCGTCCGAATCAAGGGGGAACTGGGATATGCGGCGTGAACTTTTCCTGCGGCTCGGGGTCTCCACCATGCCATCGAAGAGCTCCTTTTTCCTGCGGGGAGGGTTAGTATAAATATGCCAGAGACTTGTTTGGCCGATACACAAGCTTGGGCAGGAGTAATAGGGAAGGACAACTGGTCCGTTGAGATAAGACGCTGCTGACGGCGGCGGACGTGTACGTAGGTGTTTATTGTACGGTGGCAGAGTGTGTTTTGCTCAGCTACTCTTCACCCTAGGTAATTTGTAGAGAGCCCCGGTCCAGCGAGAGCGGTGGGAAAAGGAAGCAGTGATTAACGACGGGGCCTGGTCACATTCCAACCAATGGCTGGAGACGAGGCGCAACCAACGAATTTGGTGTATGAATACCCTGGACAGAGTACGAAGTGCCTTGTGTATGGACAAGGTGAAAGAACACTCGGAGCCCAGCAGGAAGTGGAACGGGCAGCGGCCGTAGCCAGGCTCCTTGGAAAGAAGAAACTTAAAGGAAACTTGAAGGAGGAGGGGGAAGGTAAGGGGGATCGGCGATCCGAGTTAGAATTCGAGCTCGAGGCCGACTGGACTTACCGCGGGGATTGCCGTAACGAATATCTGGTAGCCATAGTTCAATGGCAGTCGCGACAGGCGCGTCGTCTTTTGTAGTACGGGCGAGTTGGGAATTGGGATGCCGGACACAGACACCTGCAAGTGCAGGGAGGAAAGGAGCGAGGCCGGTCCCTTGGGTCCTCAAGACATAAGGGGAAAAGCGCGAGGGGAAATAAGCGCTCCCGGTAGCGGTATGGATTGCCGGAAAGCAAAAGAAAAAAAGAAGCAAAGCGAGAGAGTGTGTGAAGGGAAGAAAGGGAAATTCCAGCGTCACTTGTTCGAATCGGCAGGGACGTGGCGTCTTGGCCCGGGGCTCAATTCCAAGTGAAAATACCCCGGAAGACGGTGTGTCCAGGGGGGTAAAGGGAGCTTGATGGAGCCTCTGTTGACAAAATTTGGCTACCCCGAATTTCTGGGCATTCTTCAATTTCCCCTGGTGCGGTGAGCGATCGTCTCAACCTTATTCGTTTAGCTGAGCAAGCTAACGCCTGCGTATTCGGATTCGTACCTTAATTAGACAGGGTTGTGCGACATGCACGTCCCCTACTCGGGAAGCGCCTGAGTGGGGAAGTCCTGTAAGTGCCGAATTCTATGTTAACAATTAGCCTCGAGTTTCTTACCTACACTCTCCTGACGCTGGTGGCCCGCCGACAACTGTGGGAACTGGAAAGAGTCCATGCTAGGGAAGGCGAGAGACGAGGAAGGGTTGTTTCGGTTATCCAAACATGCCAGAAGGGTACGTACGGATGGTGAAAAACCTAGAAGGCAGGGCGGGCTGCTGTCGAGCAACCTGAGAAATAAGGTAACAAATACCTTCAATCTCTTGATTCAGTTTCATGCCAGGCAGCTGATTCTCTAAACCGCCCATCTTCTCGCTCGTTGCGCCCTCTCCAAAACATTTGCTATATTTCCACTCTTGCCCAAGTTTCTAACCGCATCGGAGACAATATGGACATCGCGGATGGCGATGTGTGTGCATATTTGGGACAAGCGGCCCAAGACGACAGACGCTAAAGACTGCAACAATGGTAAGGGGCTGCTCGCAGCTCCAACAGCCCCTTTGGCGGAGTTTCAAGCATTATCTTCCTCGTGGTTCAGGAGAATATCAACAAGGCAGGGAGGTGATCGACATTGCAGCTGCCCACAAGGGCCCCAACAGCTGCGTATGTTGGTCCGTTGGAAATCTTCATTTACGTATCCGTGCTCAGACCAACAAGTCGGGACGTGCCGGGCTTCCAGGTCAAGCTGCCGGACCGAACGCTGCGTTTGGCTCGTGCGAACGCCAGCATGTCGGCCGATGTGGGGGTTTGAAAGAGTAGAAGGATATAGCAACAACGTATGCATAAGCTTGGCTCGGAGTAGACGGTTGCCCTGTATTATCCGCCCAAGATATGCTAGCCTCCTCTAGGCTTGCCTTCTTACTACTACACATGTCTACGCATCGTTCAGCTTCAGCCTCCCACTCGGGGTTCCACTGCCAGGCTCCGCAAACGCCTCTTTGAGCTGAAGCCCAAGTCGCTGCACATCTACGTTGCCTTACGTGCGAGTTGTATTGCTCTTACCACACCCTCGAAGACCAAGGTAGCAGTTGGAAATGTAGGCAAAACGAGCAGGTTGAAAAGCGATAACCACAGATGTGAGAGCTTAGCGTTGATTAAGGCCATCATACATGCTAACTGCGTATATTCTTCCCTGCATACGTCTGGCGCAGACAGCTTGGGCGGAACTACGTACGTACGTAACCGTCATGGCTGGACTGTTCTTGGCCAAGAGATGAGTTTGCCGATGTCTCCGTGGCTGCATACGCACGCATGTAGCGTAGAAGTGTAGCTTCTTGAGCGCTCTTGGCATATATGGGCATGACACGAGCGCCGTGTCTGGGGCTGTGTTGCGGCGGCCCGCGGAACCCGAAGTACGAGGCGACATGCTTGTATCTGCCTTAGTTCCGCCTCTACTTGCCCCGTTGGCGTAAGGTGGCATGAGGAGCTGCTCCTCGTGGTCTGCTGGGTTGAGCGGCCAGTGTGCCTTGTTCTTGGCAGAGTGCAACGGCTTGAGGGTTTGTAACATGTATGCATTGACGAGGACGAAGAGGCTGCTTATCACATCTGGCGGTTCATCGTGTCGGACCATATTATCCCAGATAGTCTTGTAAATAGAACATGTGTTTAAGCTTGGCATTGCTTCATTAGGACATAATACATGATTCGCCGGAATCTAAAACCAAGTGTGCCAACAAAACCCGAGATCCAGCATATACATACAGTACATGGTTCCTCCCCATTATAATCCGCTCAAAAACATTACGGCCGGCCATCATCACACGGACCGACACTCTGAATAATCACGAAGTAGTTCGTAGCTGTCCTCAGGGGGGAGGACGTAGGCGGATATGGCCAGGCCGCAGGCACACGCCAGCGCAACGCCGCCGCTGAAGGCGCAGAGATATAGCGACGTATCGAGCCTGTATCCCGGCACGAGGAAGAAGTTGGAGTAGTCAAACACATACGTCTATGAACATTTGCACGTGTACTTAGTATTATAGTCATGGATAGAGCAGCCGGGGGAGTATCTCGTACCACAAGGGCCATCGAGTAAAACTCGAGAGCAGCCACGATTCCCAGTAGAACTCCCAGGATGCGCCACCCGCTCTCGCGGCGCGCCTTGCCGCCAGCCACGACAATTAAGAAGGCGACGAAGGTGGCCAGCTCGACGACGATGGCGAGGCTCATGAGGAAGGCGGCGGTACGCCACATGGAGCAAAAAGGGCCGCCGCCCGCGGCGCACTGCTGCTGCTCGTCGTCGCCGGGGAAAGGCACGCACTTCTCGACCAGAGCGGCCGTCGAGGCTGTTGTCGTCGTCATCATCAATGTGCACCGCTCGTGCAAGCCGATGTTGCTGTACAGGCTGTCGCCCCGGTCCGTGTCGACGCTGTACGAGACCCATCGCGGCATGACGATGGCCGCAATCGTCATGGCCGTGGCGGCGACGAAGGCGACCAGGGCCGCGCCGTACACTGTCTTGCGCGTCATGGTGCGGGTAGCGGAGTCATGGGGGCCAGGGAGGTAGAAGAACACAACACGTTTCTCCTTCTCTGATCAGTGTTGTGTGTTGTGTTTGGTGAAGTGCGCTCGTGGGGCCAGAGTTGTAGCTGCGTGGTGGTTGTGGTGTCGAGCTGGGCTGCGGCCAATCATGCTGCAGAGGGGTGCTGACGACGACGATGCACAGCCCGAGGGAGGGGCAGCTTGCGGGAGGCCGACCAAACTAAGGTGCTACTCGAGGAAATGGCAGCTTGCCAGGGTGCGCTTGTTAGTGCACTGGGCAGAAAGTCTAGAAGTTTCTAACAGCGGGCCCTGGCCAGTTGTGATTTTATACCTGGCTAGTTGCCATTTATTACCCCGGGAGAGGTGTACGTGCTCTGACCCTACAGGGTCCACGCTTCAATTCCATTCTCAGGGTTCAGCTCTCAGGGTTCACTAAGGTAAGGTAGGTTCCGTACTAGGTTCCGTACCTGCCTTAGGTTCCATTACTTTATGACAGAAATTATAGAGACCTGATTTGCCTCGACTGAAACTCACGATCAGTGAAAGTTCTGTCTGGGCTGGGCTCCTGGTTCCAGCATTAAGGTTCTGAATTGCACTTGCAGTACATAGCGAAGGTACGAAGCACGGGCGGATACCCTGGCTGCCAGGCTGCAAAAGTCGAGTCAGGAGTCAATTTCAAGCATCAACAACCTGGAGAGTCGGCCTCACTCAGACCCTGTTGGATGAACATTTTCACTTTCACGATCCTGCAACCCGTCCATCTCGACGTCGAGAGCGGGAAAAGATGACAGGCGACGACAAGCAGAACCCACAGCCACAAGCAGCAGCAGCACCCATGAAGTTTGATGTGCTCAAAGCCGCCATAAGAGACGCGCCCACCGCGGCGCGGCTGGGCCGCCTGGCCATCGCCGCCCGCCGCACCGTCGACACGCCAAACTACTTTGCTATTACGTCGCGCGGTGTCGTGCCTCATGTGACGCCCGACAACCTGGCCAAGCACCTGTCTGACGTCGGCGGGGCCTACATGGCTCTGGAGGACTGTGAGTACCTCGTAGATACTCGTTAATTACCAAACCTGTTATTTACATACATGACACAAGTTGCTGACTCTCTCGCGTGTTAGTCATTGAGCGGCCCCAGCAGTACCTGAAGCGGCCGGCGCCCATATTGCAGACCCCGTCTTTAGAATTCCCATACTCGCCGGCCCTGGGCCCGCGGCCTCCGCTGCACAGCTTCACGGCCATGCCGCCGTCGGTCATCACGGTGCTGGCGGCGCGGCGGCTGCCGGCCGTGCCCGCGCCTATGGGCAACACCAACAGTTCCGTGTCCGTGTTTACGTCGACGGGCTTCCAGGTCCTGACCACGCGCGAGTACGCCGATGCCGTGTCGGCGCTGCGGCCCGACATTGCCGTGCCCATGGCCGACCTGACCGACAAGGCCCTGACGCCCACGTCGAAGCGCGCCACGCGCATGGCCGAGCGCACCGACGACTGGGTCAAGGAGTGGTTCGCCCAGCTCGACGCCAGCAACAGCAGCGGCCACACCGGCGTCGCCACCTTCGCGCCCGTCCTGCCCGTCGGCTTCCCTATGCAGTGGGAGTACCTCGAGCGGCTCTCCGAGGACTACGTTTCTGCGTCTACCACCAACCAGAAAGAAGAGGAAGGCGAGACGACGCGGAAAAACCACCTCGCCGGGCTCGCGCTGTACGACGCCGACGTGATCCCCGACCTCGAGGACGCATACCCGAACCTGACGCCGCTGCCGCGGCTGTCGCTCGCCAACCCGACCACTCCGCACCACGTGCTGCGGCAGATCGCGCTGGGCGTCGACGTGTTCGCGCTGCCCTTTATCAACACCGTGTCCGACGCCGGCGTAGCGCTAACCTTTACCTTCCCGCCGCCACCACCCAGCAGTGACCCCTCAGTCTCCCGACTACCCATCCTCCCGCTGGGCATCGACATGTCGTCCCCAACCGCAGGGCTGGCCACGGACACGGGGCCGCTGCTGGCGGGGTGCGCGTGCTACGCGTGCGCGCGGCACCACCGCGCGTACGTGCACCACCTGCTCGCGGCGCGCGAGATGCTGGGCTGGACGCTGCTGCAGGCGCACAACCACGGCGTGGCGTCGGCCTTTTTCGCCGGCGTGCGCGCCGCCCTGCGTGCAGGGCCCGCCGCCTACGACGCCGCCTGCCGCACCTTCGCCGCCGTCTACGAGCCCGAGTTCCCCGCCGGCACCGGCGAGCGGCCCCGCGCGCGCGGGTATCAGTACGCCGGCGGCGCCGGCGAGCCCAAGCGCAATAAGCCCGCGTGGGGCAAGCTCGGCGGTCCCGAGGACGATGTTGCTGCAGTAGAGCAGAAGAAGCCGCGGGGAGGAAAAACAAAGAACAGTAACGGCGCTATTGGTACGGGGAATGCGGGTGCGGATATTGTGGATGGCAGTTTAGCGGCAGCCGTAGAGGCGGTAGATCTGCAAGAGGCAGGGGCTGTTCCAGAGGCTCAGATGGACGGCACAGCCAGTGCGCAAGCATTAATATAGTAAAAGATTTGGGCCATCTGTATATCTGCGCATACGAACAAAGAAGATACCCCTTTAGTTTTATTTCTCTATTTCGTACCTTGTCCATGTTTACTATTTCCGGCAATAGAAGGTAAGATTGAGCGATGGCGCTAGGGTTTCTGCCCCTATTTCCGTGCGACTAAAAAGGAAACCCCCTGTAAGGTAACACGGCCAAGAGAACGGTCAATTTCCTGTCAACACGAGTCTATAAAGGTTTCTTTGTAGGCAGTGTAAGCTAGTTATATTTTTATTAAACGGCTATTTCCTTTCATTTCAACTCTCAAAGGCCATCCACGGGAGTCCCGGGGTCGTCGTCCAGCTGGACTATTCTCTTTGGCTTCTTCTTGGCCTTGACGACGGGCTCGGCAGCCGGCGTGCTGGCGCTGCCCTCACCCCCATCGCCAACGGCGGCCTTCTTCTTCTTCTTCTTGACCTTCACGGTAGTAGTCGCCGCCGCCGCCTCGCCACCGTCCTCTCCTAGCTTGGGCTGCTTCTTGGGCTTCTTCTTCTTGACCACGATGCCCTCGGCGGGCACTCCCTGGGCGACCTGTATCCTCTCGTTGGCGCGCTGCATCTCGAGGCGCAGCCTCTGGACCTCCTTCATGGCCTGCGCCATCTCGGCTTCGTCGCGCTGCTGCCTCTCAGCCGTCAGTGCGTCGTCGGGCTGGCTCGCCTCGAGGCTCAGCTCCCGGAGGTGGCTCGAGTCTACCTGCAGGAGGCTCTGCTTCAGCTTCTTGGCCTTCGACTTGGTGAAGCTGTCCGAGTTGTTCTCAGACTCGTAGTTGCGAGGCGTCGAGCGCCCGCTGCCCCCGAGCGTCTCGTCCGCGGCAATGACGATCTTTTGGCGCGGCTTTGCCTGGCGGGGTGCTTTATCCGCCGCCGGAGCCGAGCTATTCCCTAAACCCGTGCTCAGGCTCTCGAGGTCCAGTTTCATGATGGGAATCGAGTCAATATCCAGACCCGGCCCATTTTCTTTTTCCAAAATGTTGTGGATCGGGGTCGACGTTCCGCCAGAGCTGCCCGACCCCAAGATGTAGAACGGGTCATCCCGGTTGCGCTCCATCCGCTCAGCCTTCCTTCTCGCAATAATGTCTGCGTCGAGGTAGCTTTCTTCGCCGGCTTGTTGGTACGAGCTAGGCGGCACATCTTCCGCCACCTCGGCGAGCCTGTTGATGGCCGGCTCGTTTGAGATGCTTGTAGCCGGCGGCTTTTGGTGGTAATATGTCTCAAACTCGTCCTCGCCCTGTGCAGGCAGCATCAATGAGTCCGCCTGAGACAAAAGAGCATTTAGATTGGGGTGGATAGGCTCATCCAGGTCCAACCCGTCCGGCATCGGCACATTCTGCTGGGCGCCACGTGCGACTGAGTTGAGCTCCCATCCGTTGAACAGGGACGGTATGGCTTGTGTGAGGAGGAGAGGCGGGTCTTGGCGAACTTCGTTGGTTGACGGCGCCTGTCCAGACGCCGCCTCGGCCGTGAGCTTCAGTAGCTCAATAAACTCCACACCGCGCTCTTGAACCTCCAGGTACGGATGTAGTGCTAGCGGCTCCAGCACATGAATAACCCGGGACATCAACAGTGACATGCTGGCTTTCCTCTCCGATGTCCACGGAGCTTGGTCGTCTCCTGCAATGTGCGCAAACAGCTTGATGACGGACTGTAGACATGTTGTGAGGATCTCCGGGTATTCGATCCGAGGAATAAGCCGGAGCAAGTGCCCAAGCGAGTCGTGGGGGGACGACAGCTGGAAAGCATACTCTCCCACGATCCACGCCAATGGCTTCAATGCCCCCGACACGACGGGATGTGAGGGCGTGACTTCAGAGTTGAGCTTTAATATGATGAGCTCAGCTGCGCGAACAGCCGCGACCCTCACAATTTTTACTTTTACAGCAACGTTCCTGATTTCGTTGCCAATCTTTTCGGAAATGTCGGTTGCAAGATGCTTCGGCACGGATCCTGACAGATCAGAGTCGGTCTCCCTTTTCCGAGGCACGGGGGCGATTCGCACCAACTGGGTCAAGACGTCAATATACCAGTCAAAGTCGGACAAGCTTGCGTAGTTGTTTTGAGAGCACATGTTCAAAATTCGGCCAATCACATCAATCGTATAGTCTTCGGGGAGGGGAGGGGGATGATCCTGTGACTTGGGACGTCGGCCTGATTCAGGGGCCGCCTCGTCGCTCGAATCTGTCTCGAGATCTGCGCTTTGCACGCTTTGCTGGTGGGCTAGCGACGACGATGGCGAAGCTTTGAGCTGCCTCATCAAACGGCTGACGATAGACACCAAGTTTTCACTGCTGACCATTCCTTGCACCAAGTCGAGGGCTTTTATCCGGATGGTGATGTCCTCACTGTCGATGCACTCCATGATCACGTCCTCTTGCTGGGCGACCAGAAAGGGGTGGGTGACAACGATTCTGTTGAATGCCAGTAAAGCCACGTATTTTACTGCGCGGGTCCGCGATGGTTAGGTCATACTCAAGTGACAGGCTCGCTCTATCAAACTCACAATTTGCGTCACCGTTCATCATTATCATGCCCCGGAGCTTAGAGACGCACAACGAAGCAATCTCTTCGCTGGCCGCAAAGTCTTCGCCATCTCCGAGAATACCACCCTGGATAATCCCGTTGATGCATTCATAGAGCAAGGACATGGCAGGTGTTGTTCGGATCAAATCCGTCAGCGGCGGCAAGAGTTTGCGGACAAGGCGTGGCTCAAGGGGCGTAAGGGTGGCAAACTAGAACAAAGTCAGAGGCACACTCGCCAGGTAAGGGGCTGACGGTCTTTACAAGTTTTATGAGCTTTATGGCCATCCAGTTGTTCCCGCCGTCAACCAACAGCTCAAAGAGGCGTGGAGCCAGTGGGAGAAAGTCGTTTGGTCTGCGCCAACCCAGCTCGCAAACCACGTTGACAATTGCTGCCGTCACGCTAGGGTCCTCGTTCTTGTCCATGAGGCGTTCCTTAATTTTGGGCCACGCCGCACGGAGAGTCTCGGGATAGACCAGAGCCAGCCTGTAGAGGGTAACAATCGTCTTCTTGCGGATGGTGGGGTGCGAGTGGCCGAGGCGAGGGACAAGATCGGTCAGAACCGACAGAGCTAGCGACGGGGTTATGATGTGAGGTAGGGCGGCAATGGGGAGCGAGATTATGGTCGGTTGGGCGGCGGCCAAGTCCTGCAGACACAGATATAAACATGAGCAGGGCCATCACAGACTACAGGGGGCGGAACGGCTTGCCGCACCTTCTTGAGCAGATTTGTTGCCAGCATGAGAACCTCGGTGTCGGAGCGAAAGGTCTGGACAGCGCCCAGGTATCCAACGCGTTTCTGGTGGTACTTTGGAGACGACATGACCTCGAGGACATGGAAGGAAGCCCATGACATGTCGTGGCCGACCATTTCGAGGTAGATGAGCTTGAGCAAGGCAGTGGCCTTGACGTCCATGTCCTGGCTGCGGATCTCGGAGCGACATTCTTTCAGGCAGTTCTGGATATACTCCTTCTCGTGGCCCTTGTGGTTGCGCCGGCCTCGGATGAGGTCGTACAGCGATTTCTCGAACCTAGAAGCGCAGCGCAAGAGAGCGCGTCAGCACAGCGGACCATGGCAGCGGGCGGTCGGGGGAGTTGGATGTTGGACTCACATGGCTGCAATGGGTGTGCGCTGCCGGCGCGCAGTGCGGGCATCTGGTCGTCGATGCGATGCAACGACGTCGGGTTCGATTCGAGATGGCGGGACGGATCGCGGGCAGGCCTTCCAGGTTAGGGCCGGCGGGGAGCAGCGTTAGGAGCTTGTTTGTGATTCCATCTGCCTGCGTGACGCTGTTACCCCACCTACCCCATCCAATCAGACCCAGACCCTGTGTGCTGTCGCAGTGCCGGCGCTCCCACAACGGGAGAATGCATCCATGTCCTCCGTTCCAACGAAGCATCGTCATTCAAGACCTGGTATCCGTACCTCGTTCGCAGTAATTTGTATTTATTAGGCAAGTTCGTCCAAATAAGCGGTAACGGGGTCACTAGGCTGCTCCGTACACTTGGTTGAATGGTGGTTTTTCACAACACAATATTAAGTATTGCTCTCTCAACTCTTGACCCTTTATAGTCTATTTACCACATACATATATACCTGTGCTGTCCTTGTCTATACGGCCCTACCTCCTTTTCTTCATCTTGTTATTGTTAGCCGTGTCTTGCTCAGTCATGTCAAATTGGTCTCTGGACTGACTGCCTGCTCATTCTGCTGCCGGAAAGGGCGGTCATTGTGGCTTGTCGGGTTATTGTCAAAACGTTAATAATTGTCGCCAAACCTTCACTGCTCAGATCTTGCTAAGGTACGGAGGTAAGCCAAGCAATCTAGGGTCAAGTTAACATCAGATGAACGAATAGTTGCTAGCTTCTAATACATGCATCCAAGGGCTCTGATTAGCCAGATTCCTATTGAAACGGCTTAGCATCTGAGACAGAACTACCCTAACCCATATAGGTAAGGGAGCTTGCTTGAACGATTCTGCCCCACTGGATATGGAGCCAAACTGGAAATCAAGAAACTGGATCGGAGCTCAATTGAAGTTTCCAGACACTGGACGAAGAAATAGCTTACGCGAAGACCACAAATGTGCAACATGACAATGACTACCTAGCGAGGCTGGTTGTGCTGTCCTTCGTTATCTAGGAATATTGTAGACAGGGCATGTCGCCGCAATTTGCTAGCAAAGGTAAGCTGAGGCAATGCAAAGATGGAAAGGCACCGAGTCACACGGCAAAGCTACTCCGTTCAAAGCTACAAAACAAACATCCATGCCTGTCCGTCCGTCCTCATTCATGCCCGTCCTCACGTCCTCAGCGCCAACTTTATAGCATCAATTCTTCTCTGCCTTTCGTGATAGAGTCATGTCATTGAGAATTTCAGATTGATTTGTCCCATTCGGGTCTGGTTATTCCTTTGTCTTGACATTCCTTTGTCTTGACACTGCGCCTGTTTGATGGGGGCAGCCAAACAGCCTCCAACCACGATATAAAAGGGGGCGCCGCTCCCTCACACTATTTCATGATGGCCACTCAGCATCGCCATCTTCTGCCTCTCATTCTCCCTGCTCCGGTCTGCAGCTTCTCAGCTTTCGTCTCTCGCCCAGTATTGCCCGCCCCCGTCTCACTCTCTTGCCCGCTCACCTTCACACATCCCCAAACAACAAGACCACCAGCATCAGCAGCACCGGCGCCATGGCTTCCACTGAGATCCTGTCCCAGACGCTGTCGACTATCACTAGCATCAAGCTCGACCAGCTCCGGAAGCAAAAGGAGGCGTACGAGACCAAGAAGCATACACTGCTGCGCGATGTGGCGCTCGAGACGGACTCGCAGAAGCTCGCCAAGTCCCTGCTCGAGGGCACCGCAAAGCTGCCGTCCATGGCCGCGAACCCCGGGCTGTCGGCGGCGAACCTAAAGCGCTTCGTCGAGCAGGCCGCCTATGACCCATCTGTGTCAGAGGTCTTTCTGCACGACTACGAGGCCGCGCTGCGGAACGAGCTGCAGGTCCAGTCCAACAAGTTCGACTTCGCCACCCTATACGGCCGCCTTATCAACGAGTGGATCGCGTCTGGCAAGGGGTCCGGAGATGCCACCGAGTACGTCTCCGTCGGCCGCGACGAGTCGCACGAGCAGCGTGCCGTGTGGGAGGAATATGTCTTCAAGGCCAAAAAATACGGATTCCGAGGCCATCCGCGCCTACTTGGACTGCGTGTTCACAGAATCTTCAAAGGACGTCAAACACTCGCTGGATTCGCTCAGGGACAGCATGAAGGAGTTCCAGAAGGAGTGGGACGGCCCCGAGCGCCACTTTGATGACGAGGTCCTCACCAACTGTCTCAATGGAATGCTGCGCGTCGACCTCCTATCTGACGAGAAGCGGGCTACTCTGAGAGGCTTTCTTGGGAACAAGGTGGTGCTCTCCGAGATTGCCGACGTGCTGAACATGCGCATGTCGACCCGGAGCTCCTGGGCCTGGGACGCGCCTCTCGTTGTCTAGCAGCGCCGGAACCTCAACGGCCAGTACCGCTTCTACCCGGACGAGGACTTGCTGCACTCCATATTTGTCTAGTATATCGGCCAGAGATGGGCGGTCCAGGTCGGACGGAGCTGGTCCGCTTCTTCGAGGCGAAAGGAGTCTGGAAGCTCAACACTAAGCCGATCTCTAAGGCCGATGACCGACGCCGCCGCTACTTCTTGGGCGCCGCGGGCATTACAAAAGCCGGTTCGATGCAGAGAAATCGCGACGACCACTTTGCCGAGGACATCATGCTCGACCAGATGCCCAAGTCCATGGTAGAAGTCAGGGGCGTCTACGGCGAGGACGAGAACGCCGAGGAAGACTCCCGGGCAAGCCACGTCGATGTTGTCCAGCAGCTGCTCCACCGGATCGAGAGCGAGATTCTGATCCAGACCAAACTAGGCAAGGACGTGACCGTAATACGGTCCGATTTCAAGTGGTTTGGCCCGAGCATTCCGCATTTCAGCATCTTCGCCGTGCTCGACTTCTTCGGCGTGAATGACGAGTGGAAGGACCTCTTCCGCCGAGTCCTGGAGGCGCCGCTGCGCTTCGAACAGGACCCCCCGGATAGCCCAGTCCAGTACAGGCGCCGCGGGACGCCGCTGAGCACTCCCGTAGCGGACTTCTTTAGCGAGACGCTGCTGTTCTGCATGGACTTCGCCGTCAACCAGAAGGCCGACGGCGCGCGCCTGTATCGTCTGCACGACGACATGTGGCTCTGGGGCGAGGACGACACGTGTGCCAAAGCATGGTCTGTCATGTCACAGTTCTCCAAGATAGTTGGGCTGGACTTCAACGAGACAAAGACCGGGTCTGGGCGGATTCTGGGAAGCAGAGCCGCGGCCGCTCCGATATCGACGGCAAAGCCTGCTGGGAGCCTGCCTAGCGGGGACGTGACTTGGGGTTTCTTGCGCCTGGATTCACTCACGGGCCGGTTCCTGATTGACCAGAAGCAGGTCGACAAGCACATTGAAGAGCTGCGTCTCCAGCTCGCGGCTTGCCGGACCGTCTTCGATTGGATCCAGGCCTGGAACATTTACGGCAGCCGCTTCTTCTCGACCAACTTCGGGCGGCCCGCCAACTGCTACAGCTGGGCGCACGTCGACAGCATGCTCACGACGTTCCGGCGCATCCAGGAGCGCCTGTTCCCCAAGCACTCGGGCGGCGTGGGCGACTACCTGAAGGCCATGATCGCGTCGCGCTTCGGGCTCGTGCCCGGCGACATCCCCGACGGCTACATCTACTTCCCGTCGTCTCTCAGCGGGCTCGGGCTACTGAACCCCTTCATCCCGCTGCTGCTAATCCGGGACCAGGTGTCCGAGGACCCGGCCAAGATCATGGACGAGTACCGCGACAAGGAGGAGTTCGAGTACCGGCGGACCAAGGAGCGGTTCGAGTCGCCGTCGACGGCGTGGCACCAGGACAAGCCCGACTTCGAAGAGCTCCGCGACGAGCCCTTCATGTCGTTCGACGAGTTCGTGCGCTACCGCGAGCGCACCTCGGCCGCGCTCGGCCGCGCGTACGAGGCCATGATGCAGGAGCCCCGCGCCGTCGCCATCGACCTCAAGGGCGACGTCAAGGCCGCCGTCGGAGGCGACATCGAGTGGACCAGCCGCTCGGGCTACGAGCAATGGGTCGTCCAGCTCTTCCACAAAGACATGATGGCGCGCTTCGGCGGCCTGGGTATTGTCGATGAGGGCCTGCTGCCGAAGAGGTTGATGACCATGCTGCGGCAGAGCCGCTTCCAGTGGCAGGGCTGATCGGGGACGGTGTCTGGACTGTTCTCTCTTGTGTTATATTTGCGTCGTGCTGATTATGTATGGATAGCGAGGATATCCCCCCAACTCGTTCATAGAGAGAAAATTTACGCTACCTTGATGTGCTCGAGTGTTGTAAACGATAAAAAAGCCAATGGTACCCAAGTCTATTACAGTGATTCACAACCCTACGGAAGAGTTACCTCACCTAAATGCAAAAAAGACGCTCTCGCAGAGACGGAGCGTATTAGTCGCAGGGTATACGGATGTTAAGGTAAGCTCAAGCTAAAGACGATACGCAATTTTACTGGGGGTTGGCTCGGAAAGGGATCCATCTGAGCGGGAGAGGCGCTGCGGTTACGACGCACAGCTGCCCCGTTTTGGGGGGCGTAGTTCGCTCGGGTCGTCGTCATCCTTGGGTCCCGGACAGCGCGGGCAGGCGGGTAGCCTGCCAGCCCGGCGGCCGCTCGCTAGGGAATTGCCAAACACCCACTACCACGAAAGATTCCCGGCGCTGCGGAATTTCAGAACTCTCCCCTTCTCCGACATAAACATGTGCAGATATAGTGCTATTTATAAACTAGCACCCTCGAAAATCTCACTTGACTGATGTCTAACTTGCAATAATACTCCGTGCGGTCGAGGGAGAGAGAGGACACTCATTGTATATCAGGCGGAAGTGGAAAGGATATCGTTCACCAATTCTGTGGAGTCTGCCTTTGACATTGATAAGTGGCGTAGGGTATCACTCCGCTAGGTATTTCCTGCTCTAGTTGTGCCGACTAGCACTTCAGTGGTAAGAAACAATCGTGGGTGTGGTGGCTAAGGCTGCCTAGGTTGGATCGAATTCCTTACCGATTATCCTCTCGAGTGAGGCTGCGTCTCTCTTGAACGCAAAGCGCATCAATCTTGCTTACTTGGCGGTTCAACCGATCCTCGCTTCCGTCATCTATCTGCCACTTCCCGCCGGAGGAGGATTTTGTACCCGTTTTTATTGTTGTGATGCCAGAGTTTGCAAAGCTAGATTTGTAAAGGTTGAAGAAGGGGTGGTCAGTTCTAGAAAGAGAAGGAGGTGCACTTTAGCTCGCCATTATATGGATCAACTCGACTTTCAACAGAAGGCGCGATTCGCATCGCCAACTTGACTTTGGGGCAAGTGCCAAGCCAGGGCAGGCTGCCGCTTGAACGACAGAAGCGCCCCACCTTTGCGAGAAGCCGGGCGGCCACGTTCATCAGCCGCTCGTCTGAAACCGGTTCACTGGTTGGCCAGCAACAGCGCACCATAGGACGTGGCGCAGATGCAGACCCTCCACTCCCAGAGTGCATCCTGTCACTGCTCTGGCAACTGTAATGTGGCTCTGCAGTCGGAGACTGACCCGGCGGGCACTGAAGCAACAGCCAAGCGACAGGGCTGCGCCTTGGAAAGCCAAGCGGGCCCTTGCTTGTGGCTCGCAGCATCTCTTTCTGCGACAACCAGAGCCCAGAGCCCAGCCCAAGGAGAGCGTGCAGGAACACACACCTCAGATACATCCACGCGTCCCTTCCATTCGTTCTTTTATTCCCTTTTCCCGAAGTTGGCGCCTTTTCTTAAATTTCTTCCTCTCGCTCTGCTCCCGCCATCGCCTTGTGTGTTTTTTTGCTACAGGAAAAGTGTTGGTGAGGCCGTTTGTTTATCCTTCCAAAACTTAGAAGCACTTGTTGTCGTCGAACCTTTTTTCCACCGCACTGGCACCTTACCCCCCCACGCGCTTTCGTCGCAAGCTTTGGGGAGCTTGAAAGTGTGTCCGCGCGCGCCCGCTCAATTGTGCCCGCTTCCAGCCCAGAAACCGTAACGACGACCCACCCCGCGAGCCGAGCACCTGTCTCGGATTTTAGGCCCAAACCTTGGTTGGGATAGCTTTTGATCTTTGCCTAGGAAGCTTGGTGGAGGGGGACGATAGAGGGAGCGGAAGTGAGCAGAAAACGCCAAAAGTCTAAAAGTCTCAGCAGCCAACAACACAATGTGGGAAGACTTCGAGTTCGACGCCGAGCGGATCCCGACCCTCAAGCTGGGCTTCCACCTCGCCCAGATCCTGTTCGCCTTCGTGTTGTGGGCTCTCGAGATTGCCGTGTTCAAGGACAAGGACTCGACCATCAACGGCAACAATGGCTGGACATTTGCAGCGGTATGTTTGGGTTACTCCGAGAAGACTGGTTGACATGACGACTTGTGGAACTAAAACAGCTCTCGTCGCAGTTCTTCCTCTCGATACCGGCATGGATTTTCCTGACCATGGCGCCGCGGTCTCCACGCACCCGAAAGCTCGCCGAACCTCACGCCATGCTCGCTATCGATGCGCTGTTCACTGTCATCTGGCTCTCGGCCTTTGCAACGCAGGCCTCCTTCAACACAGCCAACTCGTGCGGAGGCGCCTGCAGCCTCAGCAAAGCCATTGTCGGGCTCGGGTTTTTCGTCTTGTATGTTCTGTCTCCCTGCACAGCTCTGCAGAAGATAGGCAATGGCGGGTTATACTTGGTTTCGTTTGGCTGACCGCTTATGCACACAGCCTCTTCTTCGCCGTGACAACCTTCCTCAGTATCTGGACGCTCAAGTACTACCAAATGCACAACCAGCTGCCGGGCTACGAGCGTAGGTCGCTGCACGGCCACAGCGAAATCGACCCGGACAAGGCGGCCTTCTCCATGGCACCCCACGATGACGAGGCATATGCGCCCATCAACGTGGCGGACCACGACGACCCCCATCCTCTCCGCCACCACCCCAGCGGCAGCATGTCTGGTGGCGCCCGTTCCGACTACGCGGCCGACCCCTACGGCGCCCCGAGCCCGTACGCTGCTCCTGCGATTCCTCCCGCTGCCGTCGACCCCTACGCCACAGCCCCCGGGGTCGTCGCCGGCGGGCTGGGCCGCCATCCCAGCCCCCTGCAGAACCCGTTCATGCAGGACAACCCGTTCGACAGTGACCTAGACTACCACGGGTCCACCGTCAGTGGCCATTCTGCCGCAGTCGGCGGGAGGTATGCGGCGCCGACAGCTCACGACACCTACGAGGACGACCACGGGCCTGCACAGTTCCCTAACGCAGACTACGAGCGGATAGAGAGGAGGTAGTATTAGCACGGGATGCTATCCATATTTTCTACACCTTCATCTCACCTCTCAGCGACCCGAGGGAGGAAATCACACGGGGGGAAAAGAGGGGGCAATATACCCGACACGTGCTGTGGCGGCGATTAGAATGACGGTGGGTTTAATAAGTAAACACGAGAGGTTTGTGGAGAGGGATGATTCACTTCCTTCCTTGCTCTTATTCGGGCGTCCTTTCATATAAAGTACATTTAGGGAGATACTTTTCTGGTTTGTTTTGTTAGTATCATTATTTCGTCTCTTTGCCTGGTGTTATCGGCGTTTTATATACATCAAGAGGGTCGTGGGGCAGACAGTTCTTTCACAGTTATTAAACCCAAAGAGACTAAGAAAATATCAAAAAAGACCTTGGGGTTTTATCATTTTTTATATGCCTACCGGTCCCCTCTGCCTTTCTATGCTTCATTGTTCATTCAGCCTGACGAGTAGTTTGGCCCGTCTAGTTTTAACTTATTCATACGAACAACTTTAAGAAAATCTAGCGAAGGAAAAAGGAAAACAATGCCAAACGCCCAACGGGCTTTGTGGAATGGAAACCTTTGCCCCGCTCCCCCTTTTTTTCGGCCGGCCTGGTCATAAGGACTGCCTCCTTGCCACCGAACATTTATCTGGCAAGGACCTATGTAAGGCACCCGAGTTTTAGGTTCAGATCCCAAGGGGAGGATGGAACCACGGCCAAGACACAAAATACTACTTTGCGGTTCTCTCACTCTCGTCGTGCCATGTCTCGGGCGAGCAAAAGCATAAACAGAGACGCGCCGTTGACATGAACAGAGCCACGTATCATCCCTCGGGGAGGGGTATACACCCTTGAAATTGAGGTAAAGCATACCATCGTTGGCCCCTCTTTTTTTCTCCTTTCTCCTTTTTCGTGTTTCTTTTTCTTCTCCTCTTTTCCTATGCCTGCAGGAGCCCCGCCTTGCGCAGGCGCTTGGCGATGTCGGCCTGCGTCTGCTGCATGGGGTTGATCTTGCGGTCGCGCGCCATGTCCGCCGTGTCGCTGCCGTGGCGCGCTACCAGCCGCTCTAGCCACGCGCTCTCGCCGCTGCTCTGGTGGCGGACGGGCCGCTCGACGGGCCGGTTCGCCTCGCGCTCCAGCTCGCGAACCACTGACGGTCTGTCTTCGTCGTCCTCGTCATCCTCGAGGCCGCCCCACTCCTCTGCGGCGGCGTCGCCGTCGGCCATGTCGTCGTCGCTGTCGTTGTCTTCACTGTCGTCGTCGTCCATGGCGTTAAGGGGGTCGTGCAGCGGGTTCGCCGCGCGCAGCACCCGCACGATCCGCCCCGTGGCATCCCGCTCCACCTTCACCTCGCCCACCTGCAGCAGCCCGCGGTCGCCGGACCGCACTTCGAGCGAGTCGACTTTGCTGGCCGGCACCCCGGCGCTGCCGCCGCTGCTGTTGTTGATGGTGATCTTGGACCGCAGCTTGGCGCTGATGCTGCTGCTTGTCCCGCCGGCCGTAGTGCCGAGCTTAGCGACGAGCCCAAAGCGCGCGTAGTTTTGCCTGGCTGTCTCCTTATGGTTCCTAGAGAAGGGTGTGTGTCAGAATGTGGTCTTTGTATTTCTGGAACAAAAGGGGGAGAAGGGGCCTACCAGCTCTGCGCAACAATGTTGCTACCCGTGGGGTTGAGGGCCTTCTTCAGCTTGCGCGGCATGGTGACCGTCGCCCGCGACGAGCGGTTCTTCCGTTTTTGCAGTTCGCGACCCATTGTGTCTGGTGGTTGGTGGGTTGTTCGGTGGGGGTATCGTGGGTTGCGGCGTGTACCTTAATGCTCCAATGTGAGAGAGCACGCCAGTGGGAAATTTGGGAGTTTGGGTTCAATCGAGCGATAAGATGGAGTTTTTAGTGGGGTATTTCTTATCGCTGGCCGCTGCTCTCAGCTGGCCGGCAGCCGATTCTGCCCGCCAAGACTGACTTACACCGTGGTGGGTAAGGTATCGTAACTGTGAGTCTTTTCTATCCAAGTCTTCCATTCTCATTGAACCGTCCAGTCAATTCCTGCTTGACCATAATTTTCAAGCCGTTTCTCGTTTCACAGATTTCACGAAGAAGAAAACAATGTTCTCTTAGTATTCTTCTATTCTTCGCATGGTTTTCTTTTCAGAGCCTTTTCAAGCATTCAAGCATTCTATCCTCTCATCTATTCTGCTTGCTTTCCGGGTTGTCCCCAACCTTGACACTCTCACTTTCACTCTCGCGAGCAATGAACGCAACTCGGGTGAGTGCCCACCGAACCGCTAGAAAGCAAAGCAGTTATAAGGCAACTTACATAACAACGCCTGTAACAACGCCTGAACAACGCCTAGCAACTAGAGGTTACGAACATTGCATACACCTACGTAATGTCAGGTATCAGGCAGTGTGCGTGCGAAGTAGCTAGCCTGCCTGTCTTCCTAGGCACTACGACGCACCCCCAAAAGAGCTGGTGCCGCTCAGTGTTCTAGAACATGCACCAGAAAAGCCCGCTCATAGCAAGACGGCACTTATATGTCGACGTAATCACATCAAGCCACTTGGGGCGTTTTTCGAGAGGCAGCAGCATGGCCACTTAGGGCGTCCACCGGACATCCGCCTTCGTCTCTTGCCCTGAGAACTACTCCAACTGTCTCGACACTCGCGAAGGATACCCCCCCCCCCCTTATGAGCCGTGGAGAGGGCGGCTCTTAGGCCTGAATTGAAGAGACTCAGCCAACTCAGGGCGGAGGCTTTGGCCCGGGAAAAGACTGAGTTTTCCGTAGCGGGAGACCAAACAGGCCAAGCGACGAGACGAACCGATGCAAGCACGATGGCGTGGGGTGCCGCGTGCGTCGACGGGTCGAAGCCGAACACGTGCTACCTATGTATCTACAAGTACTTCAGCTTTTGCATTGACGACATGTGGTGTATGGAAGAGGGGAGAGGAAGGGGGAAAGGTCTAGATCTTCACGGGCTCTCTCTAGGGAGTGGTGGCGCCGACAGAGCGTGCCGGCAGTCTTTTTCTTCCCTCGCTCGACGAAGGGGACATGAGGCAGAGACGTAGTGGCTTACATACACATGTGCGCCTTTCTCTGATGTTGTCTTTGCATGGAAAGCAGGTATGTGTGGTGTGGTGTGGTAGGTGTGTGTATCCAAAGCATATATGCAGGCCTGGGTACCTTAGACAGGCAAGTGTCCTGCAACTGGCGGGAGCTTGTTAGAAAGGGGAAATCCCGCGGGGTTGTGCTTGGTTTTGCTGCTGCGAAGTGTATGCGCGGTATTTATTCACTTTCTTGAAGCATGCCACTCAAACTGCGGATAGCCTAGGCCCGAATCGATCAGCAACCCAACGCCTCGTCTGGCCGTGGCTGGCTGGCGGCTTCGTCTTTACGTCGTGGCTGCACTTTGCTACCGGAATGGCCTCACTATCACCAGATGGGCCACCTGCCTCCCCGTCTGTAGCCTGACTGCGCGGCTCCGTTATGTCCATGGGTACACGTTGCGTGTAGGAACAAGGCCGTCATCAAGTCGGTACCGTTCTCTCCTTAGCTCACCTTGTGATAGTTATCAAGCCCAGGCAGACAGACCAGGCGGGCAGGTAAAGTGACTTTACCCGGTATCGTGTCTGGATACCTACTCTAGATACTCACACTTAACGATGCTGCCGCTGCATATCTATTCACTACCTACCCCCTCTTGTTCTCGATTACACGAGCCTATGTGTCACTCACGGCTTTCACTGCTGCCAGCCAGCTAAGCGATTTTCGCTTCTGTCTCCCAAAAGCCCATCTTCCCCTCCCTCCCCTGCCCCCTGCTCGTCGGAGGCTGCCGATGGCTGGAGTCTGAGCAGCAGCAGCGCTCTAATCTCTCACATGCAACACACGCGAGCAAGCCCAGCCCAGCCCAGCCGATCCCGTCGTCGTAGTGCCCTGGACGGGGTATAGTGTAGTAGTCGCTCGCATTGCACACTAGGCCACGGGCCATTTGGGGGTAGGTACTCTAGGTATTCTGGCGATGACCAACAACTGGCGGCCGCGGCAGCAGCAGCAACAGCAACAACAACAACACAAGAAGATCTAGATGCCTTCCTTTCCGGGCCTAGCCGGGTGTCATTTGAGGAGGGGGTGCTTTGCATCGGGAATCGAAAAAAGCAAAGACCAAACCCCCAGCATCCCTACCCTACCTATCTAGCTACCCAACTTCCCATTGCAATGCAGCCGCGCATCCGCACACCCGTTAGGCCAGTACGGTACACTAGTGTACACAACCTGTCCTTCATTCTCTAGACGGGGGGGCAGCGGCAACGCAACGATGAAGCGGGGTGGGAGATGAGGTGAAAGGAGGGCGGTAACTCGCATACACACACTCATAGCTATCCTCGATCTGTGATTGGACATAGGGCATTAAGTTGCACCTGCGCCGGCCCATGCGCATGCTAGGAACATGCTTCTAGACGGCTTCTAGAAGGTCGATCTCTCTTCTTCTTCCCTCCCCTCCCATCCCATCCCTTGCCTTACTACCTTACCTTGCGCTGCGCTGCGCGCCCCAGCTTCGCCATCGGCACTAGGACTAGGACACTACCTAGGTAAACTAGTACTCAGTAATGGGAGGCCGTCGATCCAGTCTAGTTGTAGCCGACAGTGGCCACCAAGCCTTCGCTTCCCTCGCCAAAGCCAAAACGTCGGTCGACAGTTTAGGCTTGGGGCGCGCACCTTGTCCAGGTCCAGCAACATCTTGATACGCCGTAGTGTTCGCTGGCTGGTCTTAGCTGGAACACAAGAGTTCCCCTTTATTTTCTCTCCCTTCCCTGCCCTTTGCGCCCCTTCCTGACGCGGCACTGCCTTGGTCCTGGACTACATACATACATACGCATTGTCCCCCCCACGCGACGCACGTAGACACATTTCCTCGCCAAGCTAGACTCGGCACTCTCTCAGTCTTCAGATCGATGCCCAACGGGCAGACACAACAAGCTGTGACGATGTATGTACGTGTTATGCAGAAAGAACCCGGTCTCGCTGGCCTTGAAAGAGCGAGGCTGGGAATATATCTACTTGTCCAAATATGTAAAGTGGTAGTGTCAACACACACCAAAATGACGCTGATAGACAGACGAACCGCGTCCAAAAGACCCTACAGGGAGATTGTGCCCTTCTTGACCCCTAACCGCCAAGATCCTATTGACAAAAGGGAAACAAGACGAAAAGAAAATGAAAACACCTACCATATGCCCCCCCTTCCCAGTCGTCCCGTATATGCATACATGATACATGACAAAATGTTCGACCGTATCCCCATCATGACATACAAACAAAGAAAATACCTAGGCAACCAACATTATGATTTGCCCCTAGTCCTAGGCCCTAGACCTGTAAACTCCCGTCCAATATCATCTCACATGTAAATGGCTAAAACATGATCCACTCCACCTCCATGCCGGGGCCCCCGATGCAGTTTGTCCAGTTGAATGGCCCTTGATGCATCATGCTCCTCATCTTGGATCCGGAGCTGGCCTCCTCCTTCCAGTCGCCGACCCAGATGCGCTCAAGGACGTCAAGGGCTGCCATGTTGTTCATGTACCCGCTCCGGGCCATGATTTCGCGGCATTTAGACCGAACAATGTTCTGCTGCAGCTCGTTGACACACTCGCTGCCCGCCACGAAGAGCGGCCAAAGCAGAAACTTTTCGGCGCTGCTACCAGCCTCGAGGCTGGTTGCGTAGTACACGACTTGGCTGACCAGATTGCGGAAGTTGCTGTGCGCACTCGGCACGTTGGGACTCCCTAATCGCTCTGTATAGAGAAGAGCGGCGTAGCGGAACGCTTCGCTCAGCGAGTTGAGGTCGCGCACCTGAGCACCTGTGGGCGGCGATGCTGACGCCGCCGAGGGCAGTGACGGCACTACCCGCGACGTATCAAACTCCCAGCTCTGCAGGGCAATGCGCGCGTCCTTCCACTCGCGCCAGAACGTGCTGTGGTGATCGTCGTATACAGAGGGCGAATGTAATGGCCCGCCGCTCAGCATATCCTCGTCGTCAAGCGAGATACCGAAGCCGCCGGTATCGAAACGTAGACTCCCGCCACCGCCTTGGTGCGGGCCGCCAAATATGGACTGATGTTCGGTGCCCATGTGGGAGGACGGGCTAAACCCACCAACATGTGGTGATCCGGACCGGGAGGATGTTCCATTGCGGACACTGGAACCGTTTCCAAGAAGGTTCTGTACCGGCCGATGCTGAGAGAGAATGTTCAGACGTCCAAGCTTGATAATCGTTTTGAAGAGCTCGCGGTCGCAGCCAACAAGATTCTCCGCCCCGGGCGGTAAGAGCTGGGCATCTGGGAGCACTCCATAAAAGGACGTATTAAGCTGCGCCTCCCTATCGTTGACACTAGCTGATATAGCATCAAAATATGTAAACAAGGCTTCCATCCAAGCCGAGTCCCTTGACGGCGGAAATGGTGACATGCGCCGCATCCCGAGGATCTTCTTGACACCTGCAAACTGCGTGTGGAACTTGGCGATACCCGACTCGGCCATTCGGTAATGGCACAGCAGCAATATAGTAGCTAATACAGAGTCGTGTATGGACTTTTCTGCGTCATTTAGCTGTTCGTTGAGGAGGCGGACGGCCAAATTCCGGTGCTGGTACTCTTCTGATAGAGATTGGTTCTCGGGCTGTGAATCTGAAGGGTTGTCGATGTCAAGCCGCTTCTCTCCAACCTCCCTACCGTGCTGCCCAAGGCTGAGCCTCCGCTTCATCCTCAAGTTACAGGCCGCAAGCGCACAGATGGCGTGTTGTAAACTCCTGCTGCTGGTGCTGAGCTGGAGAATGTGCTCTCTGAATGGATTACCGGGGCCATCGATAAACACCATCCCCGGACACATTGTCTTCTCGTAGTAGTCCATAAAGAAGGGCATCCTGGTGATGAGATCCGAGCTTACTTGCAAGACGGGGGATGGCGGCTGTGACGGAAAGGAGGGCGGCCAATGGTTCGAGCTCTGCTCTGCGGCGCTTTGAGACACGGATTCTTCATCTGTGCTTGATGGGGCCCAAAACGGCCCGTGGGATTGGGCACTTGTGCTATAAGTATCCAAGTCTGGTGTTCCAGGGACTGCCGGGTTGGGTGTTAGAAACGGTTGCAAATGTAACCCAGTTTGGAGAAGATTGACTAAGCTCACTATGTATTTCACAATCCTGCGGCATCTTGCGACTTAGTTGGGCCTCCAGACTATCCACATGTGACATGTGGGACCGCAGACTCGAGGCGGGTTCGGAGGGGGTATACACGAGACTAGGGCAAGAGGTTGGAGCGCGCGGCTGCTCGATCATGATTGCCGCTACTGGGCTCTGCGGTATGGGCGGCCCGTGGGTGGGGAAGCCTTCGTAGATGATGTTTGGGCTATGGAGGTACGCCGGGATGTCATCCCGCGGGAACGAGTGCGCAATGGGAGACATGTAGTCGACATCGCTCATGGCGTCTATTGACGTGCCAATCATCTCGCAGGGCGAGGAAACAGCCATGTGGTTGCTGCCTCCATGATACCTGCTCCCATCGGTGGACATGACCGGCGAAAACGGGATGTGGCTCCAGCCGCCCGGCGCACTGCCCCGAGGGGACATGTGCGACATGTCGTAGGGGTGATAGGGTGTGGCCGGGAGGGATGGTGTGCGATCTCGAGCGAGGTCGATTTCGTCGTGGGCGATGCGGCCATCCTGCTCTGCCAACCACTGGCTGGTCGCAGTGGTGGACCCGGTCCGCGTTCGCGCGATAGGCGACTTGACGGTCTTCCCGTTGTTCACCGGGGGGGCCTTGGCGATAGGGAGCGAGAGTCCGCGCAGCTTCCCCCGGCTGGCCACACCGACGCCCCACGTCAGCTGCGTCTTGTAGCCTGAGCACTCGTTGCCAATCTCGAGACACTGCGAGCAGTAGGGCCTCCTCCGGTCGCACTTCACGTTCCGCTTGGCGCAGGTGAAGCAATCGTCGGCGGCGCCACCTGCTGGGGCGCGTCTCCGGCGCTTTCTCGCCGAAGCAGCATCCTTGGCCCCGGCCGTCGCCGGCGTGTTGATGGGGGCGGTCATGGTCGGCGCGGCACGCACAGCTCGGCAACGAAGTCGGTAAAGAGGGCTGCTGGCAGGCGGCTAAGCAGGTCGTAGTTTTGGTTAGTTATGTAGTAGACAATAGGCGGTAGCCAGTCGGCTCTATGCTCTGGGCTCTAGGCTGCTTGCTGCTGTTGTTCTGTGGTACGGGCCCGTGTCCAACAGGGCCGTGTCTTAAAGGCAGTATTCGTAGATCCAAGGCTGGCGAACTGCGACTGTCGTCTATTCCGAACCCAAGACACGGTCTGGCCTGGAATGGCGACGGCTGACTGGTGTGGGTAAATGGATATTAATATGGAAACCCGTAGCACACTGCGTGGGCGAGACAGAGACAACCTGGAACTGGGAAGAGGGCAGAAGGGGGCAACATATGGGGACGCAGGCGTTGCTCTTGATAGCGCTGGGGTTTAATCAAAGCAGATCCCACCGGCGACAGAGCCACTGCATGCAGCCCATGCCAACAACCCCCCTCGGACGGGTACACGAAGGTACATCAACCCATCCATCCCAGCAGCCCTTAGCTAGCCCTTGGCTGCATCCCATCGATGGGCGAATCGGCCGGGGGCGGAGGAGGTCCTTGGAAGCGGTGCAACGGCCGCCAATGGGACGGGGGTCAGGCAGCCTCTCCCCTCCCCTCCCCCTTGAAAGTTCGAAGGGGGGGGTGGGAAGTGGAGGAGGGCCCATGGGTTCCACCCCCCCAGCACCCTAGCCACAGACTTGCCAATTGGGCATGGGGCATGGCGAGAGCTGAGTGGTGGGATGGCGGCTTCGGAATTAAAACACGGCAGCAGCAGGAGGCGCGGGCGCTCGTCGAGAGTCGTCGATGCACCGTCTGCCTGTGCCTATGGCCCTATCCGTCTTGTCTGTCCCGTTCATGGGAGGCATTCTTGGTGGCAGATCGCCAGCGATGCGGTAAGTGATTGCATCGTTACGGATCATTGTGCCATCCAACCCAAGCAAGGAAGTGTGGCGGAACAATCCGTAGCATAGGCAGCTACTGCCAGCTAGTAACGGGAGGATGAACGACATGTTGCGCCGCTATTCTACCTTGGCTCGCTGTACGGAGTATCTGCTGTACTGTACGGAGTAGTGTAGTAATTCGTCCCATGCCCTAGTCTATCTGTAGGAAACCAAGTGCCGCCATCGTGGATCCCGCCGTTTTGCTCGGTGTTAGACTCGAGCTTGATGAAAGCCCTTGGCAACAGGAGAAAGAGAGAGAGCCTTGGTGAGGGAGCAGCAAGGACGAACAGCTTGGCGTCCGTTGTCTGGTCGTCGAGAAACCCCCCCGCCAGCACCAGCAGAACAGGCATGGGATTCCTTGCCAGAACCGTTCGTCAAGGTGTGAAGTCCAGGGTCTTGCTGCCGTGGCGATTGCAGCAGGAAACACCGGGGGGCGGCAAGAAGGTTATCTTGTGTGAACTTCCCGTCCATTGCGGTGGATGCGATGTGCGATATGCGATGGAGGGCAGTTCAAACTGAGGTGAACTGCACTGCACGGGGTGAGTTACCTGAACTGCCACTGCGACCTTAGGGTTATGGGCGGGTGAGGTGGGTTTGCAGGTTGACGCGAGTGATGGGCAGGGCAGGGGCGGCCCAGCAAACAAGCTTGGAAATCGCAACAGGAGCTGGCCCGTCTCGCCCTCAGCAAAGCTGCTGCTGCGCTGCCATGCTTATCTGTTTAAGGTTGTCCAAGGGGTAAAAGGCGGAGGCAGCCGTAGGTACATAAGGTGAATAGCATACCATTGTACTGTCCGTCATTGCCTCTGGACTTGACCTAGATAACAAAGCCTGGGAATTTTGGAAGCTAGGCGCGGGGAAGAGTAGGAACGTGAAAGCGCTATTCGTTTTACCCCGTTTGAGCAACGCTCGTTCTTTCCCAGGAACGAACGAACCACGGGCGCGGACACATCAAAACGCCTTCATCCCACTAGAGCCCGACTTAATCATATTCGTGCTTTTGTCACATGTTTCTGTCCTCTGGTGCGTTCAAACTGAGGCGGCACGTCTTTTGTCGCATTCAGCGCTAGTTAATCCTCGCGGAGATGAATAGGGGTGCTCCCGTGGTCTCTTTCTTGCTATCTACGCCGCTACAAACCCAGGTAATAACCAAGTCTTCTATCATTGCCGGCACAGCATCCACCTCATGGACCCCATGGTCCTCCTCGCTTCGAGACCTCGACAGGTTGCAGGCGCTACTCGCTAAGAGAAAGCTCGCCCAAGCGCGTTGGTACAGAACCCCAAATAGCCCCGCTTCCCTTGGCCGTCCGGGACGGATGCTTCAGACAATTGCTCGAGCTTCGCCGGCGCTGCGGTATCAGACTCCAGAGTCGGTGAGGGGTCCTAGGGATCGGAGCTATCCCAAAACCGCGCAGTTTCAAGGCAAGGACTTGCCAGCTACGGCTGCATGTGTCCTGAGATGATGAGATCTGATATTAGCGAGGGCATATTTGCAACCCTGCGACTGATATCTTGTCGTCATCTGTGCGGCTGCTGACCAGGGCCGCGATGGGAGAAGCAATCTAGAGCAACGACAATGGCATCCTCCTAATCGCGAGCATGTGCATCACGATCCCTCGGGCAAACGTTGCGTGTTGCGTCTTGTAGGCCCCCCAGGCCATGTGAGACATCCTTCGCTAGGTGAGCATGCACCTTGAGGTGCTTTGTTGTTATTTCTGTCTTGCACCACACCCGAGGCCGTGGCAGAACTGCCCTGCGAAGGGTCGAAACGGGTGGGGGTTCTCTCGTGTTGGCTGTGCGCTTCGTCTGCCAGTCACTATATTGTGCGAGCTGGGATGCCAGTTAATATAATAAGCGGCCAGTTGTATCTCGGTTCTTGGGTCAGAGAGCCAGTGAAGCCCATGTTGCAGGAGCGGCCATGCCAAGTGGTAAGTTGCACGACCGAATTCGCTCCCTCTCAACACAACACTACAACGCCGTCATGACATGCTCACGAGTGCCCGTGGGAGTGAAGCTCATACTTCTGACGGCAGCTGCCCGCATGCCATTGAATCGCATTCCAGTTCTCCCCAAGACTCGCGCCAAGTATGTCTATATCGGGTGATAAAAATAGTAGATCATTAAAAGAGACCCCCTTCAAGCGTGCATCGTCGTCATTCACCTGGTCGGTGTTGAACAGCTCAGATACTGGGAGGGAAGTGTGGTCAAAGAAGATTGAGTGTGTCTTGATGCGCTGATCATTGCAGCAACCTTTTTGGAGCGAAAGACAAACAGGGCCACATTGTCAAGGTCCACGTCGACACAACATGCAACTCAGCTTGTCAGTTGGGTGTCTCGCTTCAATCAGCCAATCCAGTAGCCTTCGACCCGGGCTTCCATCCAGGCTTCGACAGGCGATCTTCGTCCGTGGGGGATGAAAACGGGCAGGAATCTGAGGAGCTCTGAGGTCTGTCATTTTCTCGGCCAACTCCGACCTCTCTCCCTGGCAGATCTGTTAGTAGAATACGATCGCAAATTTAAGGCCCGCTAAGAGCACTGACATCATGCCGTTGTTTCCTCATCCATGGAGACTCCAGGTACACACTCCAGGGACATAGAAGATAACACTTGCATGGTCGCGTCAGCGGGCGTCACAAATCACATATCGGATCAACCGAAGTTCAGGCCGAGCCGCAAGTTGCCTGATGTCGGAGGGAATTTTCCGTCTCCTGCTCTCAGATTTGCTCCGTAGGTAAGGTAACAGGCAGACCCCACTGCCTATCCCGTAAGACATACGAAATATTTATACACGAGTAAAAATTCCCGGCCAGGAGAAAATAATTAATAAACGCACTCCTAAGCGCATCTATCGGGTGCAAGTCTCGTCAGTTCTTTCCTTAATTTCGAACGCCTCAGTATAAAAAGTCTGACTCGCGCATTTGAACAGGAGATGACGGCAGCTCCATTCGAAGACCGAGGGATTAGGAGGCGTCAATAGAAAGTCTCACCAGCCGAGGGGTTTTTCATCCCCCGACACCCTCTTATTAGTTCAGCCTCGGACGATAGCTCAGACCACTTCCTGATCTGTTCATTGAATCCAACCCCGCCGTAGTTTGTATCGCAATGTCTCGTCGTTGCTGGCCGTTACAGTGCTGCTGATTGACACTGCACCTCGCCTTCCAGGCCCGTTGCCCGCATCTCAGTACCGTCCAGCCGCCAGCCGCGCATCCCCACTGACGTATGTACTCGTACATTTTGAAAAGGTGTAGTGTACGGAATAGAGCCGCAGCTACACTACACTAGAAGAAGGGAGGGAAAGCATGATGTCGCCACCCCCTCTGGTGGTGTCTTGTTCCTTGCTTCCAAGGCCGCCAAGGCCAGCCACAAAACGGACGGCGACGGGAAGGAGACCGCGATCCGATTCAAGAGGCTTGAATAGACTCCCGTCCTTTCTTAAACTGCATACCAAGCCCAGTCTGGCAACAAGATCCGGTGTCAGACACTGCGTAACACACCACCACTCTGCAAATATTTTCAACAGAAATTTGATGCCGACCAAGCTCGGTCATCCGGATCAGCATTGAAAAGCGCGAACAACACCAACATTAATACCACCACCACCACCACCGCAAATATTGAAGAAAATGACTGATCATAGAGCCTCGCTGTGCGCCGCTGACATCTTGCGGCGTCGTCGCACAGGTGACCTATGGCTCTCCAACGTGTGCTATGTGCGGAATGTATATTGGGCATTCTCTGCATTAACTAAAAAAAGACTTCGACGTCTTGCTTGTTAAGAAGGGGTCTCTCTCTCTGAGTGCGTCTGTATTCGGTCCCTGGTAGCGAAGCATGTCGCGTGCCCGTGCCATGGCGGTTCTTAATAACGAGGCGAGGTGTAAAATCATGGGTAACGGCGAATGCAGGTCGGGCAATTTCAATCTTCCTCGGCTTCAAATCTGCGAAAAGGACTGAATCCACAAGTGTGGTGTTGTGTTAGTGTATAGCACCCAGTGTTAACTGGAAGGATGCGATGGCCTCTGTTTTGAAGCCTGCCTGCCCTGGGGCCAAGACACAGACAGCGACTTGTTGGTACACCAGGGAATACAGCCACCGCTTCCCCGACCTGTCTGCCTGAATACCCTAACATACGCTAGAAGGATGCATGGAAGCTTTGGTCTTTCTCTCCTTGCGTGCCAAGGTACGTTCCCCCACCCTTCTCACCCACGCCAGCTCCAGGCCAAAGGTAAACCGTTCGTGAGTCGGGCTCCCCTTTCACCTCCTCTCGGTCGTCACTTTTACTCTTGGCGATGTGCTGGGTGGCTAACACCAAGTCCCATTGTTTTGCCTTCTCTAGCTCACTCATTCATTATACGGAGTATGTACCTAAGGCATATTTCTCATACCGTTAGGCTCCTAGTTGACGTTCGACAGCAACTTGTGAGACCTGCACGAGGTGAGACGGCGCCAGGTGACGGACCTCTCACGCTGGCCGCATGAAATAAAAGGATACGAAGCATGCCAACTTGCTGGCGCTCATAAGTCTTTAATCTGGCGCGCGGTCGTGCAAGTTACGCGTTGGGAGGAGAGAGGGGAGGAGAGTTGAGTGGTGGCGGTTTCGACCGCCATTGGCCTTCTTCCCCTCAATTGCGTTCTGGCGAGACTTGGAACTACACCGTGTTGGGAAATGACCCGAGCTGCGGCTGCACACGTGATTGGCTGCCGACCCTTCCCCCCCCGCAAGGACAATGACTTGCTGGCTGTCGGGGTCCCGGATCGCCAGCCCAAGAGATGTGGCTGAAGGAAACGGCCCTTCTCCCCCCAGCACCCAAGAAACGATTGGGGGTCGCCAACCGCGTCGACGCCTCCCCGAAGCCCCTTCCTCGGCACAAACTTTCACCTCACCTCAGCTTGCCGCAGCTGAAATTTGGCCTCAGCAGCAGGGCCGCCCAAACCGAGGCAAGCCACGTATAATAACCTCCATTTAAGACATCAATGCAGGCGGGCAATGGCTGTGCCTTTGGTGCCTTTGGTGTCTTCGTCCCGCCCTGCCCGTCGCACAGCTGCTCTCGTTCTCAAGCGATGGAGATGTATACCTACTCCGGACGGAGAACCTTAGCGCATGTACGCACCTGTATTCGCCGACTGGCCAAACACCAAGCCGGAGAATTCCACGGGTTTGGAGCGGTCAGACCCATCACATCGCGCACGAAAAGAGCGGCAAGCTGCAGTGCCCAGTGTGTGCAACGAGGCTTGCCCTTTGCCTGGCGGCTTGGCCGCTCTTTTTTTTTCCACAACGACTTTTGGTCAACACTGAGTCGATTTGGAATCTACACGCGTATCTTACAAAGCCCCAGATGGCGTTCAACGACTCGCCTCCTCGCTCTACGTCTCTCTTGCCAAGTACATTTCCGAAAAGGGCGCTCTCTCAGGCAAGTACCTCGTAGTAGCAAAGTCAAATAATCAGCAAAAAAACAGTCGGCTTTGCACTTGTAATTCTAGGGCGGCTATTCCCGTTTCGTTTTCCAAACTAAACCGTCCGCCGGCCTTCAACTGTTCAAAAAATCGACGATGGGATACAACGTTGCAATCTTTGCCGCCTTACTTGAGGAGGCAAAGCGTCGATGATTTTGCAGTTTGGGTGCACGGTCCCCAGAACTCGAGAATCTAGAGCTAGGCCCAAGCGGGCACCGAGGGAGGACCCCTCTCTCGGATTGGAGACGTGGGTCGTTGGGGAAACTCGGGGGTGGTGGAAGGGTGATCCAGGATTACCGACTGGCCACTAACAAAGCGTCTTGAGACTCCGACCGCGCGCGATCGTCGGTCAGTCAGCCAGCCGCACCAAAGAGTCCCGTCCCTTGTCAGCTTCACCTTCACAGGCTCACACTCACCAGGGCAAAACAAGCGCCAGATTGGCCAGCGAGCCGAGCGCGCGCAACTCCTCTTCCAATGTTTTTGGCTCGCCTCGCCCGTCACGAAGGAGTACCTGTAGGACACTGCAGGAGTCCGCGCCGCGGGTGTTGCCAGTCATTTCCCGCAACCTAACCCACCCCCCATAGTACTACTTGACTCAATGTCGACCGCCGCATATATGATGGTCCATGTCCGTGGACTTTTTGTCAGGGACCCGAGTGCCCTGCGATACGCGTACCACACGAATCACGTCTGCCCTGTGCACCGAGTTGAGGTGCCCACATTGCGAGGCTCTCCGTTGTGTTGTCTAGGGAGCCATATGCTCAAGGTAGTGCCCGGGAGGTATATCATGTGAAGACTATGATAACCCGCCCTCTCAGGCACCGTGCTGTCCCTGGGTAGGTTAGGTTGCCTGGCTGGACTCTCGTGTTTTCGTCTCGTCCACGTCCTGCTTTCGCTCGCTCCACTGCAGTGCCTAGGGTTCGGCGTGGAAAGAACCGAGTTCATCCAGTCAGCCTCCTTGATATTAAGCCCAGCACGGGACTCCCGCAAGGGAACCTGGAGCCAAGTCCGCCTTCCCTGTGACGGGAATCCTGCCGCGGCTCCAAGGCAACTAAGGGAGCCAAAGTTTAGGGCTTGCTTCCACTGTCGTGCACCCGTCTGCGCTACTATGTGTGCATACTGTATAGTGCAGTGCAGCCGCAGATGAGGCCGTTCTATGAATAGCATCGACCACCAACACGGTACTGTAGGCAAGGTGTAGACTTAATCTACTACCGTGCCTTCGTAGACGTCGTTGCTTCGCTAATCTGGGGCCATGCCCTAGCACATGACTTTCTCGCCTTCTAGAAGGAACTTAACGTTAGAGTCCCTTGCGCAACGCCGCGCATTAGTCTCGTCCAGCTTGTTTATTTCTCTCCTGGACAGCCTGCAGCTTACCTTGACATCTCTGTGTTGTGTGACCCCTTACCGGACCTTCCGAATCTCTGGCATCAACTACGAACAACAACATGGGGGGCATCAAACCTTACCCTGACAACTTTCCACTTTCTATTTTCAACTTGGCTCTTCTTCCCTTTTCTCGTGACCCCTACGCCTGACGGGTCCAGCTGGCCTCGCTCGGTTGGAGAAGCTGCAGTTGCTGCTCCTCTGCTTATCATGCACAGTCCAACTTGGAACTATATTGGGAAAGAAGAACTTGGGTAGGTGGAACTGATTCCATCCCATCCCATCCCATTCAAACACATGCACAGACACATGCACATACGCACCTTACCAGGCACTCAGAGTCTCAACTCCGGGTTCGCCCCATGTAAGATCGTCATCCCTTTGAGCGGCCCAGTTTTGTCCCAGGATTTTCACGCTCATGGTCCTCGTCGAGTTGAAGCCCCAGGAAATCGCAATAGATTCCATCCCCACCCTTGCGGTGATCATGCGATCACAAACAACTTTGTTTAGCGTCTTGAGAATAGCCCCCCCCCCCCCCCCCCAAAAAAAAAAAAAAAACTATCTATCTCTATCTCTCTCTCTCTTCTGACAATGTCGCCAACTGTTCTCTTACATTGCGCACGAGATAGATAGGGCGGGCCGAGCTAAGCCACACTCACCCCCAGCGGGTAGGCAATCAATCTTCCGTTGTGTGATGCGGTGTCCTTTTTGGTCTCAACTATGCAAGCACAGGCCAGTCCGCGGCTTCTGCGAACTGGCTCGGCGCCAATGCGTTCATCTCCATCCCATATTTTCTGTCTCCTTATTGGGGGCCACGCGGGGGGGATGTCTTACGAGTTTGCTTGGTTCAAAACCCTTCCTTCCTCTTCGGTCAGGGGATGGGAATCGCGAAGAGAGAAAGCGAAGAGAGAGGGGGAGACGAAGTCAACAGAATTACGAGGTTCTGAGCTTGGCGTGGTTGGTTATGAGATGGCAATGGGGGGGGGTAGTTTCTCTTCTCTATGCATCACATCACCAACATGGTCCGTCGTTCATCTGTTTTCTTGGTTCACTCGCCGCACCAGCTCCATACTGTTATCCATGGAAAGGGAAAGGGAAATGGAAAGGGGAAGAAAATGCTGCAGTGCAGTGCAGTGCCCTTCCTTCGAACCCTTGCCCATTCCTTCCTCTGCGTGGCAAAGATCTGATTCTGGCCTCTGCGCTGTGGCGCGCGTGTAGAGAGGATTGTGTTTACCAGGCTCCCGGGATGGGTTGTACAAAGGGCATGACGGTGATGATGGCCGCGGCACCCGTGTGTCCCCTCCTGTTTTTTGCCTGGTAGTTGTCGTTGTTATCGTGGCCAGGCGCAGGCACAAGGAACAAGGCACAGCAGGCACCCCGAACCGCTCAGGGCAGTAAACAGTCTCCGCCGCCGCCAACATCATGGGAAAATCCCATCGCTGTGGTTCGTCTCAGCACAAAAGAACACGTTCCTGGCAAGATATCATGCCTCAAGAGCCTCCCCCGCATTTCCGCCTCTTCAGACGAGGCTCATTCAAGCTTTTTGCCCAGGGTGGTCGTTTTCAGGTTCGCTCGGCGTTGTTGATGCTATCCGATCCTTTCCACCGCCTGTCAAATGCGGTTTAACATGTCATCGGACGGTCCAACCCGGTATCTGTGTCTTGTTTTCTTTCATTCTCTTGCTTCACCCCTCCCCCAGATCCGCATGCTACAGTCCCCGCCGCCGAAGCCCCCCCCAGGGTTTGAGGACAATGCTCCCCTTGTGAGAGCAAGAAAGCCTCGCGGAAGCCGGTGGCGCTCCGGCATAGGGCCAACCATATGGAGAGTCTGGCTTCGCGGCGCAGTGTTCCATGGACAGGAGAAGGGCAAAACACGGCCCGCGATGCCACTGCTACTTTTGCTACTACTCCTACTGCTACGCATCGTCTATGGGCGAATAGGGTGAACGAGAGAGCGGTGGGACATAGTATGCCCGTGCTCTCATTTCGGCGTATCATGCCTTCTCTTGCCTTGCCTTCTCTTGCCTTGCCTTCCTTGCCTTGGTGATTCCCTTAACCTCGTTGCACTCAACTAGTTTCTATATTTCTGGTTCAGTGGCTACCTGTTTTCTGTTATGGTAGAATGCAGACAGGGGGAGATGAGGAGACGATACTTGGGAGTACATCGTCGTCTTTTCTCGGTTCAGCTATCAATACGAGATAGATTAGGCAACCGGGGAAAGAAAGAGGGCAAAAGAAAACCCGGGTCTTCTGTGATCGAAAAATAGAAACGGCATTATTTGCCACGCCTGTGCCGTACGTCCACTCGACCTTTTATGGCTTGCCTCGGCCCGCGCGCGGAGAGAGCACAGTTGGCTGGTCTTTGGTCCGGGCGGGCCTCGGCCAGGACCTTTTTCTTCACCGAGTACCGTTCTATTTGATCTGTAGAGGACACTGGCTAGGGTGATAATAGGACCGAATACCGGTCATGCTTTGGTGATCTCCCTCTTCTCTCTACTCGTTTCTAACTTCGGTCGATGAGTTGACCCGAGCCGCTTCGGGGTTAGTAAATCGGCCCTTCGGGCCACCGTCTGACAACAGTCGGGCCTGTGACTGTCAAGATGAGCATGAATCTTGCGATTTGGTAGCATGCTGTCAAATTTTGACGTTGGTTTTTCTTTCGTGCTAAACGCGTCATGCGCCCGAAACTCGTTCTCATACAACACATCGAACCAGCCCCCTTAGCCATCCGTTTCTTTCTCTTACGTGGGCTAGCCTCTGATGGAGGCTGTTTTTTGGTATGGATGGTTTGGACAAGGTATATGTTATTGTCACTGAATGCAATTCATGGCTTGTCCTCTCGACTAGGGCCAGTTTTGTCCTCGAGGCTGCCGTGGCTGCGGTTGAGGGTTGAGACCTCACTTAGATTCAGAGACCTGTCTCTATGACGAATCATGTAAACTGGAGCAACTGTCCTCTCCTGGTATGGACGTTTCTAGTAAACCGACAGTCTTTAGGCCTCAACGGCGAGTTTAATCTCTACGACAACAGTAACACCGGAGAAGCTAGGTGTCAACCACGCCGAAATACGTATAGCGTGTTGTGAAGATGGGTATACAATCCAATCCCTGAATGTTTGTTAGCGGGGGACTTTCCAAGATTTGGAAGGCCTCGATTTCTTACGGCTTGCCCTATAGGTTTTCTGCCGATGAGAGTGAAAACTACTAGAATCCTTATTTTAGAATCCTAGAGGCCTATCTCTTCTCCACAATGCCCAAGGCTTTTCCTAGCCGGTTTATTTGCGGTGGTATAGCATTTATTCTGCCCAAGCACCACGCCAACAAACATTCAAGGAATGGAGTGTATTGTGGGAGACTAGAGCTGAATAAATCTTGCTGAGCTACTGTTGGCTCAATACTGAGCCCACAATCCAGGGTTCGGTCCCGTGCTTTCGTGTGTTTGTTTACTTATATTTTGCGTAAGCCCCTAGTCTGATAAATCTAACTCGGAGTTTCGGAGATCCTCCATGTGCATCTTACCTAACGGGAAATCACGGAGCATCTACTTACGGCATGTTCTGGCCTCTAACATCGTGGTTTGTTCGTAACACACCACCATTGAGGCTACTTAGAGTTCAGATACGCCTCATCTGTGGTGGTTGCGACCATATAGCTGCTGCTGCCCAGAGTGCCAGGCAACAGGTGTTTGTTTTATTTGCTTGCGTAACGACCCACCGCTCCAAGGGCCATATCAAAGTAAAACGTTTCACGAGAAGGTTCTGCAATGTTTCGTTATATATTGGCCTATATCCTGAATGCAAAATTCTGGAGCTACCCTCCTCCATTATACACACAAGATAGCCAGGGGTTGATATTTACGAGTTCATTTCGAGACTACGGTGAGGTAGGCAGAACCAAACTACGGAGTGTAAACCCATTAGTATGTGCTGGAGAATCGCAGATACCCTGATCTGGACCCTTTACTATAGGGGCCCGGGCCAGTCCATCTTGCTTTAAAAAACGCTTTCGCCCTCCCAGCTTGGTACCGATAAGATAAAAATCATGCCACACGCAGTCCTGTTCAGTCTTTACTCCTTCTGCTCCACCTCCGCCTTGCTCTCGAGCTCGTCCAGGACATACTTCTCAAGCGACACCGGTGTGGTGGTCGACGCCCAACGGCCCTTGACTTTGCCATCTCTGCCAATGAGGAACTTCTCGAAATTCCACTTGATGCGCTTGAGACCCATGACACCTGGCTTCTGGGTCTTGAGCCACGTGTAGACGGGGGCCGCGGTCTCGCCGTTCACGTCGATCTTCTGAAAGAGCGGGAAAGTCACGCCAAAGTTGAGTTCGCAGAAGGTCGAGATCTCTTCATCGGAGCCTGGCTCCTGCGAGCCAAACTGGTTGCAGGGGAAGCCCAGTACGACAAAGTCATCGCCATGTGTCCCCTTGAACTTCTTGTAGAGTTCCTCCAGCCCCTTGTACTGTGGTGTGAAGCCGCACTTGGAGGCTGTGTTGACCACCAGCACAACTTTGCCCTTGTAATCGGAAAGCGGAACCTCAATGCCCCTCTCTGCGAGTTGGAAATGGTCAGCCAGCCATTTGCGCGAGGTGGATAGATAGGTAGAGGTAAAAAGAGACGACTTGACGGATTGTCATGGCCACGTACTGTTCAGAGGCTTGAAGTCATAGAATGACGTCGCCGAAGACATTGTTGCGAAATTACGGTGGAGTAGAGCTAGATGTGAATTCCCAGTGGCTGCTGCCTTAATGCTAGGTCCCGATAAAGCTCTGAGTCGTCTACTAAACAGCAAGGGCGAGATGTAGGTGTTGGGTGTGTGGGATGTTGTGGATGCTGCGGATGCCGGTGTTTGTAGGCGAACTATCCTGCGTGGTATCATGGACGAGGGAAACGAGGTTATTATTAGGAGAAAGAAACCGGCACGAGGCGGGAAGTCGGGACATTTGAGACGCCGGCGCCCTGACGAAAAAGGGACGAGGCCAGGCGGGGTCGATCGTTGGCTTCGCATTCGGAACCTGGATCGCGTTTCACGCAATCAACCCACCATCTCTTCCCCGAGCTGTGCCAACCATGGATCTGCCTGCAGCGTGCCCAAGTCATATACCCAATTGGTCAGCAGAGGGCTCGACACATTGAGCTCAAACGTTGCAAGTCTCGGTGGCCCCGGTGCGAACGAGTCGAGACTTCGATCCGTATCCATATACCTCGGCAAAAGCCTCTGACGTGGTGGCAGCGCCTCCCGCAAGCCTACCGTACCGCAGCTCCTCGGCCTCCAGGCCCAAATGTTGCCCCAAATTCCCGAGCCCCCGCACAAAATACAAAAGACTTTCGACTGCCCGGTGTGATCCACGTGATTTACTCCTTCACCGACCAAGCCCCGACGTAGTGTACGTACACGTTCTAACCCCGCTGGCGCCCGGGAGAGACGTGGTCGGTTAGCCCGACAGAAGCATCTGGATTTCTCCATTGTTCCTGGGGTGACGTCGGCTAGTGAGCCCGTTCTGGGCCTATGGCGGCATCCCTGCAGGTGCGGGGCGAGGATGGAGGGGCATCTTAGGTAGCGTTGGGAGGCAGGCAGGATTTTGGTGGCAGGTTTAAAGAGAGAGACAGAAGTGCTATTGCTTCGCGATGGCACAGGAGGGGCATCAGACGTTCAAATATACCGACAAAAGGTCTGGGCAACGGTAAACAACCAGGGGGGATGTCAGCTTTGTAGCCGCTTTTGACCACGGCTTCAGCGATCCTTGCTGACTTGCTGACTGCATACACGCCAATTCGTCTATTCCCATTTGGTAGATATGTATGTATGTATGTATGTGTATGTATGTACATATACCGTGGAAACGAACAATGCGCGCGAGAAAGATGATAGGAAGTGTACCCCCAGCAAACTTGATTAGTATCGAGAAGCTGTTGCAGTCTGCACCTGCACGATAATTGAGTGCATACGGGCGCACGGAGAACTCCGCACATTCGGCAGTCCTCTGGGAGCTTGGGCTAGCCTCGACGAGAGCGGACCTCCACTAGGTAGGATCCGTAGTATAGTATCTGGACACTCACTGCCGAATTAGCAAGCACGACGAGTTCGGACCAAACAGAGGTGCGGCGCAAGGCACATGCGCGCGTGCATCCAACGGCATCCGGCGGCGGTGCATCGGACCCAGAACAGCTCCAGGTTGTAATCGGCTTACTCCGTACTACGCCCCGATTTCCAGCTTCTTTCAAGCTCACCACCAAGACGACAAAGGTGGCGCTCGAGGACAGACAACCTAGGCGTCGGCGCTAATTGCCTTTTGCCTTTACAAACCAAACTCGCGACTTGACAGATCAATCTTGGAGTAAAACGCAGCTACTACTCGGTACAATACGTACATAGTCGGATTATCACGTCTATAGCCTGCGTCGCATCGCAATCGGGCGCCGACATGGACCCGCCCAGGAAGAGGATCATCGTCATCATCGGTATGTCCCCGCGCCCGGCCCCAACCCATGCAATGCAATGCCCTGGCAATAGATCCACGGCAAGGGCAGCCCATCTAACAAGTGTTTCTTAATTGCTCTGCGCTGGCAGGTGGCGGCGTTATCGGTTGCACCACAGCATACTTCCTGACGCGCCATCCCAAGTTCGACCCGGAGCTACACACCCTCATTCTCCTCGAAGCCGCCTCCATTGCCGCCGGCGCATCGGGAAAGGCCGGCGGTCTGCTGGGCCTGTGGGCCTATCCAGAATGCCTCGTACCCCTGTCCTACCGTCTGCACCGCGAGCTTGCGGGCAAGCATGGCGGCGCCGAGCGCTGGGGCTACCGCCGCCTCGGATGCGCCAGCGTGCGCGCCATGGTCAAGAGCAGCGACCTCAAGTCTAGATCCGAACAGAAACCGCCCCAAACGTCGCTCGTACCCGTACCCGTACCCGTACCCGTACACGTACCCGTGCCCGTGCCCGCACCCGCGCCCGCGCCCGTGCCCGCGGCGGCAGAACAGCTACCGACTGCCGAGAACGGCCCCACACATGCCGACCCGCCAATAATACAAGTAGCCACCCCGGAGAAGGACGAATCAAAGACGTGGGAGAAGCTCCCGAAGCAGGACGAAAAAGCCGCCGCCCTGCTGAGCGAATCCTCCCTGCCCTCGGACCTTGACTGGGTAGATGGGAAGCTGATAAACCACTACGAGGAGATGGGCCTGCCGGGCTTCACCGAGACGGCCCAGGTACACCCCTTCGACTTCACCAACTCTATGGCCGACCTGGCCAGGGAGAAGGGCGTCGACATCCGGCTGCGCGCAAAGGTGACCAAGATCAACCACAGCAAGGCGGGCGTGCGGAGCATCGAGTACGAGGACCGCGACAAGGCGGGCGAGATCCGCTTCATCGACGACGTGACCGACGTGGTCATCGCCGCCGGCCCGTGGACCGGCAAGCTGCTGCCGCGCTCAAAGGTCGAGGGCCTAAAGTCGCACAGCGTCGTCTTCGACGCCGACGTGAGCCCCTACGCCGTCTTCACCGAGATCCAGCTGCCCACCGACTACGTGCCCGAGCACCGCGCCGCCAGGGGTCAGAAGCGCAAGCATCGTGGAAATGTGGACCCCGAGATCTACGCCCGCCCCGGGAACGAGGTCTACGCCTGTGGTAAGTTTTAGTGGTCGCGACTTGTGCCATCCGTCTGCCTGCCTGCCTGTCTGTCCCGTCTTGATACACCCAACCCGGTTTGGTTCTGCATTGTTCTTCCTCCTTCCTTCGTTTACGCCTTGCAGGGGAACACGACTGGTCGACGCCGCTCCCCGAGACGGCCGACCTCGTCCAGCCCGATGAGGTGCAGTGCGACGACCTGATCGCCTACATCGGCACCGTCAGCCCCGTTCTCGGCGCCGCGCCGATCAAGGCCAAGCAGGCTTGCTACCTGCCGCGCCACGTCCGCTTCGGCGAGGACCGCGGCCCGCTCATCGGCCAGACCACGGTCCCCGGCCTGTGGGTCGCCTCGGGCCACACGTGCTGGGGCATCCAGAACGGCCCCGCCACCGGCTGCCTCATGTCCGAGCTGCTCCTCGACGGCGCCACCCACAGCGCCGACATCGACAAGCTACATCCCAAGAAGTTCAAGGTGTAGCTATCCTAGCTTTGGCGCCCACGGGCGATGAATGGCAAGGGGGCGGGATCTGGCCGCAGCTCCCGGTAACGTCTCCTACTAAGTCTCTTTCTCCTTGTTCTCCCTTGCGAACTCATCTCACACACACATAGCGGCCCGTCTCCCTTCGGTAATCCTCTCTAGCGGTGATTACTGGCCTAGACACCATAGGCAAGGAAGCCACCCCCCAAGCTAGCTTGACTTCAGTTCGTTTGATAAGCCAGGATGGCGGCGAGGACTGTTGGATTTCGACTACAGCCACCGTCATCACGTCTTGGTTTCAGTGTTCATTGTTGTCGGTAGAAAACTCGTTTCCTGAAAATAGGCGTTTCTGGGTATTTCTGGGATTAGGGGGTTTCTTCTTTTCTTCTTTTGCACGGCATGTATACGATGAACGACTTCCAGGATAAATAAGAGGCGTGACAAAAGAAAAATGCGGTAAAAGACAGGTATTATTATTATACCTTTCTTTTTTTGTAACATGTTGGTGTTTTCTTTATCTTTATCTTTTTGCATTAGATGGCCAAGGTTGGCAATGAATGAAAGGAGACAAGACGGTTATGATATGTATTTTTATTCTAAATATGTTAGGACGGCTGAAATGAAGGTTAGGCTTGACGGGCGGATCGGTACTAGTTTTCATTTGCTATCTTCAACTCGCTGAGGAGGGTATATATACGATGTATATGAACGATATATGAACGCATAGGACTAAACCGGCGATACTAAATGGATTCGCATTGCATGTATATATGATTTAGTCGTCCAATTGCGAAGAGGAGTCTTTTTTTTAGGGTTTAGAGAGCATGAGGTTGTTAAGGGTTTTCCTTTTCAACATGATCAAAACACTGAACAGCCATACTACAGATCATGTATCCCTAGCATAGCTTTAGATTTGACATGTCTTTTCCCCTGTCTATCTATGACCGAACTTGCTTTTCCTCCATCCATTCCACCAACCCACTCTCAATACTATTGCGAACACCACTCTTCTTCCCCTGTGGCCTCGTCTATGATGGATGGATAAGCGATAGCTAACTGATAGAAACAAAACAAATGCTCGCTCGGTTCTTCTCCCACTGCCACAACTACTACCGCACAACAGAACACAGCACAGCATGTGTTGGCTGCCGAATCATTTATGGCTTCTCTTCTTGCCTGGCAGCAAAAAGAGCCAGATTCTCCCTTCCCCCTCGCCCTCCTACGCGGTATTACATGACATATGGTTAGTTAAAGTTCTTCGACGGCCGTGTGCTCCTCCCAAAGCTGACCCGGCCTCTTTGTGTCAATCTTGGCTTGGCCGAATAAACGTGGAAGCACGTTCGTGCAGTACTTCTCTTGTGTTGTTATCGAGAAAGCCCTTCTCGCTGGGTTTCTAGCCTGACGGGGCCGAGTCTAGGCTCGAACTAGAGAGACCTCTCCAACTCCATGACCTCGCGGATGCCGTCCTCGATGGCGGCGACGCGGGCCTTGTCGAGGGGCTTGAGTGGGCGGCGCGGGTAGCCGCCGTAGCCAAAGTAGCTCTGGATGGCCTGCTTGGTGCCGGCGATGGCGGACTTGGTCAGGACCCAGTCGCCCTTGGACAGGATCTTCTGCAGAGCGATGGCCTCGTCGCGCTTGCCGGCGGCGTACAGGTCCCACACACGCACGCACAGCTTGGGCATGACGTTGGCGCCGCCCGCGATGATGCCGCTGCCGCCGCTGGCGAGCGTCTGCACCGTGAAGTCGCACACGCCGCCGAACGCCATGTAGCCGGACCCCTCGGCGGAGGGCGTCTTGGCGTCCGTGGCCAGCGCGACGCGCGTCAGCTTGCCCGTGTTGCCGCATGTGAACTTGGTGCCCGCGATGTTGGGGTGGGCCGCCAGCCGGATCAGCAGGTCCGAGTCCATGTCGATGCCGGCCACGGCCCCCGGGTAGTTGTACAGGATCAGCGGCAGCGGGCTCTCGTCGGCCACGCCCGTGAAGTAGTCGTAGACGGCCTGCTCGTCCATCAGGGCGCGGAAGTACGACGGCGGCAGCAGCAGCACGTAGTCGCCGCCCGCCTTCAGGGCGAGCCGGCACAGCTCGACCGTGCCCCTGACGCTGCCCTCGGTGGCGCCGACGACGACGGGCGTCTCGGTGAAGCCGGCCGCGTCCAGGGCCTCCCTGGTTGCCTGGGTCACCGCAAGCTTCTCCTCGCGGGTGCAGTGGATGGCTTCGCCGTTGGACCCCATGGTGACGAGGCCGGCCAGGCCGTCTTTGACTAACCGCACGGCGTGCCTCTTGATGGTCGGGATGTCGAGGTCCTCGGTCTCTGGGCGGAAGAAGGTCATGGTGGGAGCATAGATACCGCAGGGCAGCGACCGCCTGGCGGTCCTGGTGCCATTGGTGCTGCTGATGCCGTTGCTGTTGCCGTTGGTGACAGTCATATCGGCGATGGGGGATAGGAGACGGTGTAAGACGACCAGGGACTCGGGGCCGAGACCGGTTGTGGATACTAGGGGCAGCTGAGGGACGGCGGACGAAGTAAGAGCATGGTGCGGAAGAGACGGCGCCCATGAGGGAGAAGAGACGAAAGGTACCTATAAAGGGACGAGACGGTCTCGGGGCGGTCACCATCCCCTCCATGGTCTACGTATTACGAATAGGAATCGGCTGTGGGGCACCGGCCTGTCAGTGGGTACAATACCGGCGTCCCATGAGGTGCTCGTCAAGACATTGGCCCGAGGGCATCCGGATTGCCACCTTCGTGTCGGTCAAAGTAAAGACAAGCTAGACGCACTGAGACTAAGGCACAGCAGTGGTCAGTCAGGGGAGGGAGGGACGGAGCGGGAAAAGGCCCCAACACACTAACTAACAAGGGGTCGGGGGGCTCATGCAGCGAAGCAGCAGCCGTCACTGCTGGCGCTTTAGAATGCTATATTGGAGTAATATAGAGCCTACGGAAGCGAGAAATGACGCATACATACTCTCGTCAACTGGACTACGGCGCAACTAAGCAGTCTGACATGGCGGGTAGTGTCAATGTGTCAGGTCGTACTGCAGTCAAGTGACCACACGGCGTAACCCGGGAAGCCGGGTACGGCCAAGCTAATTCCATCTGCGCCTGTACTGTACATACATACACACCCACACACCGAGAGTCGTGGCCACCGAGAGCCGTGGCCACGGCCACGGTTGAGGTGCGCTGCTAGGCTTGGCGGAGGCAAGAGTCCAGAGGGAAAAGGATGCCGAGACCTGAAGACAGGAATTGCCCCCTCTTTCGCAACAAGATGGGTACGTAGCCGAAAACAGCATACCTACCACATTCCCAGTACGGAGCACGTCAAGGGGGTCTTTGCGAACTCGGGGCATGAACCCGGCCAGACCGCGACCTAGACCCATGAAAACGTGGGGAACCAGCCCGACCGCCCTCCTAGCCAGGGCAGGGTCGTTGCACAGCGAGGACCGCCAAGCAGTCAAACAAACATGTTCACATCCTGGTTGTTGATCTGGTGATCTGCAGAAGAGCCGTTTCGGAAGGGGGAAAAGGGCGTCCCGCTTCGAGGTGGGGTGTTTAGAGCGGCCACGTCTTTGGGGAGTCATGGGAGTGGCTGTCCTCGCTGGATTGTGAGTCGTCGCTAGGGGCTAGCAACATACAGAAAAACGCCCTGGAAGCAGGATAGTGCACCTATACGCGAATCCCGCGTGGTGAGCAGGTCGAGGGGAAAGAGCATGCGGCATGCTGCATGAGGGGGAGGTCCGGAAGGGAATGTCTAGGGTATGGAGGAGCAATGGCAGAAACGAGGGGCTCTTGTCCATCTGAAGGGAACTCTAGCTCAAAAGTGTAAAGAGGGAAGGCGGTAGGACGACAGGCAGCCGGGGCAACCTAGGGTCAACTGGGGCTCTCTAATTCACCGCTGGAGGGCCTTCTAGCTTCCAATTCAGCGAGCGGAAGAATTCCTTTGGGTACAGGGTAAAATAGCCCATCAAGGACAAATACCCCGAGGGAACGAGCACGCTGGCAGCGGCTGTAGACGCTGTAGACGCTGTAGCGGGAATATGATTGTGTGCTGTACCACTGGAGTTGAGCCTGGACTTCAAGTCGACGATGTGATGTTGGTAATGAAAGGGCGCTGGCGAGAAAAGCAGACGGAAAATTAATTTCCTCCAATCAGAGGCATGCGCTAGCATGTTTTCATCTAGCTTACTGGATACCTCGAGTCGATTCGCTCAGCAATACTCCGTACGCCGTTGATAGGTGACGGGTCTTTCTGTACGTCGGATCGGGAGTCGAAACTTGGCCAAAGTTGTGTGCTACAGTGTTACAGCAGACGAGCAGGTTTCGGTTATTGAATAGTGAGGCTAGAGAGCGTGTGATGGTGTCAAAGATGCCTCCAGGCTGTGGCCCGTCTATTTTTCCAATTAATGGATGGATGGGAGACGGCGACAAACAACCTACGCTCTCGTCTGCCCGCTCGGCACTTTTGCTGTCGCAGAGAGGAAACTTTGGGCGACGGGATGGAACCCTGGAGCAGGGGGGTCAATGCTGCTGTCAGAGCCCTGCCATGCGGGGCGGGGCTGGTGTGGGGGGCTGGCCTCGCCCAGCATAGACCCGTGACAGTTGCTGCCCGCCGATGCCTGCAATATCCAATGGAGTTTGCCTCACCTACCACCTCAACTGTACATGAAGATTCCGGGTAGTTAAGGCAATTGGGAGGGTAGGTGCTAATATCGATTTTCAGCTTCGCCCCCGACCGCAGTTTCAATGCGAATAATTTAACAACAAGGCTTTTGGGGAATTGGAAAGCTGCACCTCAATATATGCCGGTTCGGCTCCTTGCCTAATTCGAGAGGAGGTACGGAAATTAAGTTGGATGTCAGACCCCAAAGCAGACGACAGGACTTAGAATAGCAAAAGCCCAGGTCCTCCCACTGCCAAACCCTCTTTCCTTTTCGATACTCTACCTCCATAGAAACCCGCTCGCGTGCCACTGGATCCGTCCCCTCTTTTATACCTGTCACTACGGGTCGAGGAGTCGAGCACGGGGTCAGGTTATGTCATGGCCATTTTCCGCCGTTGCATGCAAGGTACACCGCATTGGTGGATATTACCCGGTTCCTAACTTCGGCCCGGACGGACACGGTGCCAGTGCCGCCGCCTGCTGCCATCTCATGTCTCGATTGTCTCTACTCCGTATATAGCTAGCTAGCCAAACGTACATCTCGGTTTACTCCTCGCTTCTTCCCCCCAAACTGCATGTGTTGCCGTCTGTCGATCGCCATCGAAGCTACAAAACGACTTGTAGCCTACCACGTGCCAAGTCTAGAATGGAGCCGCTCAATGTCTTGATGGCATGTTAGAATTGACCCTTATTGAACGAGTCCTAATACTAATCAGCCGTATGTGAGTAGGTCGGCACGGGGGAGTACACGACGGGGTTTGTCGGCACCGGAGCGTCTGGCTCAGACAAGAAAGTTGGCGTTGTCGGGCTTTCCATGTTTGATCTCAGGCGCAGGGGAAAGGTTGGCAAGCTGGGGATGGTTGGTGTCAATGGAACAAAGTTCCCGGCGATCCGTGAGCCATGAGAAAAAACACCAGCCCATACGACCCGAGGTCGGTTGCTAACGCGCTGGCCAAGGCGACCACCTGCACAACAACATCACGCTCGCCTACAACAATCTCGACACCTCGTTCGAGTCGTCCCCGGCCGACCACGTCAAGGACCCCGACGCGTTCCGGGCTGCCATTGACAGGCTCGGCCCCGGAGATGCCATAACCATCTTCACGCCAGACACAACCCACTACCCCATCGCCCTCTACGCCATCGAGCGCGGCATCCACGTCATGATCACCAAGCCCGCCGTCAAGCTTCTCGAGCACCACGTCGCTTTGCTCGAGGCGGCCGAGAAGCACGGCGTCTACGTCTACATAGAGCACCACAAGCGATACGACCCCGCCTACTCGGACGCAAAGTTCAGGGCCAAGAAGCTGGGCGACTTCAACTACTTCTACAGCTACATGTCGCAGCCCAAGTCGCAGCTCGAGACCTTCAAGGCGTGGGCCGGGGTCGACTCGGACATCTCGTACTACCTCAACAGCCACCACGTCGACATATGCGACTCGATGGTGTCGCAGCTGGGCTACGTCCCGGTGAAGGTGTCGGCGTCGGCGTCGACGGGCACCGCGGCCGGCCTCGGCTGCGTCGAGGGCACCGAGGACACCATCTCGCTGCTGGTGCACTGGGAGAAGCCGGCGGACCCGAGCAAGCACGCGACGGGGGTCTACACGGCGTCGTGGACGGCGCCGCAGCGAGCCGGCGTGCACAGCAACCAGTACTTCCACTACCTGGCCTCGGGCGGCGAGCTCCGCATCGACCAGGCCAAGCGCGGCTACGACGTGGCCGACGACGCCGCCGGCCAGCTGATGTGGTACAACCCCTTCTACATGCGGTACGCGCCCGACGAGGACGGCAACTTCAACGGCCAGAGCGGCTACGGCTACGTGTCTATGGAGAAGTTCGTCGACGGGTGCCGCGCGGTCAACGCCGGCACGCTGAAGCCGGCCGACCTGGACGCTAAGGGCCTCCCGACGTTGAGGAACACCATTGCCACGACGGCCATCCTCGAGGCGGGCCGGCGGAGCCTCGACGAGCACAGGGAGGTGAGGATCGAGAAAACGGACGGCACCTGGAAGTTGATCTAGGGATCCCGGTTCCTCTTTCTTTTCTTTTTTTTGCTTGGGGATACGTTTTCCCATGATAGGTATGTACCTATTTACGAATAGTTATGAGGCGCTAGTGGCGAGTCCTTGTAGACTAGGAATCCATCAGCCTAGGGACCGTGTGCACCTACAGACTACGTCTTCAACTGCCGTAACGCACAATGCTATACGACTGCTGCATTTGAGTCCAGCTGCAGAGCCGTGACCAAACCATGGCGATTATAAATCAGGTCTTGTCTTGTCTATGCTGTGCATTAGCTGAAAATCTATTCTAGATGAAGGCAAGGTATCTAGGGAAGGAAGATCTCTTGTTAAAGGCTGAAAGCCGACAACTAAGAGACAATAGCGACAAGAAGAAGAATGGACGTGGCACACCTCTGATGGCGCTCAGTGTTATTGAATCATTTCTCCGGCGAGTTGTTGAATAGGTACAAGAACCAAACCAACCACCTAACAGTTACATTCCGGTCCGGTCAACCTTGAAAGCCCGTCCGCCTTGGCGTTTTTCGGTGGTGCCCCCGGGCTTTCCGGTAGGCTGTCGCCGCCCTGTGGGATTAGCGTCTGGACCACTAAAATGGCGCGATTCGCGGCAGGCAGGGGGAAGGGAGCGGGATTGACAAGGTACCTGAAGTGGATGTTGCCTTCCCTTTGGCTTCTTCTGCAACCCAACGGCCCAGAGTTTTTGTTGTTAGACCTATCTAGGTCAGCAAGGCTGGGCGACGCAGAGAGAGTTGATAAGCTCAATGTTGGCGTTGGCGATTTCCTGCTTTGTTGGCTTCCATTTTCCTTAGCAATTGATTTTTTATTCCTTTTCCAAGGTCTAATTGCACTGCAAGGCAAGGCAAAGACATTTTGCCGTCAAAGCTTCCCGTCAGTTCAGTGTTTCGGCTTTGAGTCACAAAGCATCTTTTTGAACGAGTCGAATCTATACAACTTGTCTTGCTTTGCCGCCTGGACTTATTTCACGAAATAATGGCGACTTTAGCTCCTGAGGCTGGAGTGCAACAGGTGTTACCTTCGTTCTCTGCTGCTCCCGAGAGAAGCGACGAGACTACGCCATTGCTTGCAAGTGAGTCGCAGACGGGCCTAGCCAAGCCCCCGTCCAACGGCGGGACCAATGGCGTTATCGGCGGTGCCAACGGCGACAGCAACAACAACGGCGGCGACGACGAGGCCGAGGTTACCGTGCTGGCGCACGAGATATCAACGACGCGGCTGGCCATCACCCTCGGCGCGGCGTACGTGGGCGTCTTCCTCGGCGCCGTCGACGCCAGCATCATCGCCACCCTCTCGGCGCCCATCTCGAGCGAGTTCCACTCGCTCAGCCTGCTGTCGTGGCTCGCCTCGGCCTACCTGATCGCCAACGCCAGCTGCCAGCCGCTGTCGGGGCGCCTGACCGACATCTTTGGCCGCGGCCCGGGGCTCGTCTTCAGCAACGTCATGTTCGCCGCCGGCAACCTCATCTGCGGCCTCTCCCAGAACCAGGAGACCATCATCTTTGGCCGCGTCGTCGCCGGTATTGGCGGCGGCGGCCTGATGAGCATCAGCTCCTTCTTGGCTTCCGACCTAGTGCCCCTGAGGAAGCGCGGCGTCATCCAGGGCATTGGGAATATTGCTTATGGGTATGTCTTCAAGTGCATATCTGCTTGGTACTTAACTGACTGAAATGTAGATCCGGCGCCATGATCGGCGGCGTGCTTGGCGGACTCCTCAACGACCTGTCGTCGTGGGGATGGAGACTAGCCTTTCTATCCCAGGTGCCGATAATACTCGTTTCGGCCGTCATTGTCTTTTTCTTGGTCGACGTGCCCCCAAAGATCTCGAACAAGTCGCTGCTTGCGCGCATCGACTTCACCGGCTCATTTTTGACCGTGGCATTCTTGGTGCTGCTCCTCCTCGGCCTCAACGCCGGTGGTAACCTGGTGCCCTGGACGGATCCGCTCGTCCTCATCTCTATCCCGCTGTCTCTTGTCATGCTAGTCACATTCGTGTGGTGGGAGAGTCGTGCTAGGCAGCCAATCATTCCGGTGCGATTGCTCCTGCACCGCACCATCTTGGCCGCCTGCATCACCAGCCTTTTGTGCACCATGGTCACTATGGTGACCATGTTCTACCTACCCCTATATTTGCAGGTCTTAGGCTACTCGGCCACCCAGGCCGGCCTCCGCCTGCTGGCCGCCCCACTCGGCGTCGCCTTCGCCTCGATCGGGTGCGGCTACGTCATGAAGCGCACTGGCCAGTACGTCGGGCTCGGCATCGGCACTCTCTGTGTTTTCACCGCCGGGGTCGCTACTTTGACGGCCTTGAATGAGAGCTCAGCCGGCTGGATCACCTTTGTCACGCTGGGTCTCCAGGGCGCCGGCTACGGTGGTATGCTCACCGTCACACTGCTCGCGTGCATCGCCGCGGTCGACCATGACCACCAGGCCGTCATCACGTCGGCCACGTATGCGTTCCGCTCCGTTGGCGCCACTGTCGGCATCACCATCGCCTCAGCCGTTTACCAGAACATCCTCAAGACGCAGCTCTGGGACCGTTTCGGTCATCTGCCTGGTGCTGCCGAGGAGATTGCGCGCATCCGCGACGATCTCGGCGAGCTGTCCAGGCTCCCAGAGGGTTGGCATGACGGCGTCATGGCGTCTTTCATGGCCGCATTTCGCGGCGTGTGGCTGACGGCGCTGGCTATTTCCGTCGTGGCGCTTTTCAGCATGTCGTTGATGAGGCAGCACAAGCTGCACTCGAACTTGGCTCGCCAGGAGGACTGAAAAGAGATAGAACACACTACTTGGTACTCGAGCCAGGGAATCCTAAGCAAGCATCTGAGGACGATGGAAATTTTTAATGGAAGACTTGAACCTTGAAAATTTATAGATTTACACAGACAATCCAATAACTCGAGCTTCTTTGAATCTTCTCAAAGCGCTACTTTTAGACGCATGACTCTATTTCTGCCTGCTTTGCCGCATCCGCGGCTGCGTAGGTCTGAGTTTTGAGTTTAGGGGCTTTCAGCGGCCCACTTGCAAACCAGGCCAAACGAGGAAAGAACAAAAACAAACACAAACACAAGCGATGATTTTCCATTCCACTCGTTGGGGATCCATAATTAACCCAGTGGAACAGCTCACACTTGCATCAAATCACCAAGATCCACAAAGCAAGTCACTTTGACGGAGTGGTTAACGTGCGACCCTGCTAAGGTCGTGTCTTCGGACGCACAGGTTCGAATCCTGTAGGTGACGATGTCGATATTGTTTTTTTTGGCTTTGCTGTTGTTTTTTAGTCTGTCAAACAACCTATATCGCGTGACATTGCACCACGCGTTATCAATCTTTTTTTCCCCTTCTAGACCCCCAACGCACAAGACCCTCATCGTCATTTAGTAGGTTTAACCCGTCGCCAGATGCTTATTGCTTGCTGTCTGTGAGGTTTTATTTGTTTGCAAAAACCACTGCATAGAAGAAACGCTAATCAGAACTTTGGTGCTGTTCTGCTTGTTCAAAAACGGTGTTGGCATGGGATATGTATGAGTGGGAATACAGCGGAGGTTATCCCACTGCAGCACAAAACGGTAAAAAATACACATGTTCATGCCCGTGAACCCTAAGCACTCACCCGCCAGAGGGTATCTCCTATGCGAAAAGGAAAAGAGTAAAAAAACACCGAGAACACCTTCCCCCATGATAGTTCCTTGGCTAGCTTGCAATCAATGCATAGCATGCAACATCTACACTTGCACACACTGCCATTGTTTTCTTTGGTCGCCATAACAACAGTTCCCTATCTAGGTACTGTGCCGCAGAAAAGGCTAAACCCGAAAAATATCCCAAGTCTCGCCATCCCACAGGTAAAAAGGGGGCCTTCTCACAGATCCTGAACGGGAATATCCTCCAAACCTTGTGCCCCCAAAATCTTTCACATAGAGTTCCGTGGTATCAATTGTGATATGAATCTCGTTCAGATCCGTGATCGAAAAAAGAAAAAGAAAAAGGAAAGCAGATAAAAAGGGCCACTGCAAGATGCAGGGAAAGAAGAAAAAAGAAGCATACATGGTCATGAAGTCCTCTATCTCTCTCCCTCCCCGTATATGCTTGCATTGCACGCCATAGAGGGGTAAAGAGAGCCCAGCTGTACACAGAAGCAGGACGACGTCTCAACCCAACTCTATCAGGATAGGTGGCGCCCGTTGTGCCCGTGTCGACCAACGTGCCGGTGCATGTGGACCTCGCGACGTGCTTTCGCGGACCCAGTGACGGTCACCGTGGTGGTTGTGACGGTGACATACTCGACCGCCTCCTTGACAATGATCATACTCACTACATCACCAACAGTAATGTAATCGGTCCTAACAACCTCGTACTTGGAATCATCCACAGCAGCCGGGGCGGCAGGGGCTTCGGTTGGGACTGGAGGAGTGGCCTGTGCAAGTGCGGCAACCTTGGACAACGAAACGGATGGAGATGGGACGGCGGATGAAGGTGACTCCTTGAATATTTGTCCAGGCTGGTAGGCGGTCCCGGTAGCTTGAGCACCCTCCGAGTATCCCACCGTTGGTAGCTCCTGAGTGGTGGTTGGTAGTGCCGGGTTCTTAACCGTAGCCGAGTCTGGCCCATACTGGATAGCAACATCTCCGGGGAGAGAGTTGCCAACAAGACCCACGACCTTTTCGCTGACGAGCGCTTTGGGCACTTTCAGACTGCACTTCTGCTGGTCTTCAAGGCTCTGGATATCGAATATTGGGCAGTCCTGGATCTTGCCAGATCCGTCAGTACAAGTGTTAACGGCTTTTTGGAGGAAGTCCGGGTTCCAGCCGTTCATGAAGTCGGCGTGGTAGCCAAAACCTGCAAAAGCGAGTGTGTTAATACGTTGGGCCGTGAACTAATCGTAGATTGTATCCACATACCATGAACATCGCCGTTCGCAATCACAAATTGGCCATCGACGTTATTGAATGCGTTTGTAGCCCAAATGGTTTCGTAAAAGAGACCCGGCAGCTTGACGTCAAATCCTTGAGGGCAAACTCCGTTCATGACGAGATCCGGGTACGCAACGTGCGACTTATGATCTTTTGTATCGAGATCCTTGCCATTCCAGCATGAAGGAAACATGATTTCGAACCGCACTCCGTCGGCGCAATTGGCGTCGAGATAGGACTTCTCAGGCATGACATGACGATAAAGTGATCCCTCGGGTTGCTTATTGTAGTTGAGGCAGTTGAAGCCAAGGGCTCGTTGGGCGAGGTCGGTTTGCGATGTCTGACCAAGCTTGGACCAGAATGACTTCTCGGGGTCTGCGTCAAAGGCGCTGTATCCTGCAATTGAGTAGCTGCGGCGGAGGCTATTGCCGGCGATCATTCGGAAGTCGCTCGGAAACGCCGTGATGCTGGAATTCTTGCTACCATCGTCGCCATATAAGAAGTAGTAGCTGGGTGAATGTTAGAATCTTGCTGCCCCGAGTTCGAAACACATTTACTTACGCCAACATGCCACCAACTTGCTCGACAGACTCGTAGGTTCCATTGCCGTGCTGGAAGTAGAGCGAGGGGTGCCAATAGACAGATTTGTCCTGCGTGACGGCACAAGAAGTGCAGTCTGCATCTATCAGGTTCTGGTAGGTAGCGCTCTCGCTGAATCCTAATGGAGGCGCTCTTATGTTAGCGACATGGAGAAAATAGGCGGAAGTGAGCCTGTGGGCCCTCCCCGAGACAGTATGGTATGATCTTACCCGAGGACCCGTGAATGGAATGCGCGTGCTGTGCAACCTCGCCAGGCGAGATCAGAGGATCAATGCGGGCAATACCAAGACGGCCGTGGCATTCCATGCGCCAAAAGGCCGTCGCACCGCTCACGGCGGCCAGGACCGCCAAGTAGACACTAATTCTCATGGCGGATGTTTTGAAAAGGACAGGCTGATGAAGATATAGAAAGAAGGGGAAGTGGGGGTGAGCGGGAGGGTGCGGCAGGCTACGTAGGTAAGGTAGATGCCGCGTGAGTTGACGAGTGGCGAGCGGGGGGAAGAAGGTGCGAAGAGGTCGGACGATTTGTTTCCTTGCCCAGACTCGGGGGTCGAGTTGGCGAGAAAGTGGGGTGGGTTGGAGTTTCGAGAAGCCGCAAGTGCAGTCGATTTTGATTGTGACGTTTCGACGAGTTATCCTCGCGCAGGAAGTGTGCCGGGTCGAGGGGAACAATAGCGCGCCGGTTCACCTCCAAAATTGGCCGATGGGGTCATTCGACACAATACCAGGCACCACGGACTCCTCCCAGGTCAATCTCGTACGAGGGGCAGGAAACGGCACCCACGACAAAGGCGAACTCGATCGGATGGAAGTGAGGCAGATATGAGAAAGGTGCTTCAAGATCAGACGGCCCTTTGCACTGTTGTCGTATCTCCCGCTGTTTCGAACTCGAGCAGCTGGCAATCCTGGCCGGCAGCACGAGTCGACAGACAAACAGGCTCGTCGTATATCCAATGCCTAAGGAACTTGACTGCCAATTTCGTTCGCTTGCTTGCAATAGTCGCCCGCGAGATCAAATCTTTGCCGATCGGAATGCCGAAGACAACGGATACACCAGGCTCCGAGCACAAAGACGAAGTCGAATAAAAAGCTTGGGCTCGGGTTTCTCAGCCGGGGGATGGCGGGAAGCCGACGGGAAGCTGATGGGCACAAATAATATCAAGGCCGGCGGAGGTCGTCTAACGGCGAGCTCCGAATTCAAGAAACGAACGTGCGGTCAACACTTTCTTCTTTTTTTCTTTCCCTTCCTCTCTCCCCTGTTTAATGAATGAAGGACGACGTCGACGTTGTCAATTGAATGGACCGAAGTCGAAGAGAATGGACGCACAAAAGGCCAATAAATATCACCAAAAGGATGGAGAGTGAAAAAGAGTGACTGGGGAGGTGAAGGGCAAACAGGGCGCACAAGAAGGTGAGAGAGAGAAGGGAGCGCCTAAGAGGGGAAGGTAAAACATGTGGTGAAGATATCCCGTTTTTAGGCGGCCCAAGGGGACTGCGAGGTAGACTTGGCAGGGGGGCTTACCCCTGGTCTAAGGGGGGGTTCTTTCCCGAACAGGGACTACAGCGACCGGATCAGCGCTTCTGATTGGCTGGTTGCACCCCTGACAGCATTGGGGAGCCTTAACGAAGTGATTAAGGGTGCGCCACAGGGATCACTCAACGTTGCCCCGGGGGCTTGTGCCTGGGCTAAAGAAAAGAAGCGGGGCCGCGGGCACCTGCTTAAATCCACAGCCATTCCTACCACGACCTTAAAGTGCCAGCCACTCTACCCGAGTGCCCGTTTGCCACTCTGCGCACTCTGTCGATCGTCTTTGACGGCCCAGGCCTTTTTTGCTGCTGCATAAATATTCTGCCAAATGTTCCCGGTTGATGTTGGCGATCGCGGTGAAAAGGGTGGAGCGGGCTTGCGGCATCATGAGGATCAAGAAGAAGTCTACCTCCCCTTCGTGGAGGCACAACAGCGTAGAGTACGAATGCCGTACCTTGCATCCGCAGCGTCGTATCATATGTGGACGGGACGAGAGGCAGAGGGCCGGCTGTTTCCGACACTGGGTAACCGCTGGAAGATAGGCTCAGGACGTGCCTAGTTTGGCATGAGGAGCAGATTTAGGTTTGGCAAACCACTTCCCGACGCAATCATGATCCCATTCGGGGCCTTCATCTCGATTTGGCGACGTACGACAGATAGCACTAAACAACTTTAGTCCTTGTCCCATTGGACTCCCTGTTCACGACAGCGTCGATCGACACGTAGTTCTTTCCTTTTATTTCTTTCGCCCCTGAGACCATGTCATGTGGTGCTGTCAATAGAACCCTCCGCCTACGTTGGCGGATTTCCCGCACGAGATCCTTCATGATATGGGCAATAATTGGTGCGTGTTCGCATTGCGATTGACTCGGATCTACCAGAAACACTGGGCTGTCTCGGGATCTAAGGTATAGCGTAAGTGCTTGCAGAATACTGTCGGCAGTGGCTGCCTCTGCACTGTCGCTGCAGATGCGAGAGCGGGGCCTCCATTTAAATGCCAGGGGGAACGGCCAAGCAGCCACACGCAGAGAAGAGCACCAATCCCTGTGCCTGAAACGCGTTTCATAGGCAGGTTTGCTCGAGCCACCGGGTTTTTAGCCGACGACAAACGCCCGGAAGACCCAATCAGAATTCAATTTTGGACCCTTTCGGTTTTCTGTTCCCCAGGAACCGCTCAGACTACAGGAACCTGCATCCCTCCAGGTCACCGACGTTGTCCGAGGTGGATTGTCTATCGCACTTATCTACGGAAGCGAGTCCCTCAAACAGGTCGTTAGCGCTTCACCAGAACGAGTGACATTGGGTTTCGTAGCTTGTGAGGATGGCTCTAGCCTCTAGATTCATCCTCATCTCACTATCAACACCGTAGTATATATATGAATAGGTTTGCATGTCTGAGCCGTTGCAATAGCGGGCAAGAATATATATATATAAATCTACCCTCAGCTAACGGCTACATTTCGATCGCCGTGGACTCGTGGAGTGTAAAGCGCCACACTACGGATTGCTCCGAGCCCTGCATCACGGTTACAGGTCTGCCCGTCATCTTCCATGTCGACAGAGACCGCTTGGCCTTGGATGCGACAGGGGGTTGAGGTGGGATGAGGGGAAAGCGGAGTAAGAATTGACGTCCAAGCGAAACGGACTCCGTATACGAAGTACTAAGGTAAATACGTAGAAAGAAAAAAAAGGCACTGCCACAGCAAACTGGAATGGCTACCCTGGCTGGGTATGGTGTAGTTAGGTTCTGTGCATACCTGAAAATGCTTCGCCTTCTTGTCATTCAAGGATGTGCTTTGTGCAGTTTTGTTTCGAAATTCATGCGGGTCGATTCTTCAGATGACCCATGGCTTGGCATCCAATTCAAAGGGATCCGCTTCGCTCCAGCGGGGAAGTGTCGGCGTGGGGTTGTGACGGTGGCTGCTCCGCACTGACCCGTCTCCTATTCACGCCACACTTCCAGAGCCCAGACTTCAGCCACCACACATTCCCCGCGACGCGCAGGACATGGACATGTGCGGCGCCCAATAATTACCCCAGCTGTCAATATCAACTCAAACGCCATGCTCACGAGACCCATGCAAACGATTTGATGACTGGCGGGAATCATTCTTGTTAGCTTGTCCTTTCTTTGTTCCTCTATGCTTTTACCATGGATGACTTGTCGGGCCTGAGCTGGTCCGCACCTAAGCCTGAAAGCGCAGCCAAGACTGGAAACGCTGGGCAGTCGCCGTCGCCGATCCCTTCGAATAGCTTCTACCCTGCCCTGCGCTCAACCCCAACGCCCTTTGCCTCGGGGCGCAACACGCCTCTGTCAACACAGGGCTCCGGAAATACTGCTTTCAAGCCGCCATCCACCGCCAAGCCGGCGCAGGACAGTTTCAGCAATCTCGTTACTTTTTCTTCGACCAAGTCGGGCGCCAAGCTTTCTCTTCGAGAACAACAAGAGCGATTGGAGGCCGAGAAGCGCAGAAAGGAGGAGGAAAAATGCAAGCAGGTGCGCGCGCAATATGGGGATGGCCAATTCTGGGATTCTCTTGGCCAAGGTCAATCGGCATCACTCAGGACACCTTCTCCCGGGGCACCGCCGGCCGTCATAGCGAGCATTCCTGCCGCCCGAAATGGGAAGCCAGCAGAGTCGGACGAGGACTTATTTGCGGCGTTTAACTCCAAGACGAAAGTTGACAATTCTAGCTACTACCCTCCGCCAGCGGCTTCACACACCCCTTCACCAGCAAACGCACCCACCCTCAACTTGAGCAACTCTCAAGCCTGGGCCGGGCCAATAGCTTCGGCTACTGGTAACTTTGTTGATGACGATGATGATCCGTTTGGCCTGAGTCAGCTCAAGACCACGGCCGCCGCATCTCCTGCTCCACCCCTGAGTGACGATGACGATCTCTTAGGCGATTTGGGTAAACCTGTAGACCAGGTCAGGAGACAGGCAGGGCCATCGTTTTCTAAACAGCCAGAACCAGGCAAGGCCATTGAGGACTCGTCTTCAGATTCCGAAGTCGAGCCAGCGGCTACACCCAACGACCCCTTTGATAACGCTGTCGCCCAACTCGTCGACTATGGCTTTACCCCCGAGAATGCTCGGCGAGGCCTAACCGAAAGCGGCGCGGGACTCAATGTTCAAGCTGCAGTGAATTGGCTGCTTGACGATGCCCATAGACAAGCAAAAGAGAAGGCAAAGGGTCAAAAAGGTTCAGGGGACCAAAACAAAAATAGCGGTGGCGAGCGAGCCTCGAGTCAGCCTCGGAATGGCGGCCCGGCCTGGGCAAGGGATGGGCTCCAAAGCGATGGGTCGAGAAGCAGAGACAATCGGTCCCCCGCTTCCGTTGACAGCGACTTTACGAAGACTGCTGCTGCCGTTGGTTCAACCTTTTTGAAGACCGCAAACACCCTCTGGAAAACTAGTCAAAAAAAGGTCCAGAAAGCAGTTTCCGAGTTTCAACAAGATAGCGATCCAAGCCAACCGAAATGGATGCGGTCGACCCAGCAAGATCGTACCGGGGGACGGAGCGAGCGACAGCAAGCTGAAGTTACCGACGAAGCTATGCTATTGGAATTAGGTGGGCGACCAGAGCGAAGGGTTGGGAATGCTGGCTCAGAGGAACGGTCGCCTAAGGACTACCCGCCACGCGACTTATCGCCAGCTCTACCAAACACGCGGAGAGAGCAAGGAAATTTGGCGCCAAAGTGGCAGCAGGCTCCCCGTCCATCATCTCTAGACCCGCGATCCCGGCTTAGCAAGCAGGCGGTTGAGGAACAGACGATGCAGGCCTACGTGAGTCCTGCACGGAGGAAGAAGACGACTCCGCAACCGCCGCCAGAGCCAAGGTGGTCGCCAGAGTCGGAGCCAGATTTGTTATTTGGCTCGACCGAATCTCCCAAACCGCAGTCCCCCACCCCATCTTTCCCTTCCCTCCCTTCTCGCTCGATCAAGTCTTCTCCCGCTCCGAGCCCAAATGTTCGACAGTCCCCTCTTCCAAATCCAAGGCCTGCCGCGCCTCCCCCTCGCGAAATACCCAATGTCTCAGCAATCGCGCTGCAAAGCTCAACAAAACACCGCCTCGAGGGCACTGCGCATTTTAAACGCGGCGACTTTGCTGCAGCCCATGCGTCGTACACTTTCTCTCTTGGCGACATCCCGCAAACTCACCCTTTGGCAATTCTACTTCTTTGCAACCGATCTCTGACCGCTCTCAAAACCGGAGAACCTAGGCAGGCGGTAGAGGACGCTGACTCCGCTCTCCGACTTATTGGACCGGGCAAGGGTGAAGGCGAGCATATAGAACTTTATGGCGCTGACAACGAGAAGCGAGACATGCGTGAGCTTTACGGCAAGGCCCTAACACGCAAGGCGGAAGCCTTGGAGCAGATAGAGAAGTGGGCCGACGCAGGAACTGTCTGGCAAATGTGTGTCGAATCGGGACTCGGAGGTCCCACGGCTATCGCCGGTCGCCAACGTTGCCAAAAAGCCCTTGCTCCAAAGCCAGCGGCGCGACCCCCGCCTCGACGTCCTGCTGCCGCGCCACGTCCAAGGGCAGCGGCGACAAAGAGAAGTGGCGATTCACAAGCAGTCTTGGATTTGCGTAAAGCCGAAGAAGCTACCAAACAAGAGGGCATCGAGAAATTTGCGCTTGTGGACCAGGTTGATGCGAAAATCGCCACCTGGAGAGATGGCAAGCGGGATAACCTCCGGGCCCTGTTGAGTAGCCTCGATAATATTCTCTGGGAAGGGAGCGGATGGAAGAAGGTGGGACTCCATGAGCTTATCGTGGCCAGCAAGGTGAAAATCATCTATATGAAGGCCATTGCAAAGACGCATCCTGATAAAGTAAGCTGCAATGGGGAATCCCCAACCTCGCCCCACCCCCCCCTTGTATCCGAGCTCTTTGAATTCCTCATCTGACAATTCGTCCTAAAGATCGCGCAAGACTCAAGCACAGAAGTCCGCATGATCGCCAGCACCGTCTTTAGCACGCTCAACGAAGCGTGGGACAAGTTCAAGTCGGAAAATGGCCTATGATGTCATTGAGGCGAAATGGGCCGGTCGATTTCGACTATTCTACGAATCTGAGGATGCTCAAAAAACGAAACAAAATATTGTCGTCTCTGGGCCTATCATACAGACCAAGGCTAAAACAAATTAAGATAAAATTATACATTTAGTTTTATTTTGAATAATCGTCGCTAAATACCCTACCATGCATACAAACCACAGAATAATAATAAAACCTCAGATAGCCCCCCTTGCTGTGTCTCCCCGTCTCTCTGAATATTGGGCTACGTAGGATATCATCATGATTTCTCGCTCTTTTGTCCCTACGATTCCCATAAAGAGAGCGCGCCTACTCCACCGCCAGCCAAAAGAGAGACAGACTGCAAATATTCACTTCAGAAGTGAGGCCCTCAAAGACCAAGCATGCGCCGCACGCCATCGCGCACCTTCTTCTCGTACTCGTCTCGTCGCTCTCGCCACATCTTGGCGGCCTCGACGTTGGCAGGACTCTCGTCGTTGGGCTCCGCCAGCATGCTCATGACCGAGATCAGTATCTTCTCGACGGACTGGATCGGCGACCAGCGCTCTGACGCATGCTCATAGTGGTTCGGGTCGTCACCTGGCGGATGCAGGATTGAGATGCATACCACGCCACTAGGGTACACTGCGGTTTGGGTTTGTAAATGTCAGCAAGTCTGTTGCGCGGCTTGCTTGCTCTTTTCATTGTTGTTTGATGGGACATGGGTATTGTTACGTCGGGGCGACTGAAAGGTATTGCGCATTGCGTATTGGGAACGAACGAACCATTTGGGTGCCACACCTCGCCCAGAAACTTCATGGTCGGCGGCGCCAGCGGGTAGTCCCTTGGGAAGCGCAGCTCGGCGGGGAAGATGCCGCCCTCGAACGGCGTCCCGTCGGGACCCTGTATCAGCGCCTCCCAGTACAGCAGGTCGTCCTCGGATACCGGCCCCGCCGTGATGCCCTCGGGCGGATTGTTGGTCAGCGCCCGGTACTCCTGCAGCAGCCGACGGTGCGCGGTCGATTGCGCCATGGTGAGCAGCGGTAGTGCCGGGTCTCTCTCCTGCGGTTACGGCGGCGACGTCGTCGGGGAACTGGACTCTCGTAGGTAGGTAGGTCGCAATGGGCCGACTTAGTAGAGTAGATGGAGGGTTTCGCTCCTCAAGATGGTCGGCAGCAAACAAACAAATAGTTAACAGAGGTTTTAGAGGGGCCGCAAGTTTCTCAAATTGGCCAATTCCCAGATAAGGTTGTATTATCGTAGGCTGAGGTTCGCGATATTGTATAAGCACGTGAAACGGCGGCTGTTTGCGTGAGGGTGGTGACGATGTGGACGTGCTGTGTCGGCTCTCTCGGCCTCGTGGCGGGGTTGGGTCAAGCTGGAACGGAAGCCGCTCCCCGTGGGGGTGGAGCAGGCCTAAACATCCAGCTGGAGCCCCTGTGCACCCCTGCGTCCATGCTAAAAACCTATCCGTTTGCGGCAAAAAAGCTCCGGGCATGATCCAAATCGAGATTCAACTCCATCTCTCTCCATCTTGACCGACGGGGAGCTTTGGTGGCGCGCCAGAAATCCGCCAAAATGCCGACCGCGCTGGGGCTGAGATGGGTGCTGGCTCAAAGCCACGTTCTTGGACGGGCCGCATCGCCATCTTCGTCGGCTTCCGTTTGTCTCTTTTGCTCTTTCTCTAGGCGTCCTGCGCCCGCAGCAGCTTGGATTCCGTCGAGGAGGAAACCGTTGCCAACGCTCGGCACCCAGCGACGCCGCCAGTCGGCCACCACCGCTGTCTCTTCTACACCTGCAGAGACAGCCATCTTATCCGATCCTCGCCAGGAGCTCGAGAGCGCGCTACGAGACTTGCAGTCGCATGCGCCCAACTATGTCAACCTTGCGCGCGTCCAATTGGCGCTGCGGAACCTCACGCAACAACCCGGACACGAGTCGATACGCGTCGCTATTCTGGCTCTGTCCAATGGCTCTGAATCGGGACGCACAGCAAAGAAGCTCCTCAGTCTCGTACTGGCGGATCCCCTAAAACCTGCGGCGGACTGGGAAGCACAACTGGAGGCCCATGACGTGTCGCAACCTCTCATAATTCGCGTCGGCGCGGCGGGGGCGGCAGCGTCTCGACAAGATTCCAGCGAAATACTGGCCACAGCAAAAGGTCACGCAATGCCCGAGTTGAGCGTCTCGTCGCCCGCTATGGACAAGAGTAATCTCGAAATAGTCATAACGAGGGCCGATTCGCTTACGGCGGCAGCACAACTGAGCGACCCGCTGGCACTTGAGGATGCTTTCCTCGTGCCCACAGTGGACGTAGCAACACCTACCTCAAGTCACCCTACTCATATCGCAGCACCTGTCCACATGGTGCTGTTGGTTGGGGATGGTGTCTTGGGAGCGGCATCCCTGCTTTCGCATCCCCTTCTCGAAGACAGAGACATAATCACCTGTGCAGTGAACTTCAAGCAGCTTAGCGCAGATGACCTATCCGGTTGCCCCGTTACCGGGATCAACGTTGATGCTGGTAACGAGGGCCTTCAACTGTTGCGAGCTAGTGTTGGTAATGCGATGGAATTCCAGACTCTTTGGTCCGAGTCGAACATAGGGCAAATCCGCGAGTGGCTCACAACAAATGTCTTACCAAGTGGTGAGGCAGCCACAAAGGGCCCGGTCCGCCACTTAATAAGCTCTCTGCTACAGAACGCCGGGGCTGCAATCCAAGCAGAGGAGGCCCGCAATCTATCCGAGTCGACGACGGGGAACATCACCCCCCAGGCTCTCGCGCGCCTCAACCTTGCGCTATCAGAATGGGCCCAAGCATCCCATGAGGAACTGGAACAACAGCTTGAGGTTGCCTTCGCCGACCGGGCATGGGAGAAACTAGGGTGGTGGAAGCTATTCTGGCGGGCCGACGACGTAAGCATATTGTCGTCGGAGATGCTTGCTTTACGGTTTCTCCCGGGTGCTGAAAGGACCATCATATATCTCGCCGGCCGCGTAAGAGAGGCTGGGGTCACCGAGGGCGACTTGGATCATCCTGTATACCCGGGCCCAGTGTTGGCGCTGTCCACAACAGGTCGCGGGAATCACGAACGAGCTCTGGCCGGGTCCGAAGCAAAATGGCCTCAGCACATTCCATTTACAAGGAACTATCTCCAGGAAACGACGGTTCCAGCGCTGCAGGCACTGGCGCAGAAGCTTGTGCTGCAGTCTCTGGCCACGTCGACCCTGGCCACTGCCCTGGCGGGCCTCTCGTATCTGTCGGCATTGGGAGCGTACGAGTGCGGCGCCATTACGGCCCTGGGAATCGTCTGGAGCTTGAGGCGCCTGCAGAAGCAGTGGGATGCTGCCCGGGATTTCTGGGAGGGAGAGGTGCGGGAGGAAGGCCGCAAGGCCGTCCGCGCCTCCGAGGCCAGCATCGCCGAGGTATTGGACCGGGCAACCAAGTCGCAGGGCGACGGGGTTGAGCTTCTCGGGGAGCTTCGGAGGGCCAAGGATATCATCCAAAGGGCGGAAGGCGCGCTCGCTCGGTTAAAGTAAGTGGGCAGGCACTCTTTCGTCTCATGTAATATATTATACTGTACATTCCCGGCCCCGAGGGCTCGCTCGGTCTGCGTGCTGTAAATAGGGACAGGGACACCATTCATAAAATGTATAATGCTGTAAATATTTGTAGAAAAACAGGCAAGCAGGATGTTTTGTTCTCATATGTCACGTTCTGGCTTTACTTGCCTTCCGCACTCCGTTTGTTAGCACACGTCCTTGTTTAGCTCTACAGTTAGTCCTATTCTACGTGAAGTGCCAGCATCGTTAGCAGTCTTCACGCAGTCTTCATGCACATCTCGTCTCAAGGCATCAGCTTGTATTTAGTATTTGGGTATAGAATCAAAACCGATTTCCCACGCAAGTCAAATATGGTGACTTTTCTGGTACCCATTCCCCAAACGCCAAACGTGTTTTCGTACTTTTTTTTTACTTTTTTTTTCATCCCGGGATCACCAAATAGACAAACGCCGCCCAGTGTTCCCCAGTGTTTTTCCTTTTCGATTTTCAATTTAACGTGCCGGGCCACCGCCCCGTCCACCAGCCCGGGCTCTGCTAACGGTTGCTCTGCCTCTGGCCAGCCCAACACCTCTGCCACGCACATTGCGACTCTTAAACATTGGCGCGTTTCTATTATGTGTTAGCGATGGTTGTCCTGTCGGCACCTCGCCAGCGTCCCCCGGGCTACTCGTCCCCCCGTCTACTTGGACGTGGGGGCCTTTCCCCGCGGCTTGCGGGCTTGAATGTTTCTGTGGTTCTCCCATGCAACACCTCTTGTAACACGGTTTACGACCATAGAGAGAATTTCGTACCTCAGCATGTCAGGCACAATAAAGAAGCGCACGTGGCTGCCACGGATGTAGACCTGCTCCAGATGGCTGACGCGTCCGTCGCGGGCCGTGACCGTGATGTCCTTGAGCTGGACGTTCATGTTATCCTCAGCTGGTACCCCGAGGGAAAAAAAAAGACATGTGGTTAGCCGACGTGTGCCTCACAGAATATGAGGAGGGGTAGAGACAGAGAAAGAGCTGGGAAGAGGATGTGAAGCAAGCTTCTGGGTAGCCTGGCGTTGCGTAGGCGCGGCGTGCGTGTCCTTGGCTCTCTTACCTTCAATGAGCTTTCCGCGGTAGGTCTGGCCCGACGTGATCTCGAGAGTGACGATGTGGCCCTATAAAATTTGAACGCGACGTTAGTTTTGGCGGGTGACTGGCGGACTGAGGGTTGGAGGGCAGCAGGGGCGGGCTAGAGCACCAACGGGAAGGAGATGAGAGGGAAACAAAAGAAATTACATACCTGAGCCTCGTTGAGGAGCTTGATCGGGATGCCAATAGTGGAAGTCATCTTTGCTGTGGTGCAGGATGTGTTGGCTGTGGAATCGGCGACTCTTGTCTTTGGTAATGTCTTGGTGATGCGGGTTTGAAGATGCTGAGATTCGCGATGCGGCTCGGAGGCTCAGGTAAGTGGTCCAGGGTTAAGGTAATTGAGACGCGCCCGCGTGGGCAGGTGGGTCCGTAGGTGGGCCCGTACGTCCGTACCCACCTACTACGGGTGTCCAACTGGCCGGAGCTTCCAGCAGCCGTTTTTCCGTGCGGCTGTCTCCAAGTTTGTTGTTGCTCAGTGCACTTCAGCGGCTGAAAAGACTCCAACAAATCCATCGGCTGATCTTATCCTCACTACTTCATCACCTAAAAAAAAAAAAGAGAAGAAAAAGAAACAAAAATACACGATGCTTTTGTTCATTATTCCACTTAATTTGCCCACGCAACCAGTATTTGAACAACGTGACTCACGTGTCGGCTGTGCCTCAAGACGCGTCGGTTTCGTGGCGTTCAATTGCCCGAGCGAGCGCCTCCAGAGTCGTTGAGGCCATTTCGATGGATGACCAATATTCCCAGTATTTTGCCACAGAGGCATGCTACTGCCGTGTACGGTAGCCGCTTGACGAGGCATCGTATCGGGATGGAGAGGCCTTCACGGGACACGGGCAAGGCCAACGCCGGCTACCGAGACCTTCGGAAGCGGGCCTGGCATTCTACCACAAGGCATCTCGACGGACGGACGACCGTGTCTGGTTTGTCCGGCTGGCGGTCATGTGTGGAATTCTGCGGAAGCCACTTGCCAAGCCACTCCGCCCAGCTCACGTTATTGCCTCGTCAAATCTGCGCTGTCGGAAATGCGTTGGGCAGCAAAGTCCCACGAACCACACGCACGCCGCCGGCACTCCTGATAGGCCCAGTTTTGTGACGGCGTGCAAAGGCCTCTCGTTTTAAGGCTTCATAAGAGCCTGTCGTCTTTTGTTCTTTGGACAGACGGATACCATCATTGACCGCTTGTGAGACTGCATTAAAAGGACAATCCGCGCTCCTTGATTGGAATCGGCGGTGCAACTCGAGGCCCTCAGTCCCAGTGAGTCTGACATCGCCACTGCTTATGCAGACGTCTCCTGGCGTATCGGGCTGTTTGTTTGGGTTTTGCTTTTTGATAAAATCTCCCATCGTTGCATTGCATTGCATGCTTTCTCCTGATATAAGGCAGACCGGCATCGCTGCCCCGAGGCCGAATGTGGGTTTTCTCTTCTCTTCCCACCCACTTCTACCAGGCACATTATCAACCTTGGGACCCTTCTACACTTATCTGTGATGTTTTAATGTCCAAAATATATTTATTCATATTGGACTTTAACAGTTGCTACCTTTCACGAGTAACAAGGAGACGAGACAGCCTTGTGTGAAATATTTTGCAGCTTTGTGCCGCTCTCGGTTGGAAACACTTCACTGTTTGCCCAGTCTATTCCGTATAATCCTGCCTTTAGACTATATTGCTTAGGGCCTTCACGTCATGCCTTCAACTAAGCGCGATTTCTATACCTCTGAGAGCCCCGGTCGAGATTTTTCGTGGTTTTCCTTCAGAAGTCCTGCCCCAACAACCAGCATTGCTCGCGAGAAGGCCGAGCCATCTACCGCATATAGCAACGCCAAGCGTCGCCGCCGCTCGAAGATGGCAACTGTATCTGAGGGGCCAAAAGAACATCCTGCCATGTTGTTGCCGGCCACGGCCCTGGATAATTCAGACGCGATGACACTTGGACCATGGTCTGAGTGGGCTGAGAGTGGTGATAAGAAGTACTTTTGGAGAGCCAGACAAACACCAAACGGTACGTCGACTCGACCTTTCTTACCCTCTCTCTCCATTAGCCAATACTGACAACTTGACAGGTACCTGGGGCTATCAGTACCGAGAAGGTGATTCCTCTGCAAGTGTGAAGAGGAAATCGTCGCAGTATAAACCTCCCCGGCTACTGGCAGCGCCCTCAACAACAGCCACGGCCGCCGTCTCTGCTGTCATGCCAACAACACCAAAAGAAGTCCATGGCTCGGACTCTCCAACAAACTCATGGCCCACCATCATCACGACCTCCACCGGTATGCCAACCGACGTGGACGGCTCAAATTCATCTGCTGCTAGGACAACGAGCACCAAGCTTGCCGCCGAAGAGAGCAGCGGGCACGCACTGCGCAGTCCACGCCCAATGATAACTGGGCCGGCAGCTATTATGGCCAAGATTGTACTCGCCTCTCCACCCAGCAAGAAGCCAAAACGACCCCCGCCCTCATCGCGCAGTAGCAGGCCGGCGGCTCCTGCAGCCAGACGACCGATGCTGCTATCGTTGGCGTCGCTGCCCCTGCAGGGGAAAAACGCTCAGCAGCAGCAACACCAGCAACAACAACAGAAGAAGACTGACCAATCTCTATCCAAACCGCCAATAGCCAACCACAAATCGCCAAAGCCCAAGTCCATGGCCGACTCCATGGCGAAATCCATGGCCAAGTCCAAGAAGAGTGCTGCAGTCACCACCACCGCGACCACGACTGCCGCCACCAAGAATGACAGCAAAAGGACCAAGGCGGCGCAGACGGCGAAAGCGCACGCGGACGCGACTGCCCAGGCGAAACGGTTGCACAACAAGCTCAAGTCGGAGAAGGAGCTGAAGATCGACACCAAGAAGCGAGTCAGGGGCTGGCTCAAGGACGTGCTGCTGGAGACGACGACTCCAGCGCCGTGGGACCATCCGCTGTGAAATTACGTCGTCGTCTCGCTTGTATTTACTTTGTACCTCTCTTCTTTCTTTCTTTCTTTCTTTCTTTCTTTCTTTCTTTCTTTCTTTTTTTCTTTCTTTCTTTCTTTCTTTCACTCTCTCCCTCTTTTCTCTTCTCTTCTCTTCCCTTTGTTACATATTTCATTTCCGTAATTGTCATTTGTATTTTTTATCTTGATACTACTCCTGGGCGGAATCCTTAGCTGTTCTATATTCTGCTTTATCAATCTAGCGCGGCGATATCAGAGGCTTTACTCCTCTTGTTCGACCTCTTGTTCGAAATATCACGTTTGGGGGGCTCAGCACATGTCTTTGTTTTCGTTGTCTTGGATCTTGAGATTGGCCCTTGTCACTTCATATTAGTTGGCCATCGGACAGACAGGTCATAGGAGAAGCATAATATCATTGTTCTTCTATGGTATTCGGACCGGCCTAGCTTATACCCCTTCTGCAGACACACGAGATAGCCATGAAAGAAGCATGTTTCCGATTTAGGGTTTTGCTCCTCGGCCCTTGATGCACGCATTCCTGTCCTTCAGGTTGGAAACCCCCAACCAGCTAATAGGGGAACAGGCATGGCGGAACATATTAGTATCCGCCTTGGTAGTTGCCCTGCATGGTCTCGTGGGCATCATAGTCACTGCCATCGCAAACACGGCAGACAGTCAGCATCAAATGTTTGTGTTGCCCCTGCGTTACCAGCTCATCTGCGCCTCCGGCAGAGGGTCCAACATCCCTCAATATAGCTCGAGAGATAGCTAGAGAGGCTAGGCAAGGGAAAAAAACTCACGGGCTATACTGGTCACGGTCGCCGTACTGGTTATCGTACAGCTGCTCAACCTGGCGCTTAGCCTGGTGCTTGGCCTTCTCGCGGTCGATAAAGTCCAGCCCCTTGGTCTCGAACAGCTTGTCGGCCTCAGCTCCGGCCAGGCCCGCAAGAGCCTCCTTGGCGAAGCCGTGGGAGACGTTGTTGCCCTCCTCACGCTGCTTCTTCTCCCACAGGTGCATGGCTTCGAAGGCAGCAGCGCCCCCGACGAGCTCGTGCGAGAACTTGGATTGGTGGTCCTCTGGGTAATCGTCCGAGTAGACCTGGTCGCGCGCGTCTTTGGCCTCATCTGTTTTAAGGATGTGGGTGTAAGCAAGAAGGCCTGGGTAGTGGTGGTTGTGGCGGTGAAGGAGGAGAAGGAGGAGGAGGAGGAGGAGGAGGAGGAGGAGGCGGTGGTGCAATAGGGGGACGTTTCAGAGGCATAGGTAGCCGAGCTTACTAAAGTCGAAGAAACCCATTTTGAGTCGTGGTTAGATGTGGATGAGCTAAAGGTTTATAAATATTGAGGAAGTGAGAGCTGTGATAATTGTCGTTGGCTTGTAGAATAAGGACATGAGCTCCGTTTGGAGAGGGGGCCTGAGGTGATTTATACCCAGCTTGTCTGGTCTGGTCTGGGGCTAGCGGACAGCTAGGCGGGACCAAACTGGCCCTCCCCCACCTGCCCCTTTTCTCCATCCTACCCTCCGACCTGACCCTCCCTCCTCCCCTAGCGTGCATGCTGTCACGTCATATGCAGAGAGACCAAGATGGCCACTCGCACTTCTTCCAATGGATAGCTTAGATAGCTAAAATAAGAAACGGAGACCGGTTTTGTGTCTCATGCTGCGGCACCCATAGCTCTCTTCTCTATTTCATGCCTTTCGGCCGTCCGCAGAGCAGTCTGCCGCCTTCAAACTACCGTCAAACCGCCCTTCTGCAACCAACGGCAAGCTCCCCGCCACCTCCTCCACACACCGCAGCAGCACGGGAGCAAGACCGGCCATAGCATAGGCGTTGATGCGAGATTGAGGGGTGGCTGACATTCCTTAGTCCGAAGCCAGCAACATCACCAACTTTGTGCAATGCATTGGGTGCTGGCTCTGGCTAACATGGGACGAGACGGGACAATAATACGTATCTCACTTAGCACCACCACCATGAACATGAAAGAGAGAAAAAGCCCGCTGGCATGTTTCAGGTCCAAGTCACATAGCAATGCCTCTGTGACGTGACTGCCGCCCCGCCACCGCGTGCCCTATGACAACCTAATAGACGGCGGGACCCTGTTTCGCAATGGCTCAGCGCAGGACAGACATACATGGATGCGATTCGCCAGACGGCCTCTTAGAGGGGGTTACGCGTCACCGCCCTCGTTCAGGCATAGATTATCTTTGAGATGGAGGGGTAGCTGAAAAGCGCCGGGCAATTCCCCTCTTCCTCGAACACGCTATCAACCCAATCCGAGTCTCTTGTGGGGACGAGGCCGGCCATGACTGGAGAATGTAAGGGACAGGTAGCCGCTGTGGATTGCGAAGAGCAGCTTTACTGCATATGAGGCTTTTCTTTGCCGCTCCTATGACCGGACAGGCGGCTGAACGGTGAGGGGCGACGAGGGGTCGTCGATTGGAAGGTTGATGAGTGAGGGCCTCAGAGGCTCAGGTTTAGATTAGAGCTCCCCTAAAGTCCCCTTCCTTGAAGCCCTGGACCCAGATCAACGGCCCCGCAGGCTTGGCGAAAGCTTGTCTCTCTGCCAAGACATGATGGCAGGCGGGGAGGTTGCACAAGCCAAACCGCCCAATGCTGCTAGGTCCCCCCACTCGGAAAAAAAAATTGAAGCCCAGCCGACGAGCAGTCTCGGCCCGTAATTCATTTTCTGCGTGTTGTTGAAGAATCTCAGCCGCCGACAGCCTTGATTGTCAATATCGCCACACGATCCCATTCAGCTCCAAGCCGCCCCGCCATGACGAGAGCCATAGACCCGAAGGCTATGCCAGAGGTGTCTCCATTTCTTGAGCCAGGCCCGCTCACCAAAGTGAATTCTCTCGCCATCCTGCAGCTGTCCCGCGATAACCTCCAGCCTGTGTACCTGAAGTCGCCCGACGATGAGCACGACGGCTACGCCGAGGGCGCCGTCGTCAACACGCGCTATGGCTCTTTCCCTCACTCCACCATGATCGGCGTCCCCTGGGGCTCGCAGATCCGGGCCTCCAAAGTCGACACGGGTTCTCGAGGTCGTAAGAGGAAGCGGCAGCTGGATGAAGACGCAGGTCGGGATGTGGCGAGCCCCAACGAAAACGAGAACGACAATGACAATGGCCACGAGGTCGAGGCGCGCGACGCGCATGGCCCCGCCGTCTCCAATGCCATTAAGAAAGCCGTGGCCGACACGAGCGGTTTCATCCACATCCTGCCCCCGATCCCCGAGATATGGACCATGAGCCTGCCCCACCGCACCCAGGTCGTCTACACCCCCGACTACAGCTACATCTTGCACCGGCTACGCGCGAGGCCGGGCGCCGTCATAATTGAGGCCGGCGCCGGGAGCGGCAGCTTTACCCATGCGGCCGCCCGTGCCGTCTACAATGGATACTCCACAGCGACATCCCCGCGAAAGGGCAAGGTCATCAGCTTCGAGTACCACGAGCAGCGTTATCACAAGATGAGCGTAGAGCTTTCCGAGCACGGCCTGGAGGAGATTGTGCATCTGACGCACCGGGACGTATACAAGGATGGCTTCCTGCTCGACGGCAAGAGCCCCGAGGCCGACGCCATATTCCTCGACCTCCCCGCGCCGTGGGACGCGCTGCACCACCTGTCACGGCGGAGGCCAGCCCAGTCAGTAGCGGGCGCTACCGGCGCCGCAGAAGTTCAACACAGCAGCAGTGGCGGCGACGAAGCCCCGTGGGTATCTGTGCTGAACCCAAAGCGGAGCGCCTACGTATGCACATTCTCGCCCTGCATTGAGCAAGTCACCAAGACGGTCTCGGCCATGCGGCGGCTGGGCTGGGTCGACATCGAGATGGTCGAGATCGCCCACCGGAAGTTGCATACGGCGCGCGACCGCGTCGGCCTGAACCTTGCCATCGACAGGGGCGTCAACAACTCGGCGCGAGACGTAGACGAGGCCATAGCGCGGCTGGCCGAGATTGAGGACCGGTTTCGAGAGCATTCGCGGCCAAAGGGCGGTGCTGGCGGCTCGGCTGCTGCTGGTGGGGATGTGGACGATATGGACGAGGATGAGGACGATAAAGCCGCCGTCGCGGCCGCAGAAGCACCGACGAATGGCGACGCATCGTCACCCGCTTCCTCCTCGATACCTTCGTGGATGGACGGCCGTCTCGTGGCGCGCGGCGAGGCCGAGATCAAAACGCACACGTCGTACCTCGTCTTTGCCGTGCTCCCGCGTGAGTGGACCGCCGAGGACGAGGCAGCCGCGGCAGAGAAATACCCCTGCAGCGCCGCCGAGAAGAAGATCATCGGCAGCATGGACAAGGCCGCCCGGAAGAAGGAGAGGCGCGAGCTGCTGGCGGCGCAGCAGGGCAATAGGAAAGCGAGGAGGAAAGCAAGGGACGAGAAGATGGGTGAGGGGGCACTTTGACGGGGTGCAAGAGACATATTGCGAGAACTTGTGCTAGGTAGGATGGTCGTTGTGCTCCTGTGTACCCACGTATAGATATATTATACCCCATAGAGGCAATCTCAGTGCGGCGATAGATGAGCTACATATGAGATACCAATGCAACTAGACTTGGGCATAGGACGAGACAATTAAAGTGTGATACCTATCTTACGAATAAAACTATTATTGTCGTTCATCAAGAGAGGAACCAAACCCGTACATGGCTCTCCCTTATCCATTTACATGCACATTTCTGTATTTCAATTCCGTTGAGTGCAGAGTTGGAGTTGTAGCAGCCGGTGGGAGGCGAATAGGAAGCGGGAGAGACATCGTGACGTAGTAGTCGCCTGAGATCCCCATCTCGAGCTGAGAACGAGTAAGGTATTGCACTACGAGCTGAACAAGATACATATGATCAAAAAAGAAAGAAAGAAAAAAGTAGCCGGGATAGTTCCAAGAGATTGTAGCGCGGTTAGGTTTTGTAGGAGGGTGTCAAATGTCAATTGAATCTGAGAACACTTGTAGTCAGAAAGGACTCACTCCTTCCCATTTTTGTTCAGAGTGCTCCCCCTCCCAGTTGTTTCTTGCCATAGCTTACAAAGCAGGGTGGTGATACGCTCAAAAGTTAGGTTGCTACTACTACCGAGGTGAAAGGTGAAAGGACCGGTAAAGTAGTAAGTGAAGCAGTAGGTTAAATTTTTTTTTTTTAAAAAAAAAAAAAAAAAAAAAAAAAAAAAAGAATGCCAAGTCTCTTTTCTGTCAAGGCAAAATGTAACATTCTCGCCACCCACACTCGCTCGCTTCCGTGACTCATGCTCCCAACGTCTATCTTGCTGGTTTTCTGCATGGTGCTAGTTTGCGCCTTTTTTTGCCCAAGTTGCGTTTTTTTCAGCCACATTAGGGGAAGCGTTCGGTTTATTCTTTTTTCAGCCTCTTGTATCTTTTCCATTCCTGCAACGTTGACAATTGACAATCGCTTTTATTGGCGGTGGCGGGTGGTGGTGTTGTTGCCGAGGCTCGTCGAGGTTCTTTTTTTTTTTTTTTTTTTTTTTTTTTGGTTTCCTGGTGTTACCCAAACAAGTTCCTTCTCCGGCCTCAACCCACACAGAGATAAGGTACCTGGGTGCCGTAGCGCTTCATCTCACACGCATCTGAGCTGTAAGAACAGGAAGCAAGAGCTGTCATTGGCTCGGTTTTCTTTTTTTTTCTTTTCCTGTCCGTTGAGTGAGCTTGGTCGGGTGTAATCCTGAAGAGCCACCCGGCTCCCACACGTTGTTGGCTGATACTGTCCAAAGCACACACCAAAAATAAAACAAGAGTTGCCATGTTGGCCTACAACGAAGATGTGGAGAAGCAACCGATCCCGGACGCCGGCTCCAACATGCCCGAGATGGGCGAGGGCGAGGAAGTCTCCGCAAACAGACGCTGGGCCGCGTCCCGAGCTTTCCTTATCAAGGCCGCCGCCTTTGGCCGCGTCGAGTTTAGGGGCATCGCGCCCATCCCTATCAAAGAGCGGACGGTAGAGAGCACAGTCGACGTCTTCACCTTGTGGTGGTCCATGAACACCAACATCCTCCCGTAAGCACCACACCCCCCTGGATGGCGATAACAGCCCCCCCAGCCGGTATGTATAGGTGCTGACTCTGAGCCTCCTCTACCCAACCAAAGAATCACCTTTGGCATGCTGGGCCCCGTGTACGGTCTCGGTCTTAGAGATAGCTCGCTCGTCATCCTCTTCTTCACCCTCTTGACCGCCCTGCTGCCCGCGTACCTGTCGACGCTGGGGCCCAAGATCGGCATGAGGCAGATGATCCAAGCTCGCTACAGCTTCGGGTAAGCCCCATCACCGGGTAATGCTACCAAAGAATCATGACTGACGTACCCAACTACCTTTTTTGTAAAACGCAGTCGATACCTAGTCTCCGTGCCCGTGCTGCTCAACCTGGCCACGCTGACGGGCTTCTCAGTCATCATCGCCGTCGTAGGCGGGCAGTGCCTGTCGGCCGTGGCCGGCGGCAGCCTGAGCGTCGACGTCGGCATCGTCATCATCGCGTTGCTGGCGCTGGTCATCTCATTCTGCGGCTTCACCGTGCTGCACGTCTACGAGCGCTTCGCCTGGATCCCCGCCTTGGTTGCTATCGTGGTCGCTGTCGGCACCGGCGGCAGCGGCCTCCGCCAGCAGACGGTTGTTGAGGAGCCCGCGGCCGCGCCCGCCGTACTGTCATTCGGCATGATCGTCGCCTCGTACATGATTCCCTGGGCGTGTCTAGCGTCCGACTTTACGACGTACCTGTCGCCGATGACTTCCTCGTGGGTTTTTTCTTCTTTACCCCTTTTTTCTGCCTCTTTGCCCCGTACTCGTTGCCTCAACCCCCTTTTATCTACACGGAGTCAAGTTATGCTAAATACAACTTGTCCCTTTGTCTAGGGCCAAGATCTTCTGGTACTCGTACCTCGGCACGTCGATCCCGACCATCCTGCTGATGGTGCTGGGCGCGGCCATCGGCGGCGCCGTCGAGAACGTGCCGGAGTGGGCAGACGGGTACGCGAGCACGTCCGTGGGCGGGGTGCTGGCGGCGATGCTGGCGCCGGCGGTGGGCTTCGGCAAATTCCTAGTGGTATTACTGTCGCTGAGCCTGCTGGGCAACCTGGCCGCGACGGCGTACTCGGTCACGCTCAACTTCCAGATGCTGCTGCCGCAGAACATGGTGGCGCGGGTGCCGCGCTACGCGTTCGCGCTGGTGCTGACGGCCATCGTGGTACCCGTCAGCATCCGCGCCGCCGCCGACTTCTTCGTCAGCCTTGAGAACTTTGTCGCTCTCATCGGCTACTGGAGCTCCGCCTTCCTCGGAGTGGTTCTTGTTGAGCACCTGCTCTTCCGCCGCGGAGATTGCGCCTCGTACGACGCCGACGCCTGGGACAAGGCCCGTCTGCTCCCGTGGGGCGCCGCTGCGCTTGCTGCTGCTGCTCTTAGCTTTGCTCTCGTCATACCCGCCATGGATCAGACCTGGTACCACGGCCCCATTGCCTCGACAACTGGCGACATTGGCTTCGAGCTCGCCTTTGCTGTGTCTGCTGCCCTGTATGTCCCGCTGAGGTTTCTCGAGAAGAAGTTTGTTGGCAGGTGAGGGCGTTTTGGAGTTGAATGAATAATAAAAGGAGACACGTATAAAAGAGGGCAACGACGAATGGTATACATAGACTTGGAGGCACAATGGCGGCGCCCGGTGTTGAGGAGAAGGGCTTATAGGGGAATGTTTATTTTTGTTTCTTTCAAAATGTTGGTGCTTGGCCAGGCATGTGGCCACTTCTCGTGCCACTGTTGTCTGTCTGTATTCTGTAGTCGGGCTAAGCAAGCCCCACCGTGATGATGGTTATAACAGGTATGGGGCAATTTGATCTGATTCTTTAACGGTATCGTATGACACCCTCAGTACCATTATGAGTTGCACCTCAGAACCATGTGAATTCACATTTTTGATATGTATCACTTTAAAAAGGCATTGCACAAGGTACTTTACGTGACACAGTGGCGCCACAGATCACCACAGGCACGTCTCCGATTATTAGCATGGTAATATATTAGGACCATGTAAAAAGAGACGAAAGTTTAGCGTAGATCTAGAATCACCATGCTAGTAGCGAGAGCGGGCAACACGGGAACGGTGAGCTTGGAGTCCTGCAGACGCCAGCCGACGTCGCCCCACGGCGTGCTCGCTATGCCGATGGCATTGGGAACGGCGACGGCAACGGTCCCGCTGATGTCGACATAGCCGCCGTTCACGACCGAGACCAGCATCTTTTTGCCGACGACCCAGTACGCGGCGTCAACCACGCCAGCCCCAGAGCCCGCGCTCTCGGCCGCGACGGGATGCGGCCGGTCGCCGCCTACGAGAAAGTCCACCACGGGCGACGCGGCGACGACCTTGGCCATGGCGCCGTGAGCGGCACCGAGCGGCGCGCTGGCGGGCCACACCCACGACACCAGGGCCTGCGCGCCGTGGTTGAGCGCCAGCGCGTTCATGACGAGCTCCTCGTCGACGCTAGGGTCGCGGAGCCAGTAGTCTTCGCCGTGGAAGCTCTGGGGGTTGTGGGCCTTGGTCTTGGGCCACAGACCGAGCCACGACTCGTAAGCGGCGTAGTCGTCCAGCCGGTTGGGCACGTCCTGCACGTTGCCTTGGCAGTTGTCGCAGCCGCAGTCGCCGAGCGTTGCGTTGCAGGCCGTATGCCATTTGGACCAGGTGGAGTTGATACCGATTGGGTACACGTCCTCCATAATAATGTCACCGCCCGCGCTGTACTTGGCAAAGTGATAGTTCTGGCAGTTGAGCGTGATGGCGACGGGGTGGTACGGGTCGAGCTGCCGGATCAGATCGCGCGCGAGGCTAGGGGCGTCGAACGGATCCTGCCATCCGTCTGGCCTATCGGCGAGAGCAAGGTCAGACAGACATGAGTCGGCAGCCTTGCCTTCAGAGCCGGTTGGTTCTCCCCACTGGGTTTATCTTCCGCTGAAAGCCAGGGGGTGGGGGAGGAATAGGGGCGCATACTCATCTGTGCCCCAGTATGAATAAATTGCCTCTGCATCTTTTGCCGCGAGCACTTGCTCCCGGACATAGGTCAAATTTCTGTAACCCTCGCGCAGGTTATACATGAATTTGAGGTTGATCTTGTCCATGTACGCAAACGCGGGGCCCGAGTCGCGGTAGATGGTCAGAGGCGTCATGGAGTTGAGGCCCAAGTCGGCGTAGTTTTGGATCTCGCTCGTGCTGTTGTTGCCCAGGAAGCCATCGTACGACGCGTAGAAGCCGTGCGGGAGGAGCGGCTGGAATTTGTGGCCCGATGCAGCGTTCCGGAAGAACAGGCCGCCATTGAAGTTGTCGATGCGAGTTACACTGCCGTTGGTCTTCTCGGGCAGGAAGAACAAGGAACTCGTGGCCGTCCACGTGGGACGCCCGCCCTCAGGTGCGCCGTAAAGCACCATTTTGATAGGCTCGAGACTGGGCTTGAGGCGCGACAGGTCGAAGCGGAAGACATTGCCAGTTGAGTTGATGGCGACCGTGTTCTGGACTAGAATGGCATCGTCCTCGACTAGGTTAATGGAGAAGATGAGGCTGTTGGCACGACCCGAAGTGGAAGAGGTAGTGTTTGTACTGGGCCAAGGCTTGCCGTGGTACGGCGATAGGGCAGCATTCACCACGACCTCGCCGTGCTTCTCACTCTCGAGATACAGGCTGTACCGCGGCTGGAACTGCACATGGACGAGGGGCCCATTGGCGGCAGGGCTGGGAGCCAGCGTCTGTCCGCCCGGATCAAAGCTCGGATATCTGGGGCCCGGGTCAGTCGTCCGTTCAAGTGCGAGGACCATGCCATGCCGTGGGAACTAAGGTTCTCACCCGTCCTGATAGACTTTGCCGCACCACCTGGGCCAGTCGATGTGGTAGCCGGTCTCCTGGCCCTCGACCCCGACGGCGGCCGCCACGGCGGTCAGCAAGATCAGGCAGACCTTGGAGTTCTTCATGGCGGCTCAACGTCAACGTCGCGCAAGACGCCGCACCGTGCCTCGGTGTTTTGTTTCCATTACTGGCACGGGCGAGGGACAGGACACCCTTTTGTGTCGGACCGGCGTTGCACTCTTGGACGTGGCACCGCGCCGCCGAGCAACGGACGGTGCTGGTTGAGTGAACATTATTGCCTGCATCATTACACTTTATCCGCGACATTGGTCAATTGCCTTCTTGCCGTTGGTTAATGCATTTCTCCCGAGGAAAGGGACATTTCTCAGACAGGCACACAGAGATCTGTATTACCCCAGCCGGATAGGTGCTTTATTTATTATTGCCCATCTCTTTGGAGAATCCGCAGCCGGTGCATTTGCTGCCGAAGTTCCTATCTAAACTGGCGATGTCATATTCACCAAGACAACTCTGTACCCATCGGGATCTTCAAACGACTTGCCGCAGCGGTCCCAATAGGGGTTGAAGCTTCTGACGACCGCAAAGCCCTGTTGTTCCATTTGTGTTACGGCCTGGGCAAAGCTGGCGCCGTCCGGGAGATAAAAAACCAACAGGTTATCCTGCGTCGGGGCACGGCCGGCATCGTGGCCAGATTTCTGTGTGAATTCAAGATGGTAGCCCGCCGACTTGTGGCCTAGCATGATGCCGCTAAATCCCTCGTGCTCAGGGAACGAGCCAAGCATCTCGAATCCCAGGCCGTTGCAGTAGAATGGCAGAAGCGCGTCTAGGTTGTTTGTTGGGCGTGCAATGCGGAGATGGGCAGTGGCCAGCGCCATGATCAAGATTTACGCGGAGATGGCGTACTGACCGTCGTGGTTTCCGTGAATCGAGGTGGGATGCTCTTGAAGGAGCTCCCAAGGCGATGGGATGGGACGGGCGGGGAGGGAGGGGCAGGGGCACGGCGAGGAATGGGGGTTTCTGGGGTTAGGCGGGTTGGGATCATCCCAGGGATATTCCCTGGTCACCTCCACAATTACACTACCATACGTACTTGTCACGTACATGTATGTACCGATACGGCCCGTTATTCTGAATTAATACGGGGTAGGATACGTCACGCTCTCAACCTCTGTCATGGCTTTTTGTAGGGGCCTGGAGCCAGGGGAGCTGTACATTCCATGGATGGATGCATGAAGCTCCGAGCTAACCCTCATGCATGTAATGCCTGCAATGTAAAATACCGGTATTGTACTAGTACTGTATTATCGGTACGTAGTCTGCAGTAACAGGCTAGGAGGTCACAGCCACCGCTTAGCTAGCCCGACTAATATCACCTTGAACGCGCAATCATCAAGTGCACAGCCGCGCCAGGACTTTTCGAAACAAAACCGTCTCGTCTCTTTCGATCCCTTTGCTACCTAACCACGCGACTGCCACTACCTTCGTTCCTTTGTTGCGGCACGGGCATCTTCACAAGACTGCGACAGCTGTCCGCCCTTTTTTTTATTGACCAGACAGACTTGTCCGCAATCGCTGCCCGGCTGTCAAAAACCCAACGTATCCGCCCGTGCATGCTTGCGTATAGCCTCACCCCCGACTCTCGAAGCTAGCGCGTATTCGTCCCGTATCGCCCCGCATCGTCCCGGTCCCAATGGCCCCGAGCCTTGCCCTCCCCGTAGCCGCGCCCAGGTCCTCGTCGCCCTGGGTCGCCGCTATCAAACGATCCGCACCGCATGCCGTCCGTCTCACCGCTTCGGCCGCCCTCGTCCGCCGCGACCTCACCGTCAATGACACGCAAAAGGTGACGCTGGGCGTCATCGCAGCCTACGTCGTGGCCATCGCCCTCCTCTGGAACATCCCCAAAATCCGTGTTGTGCTTTGGCCCTTCAAGGTGCGCACGCCCCCTTTCTCCTCCTGTCTGGCTTCTGCATAGGCACATCACATCCGCAAAAACTGACCCCAGACTCAACCATCTCCAGATGCTCGTCATCGCCTTTCACGAGTTCGGCCACGCCCTGGCCTGCGTCCTCACCGGGGGCCGCGTCAAGAGCATCGAGCTGGACCCGCACGAGGGCGGCGTCACCCACATGCTCGGCGGCAAGAGCGCCATCACCCTGCCCTCGGGCTACCTGGGCTCGTCGCTGATCGGCGCCCTGCTCATGTTCTGCGGCTTCAACATTGTCGCGAGCAAGGTTGCCAGCATCGTCGTCGGCGTCACCTTCATCCTCACGCTCTGGTGGGGCCGTAGGGACTGGCTGACCATCCTGACTATTTTGCTCGCCATGGGCCTGCTGATCGGTTGCTGGTTCATCGCCCATGCCGAAGCGTTGCGATACGTTGTGGTATGTCTCCCACCCCTCCCTTCTGATTTGGCTTGGCGGCAGTCCTTCTCACCCTGTAATTGTCTCCGGGTATAGCTCTTCATCGGCGTCATGTCGTCTCTCTACAGCGTCTGGGATATCTGCGACGACCTCATCCTGCGCAAAGTCAACAGCTCCGACGCCAGCGTCTTCGCCAAGCGGTACGGCGGCTCCTCGCATTGCTGGGGAATCTTGTGGTCTATTGTCGCCGTGATTTTTATGGTGGCTGCTATCGTCGCTGCCATTGCCGCGTTTCCCCAGACTGCGGAGCAGCAAAGGACCGACTCGTCCAACTTTATCTCAACCAAATTTTGAAGAGACGTATAACTAAGTATCAACGTCTACCTTTTGGATTTTGATTTCTTTAGTAGGGCAGCAAGCTGCTATTCATATTTTGGCATTTGGGGGTTTGTTTCAATCTTTTCATTTTTGGTATTGGAAACTTCTACCTATGGCCATGTATGGCCACGTAAGTCTTGTCGTCTGGTTTCCGAAATGGCGTTAGGACAACAAACTGTAGTCGGTGTGCTTTGTACATTTGATACGGTACGGAACGGAATGGGCCAGGTTCGTGCGGATGGGTGGGTAATGAGGGCGAAATGACCATATTGATACCCGGGGACTTTTCTTTTTCTTGGGTGTGCCGAAGGGCTTGCCTATGAGTTGATCTGTCGACATACGCGCACACACACAGAGAGTGTGAGAGAGGCAGGGAGAGAGAGGCATCTGTTTCGGCTTACCTTCCGGGGGGGCTTTTGTCTCGTCTCCGAGTACAATAAAATGGTACGTTTGCAAATAATAAAACAAATTAAATCCTACTTACCGGTCGCGACCTGACTCTGGTGGTGATGGCACATAGTCTAGACGCCCGTCTTGACGCTTCAGATATCAGCATCCCCACTTATTTCTGTGCCAGAATAGGATATTCTCAGCTCCTTTGCCGACTACTAACTAGGAAACTACCATGATAAAAAACACTGGTGGAAACTCTATTGCCGGCCCCTCTTTCCCACCACCAGCCTCACTCCTCGTGTGCAACAAACATCAGTTTCCCACTTTCTTGTCGTGCCTGTAATTGGCTGCTGACGGCGGGCCTTTTCAAGCAATCTGATTGTGTTGTCGAGCCGTGGCTTCTTACTCCCGTGTCAGATCGTAGCTGTTAACTGGTGTAGATAACCTTCTTGGGCCGGCTGTGCCTCGTAACTAGGTAGGTAGGTAGCAACCTGATCAACATTGCAGTCGTCACCAGAACTTGCGCCTCGAACTAATTGGCAATATTCTTATGCATTCGCATGCTTAAATCCTAAATCCCCAACGCCTATCTATTATGAGTAGATCGCCACACGTGGGCTACCAAAGCCAAAACTGCCGCTCATGCTTGACCAGGTAAGGTGGTTACACGCATACCGTCTGTATGTATCCGTTAAGATGGGAATGCGACTCCAAGCCCAATTCCAGGCACACACACTGTAATGTGTTGTGTTAAAGGAAGTACAAAAGCGCCCAGGGCCTCTCTGACATCGTCATCCTTGTCCTGTACTTAGCAAGGCGAGGCCCCATCCCGGGCCAAAATGCAAAAGCAATTCATGCCCATTTTTTGTTACTCCGACATCCGAAAGACAGACCTCTGCCGGCGCCGATTTGTCCCAGAAAGAAAAGCAAAAAATGGATAGAAATAAAAACGCCAGGTCGTCCAACAAGATGATTGTCATTATCCCGCACACAGGCAGTTAGTCAGTTGATCGTGGTGCACATGAGTACCCGTGTCATACATAGTTCGGCGCGCATATCACTGCTGCGCACTCATTTGTCGGCAAAGGATAAGTAGAAGCTCGGCCCTGTTGCTTCATGCCTCGCCTTTCACTTTCCAACTCTTCCCATTCTTCTGTGCAATGGCGTCCCACGATGTCTTGATTTGGGCTCTTGAGCAATTCTCGTGTTCAGAGGCAAACAGCTCGATGAGGCCGACCTTGGAAAGGTTGGGCTTAGATCGTATGAGGTCCTTGAGTTGAACCTGCAAAGCCACCGACAAAGGTTGCGGTGATTTCTTAGTTGTTGCGGCTCCCACCGCAAGCGTATGAAACGCATCCGATGGTGGCGGGGGCGGCGCCATTGGAGCCGGACGCGAGTCCGAGGTGGGCTGAGAAATCCCGGGAGGAACAGAGGCAACCGGGTCGGCAGCCAGCACAACTGCGGATGGTGTCGTCTCCCAGTATGCCGTTTCAAAAGGGTTGATAGCACTATGTTGATCCAGGGATTCTGTCCAATCAGTTAATAAGCCACTATATTGGCAGCCATGCTCCTTTAACAACTCACCCAGAATAACCTCCATCCGAAACTTGCACACATCTGGTACGCTGTTAAGCCGCTTATTATCCTCCCAGCAGAGGCCTGTGCTTTCAGGCTCCATGCCACCCGAAAACACCAATCGGGCAGGGGCGTCTTCGGAATCATCGATCAGGCTGTCAACGTCCGAATCGTTGTCGGCGTCCTCCTCCTCGTCCTCCAGGTCTTCGACATCTTCGCCGTCTTCTTCTTGCCACTCGGCTTCCGAATCATATTCGTAGTTCAAGGGCAGAATGTTTCGGGCAAGAGGGTTTCTTGCAACTTTCCGAAGACTCTTCACACCAGGAAGTAGACCGCTAATCGTACCAATATATGGCGGTCTCACGTCTTCTCTAAACTTCAGAGACTTTAGCGGCACTGTCTTCAGAGCGTCCCGGGTGTGGCGGATCTGTGTGTTCTGGGACTCTGTTGTGAGATCGACGGGTGTCGAGGATGAGTCGCCGTACTCAGCCATAATCTTTCTGACAGAGGGGTACACTCTTCCACGTCGAACCGGGAACGGAATCTGAAGGGCATCCGATGGGTTGAATGCCACTGGTATAAACTCTCCTCGCTTGCCTTCAAGGTACTCATCAAGGATTTTGGATTTGGCGTCTCGAGTCTCGTCCATTCTGAAAGGGGTGCTGGCGAGGGTGACATGGTCCTTGACAAAGAAAGGCTGGAACATCTGTTTATAAACCGAGATGTCCTTCATCGCAGCCTTCGAAGACGTTCTGGCTGAGCTCGAGTCGTCGACATTCTCGAGTCTAGGTTGTGGTCGCACCTTTCTAGGGGCGAAGGGAGCTACCTTAAACAGGTTGGTCAACTTCGTTTGGGTGCCTGCCTTCTTCGCCTTTCTGGCTTCCTCCTCCTCCTTTCCTCGCTTCTTTTTCTCTTTCTCATCAGCAAGCCGCTTCTTTTCCGCTTCCTTCTCGGCAGCTTTTGCGGCTTTGAGTTCGGCCTTCTGCTTCTCAGCCTCCTCCTTCTCCCGCTTCTTCTGCTTACGCAGTTGCTCACGCTGTTCACGCTCCAGCCTGCGGGCCTCGTCTGCCTTGATCTTTGCTGCCTTCTCCTCCGACAGCCTCTTCTTTTTAACAGGCGGCTCGCTGGTCGAAGACTTGGGAGCCGCTGCTTCGTCTGTTGTTGTGGTCGCTATTGATGATTGAACTGGTAACGTATTTGGAGCTAAAATAGGCACTGTGATTATGGGATTGTGGCTCGAGGCTCGGCTTGGTGTGGGATTCGGGGATGGCGTATTTTGGTCTAGTGGACTGCTTCCAGACTCAGTCAGGCCAGCGTTGCTTTTGATTGGCGAAGAGGCAGCGCCGGGCGCATTAGTTGAGAATACATTCTCTTCTGTAGCGAGATAAAAGGTTAGCTCTGGCTCGTTTTGTAAATGCCCAATCAGCAAGGGCTCACGAATCTACATACTGTCGCTCAAGGAATTCTCGACGTCGCTGCCGTGGGCTTTGGCTGAAAAATCTTGGGACTCGCTATTCGTCGGTTGCAAGTAGTCCATATGGGTTCTCTTGCGCCCTGACGAGTCCGCCGACTGGACAAAACGAGGCATCGCGAAGACCACACCGTCGTGTCCGCGCGTGGGCTAACGTCGCGGGGCAGGGCAAGTGGGAACGCCAGGATAAGGGGATATCAAAAGAAAGTAGGAATTAGCACATTAGAGGATTGATCGTGCCACAAGGTGATGAAGAAAACAAGTTCGCTGCTCCCCTTTGCTGCGATTGAAGGTGCGTTGCGGGATGCGGAGGGTGAGTTCAAGGTTGCTTTGGGTTTATGGAGTGAAGCAGAAGCCATTGGTAAATGGAGAAGCGGGATTTGGCAGGGGAGACGCGTCTTTGTCGCGCGCCCTTTTACACCTCCACCGGGGAAATACATGTTAGCTTGGTACGTTACCTACTATTAGTATCTTTTGGGGAAATCTCGCTAATCACTAACTTTGCTACCTTCCTACGCTAACATGTATTACCCCGGAGGAGGTGTAGTCTGCATGCACCCTGGCCAAATTTCGCGTCTTTACACTACTACAGCCACTCAATTGTGGCTTGGCCGAATACCTCTTAAAGTGTGGCTGGGTTTAGCTTAGCCCAGTCCCTAGGTCCCCATAACGAATTGCGGCCAAGAGCTGAGGAACTGGAGGTTGAGGCCTGTGCACAATGTGCTAAACAGCGAGCCTCCTCCGCTAGTCCGCCGTTGAAACTTTCCCTTCCCACGGTACCGAATACGGCATTTAACAAGCGGATCCTTACTGAATATAATGACGAAAAAGATTATTTGCATTTTCAACGCTTTTGGGCTTTGAAATTGATGCGGAACAGAGTACCTCTCAAGATTACTGTGACACATACCTGTTCTGTACAGTACATGGCAAGGCACTGTACGGAAATGATATCACCAACAAGTTACAACTTCTACGCAGTATTGCAAGCCTACTGGTAGCCCACCCGCCCTTTAGCGACACCTTTGTGGATACATAAACTGGAAACTTAACGCAAGGTACCTCGTCATGGTGGTCGATCCCCCTCAAAAAGGAGGGCTACAACCGAGGAACAGGCCCGAGCCAATGGAAGTCGGCATTCTGAACACGACCTGGAAGCAGCAAGCGGTCCGAACATGGAAGCTCGGCCAACAAGGTGCGACGGTATCCAGCCAATGACACCTTAAATTGCGTCCCCTCTGTGCCTTCTATAACGGCGAGGTGGTATAGACCAAACCAACATTTGCCCCTGTACTCGGGTTTCCTAGCGGATACAGGAAACAGGTTCTGATGGTTTGGTCCCTGCTTGGTACACTATGTATCGCAACCCTGAAATTCGAACCTCGCTGTTTCGGAGACGGAAAAGCTGTCTTAGCAGAAGATTTATTCCGTCGTCATTGTCGTCATGCGGGACGCATCGAGCAGACGACACTGTCTGAGTCTGAGACACGGACGAAAATCTTTCAATACGGTGGGACTGGCCCTGTTGCGGACTGAGCGTCGCCATCAGCACCCAACGATGAGAGCTTGGTGAATGCATTGTATGTATTGGCTCCTTGAATTTCTTAGCCGATGGCCGAGCTCGCAATACCTGGTGTGGTAGGAATACATATTTCCACACGACGGAGTGAAGGCCTCCACAGTAGGTTCTGGTGCCACGATGCTTGGATGCGAAGGTATTCGCAAGGAGCACCACATGGGCAAGACTATAAATGACAAAGAGGCAATTGCTTGAACCACCGAAACTGGTATATTATACTGCCGGAGCGAGTTGAAAAAAAAGCCGCGTTTAAGGACAAGAAACTGAATTCGGCTCAACGCCAGAAGATGCGGTGTGGTTGAGTAAAACATTAAAAGAGACGACAACCGTATTCGAAGTCGATCTAGAGCATCAGCCCTGCCGCCCCGACTGCTCCAGTATTACCCTGTTAATCGGGATTTGCGATATACAATCGGCCCGCTGAAGAAAGAGTCATTGTTCGTTCGTCCACACTGCCTCGCCTTTTGAGGTCGTCGGAATTCTTGACACTCTTCTCTCGTGTCACGTTGGCATGCAACAAGCTTTTCGCGGCCAGACGAGACGCATTGGAGCCGAGATCGGGAACGTTGTCCAGTCGCTCGGCGCTGCTTCCGCTGCCGAAGCTTCTCGCTTTCCCGCTGGCCGAATCATCCTCGGCGAGGACCAGTTCGCCCTCCTTGTCCTCAACTAGAGAACCTGACCTTTCCGGGGTGTCGCCCGGGCTCCACCTTCTGCCCCCGCTCAAAGAATTCGAGGGGCCGATGCCGCCGGAAGAGCGGTAGCCCATTCCCCTCCTCCCACTGGCGGTGCTACTCCGGCTGGAGCTGCCAGTCCTGCGGTGTTGTAACCTCTGCATCGTCAGGTCGTCATCGTCGCTGTCCTCGCCTTCCACTTCTGTCGCACTGAGCCGCAGGGGTACGCCTCCCACCCCGACGTAATTACTGTCTGGGGAGTACCCCACTACAGCCGGCTTGCCATGGTGACGAATCTTAGCAGCCACCTTCCCACCCGCAGAACTGAGGCCTGTCGACGTCCGTCCATTGCTGGAAACTTGTCCGAAGCCCAAGCCTGTGTTCGACCCCACCACCTCAAGATTAGCCCGCATCTTGGCAGCGCGCTTGTTCGCTAACAACCTAGGGTCCTCGGGTTGCGCGCGATCACACCATACTGTAGCTTTCTGCTTCCTGAGAAGAGCCACGTAACTGGTAGGTTGGGGAGACCCAGGGGCACCGCCGGATCGGCTCGATGTTGATCGCCGGATATCGATCGTCGGTGAAGTCCTGTATGCTGCGGGCGGTGCCATCGTGTTGCCGCTCGAAACGGTGCTGAAGGTGTTGATGCTGGGTGACCGCCGCTGGTGGTTCATCTGCGGTTGTACGAGATGCACCTGCATCTGCCCCTGCGCATAGTGGTTGGCTGGGGGATGCGGCGCCTGATTCTGAAGCGGAAAGGTGTTCGACGACGTTGTCCGCGTGCGGCTGTGTGTGTATAAAGCGCTGGCTGGAGGCTCGACGGGCGGCCGCCGGCGAGCATATTGAGGTTCTATCATGGTCTCCAAAGGCGAGGCGCGGGAAAGCGAGGACAAGAGCCCGCCGCAAGTAGTCGACTTTGTTCCTTCTGTTTATTTTTCTGCCCGCTGAAAAGCAGCGAGGCGTGCACTCGGTCGTGTGTGTTGTCTGTGGATGGAAAAGTAAAGTAGGCGACTGTTTTGGAACAACCCGAAATCGCACAGACAACCAGTGCTGGAGGACGGTGACGCCGACAGCCGTCGGTTGGCAATTGAGCGACGCTACAGAGAAAGAGGAATTAACGTAGTGGCGGACGTCTTGTGTCGCCTGGCGATAGCCGAAAAAGGTAGTGCAGGCGTCGTATCCAGTAACTATCCGAGTTCTTCAGGTGTGAGGTGAGGCCGAGAGAAAGTCGTGGGACGGGGAAGAAGCAGCAAGCGGGACGCGGTCTGTTCAAAAAGGGCAGAAGCTGAGCGAGGTTCAACTAGGCTTGGCGCTTCCCACGTTGTCATGCCCTGTTTAAGTCGAGCCCCCCTGGCCGATGATGCTATGATGTGGAGCTGATCCAAGCGTCTGTCGGTTAGGTTGCAGCTAGACTGCACTGTCCACTGCAGGGAATTGAAAGGCCCTGGACGCTCTAAAAGGCGGGATCTGGCTCCCTTTTCGGAAAGAGCCCCCAACTAAGGCCCAAGTGCCCAAACCTCAGCTGATGAAATGAACAAGGGAGGCACCTAGTCCACCGGGTGTTACCTTCCTAGGCGCTGGATGTGATATCCCTCGTTTCTTCCGCCTTTTGGCTTTGCGCCGAGATGGATGCGGTCTCAAAGCGTCGATACTAGCAAGGAGTGCCCGAACTCCGTGCCGCGGTGCAAGGGAAGCCGGAGATGCGGGGGGATATTGCGGTGGGCAGTCCCGCGACGGGATCGAAGAGATGGATGTCTGGCCCAATGCCGAGATTTGACTTGAGTCCCAGATAGGAGAAGCTTCCTTTTCTTCTTGTCCTATTTCCTCGGCGAGTGGCGGGCTGAAAGCACCATGCGACACAGAGTTTCGCAGTGCGCTTTTATCAGTGCGAGCTGGTACATACAATATCGATATGCAGCCACAGGCACCATTTATCATGGAACCAGCCTAACGCAATGGCCGCTACAAAAGTGCGTTGGGTTTCCGGTAGGTATTTGCAACGTCGCAGGCGGGGCGGTGCTGCCGACTTGGGCGGATCAATTGCCAACCACAGAGCAGAACAGGTTCTTCGCTTGTTGCCCAGCCTGAGCAGGATGGCGAAAGGCTTCGATGCTGATGGTCTTGAAGCGCTGGCGCCGTTGGCGATGATCCTTCTTCCTCCAAAAGAGCATTTTATGCCACCGACTGGCAAACCTCTATGGTATGGAGGTTGGTATTTGGCTACGGCACCGCTCGAAACTAGGGGCCAAAGGCACAGACAACGAGCATACGCGCAACGACAACGACTCTCAAACGGTGCGGCAAAGCGCACTGGACTAACACCTAACCTAGCACCTAGAGTCACTTACATTACAGTGCCCGGCGTGTGATTTTAAGATGCCTTATGGAAACAAAGCCCGGCTCTTGCTTGGTGGCTGTCAATGCTAGGCAATATCGCGCGGAAGCTCAGAGCAGAGTTCCGTCCGGATAGGTAACTTTTACACATGCCCAAGCCGGGCTTTGGGGATCGGAAAACCTTCCCGAGCCCTGCGGCCCATCAGGTTTCTTTGCCGCCCACAGCGCGCGCATGTCAGCGTTTCGACGAGTCGGTTGGTGTTTTGTTTAGACGAGGGGTGCGTCGAGCGCCGCAACCCCTCGCTTCACACCATGCTAGGTGCTGGAGACTCTCTCCCCATCCGGCCGAGCGCGCTGGGTGCTCAAGCACACAAACAACCTAATTCAGCGTTGCTGGGGGCTGACGCCTTCCGCGTCCCTGGCTAAGACTGTTTATTTATGGTAATTCATCGGGTGGGTTATCGGGACACCCGCCCTAACACTGCGGACACCCACCAATCCACCTTCCCAGCTGTATCCGAGGACCCGCCTCTTTAGCGGTAAAATCAGAACTTCTCTCAGTCAGCAGCCCTATTGACCTTGTCAATTTGCGCGCATTGCGGCCAGCCAGGAAAAGTCGATAAATTCGGTTCAAATCAGGGCATTGAGCTGGCTGTTGGCCAATTCGTTGAATAGACCAGTTTGCATACAGTCAAGTGCTTGCATGCATGTGAGGCCGATCGAACAGAGTGGTGATGTTAGTGTGTTGTTGAGCCTGTCAGGGGGGCATGTCAATATGCGCGTATTGTGACTGCCCAGGGAAAACTGGCCAAATTTGGTGCAAATCAGGGTGTTGAGCTGGCTGTTAGCCAGCACGCTGATATGGCCCAAGTTGCATGTAGTCAAGTGCATGCAGTCAAGCGCATGCAGTCAAGTGCATGCATTCAAGTGCATGTATGTGTCTAAAGCCGATTGAATAGAGTGGTGATGTCTTTTGTAGTGTTGAGGGTAACTGGCTCGCTCTGTTGACTGGCCGCGGCAGGGGAAAATCTACACATGGTGGCTGCATCAAGAAGTACCGATTTTTACCGCTAAAAACGCCGTCAGTTCATCCCAGCCACCATGGCGGGTTTTTTGTGGGTAGGTAGGTGTACGAAACGATAGAGTGGGTGCCCCAATGAATTCCCTTATTTATGCCTATCACGCCTCGAAGAACTTGTATTCAAGCTTGCGATTGGCTTTGTCTTCTCGTGGCATCCATCTGGGCAAGTCATGGATATGGACGCTGCCACGCGGCCAACCCCGATCAGTGCTTTCCTTTCAGCTCCATCGTGTGAATTGATGACAGACAGAGCACGAAATATTGATTCGGTGCACGCATGAAGTTGGCTGCAAGCTCGACCTGAAACTATTGGAATACCCAACAGACTGCCCAGTTATCAATTGGTTGCATTCCGAGTGCTATCCCAATATCAGTACGTACCACTTATGCGGGGTGAAAGCTCCTCTCGCGGTGTTCGCCTCATTCATCCGACGACCGCCCGACCGTCAACTCCGTAAGGCACCGACAGAATAACAACCAAGATCCCGGGGCTTCCTCGTCATGTGGGCCCGGAGACAAGCACCGCCCTAGATCACAACAAAGTCCCTCGCATGATTTGAAGGTCTTTTGTTTTTCCCCCAAAAGCTCACCCGCCTCGCGTCTCGCGCACGACTAGGAACAAGCGTAAAAAAGTCCTGGCGGGAAGGGACCTGACTGGCCCGAATCTTCCCAGACTGCCGCCGACTACCGCGTCTGTGTTCTTGTCACGACTACGAGCCGACGAGAACTCGACGGTGCGCCTCCGGCAGTCTAGGTAGCTTCTCAGAATGTGTCTAGTTTGCCGTAGGGTGCCGTGTCTACGGCCTCGCGAAGTCAGCAGCAAGTCATAATTACATGGTATATATCTTCCCTATCTTCCATCCAACAAACCCTACCAAAGTCTCGAACCTATACCCCTAAAAACCCCCACTAATCCTCACATTCATTTGGAAAATTTGGTGTGTGAGGATTGATAGAGCCGATTTTGCCAAGAGTCTGGAACCTCGACCCTTGGTGCCCCCTGGAGAACGATCCAGGCTTTTTTTCAGCTCCAGGCGGACGGGCGGACGGACTGGTCGGAAGCATAACTACCTTACCTTGGGAGGCAGTTCTAGATAGATAATAAAGGCAACTTTTGCTACTCATTCTTACTTCTGACTGCTCCTACCAGTACGATAATAGTACTGTAACTCTTGATACATATAGCATCATGGTCCTCCTGGGCGGTGTCGGCGAGGCCGCACTCATGAAATTGTTGGGAGGCAAGGCCTTGAGCCTGATTGGAACTCATCTCGCCCATACCGCACCTGCCTTCGCAGCCAAGATCAGGTTTTTTGCTGTCAACAACACGCTCGCAACAGCAAGCGCCGCGCCGTCTCTAAGCGTTGTAATCCACGTCCTCAAGGATGGCGGCACCGGCGTCTTCAAGACCGGCCGGGCTTACAACCGGAGCTCGATACAGCACGGCGGGCGGGGAGGTCTCGGCGCCGCTCCGCTCCGAGCTGACAGAGGACTAGCTGTGCGAGATCGTGCCCTTCCTCCTAGCCATCCGGTACTACCGCGCCCTGGGCCACGTCGACAAGGCCGGCAGCCTCAAGACCGAGTTCTACCAGGCCGAGTGGTGCCAGAATGCCGACTGTCCCGCCACGTGCCACGAATTTCAGGGGCTCCTCGGCGAGGCCATTGTTGACAAGCCCCCGTGCCACAACTGCGGCCATCCCGCGTATTAGCATCGGGCCCCCAACACAGTCAACACCGACTCGATCCTGCGGGCCATGGTCCGCAAAATCTATCCTCTCCTCCAGCACCGCTCTGCCAAGGGAAAGCACAAGACGGACGTCTAGGCGACCGAGTACTGCGCGCACCCGGACTGCCGCTGCTTCGACTTCAATCTCGCTGGCAACGGGAGATGCGTCTGCGGCCACAAGATGTCGGGCTTCCCGATCAGCAGCGGCCGGCACAAGACGTCTGACCAGATTCTCCTGCACGAATGGAGGCATCATCTACAGAATCGTGCTGCTGGCAGAGCTGAACTCGGAAGAATCCCAAGACATAAAGCCTGAGCTTGAACCCGTGGTCCGGTTGGTCGCCGGTTGGGTTGGAAGTCGTCCGCTGTGGGATTTCTTTCTGTACCTTGGAGAGTTATTGAGCGAGAGTAATTAGGTGGTACTAGGTAGGACTAGGTAACAAACGATTACACAGAATTCCAGGCATTTGGTAATGGTTCGTTTTCGTATAGGTAGTTATACCATTAATAGTTTTTGAAAAGAAAGAGTTGCTTGACTAAGACTCGGCAGTACTCAACATATGTAATAGCCTGAGGCTGCTGAATCGGGCAGCTAAGACAAGACGGTGAAGAAAGAAAGCATGGCCCACTTTTTGTCCACAGCACTGAAGCCTTCAGCCCTTTAGCCTCACCGCCTAACTGAGTACCCCGGGAGCTTCTGAATTAGGTGATTTGGTACTAACCTTTTAGGGAGTTACTTCTATTGCGCTCAAAGCGCCGACTGCCCGACTCCTGAGGTGCCAGGAAAACTTGGACGACGGCAACCCAAATTCTTGGTGTTGAAAGAAAATTCCACCTAACGACTTGTTTTCACTGTCACAGCCGGATCCTCGACGAGCGCTTAAAATGCAGAGACCTCCCCGCCTGATCGTCTCGTCTGTTTAACCTGTTGTTATTCGTACGGAATACGCTTCAATCGCTTCCTTCGCGGGGCATCCAATGCTGGGCTTGACGTCATGAAGTGAGACACCCCCCAGCCGCCCGACTGCCCGTTGACCGGGGACGGAATTGGCGAAACTGACAACCAACTGCCCAATAATTTAACTAATAAAACACCCCCCAAAGGTTTGCAAAGGAGCTTGAACAGGAAGCAGTACCAGGTAGGGATTCTGACAATCCTATTCTACGGCGGGGCCGTTCACCCGAAGGAGCGCCCAACAGCACTCGCGTCTGGGCTGTCAGCAGCCGCCTGCACTGCGGCCGGACGACCGACTGACTGCCCAGGTGTTTGGCTCTTGGGATAGCTAGCCAATGGCTCCCGGGCTCGACACATCTAGCCGTGGCACTAATTCGAGGCGAATAATACCTACCTTATGTCTGTACGTGCCGACTAACACATGTGACGTTGCTCGCAGAATGGCGCGTCAAATATCTCAACTACAAGGCGGGCAAAAAGGCCATCAAGGCCGTTTCGCGGGCAATCAGTCGCGCGACCACAACCCCAACGCTGGGGAGACGCACCGCCGATCCTCTTCCGCAGCACACGACGCCCGCTAGCCTCTTCACGGGCGGGCCGAGATCCACGCATGCCCGGAGCGCTAATGGCTCTCCGCCAGCCGCCGTCCCGGAAAACGATCCACTGCAAGTCAGCCCCCGCTCCGTCCGGCGAACGCCGGTACCGGCTACTCATGCCCTTACCCGTGCCGCTACCGTCGGGAATGAACGCTCCGGGCTTGCCCGCTCCCCGGAGAGTGGCATGCGATATGGTGCCTTCGTTCCACCCGCGGGGTCGTCTCCGTCTTATGCCAGCGACAGAGTGGACTTTGAGCTCCCTGCTCCGGCGATTAGGGTCCCCTCACGGACCAGTGACAATGCGGCTGCCCACTCCCCATCACTTAGCCGCATGGCCCTGCAACGCAGTGCCTCCATGACCGCCGCTATGCCTGCCGGCCTCCGCTCTCCCTCTACTCTCAACCTCCCACCCGGCGGCGTGCCAGTGACGCCCCGTATGACGCCCCGTCTTCGTTTACACCGCATCTTTTCCTCCAGTTCGCAGCTCTCTCGTCGTAGCTTCAGCAAGCTCGACATTGGAATGCAGAATCTTGACCAAGTCCGCTCCACCGAGCGGGACTTTTTTCATTTCCTCAACGGCGAGCTGGACAAGATTGAGACTTTCTACAAGCAAAAGGAAGACCAGGCATCAGAGCGTCTTATTGTCTTGCGGGAGCAGCTTCACGAGATGCGTAACAGGCGAACCGAAGAGATTGCCGAGGCGAAGAGGAAGCGGGAGATGGAGCGCAACAGCAGCCCGAGCGACGACGACACCGGCGGCGAGGGCGCCAAGAATGGTACCCATGACTGGATCTCTCCGATCAAGGCAAAGTTCCTGAAGCCGGGGCCCAACACGAAAGCTCTGTTGAAGATGAACAGAACGCCCGTGATGACTGGGCAGACGGGTGAGGCGCGCCGTGACTATGTCCGAAGACCCCACAGCAACGATGTCCCCTACCGGACCGCAAAGCGGAAGCTCAAGTTAGCTTTGCAAGAGTTCTATCGCGGCCTTGAGCTCCTCAAATCATATGCTCTTCTGAACCGGACAGCGTTTCGAAAGCTCAACAAGAAGTATGACAAGGCGATCAATGCCCGTCCCCCGTACCGGTACATGAACGAGAAAGTAAACAAGTCCTGGTTTGTCAACAGCGACATCCTAGATGGCCACATTCGGACTGTTGAGGATCTGTATGCGAGATACTTTGAACGCGGAAACCGCAAAATTGCCGCAGGCAAGCTGCGGAACCTGAGCAAGCGTCGTGGAAATTCGTCTGGCAGCGCCTTCCGCAGCGGCCTTCTCATAGGAATCGGATGTGTCTTTGCGATACAAGGCCTGATATACGGCTCCGAGCTCCTCTTGGACAACGAAAGTGGTCTAAGTGACCACACTAGCTATTTAATGCAGCTCTACGGGGGGTATTTCCTTATGCTCCTCCTTTTTATCTTCTTCACACTCGCCTGCCGGATTTGGACCAGAAACAAGATCAACTACCCCTTCATCTTTGAGTTTGACCCCAGGAACAACCTTGACTGGACGCAACTTGCCGAATTCCCGAGCTTCTTCTTCGCACTCTTCGGGGTTTTCATCTGGCTCAACTTCTCGAGATTTGGCAATACCTGGGAGACAATGTACCTCTACTACCCTGTCATATTGATAGGTCTGAGTCTCGCAATTCTCTTCTTCCCTGCTCCAATTATCCACTACAAGGCTAGGAGGTGGTTTGTGTACTCACACGTAAGCTTTCTCGGACCATTCTGGTATTCTTTCGCGATACCGACTAACATGCAAATTGGTAGTACCGCCTATTCTTTGCTGGTCTATATCCAGTAGAGTTTCGTGACTTCTTTCTCGGGGATATCTGGTGCTCTCTGACGTATGCGACCTGTGTAAGTAGTCGCCTATGCTCCCGCCCCAGTGTTGACTTTATTCGGTACTAATACCAAGCCAAGAACATCGAGCTGTTTTTCTGCCTATACGCACGCTCGTGGAACGATCCTACACAGTGCAATTCGTCCCACTCGCGGCTCCTAGGGTTCTTCGGCGCTCTGCCACCAATCTGGCGTGCGCTGCAGTGCATCCGGCGTTATCGCGATACTGGAAACGTGTTCCCGCATCTGGTCAACTGCGGAAAATACGGCATGACTATCCTGGCGGCTGTCTGTCTCAGTCTTTACCGTATAGACGGGACACAACTGAACATGAGCTTTTTTATTGCCTTCGGGGCTATAAACGCCATATATTGCTGTAAGGTCCCCTCTTCCGTCCTAGTGAGGCATCGATGAGCTGACAGAATCTCTTTAAACGCGGACAGCCATATGGGATATATTCATGGACTTCTCCCTTCTTCAAGCCAACGCCAGGCATCCCTTCCTTAGAGACATTACGGCCCTCCGTCCTGTCTGGGTCTATTACTTTATCATGATAGTCGACCCTATTCTCAGATTTTCCTGGATATTTTACGCCATATTCACCCACAACACTCAACACAACACTATCGTCTCGTTTCTTATATCGTTTGCCGAGGTTACAAGAAGAGGGATGTGGACAGTGTTGCGCGTAGAGAACGAACACTGCGGCAACGTCGCCCAGTACAAAGCTTCAAGAGACACTCCACTGCCGTATCACCTGGGATCATTTGTCGAACGACCTAGCCTTGAAGCCGCCGCCGAGACTGTGCAGGGAGAGCACACCTCGACCAAATCACACGCTATCAGTACACATGCAACAGGGGTTGATATTCCAGGATCTGGCAGGATACGTCCGGGGACGGCAATATCAACTACTATTGCTGATGAGGCTCTACCGGAGGAGGGCGCTACTTTCCGACGGCGTTACACAGACACGGGCAAGAAGTCGATCCTGCGAGTCATGGCTGAAGCACATAAGCAAGACTTTGAGAAGAAGAGACCGGCAGAGGAAGTCAAGGGCAAAGACCTGGTAGAGGAGGAAGACGAGCTGCGCAGCGAAGAAGACGACGACGAAGACGAAGACTCGAGAAGTCTACAGGAGGTGCGGATGCAGATTCGCGAGGCCGATACTTTGATGAGGCAGGGACGAAGCGACGATGACGATGACGATGACGATGACGAGGATGATAAATGATGTGGAATGCCAGCGCCATTACCCATGTAGCGATAGACTGGGAGTTGAAGAAGGCAGGTGTTACGCAGTGGCTTAAGTCTGTTCCGGGACTTTTGCGAATCCTATGACCATCAGGCATGCAGTTTCAATAGAGTATTGAGAGCGCGGAGGTGTGTTTGTTAATGGGAATAGACTGTGCCAATTCATGTCTGAGTGACTATGAAATTCATTCTCTCTATGTGATCTAATTTCCTACTTCTTGCATCCGTAAATCCGTATTCAATTAGCAATTATACTACGCTCATCTCTTACAATGCCGCGCTTTTTTGACGAAAAGCTAAACAGCAAACTCGTGGCGGCCGATACACATCTATCGTCATCTCAAGCATGCCATTCCTTGTCAACCTTCTCCCAGTTGTCCAAGAAGCCCTTGTAGAACTTGAGGCCGAGGCCCGGATCCAAGCTGCCGGTGGTGGCGCGCACACTGTGCATGCTCAGTTGGGGGATGCCGACGTCGGCGGCCTTAACGCCCATGGCGCTGCTCAGCATGGGGCCGACGGTGCCGCCGGAGCGGCTATCGTTGCGGATCATGTGGCGCTGGTTGACGCAGCCCGAGAGCGAGGCCACGCGGTCCAGGATGGCCATGGACACGCTGTCTGTCGTCATGTGAGCCGACCCGTCGACGCACAGCGCCACTCCGACATTGAGGCGCGGCGAGTGCCCGGCCAGGTTGGTCTGCGTAAAGTTGGGGTGGGCCGCGTGCGTCACGTCGGACGAGACGAGGAACGACCGGGCATAGGTCTGCCCAATAATCCCGGGGCCGAATGGGGTGCCGCTGCTGCTAGCGGACAGAGCTTCTACGGCGCGCTCGATGGTGATGGGCAAGAAGTTGCCCCGCGCACCCTGCCGCAGCAGCGAGCCGATCTCCTCATCGTCGAATAGGGCAACGAGCTTGATGACGCCCTCGCCGTCGTCGGCCTTGGCGTGGAGAAGCGCCATGAACGCGGCCCACGAGCACAGCTTGTCGTCAATGCGCCCCGCAAAGATGAACTCCTTGTCGAGTCCGCCAACGGTGGCCGGCTGCGAGTCGTACAGCTCCAGCTCCCAGTTGAGAATGGTGCTGTAGTCGGCGATGCCCAGCTCCCCGGCGATCAGCTTGACCAGCTTCGGTGGCTGGGTGGAGGCGAAGGATCCGGCGCCGCCAAGTGGCGCCGCTGTTGTTGTCGCGGCATCGCCACTGGCGGGGAACAGGTCGCTGTTGTCCAGCCCAATGATGGGCACGGCCTCGGTCTCCTTGTTGTTGTGCCCCGTCATGGCCAGGCCAAAATGCGGCGCGAGGGTGGGGATGCGCGCAATTGGCCAGTCCAGCTTGGCCAGCTTGACCGTAGTTTTGCCCGTGTCTGGGTCGCGCACAATGACACGGCCGCCGATGCTCAAGTCCCTATCCCACCACGTCTCGTTGAGGGCGCTGGCGTACGGGGCGACGCCTAGCTGAACGTAGCCATTGGCGACGGGCTTTGTGCTGACGGGCTTGAGCCGCGCTGTCAGCGCATCAATATGCCCGGCGACCATGGCCACACCGTTCCCTGGCTTATAGGCCTTGCCGATGGCGAAGGCGATGATGGAGCTGCCGTTTCGGGTAACGAAGTATTTGCCGCCGGGCTCGAGCTTGCCTGCCCAATCATCTCGGCTAGGGAGCTGCAAGATCGCATCACGTTAGCTCTTGTCTCTTGGATGGGTTGCTGGGCTTGGGACGGGAGCTCACCTCTGTGTAGCCGGCTTTGGTCAACGTCTCCTTGAAGTATTCTGTGGCGTGGAAAACGGTGGGGTACCCAGTCATGAAGTCGCAATAGGGTTTTGTGAAGTCCTCGGGCTTGATATCGTTCGCGTCGACAATCCTTTTAAATATAGAGTCGGCAGAGCTGGGCAACCGTGATGCCATTGACTGCTCTAGGGCCAGGGAGCGGAGCGACATGTTTGAGCCGCGAGCGGCGAGGAATTGGGGCGAGTGACGAGTCATCTTGCGATGGTAGCGGGTGCAATTGACCGATGACGGAAACCCAAGGACTAAAAGCAGCTGCGGGTTTCGAGATAGATTTCCAGGCGGGAGATGATGGCCCTTTGATGCAAAACGATTGATGGCAAAGGAAGATGGTTGGATGGAGGTTGTGAGAGGGCGGAAGCACCTGGTGAGGTGGGTAGGTAATGGTGGCTACCTAGGTGGGCAAGGGTGTTAACACTGACATGGTGTTAAGCTTATCTGTTGTGGCGACAACCTGCCGCCTAGATGGCGCACCTAATGGACCCGAAGGCGAAGTCAATTCAACCCAACAGGCGCTGAAACTCAACGGCACAGCGCAGGTGGTTGCTGGGGATATGGCTGGGGTGGACACCTCCCCAGAGCGGTTAAAGAAGCTTTTGACGCGGTTGAACGGGACCGCCCGTGCAGATCCCTCTTCCGCATTATCACAGCCCGGCAAGCAAGCAATGCAGCAAGGAGGGGGCTAGGTCTGGCTCTCGTCTTCCGAATCATTCGCCAATCAGCATTGACACAGATGACCTACCCAGGTAGGTAGGTACCTGCTTAGTTCAAAGGTACGAGGCAGTTCTTGATTGTCATTTCTTGTCGGTGCCCAAGTTGCGCACCGCCTATCTGTGGTCGGCAAAGCGTGCTGAAGACTATCGATACACTTCGCCTTATAAGCTATTAGATGAAAACCCATTCTGCAGATAAGACATCTCTTCCCTAGGCACCTTAGCTAAGGTCTTAGTATCCTGGCAACTTTATCCCAAATCTTTCAAGACTCTCGTGGAAGAATGTTGTTCTCCACTACGAAATACATCAAACGTCACCCGCCTGCCGCGAAATCCGGAGTCCAGCTGCGGAATGATGTCAATCACTACTACCCCTCCAAGATAAGATGTTCAGATTATTATTTGTTGACAAAGTTGAGGGGTTGCGTCGTCTTCGGATGAGCTCTGCTATCTCAAATCCCAACCCAAAATCTTGCTTCGAGTATGCACTAGAGTGTGTGCCTCTTCGTAGTAAGCCGGCTCAATTCTACCCACAGCACTTGCCTCCAGCATATATGTGTATTCGTACCTCGGACGTACGTACCTAACACCTGCGTATGCGGATTGCGCGATTCGATGGATCGAATACCGCGGCAGTCTGCCATCCTCTCGGGTCCAGGCCAGACACGGAGCCAGGCCGGCTTTGGAAAGTCTCCACGCGACCATCCACTGTCAGTCACTGCCATTGGTTAATAATAAATGACAGCATGGGACGATACGGAAACTGCCTTTTCGGTCTGGACTTTACTGCCACTCAAACGTTTCTTCTATTCCCATACTCCGTACCCCACGCCGTTTCCTGTTGGTAATGGGCGCCGTTCGAACATAATTAGTGTAGACTATTGAGGCGGGTCGCCCGTGTTTGATTCGCTCCTGTCGGCGGCGCAAAAACCAAATCAACCTCGGTACATGACGTTGACGGTCCAACTGAATCAATTAGCGACTCCTCGCCTCGCTGGCGCGGTTTGACGGTTGGTGCTTGCCTGGCTTTTCCTCTCCCGTCCTCTCGCAACGCTCACTCTACTGCCCTACGGCCTTGCATTTCTCTCCTCTCGTTCTCTCCCGCGCGCGCACTTGAGCTGGCACTCGCACCCGCACTCGCAACCGCACTCACACTTACTCGCAACGGCCGTTCGGCAACGGTCGGAAATGGCCTCTCTCCTGTCTCGCCTCAGCCCGGTCCCGACGTTTCCCGACTATGCAGGGCCTTACAAGGTTGGCACTGTAGACATCGAGATACCCGTGTCTGAGCTTGACTCGCCAAGTCCTAAGCCGAAGGGTGCCGCCGATATTCATACCGTTCAATTCCGGATATACTACCCCGCCGTCCCCGAATCTAACGGCAAGCCCATCGCCTGGCTGCCGGCGCCCCAGCGTCTGCATGTAGCCGCATACGCACAATTCCTAGGAATTAAGCCTGTTGTGGCCTCTCTTCTCTCGTATGCACCTGCATTGCTGCTTCCCTGCTGTCAAGGGCGACGTCTGACAGCTTCTGCTATGCACTAGGTTTCTGCCTCGATATCTCCACTATGTTACCATCCCTGTCCATAGCGGCGCAACTCTCCTCTCGCCCCCAAAAGAGCAACCAGCACAAACAGGATGGCCGACCGTCGTCTTCTCGCATGGGCTTGGAGGAAACCGGAATACGTACAGCTACCTAATGTGCTCGTTAGCTTCTCACGGAGCTGTAGTCATGTGTCCAGAGCACCGCGACGGTAGCGCCGCTGTTTCCCTGATCCGCGATCCCAACAACCCGAACAGCCGGCAAGTGGTACCATATGTCCGCATTCCTCACGCGCAGACGAATGAGGTCTGGGAAGCGCGCGACAGGCAGCTGCGCATTCGGCTCTGGGAGCTAGGTCTGGGCCTGGAGGCTCTCTTGGCTATCGACCGTGGTGAGGAGCGCATCGTTAAGGCCAACCTGAACACCTCTAGGTCAGGAGCGTCATTGTTGCAGTTTGCCGGCATGCTGGACGTCCAAGAGCCCGGGAAGATAATCTTTGCAGGCCATTCATTTGGTGCCGCGACCATGGTCCAGCTACTGAAGAGCAGCTACTACGCCGACCTCCCAGAAGTGGCAGCCATGCGCGATCCTCTCTTTGTCCCAAAGACGGACTCGGCAATCCGCAGGCAGGTGACAGAGCAGAGCCTGTCCATCCTCCTCGACATGTGGTGCTTTCCGATCCTCTCGGCGTCGAGCTCGGCCCTATACAAGCTACCTTTGCCTACCTACTCCGACACTGGTTCGGCCGTCGGCGGCGCCGGCGTGCTTGCGATCGAGTCTGATTCCTTCTTCAAGTGGAAGGAGCATCTTCACGCGATGGCGCGCATCTTGTCGCCAAACCCGTCAGAAAAGGTGGTCTCGCCCGCCGCCTTCGAGCGACCAAATTCGGGGGTCAGGCTCGGCGAGCCGAACTTTTTTTGCGCCCTAAACAGCGCGCATTTGAGCCAGAGCGACTTTGGGATTCTGTTCCCCTGGTTGACCAAGAAGGCCTTTGGTGCCGATAACCCAGATCGCATCCTCCATCTGAACCTTCGGGCGCTTCTGCAGTTCCTGCGCACCAACGGTGTTTCGGTGGCGCCAACGGCGGCGGCAACGAATCTTGAAGAAAACGACTTTGACGAGGCGAAGCAGGATCTGACAGACGACAGCAGCGACACCCGCGTCGACGACGACGACGACGAGGCTATCTTCGACCGGAGCGAGAGCAAGGGGCCTGTCGAGAACTGGGCGTGGATCAATGTCGTAGGCATGGGAGCCGAGTCGTCTCCAAGCGAGCTGGAAATGTTCCCGCCCGAACACGGCGATCACGCGAACAGCAGTAAGGGCGTGCAGGCCGAGGATGGCGATGCTGACAAGAAGATGGAGAGCGAGATTGACCCCTCACTCGAGCTTGCGACAGGCGTTACGAACGAATCTTAGTCATGGCTGGGGAGCGATCAGTCGGCCTGAAACACTTGCTGTTTACACAGGTTTTTGGGATGAGGGTCTCCCTTTCTAGATGCGAGACATCTCAGAGAGGGGGATTTCTTAGTGCGTGTCCCGGCCAGGAGTCAACTGCTGGGACTATGACATTGGACTGGGGCTTGTAAAAAGGGAGGCAGTAACATATGGTAGGGGAGTCTTTCTACTCGCTGCATTTTTTGGGATGGAGTTTAGCGACTTCTAAGCCCTGTTTCTCTGCATTATTTTCTACCTCTCATAGATTTATGGGCTGGTTTCCCAGCCAGCCGCAAGGGGTGGGTGGATGGATGGGATAAGCATTGCATCATGTCATCGTCAACGTAAACGGGGATATATTGGCAAAAAGTTTGACGTATCTCGCGGTGTTCGTCATGCATGGCGGGGGGATATATCGGTGGCCGAAGTGTACATTAGGTCGTATTTCCTGTCCTTTTTAGATTTTACATTGCTCGGGTAATCTGTAGATGAGATACATAGATGCACAAGAGTGTTGATTAAGTACGTATGCGAGTACGAATACTTCAGTCTAGAGAACATAAGAGGAAAGCGGACGAAATGACTCTAAGCGTATGTGCCATCACAATAGGCTTTGAGAGTCAGTTGGCAAGATAGGAAATTTCTTGTTTGTATATGAGCTGCACATTAAAATAGAGGTAGGCAACCATTAATATCTAGTTCCTGTGCAGAACCAAATCACCTCTACGACTACACGCCCGACAAACGAGTCTTGTACCAGTATTTTTCATGTTGTAGGGCAAGGCAATAAATCTTTCAACTAGCTAGGTAGGTATGCACTTGTGCAAGGCAATGACGGTTGAATAATTGGACATGAATATTATGGGGGCATTGTTTCTTATACACAGTAATATTTGAACTAAGAAATTTGATTGAAACACTCGAGAGTTTATATCAGATGAGACAGCCGCTGACGTACATTAGAGCTTAGTAGCCAAAGAAAATCCGAAAAAGAAAAGAAAAACCACATCTGCTGTATGGGTAGCTTTTATGAACTAGTCGTCGTCGTCGTCACCCCATCCGGACCCGTCGTACCCGGCCGAAGTGCCCCACCCACTACCCGAGGACCTATTAGTGCCACTACTCGTAGTAGTTCCGCCCGCGCCGGCGTTGTTGCGAGGAAGTGGCGTAGTGATGCCGAGGCCCGCTTGTTGTCTATTGATGCTGCCGTGATTTCGGATGCCGCTCCAAGCAGGAATGCCGTCGCCCCTGTTACCACCACGCTGCTGCTGCTGCTGCTGCTGCTGACTCGCCGTCTGCCGCTGGAGACCAAGTGGCTGCTGTTGCAGAGACAGTCCCTGCTGATATTGCCTTGCTGGGCCGTTATTGAATGGCTGCTGTACAGCTGTGGTTGCAACTCCCCTACTCGAGCCTTGCTGGGGAGGTGGCTTTTGCAGCACGGCTCGTGGCCTCGGGTCGGGCATCTGTGAGCCCGGAGCTGGTTGGGTAGAAGTTGTTGGGAATGCTTGCTGTTGCCACCCCGGCTGGCCAACTGCCGGGAGGCGTTGCGGTTGCGGTGTGCCAATGTGCACCCCAGATTGGTTATTCGGGGCCCCCGCGTTGCCCGGGCCTGTCCTTTTGACGCTGTCGCTTCTCCAGAGCTTGTTGAACCAACTGCTTCCCTCCTTTGCCGACGTGGTACTCTGAGGAGACTGTACAGCATACGGCCCAGGCCAAACCTGACCTATCTGGATAGTTGGAGGAGACGGCGTCTGTTGTGCAGTCATCCCAGCCCAAAGTGGCACTCCCTGTGTCAACTGGACATTTTGCTGCGGCGCCACTCCTGTTTGAAAGACTTGCGGCCGTTGTCCCGATAGTTGCGGGTATACACCTGACAGAGGTGCTATTCCTTGTGCGGAAGCTACAACAGGCTGCTGGGCATTGCCTGGCTGAAGTGGAATTGGTGTCTGAAGAGCCCCAGGTCCCTGTGGCGGTGCTGGGCTCGTGTATATACCTCCAATCGGCGGTGACTGTATTGTATGTGATGGTGCAGGGTGTATCTGAGGCGGTGCTGTAGGTAGTCGTTGTGGTATGTCTGTGGGTGTTTGTCCCGGGGAGACGACAGATATTGAAGATGAGCGCACTGGGGACTGTACGGTGGGTTTAGCAGGAGGGGATGTGGGCATATGTTGGGGTCTCGTAAGTTGCGCTTCTGCGTGGTTTGTGTCCAAGACCACTGGTTGTGCCGAAGAAGAGGCGGGAGACGTCATGCCCAGACCCTTCTGGGCCGCGAATGACGGCAGTGCGGATACATGTTGTGCTTGGTTAGGTGCTGACCCCTGCTGATGAGCTGTGGGTTCTGGCTCATTCGTGGGAGCCAGTGCGCCATGAGGAATAGTATGACTCGGCAATGATACGGGCTGGGAACCTGTCGACAGGGATGAAGAATGTCCCTGGGCTTGATAGCGCTGCTCTTGAGTAACAACAGTATCCTTGGGATCTGTGGACAACGAGCGAGAGATGGAGCTTCCAGAAGGCTGAGACATTTGCCCAGGCCAAGCTTCTTGTAGGGGTCCAGCCGAAGGACGCTGATGAGAGTATGGCGCTGGGGGAATCTGACGACTAGCGGGTGCTGCACCCCCGAAGGCTGTCCCTTGGGGTATCAATGGTGCAATGGGGGTAACAGATTGAGCACCAATACCAAGGACGCCAGAGGTTATTGTCTGAACTTGACTCGACTTGTCCAATAAAGAGGTTGGTAATTTCCCAGGCAGAACAGACGGGAAGGAGTAGGGATAGCCCTTTGGAGGTGATACCTGTCCCATGAGTGGTCTACCCTGACTTGGGGGTTGGCTCGGCGTGATCATCGTTGCTTGTCCTGGAATGTGATCCTGTGGGACATATGCCTTGTTTTGCGCGGGTTCCGGGGCGAACTGGCTCTGGGCCGCCTGACCCCCGAGCGCCTGCACAGCCTGACTTCCGACAGGTCTGGACTCTTGACTTCGGTGAACAACGGACGAAGTTGCTCGCGGGTCGGGACTGAAGTTCTGGGAACTGGGCGGCTGGGGAGATTGGTAGCTAGGTTGAATTATCGCTGTAGTTTGTGCGCCGCTCGTAGAGACGAATTGGCTGGTATCAGTAGGCACGGAAGGTAATCTAGAGGTTTGGCCCCGAGTTTGCGGCTGATCCTGATCCGTGAGCTTGGAAGGGACCTGTGTTAGTGAAGCAAGGGGGCGTATCTGTGCCTCGTTTGTCAAGACTGTTCCTGCTGACGGTGGATAAAGGGGTCCAGCACTCGGGGCAACGGCGACTGGGTATGAAGAGGGTGACTGGCCCTGCTCTGTTGAGTAGCCAGCAGGGATCGAGTGGCTCAATTGTTTGGCGGGCTCTTTATACTCTTGACTTGGAGGCCGCGGACGGGCATTAGCGTAGTCTTCCACGCCACTATACGCTATTCGCGGCTGCTCGGTGGGTTGGACAGAAGGCAATCCACCCGCTACGGGCGGCGGTGACTGGCCACTGGACTTGGCCGGGGAGGATTGCAGTGTATTTCTCGTTTCGGCAGCTGGCTGCATGGAGGATTCCGAGGGGATGCTGAAGTCAGCTTGCGGTTTAGTCTCTGCAGGTTTGTGCTGGAGCGTTGGTGGTTGCTGTGGAGGCTGGCCTTTCAAGGCAGAAGTTTTTGGAGCGTCGTTGAGATATGTCGGCGGGACTTGGCCCTGTATAGGAGCATGGCTAGGCAAGTACGTAGGTCTTATTTGATCCGCGCCTCCTTGGGTGGGATTTTTTATAGATATATCGGTAGCAGCGATGCTGTATGAAACTGGCGCGGCTTCTTGAAGGGCAGCGGGTTTAGGCGAGGTGGTTGAGCTTCTAGAAACAGTTGCACCAGGATGACTGGTGGTGGCTGCAGGCACAGGCGTCTTGCGGTTTATATTCAGAGGCTGTGGCAAGTCGGGACTTTGAAAGGGGATCGCTGACGAGTAGTTGTGAAAGACGGCCGCGCGCGTCTCTCCTCGCTGTGGAGGCGAAGAAGTTTGGCTTTCTGTTTCTACAATGGGAGGCATGATATTCTGCATAGATGGCGGCGCAGTTGGGGCTGAACGCGGCATTTGCGGACGGACACCCATGTACGGGAGCGCAGGTAAATCGGCCGGAAGAGTGCTCGTTCTTGCAACCCTTGGCCGTGCAGCATCTAATCCCGCGGGAGTCGGCATGTCCTGGCCGAGTCCGGTTTGCTGGAAACCCCCAGCCGAAGCATCTTTGCCCTCTACAGGCGCCCGGTAGGGCCTGTAGGCTTGATACCCTTTATTTGGTTGCGCCAACTGGTCCAAGGACATAGACTGAGCTAGGCTGTGACGGCCGTGGGAAGGCTGGAGGGTAGATGGGGCGGCCTCGGAATGTGTTGTGCCCGTAGAATCCACCCGAGCTGACATTGGTGGCGGACCTTGGTTTGAGACGCTCTGGTATAGCGCACCAGGCCCTTCTTCACTCAGTGGCTGCCTCGGATTTTCAGCATGAGACGAGGCCTGTGTTGCTGATTTTTGCGGCTGCTGGAGGAAGGACGGGACATCCGATATCTGCGAACTTGGCATCCCTGGTTCCACTGGGACCTGGTTTTTCAAACGAGGCTCGTTCTCAGGATGCCGAGATTCAGCACCAGAGGAAGGATTTACGACTCCGGCAACATTTTGTGATGAGTGATGTGGACGATGGCTACTAGCCAAAGGTTTTCTGGAAAATCCGCTTGATTGTGAGGCCTCAAGAGCGCGCTGGGTTGCTGGAGCCTGCGAGGGAGGGGTTTGGTGAGCCTGGAGCGACTGTTCCGGGCCCGAGTTTTGATACACAGGCTGCGCTTGAAGGTTCTGGTTATCTGGAGCCTGTGGGCCGAGAACCTTTTGCTCAACTGCATAGGGGTCCACGAGGTCTAGATGTGCGGGCAGTTCTACAGGAGCCAAGTCGAAAGCATTAGCGTAGGAGGTGGGCATGGCGGGCGCGCCCATGCTCTCGCCTGTCGGCAGCTCCACGGGGGCTGGATTTGTCTCGTCCAAGCATTGGGCGGTTTGCTCGCTGGCAAGCTCGGCCACGAAACCGACAGGAGAAAAGAGGTTCGGGCGGCCATCAGAGAGAGCCATGGGCTGCGCAACTCTGTTGTTGACCTGAGCGTCCTGGTCGAGCTCTGCTGTTACGACATGGTTGAGTACGGGCGTCACAGTGGCAGGTTGGCTGTTGCCGCTGAGGGGGGTGCCTACAGCGCTCGCGAGGGGCGATATGTGCGATCTGTCTGGCTTCGACGGGTCCTTGGCGGGAGGTGCCTCTGCGTCACGAATGCCCTTCCCCCCGCGAGTGCCTTGGCCCAGAGCGAGTTCCTCCTCCTCGTCCTGCTCGCGCAGAGAGCTGATATCGGTATAGGTGCCATACATGAAGCTATCGGGTTGGAACCAGAACCCCCCATCATTATTTTGCAGGGTAGCTGTCGCGGCTGGCGCGGTCGAAGCCGAAGCCAAAGCCGAAGCCGAAGCGGACCCGTCTCGCCGTCTGTTGGTGGGGGGTTTCGAGGAACCTTCGCCGGCGACGCTCCTCCTCTTGACCTGCTGCTGGCTTTCGAGCCGCTCTTCGGGAGCGAGATCGGGGGCAGCGGCGCCTAGGTCGATTTCGGGAAACTCGTCGCCGGGCCTCGGGAAGTTGTATTGGACGAGGCCCGTGGGCTTATACCGGTAAAACCACCGACGTCCATCGTAATCCCACTCCCAGTTCTCGGGGAGCGCGCTCATGTTGGAGCCAACCTCGCCCTACGCTGCGGGCAGCCCGAGCCCCAAGCGTGTCAAATCCGGTAGGGTGATGTTTTAGCTGTCTACGCCGAGATTCTTTCTGTTCAATTGTTGGCGCGCACGCGCGCGAGTGCGTGTGTCGGGGTTCGAGCTTGGAAGGGCAGCAAGAGGCGCGATCGGCGGCTGGTGATCACCGAAGGACGCTGGCAAGACTCGCGGCCGCTCGAAAATCGAAGTCGAGCTTTGACTAGATCATGGTGCGACGGGCAGCGTGGCACGCGAGAGGCGGAAATATCCAATGGGGGCTGTCCAGATTCGGCGTGCGTCTGTTTCGTACCAGAATGTGCACACACAGGGCATCCGCACATATAATACAGGCGTGGATCGCCGTCGATTTCCGCCGAGAAAAACGTCGACGTTAGTCCAGTTGGTCGGTCGGTCGGTCGGTCGACGCCGCCTCTGTGGATTCTTTTCTTCTTCCCCTTGTTGGCAGGGAGAGCAAGGTCCCGAAGCGCTGCTCATCAGCCCTGGATTACCGAACGGCGCGGGGTCCAATGAAAGACGCACGCTTCTAGCCATGGCGTTCTAGGCCTCTAGCCCACGAGGCTCTTATTAGGTCGGCCGATGGATAAGGTAAGGCAATTATTTCAGCTACCTAAGGTCGGTAATGTAAATACGGGAGAATTGGTTGGGCAGATTCGGAAAGCATGCCCAACGCCAGTCACTCCTCCAACAAATGTTGCCCAGCGGCATCGGAAATGCATCTCGATACGGATCATACGTACTCACGAGACGTAGAGTATCGCTTACGTGCATAGATCGATCAGGTATCCTGATCTCCGAACCATTGCAAGGTTGGGTCAGCTGCAATGAGACTGTACCATTGGGTTCGCCTGGAGAGCTGCATTCTCTCATCTCGATCCAGATGAGCTCTGCAACCGGCTCGCGACAAGACCATTGCGGCTCTTCCACACAATTTAGAGTCAATCTAATGGTATTAAAGGCTGCAATCCGATAATGTCCCCTGGAGATTGTGGATGGACCCCTACCCGCGCGACGGGCCGGGAGGTCGGGCTGATTTCAGACGAGCGGAGTGTTCCAGCAGCGCGGCTTCCCCCACATTTCTGGCCTGTCAAGTGTCAATCCCCTACACGACGGCTGTTTATAGGGCGTAGGAGTGCCAGTCTATTCGGATACATTCGCAAAGGCTGTTCTAGCCGCCCTCTAATTCCTGTTGATTTCAGTTCGCACGCTTCCATCTAGGCGAAATAGGTACGGCTACGGAAGAAAGACCGCGCACCTGTGGTTTCCGCTTGTTGTAATTGAAAATCACTCGGGTGTACGGCTGCCGATAACCCTCAAACAAGAAGGAATCATGCTTAGCGGAGCTGTTCTTGAGGTGTCATGATCCACCATGACGTCATGTCGCGTTGTGGTCCAGCGCTGATCACAACCGACCCCTGAGTGATACCGTCAACATCAACCCCAACAAACATCCGCCGAGAATAACAGACAACAGCCCTGATCCCACTCGGCCGTTAGTGACACGAAACAGTCTTGTGCGCTGAAACCGAGCCGTCCGTGTTGGATGGATCCAGCTGTGGAAGGCACGGCCTCGTCAAAAGACTACATCAAGAACTACACTAATTACTTCTAGTTCGTAAGAACATCAAAATGGCAGGCGCAGAGAGTCTGCCAACGCGCCTACTAGATATGTAAGGTTAGTAATGTGTGCTGCTTGTGCGTGTCAAACGCAAAACGTCCGCCGTCAGGCACAAACGGCTTTCCGTCGTTCTTCTGACATCGATAAAGGGGCCGCCGTCGAGTCCTAGTCTGCCATCTAGGCAGCTTGCCTACCGGCTGAGAACGCTACCTGGCAAGTAGTGTTCGGGGATTCACAAGACGCCCGACCAAGGTTTGGACGAAAGGAAGTTCCCACTTTATTCTCACATGTTTGTGGGTCGCTGGCGTTGACGCTGCAGATCGCATCCTCGGATCTGGATGTGGGATGGGGGGCTTGAAGTACAAGACCGGGCAACCCGGGAATTTCGGTGCTCTTACCTCCAAACTGACCGTACTGCGTTCCTTCTACAAGTGCCCCGCCAGTGGATCGCAATGTCGTCGTCGGCAGAAAAGCCCCAGCGCTGGCCAACGCTACACATCCAAATGCCATCCTTTTCAGACCCAAGCCCAGCCGACAAGAGCCCCAAAGCGAAGACCGACCCTAGCCAGCTAGCTCCGGACCTGTCAAATCTGAGTCCTTCTGATTCGAGGGAGGCGGCCAATAGGTTGCATGATGATCTAGAACTTCTGCGCGCCGAGCGCATTGTGTCTCATCAAGAACACGATGACTCGAGCCGCTCTCGTAAGAGAAATAGCTCAGAGGATGGCGGCGACGCCTTCAACACCGCCGCTCCTACCGCCCCCGCAGTGTCTGGCACGCAGAAGAAGACGTGGCTCACTAAACTCTGGGCCTCACTGAGGAAGTTCCCCCGCGTCCTTCGCTACATTCTTTACGCTATCCCGCCAGCCATTCTCATCTTGATCCCCGTCTTTCTGGACTTGTTCGCATACGATAGCGATTCGGAGCCCGTGGGCGGCGAGGGCGGTGTTCAACTCCTGTGGTTTGGCATATGGCTCGAGGTCATTTGGCTTACGCTGTGGGCGGCCCGAATTGTCACCTCTATCATGCCCGCGACGGTTGCTTTCATCGCTGGCACAGTAGGGTCTAGCAGCCACAAGAAGTGGAAAGACATTGGAGGCCATCTAGAGTTTCCCACGGCCCTGTTTCTCTGGATGTTGTCCGTGCTAGTCTCATACCATCCCATACTCGACTCTCACCGAGGCCCCGATAGCTCGGAACCAGAGGGCAATCTGCCGGATATCGCCTGGATCGGGGTCGCCTTCAAAATCATCATCGCCTTGTTCGTCTTGGTCGCGCTGAACCTCTTCGAAAAGATATTGATCCAATGGATTGCAACCTCCTTTCACCTTCGCACCTATTCGCACCGGATCAGGGAGAACCAGATGCAAATTGGATTCCTAGTCATTCTATACTCATACGCCAAGAGCCGTGTAGAGGTTCACGATCTCGTTTGGGATTCGTCTGATCCAGGGACTGGCAGCCGAACACCAATGAAGGCCATCCAAACAAATGCTCGGCAGGCGTTGAGCAAGGTTGGAGACGCCGCGACTCGCATGGCTGGCGACTTTACTGGGAGAAAAATTCTCAAAGGTGATCACCCCCGGAAAGTGGTTTTGGAGCTGCTCCGTAATACAGCGGCCAGCTATGCACTTGCAAGAGTTTTCTACCGCAGCTTTGTAAAGCCAGACAAGTCGACGATCAGGATGGAGGACTTGCAGCCAGCCTTCACGGCAACAGAGGACGCAGAAGCGTGCTTTGGTGTCTTTGATAAAGACCTCAATGGAGACATCTCCATGGAAGAGCTCGAAATGGTGTGCAACGAGATTCATCTAGAGAAGAAGGCCATTGCGGCATCTCTAAAAGATCTTGATTCGGTTATTAAAAAGCTAGACGAGGTGTTCATGTTCGTCATCCTTGTCATCGTCATCATTGTCTTCATCAGCATCCTCTCCAACTCTGCCGCTGCAGCTTTGACCTCGACGGGAACTGTCATTCTAGGTCTATCTTGGCTGCTCCAAGCGACAGCACAAGAGTTTTTGCAAGTAAGTCCAAACTTCGCACACAACCCCGGATCCCCATCTGTGACTGACTGCCTCCTAGTCTATCATCTTTGTTTTTGTCAAACACCCGTTCGACGTCGGCGACCGGGTCACCGTTTACGGGAATACTGGCTCGATGATGAAAGGAGACGATTACTACGTCCTCGAGGTCTCTCTTCTCTACACCGAGTTCAAGAAAATGGAAGGCCACGTTGTACAGGCCCCGAATTCCCTCCTGAACACGCTCTTCATCCTTAATCAGCGGCGAAGCCAAGGGCTTGCCGACCCAATTAACCTAAAGCTTCGTTTTGGGACGTCCGAGGCGCAAATCGAAGAACTCAAGTCTCGTATGCTAGAATTCTGCCTGCAAAACAAGCGAGACTATGCCCCGCGCATCATCTCAGAGGTGCAGACCATCGACGAGGTATACAGCATCACGATGAATATCATCTTCTTTCACAAGAGCAACTACCAGAATGAGCTGCTGCGGCTCACTAGACACAACAGGTTTGCCGTGGAGCTGATGCACCAGATGTGCGACATGGGTCTAGAAGGCCCAAGATTTGTGCAACCAGGAGGAATGCGCGACATGCCCATGTACTGGTCACAAGTGAATAGCTCCCCAGCGTATAATCAGAACGCGGTCCCGGAAACACCGCCACAACAGGTTTCCAGTCCGGCGGCGCGCCGCAGAGGGGCCAGCATGGCAAAGTCGGTTGTGGAATCGGGGATGGATTTCCAAGACGTGTACCAACACCGACGACAGGACGGCGGCATCGCCAGGCTGGCCTCAATCAGCCAATCTCCGAGGGAGGAAGACCCGGACGGGGGGTTAAACTCGCGTATGGAAAAGGTCGCGAGCAGAGGCAGCCAAAATTCACGACAGAGAGCATGGGGCCGCCCAGCAAGCCGGTCAGACGCCGCGGGCTCGGTAAGCAATGCTGTGTGATATTGTGGGGGAAAGAAAGTAGGGCAGGGACGACGATTTGGCGTTTGGACCGTCAGCTTTGTGAGAAAGCAAAGTTTCAGAACATAGTTTTCAATGTAAATTGCAACCAAGACCCAAAAGCGCCCTTCCTAAACTCCGATTGTAGACTTGATATTAAGTAAAAAGAGCCCAATGCCATCTCCCCCCAATACGGACAAACTCTGCTCCCACTCCAACCCCCTCCCTTCCCCTCCACATGGTCACCCAAAATGCCTACTGGCGAGCACAAGTCAAGTTCGCCTTCAAGACATCACCGCCAGCCCCCGGATTGATCTGGCACGTTGCGATGAGGCCACCCTGAGAGCCAATGTTGATGTCTCTGGGGTGCGCGGTATCCAGGCGCTGGTGGTTGCCGCTGTCGGTGTCGACGGTGATGTCGGTGAAGACAATCGGGTCGAAGCCGGCCAGCGGCCTGGGCTTGTCGGGCCCTATCCAGCCGTTGAGGGGCGACTGCTCGATCATGACGTTGCCCTCGGTGCGGCAGAGCAGGCGCCCGCCGTTCATGCCCTGCTTGAAGTCGTAGAAGGCCGTGTGCAGCGGCTTGTCGCCGACCTTGTAGTTGGCGCCGGCCTTGAAGTTCTCGAAGAAGACGGCGCCCGTGTCCGCGGCCTTGGACGTGACCGTGATACGGATCAGGTCGCCCACGTCAAGGTTCAGGTCGCCCGCGGGGGGGTTTAGCCCGTTGTCGGCCGTCATGCCCTGCGGCGACATGAAGGTGATCCACGGCCTCGGGCGCTCTTCGAGCTTGCCGTCCTTCCAGCTGAGGCTGATGCCGCCCTTGAGCCACACGGCGCCGGCGCAGGCGAGCTGCAGGCCGTCGATGCCGACCCAGACGGCCAGCGCCGAGTCCGTGTTGCCGGCCGGCGTCCCGGGCGGCGTCTTGGGCGGCGCCCGGATGCTTGGCACTCGGAACGTCGCCGCCACCAGCTTGATGTCGGTGTCAGCGATCGACACGCCGCCGTTGATCATGTCGGCCCGCGGGGCGAGGACCCCCGCTGCCGCCGCGCCCGAGATGTGGGCGCAGAGCAGCGCGGCGATGCCGGCTACCGACTTCATGGTTCTGCTTACGTGGGTGGATGCCTAGCACTTACAGCCTCTGGCAAGGGAGGCAGAGCTAGATGGTGGAGCGTGGGAAACGAAACAAACAGGTAGTAAAAGAGTAAAGGAATGAAGAGAGAGCGAGTATAACGAAAGGAACGCGAAAGACTTATTAAAAGTTAGGAAATGCTTTTAAATAAAGCTGAAGGATAGTCGCGGGTTGTGAATGGAAAAGGGTTGAGATGGTGGGAAGCGACATTGGCCGAGATATATAGAGAGAATGTCAAGACAAAGCCGTAGGGAGAGGCCGACGAACTATTGAACCGGTGGGTATATTCGAGAACATCTTTCTCGTCGTTTTTTCCCGCGCCCCTGGTTCTTCTCTCGCTCGCCAGCGTGGGTTAAATTGGGGCCACCCTGAGGAGGGCTTGCCCCATAGTTTCGTTTCTCATCCCATGTGTAGCAGACAGTCTGGGGATGCCCTACGTCCCATACTGTGAGGGGCCTTTCCAGCCCACGGCCCACCCATGGGCGGATGGCTTGTCGCACGATGGTTCGCGGGAAGGGCTGAGTTGGCCTGCACATCGACGACCTCTTCTTGGTCTTGCTGCTAAGGGGAGCATCGTGGTGAGTGGCTAAGGTAGAGACGGGCCCGCCTTGCTAGCCATCAACACCAACACGAGGATTAACACGAGGACGGTGTCATTGTCCTGTCCAGACCACGCGCGCGGAGGGAGAGAAAGGTATGAAGCTGGAAGAGTTAGTGAAGCGTGGGGAGGGAGAGGAGAAGAGATGAAGAGAAAGACGGGGAGAGAGGGCAGCCCAGAGAGAAAACGAGATGGACGCTGGCGCAAGGATCTCAGGTAGGGTGATTCACTACGTCGCCAACTGCGTTCGCAGTCTGAACTGTTCCGAAAAAGGACTCATTTTGCTCATTCTCGGGCCGGATTTGCTTGCTCCTTCGCAAGTCTAAGTCTGGCGGCATAGCAATTCGGAAATGGTTTCATGTAAGCAAGACCTGGTTGGTTGAGGGTTGATCGGTTGAGAGGCTGATGATTAAGGTGATAGGTAAGGAACTGGGGCTTTTGGGGGGGGAGTAAAGGTTGTGTAGAACAAAAGAGAGCTGCGGCCGGGGCGGCAGGTTGGTCGGCCATGGGGAAAGCACAAGCCCTTGGACGGTCTGAACGCTACAAGATGGAAACCACTTGTATCAAGACGAGCCGCGAATGTGGCCCTGCCTCCACAAGTTAGGCGAGGCAGGCCAATTGGTTTCCGTCCTGGGCATTTGGTGCCAGTTGGCCGGGGCTAGGCCCCGCGGGTCCCGGCTGCGGTGACTTGCATACATACCTTTACATAGCAGACCCGGGCCTCGACCCGGCCCGGACTCCCAACCGGCCGGGTAGTCCGAAAGCTGACAACGATCGGGTATTCGTCCACGCTCCCGTCGGTGTTACAAATCTCTCAGCGCCGTGCCGAGTAGAAGGATGGAAGACAGGCCGTCTGCCTGGCCGCGCCGTGCAGAAGACAGACGCTCCAATCGGAGAAAAAAGAGGTTCGTCTGTACCACGTGGAGGAGCTCTGGGCCGCTCTCAACGCCGCCTTCGCCGCGGTGTCTAAAGGACGATCCCAGAATTTCGGTGTCGCAGGAGTAAGCATCCCAAAACACCGGACTCCGAGGAGAGCACCAACACTAGTAACGCCGCTAGTTCTCGTTCGTCCATTGTTCGTAGGAGCTGCTGCGGTTCTGATGATGATGTGTTGGAGAGACAGAGACGGGACTGGAGGCCCACTGCTCGGCTATCCTCACCACCCCCGGACCGAAGGCACTGCCATCATCCGACCCGCTCGTGCAGTGTCGCGCTGCCATTTCACACCGTCGCCAATCATATCCATCAACTCAACCGATCTACTAGATAGATAGATCGATCGATCGATCGATCGATCGATCTAGGTACCACAAGTTATAAGTACTGCAATTCCTAGCTCGACGGAGGGCATGAAAGATGCCGTGTCGTCGTCACGTGTTGGACCGGGGACGGACAGCGTGCAACGCAATGCAGATGCCTTGCACTTGCCGTTCGAGGCACAGCCAACCCGGGGCAGCGTTGACTGTGCCTTCCTGTCATGTTTCACCGGTATTTCGTATGACCCACCAAGTACTACATACAAACGGATGGATACCGCGAACGGTATCATCCCTTTTGGTTGCCAGCTTGGCATCGCCTCAGAATAGAGGAGACTCTCAGAACTCAAGTGATTCTGAGCCAATTGCCATTCGGAAAGAAGTTCAAAACGCCAAAATAGCTGGATCTCTCGTTGAAATAATTGAATCTTCACAATAGGGGTTTCCGGTGCTGAGCCGGTAGCCGAGGGGAGGATGGATGGATTCGGCGCAGCCAGTTTAGAATCATGACCTAACACCAACATGTCGTCTCACTGCCACACCTCCCCTCACCTCACCTCATGGCCATGGCATTCGTAGCACAAAGCTCCACGACTCTAGAACAACCGGCTAGGTAGTTGCTCCTTCAGTTTCAGACCGGACAAAAGAAGGTTTGTTTTAGGACATAACAACAGCCTACACAAAACATTCGAGAAAGACCGCCTGTACTCTTTCCCGGGAACTACTAACATGTACACTGCAACCCTCGCTCCTTTCTACAATCCGAAAAGACGGAAATGACATGGTCATGTTCAAGAGACCACAACCTTCCAGTCTGCTCCAATCCTTGCCCCCACCTTCTTGACCGTCGCAAACGACGCCCGCCCGTGCGCGGCAGCCGAGTAGTCCAGCGACGCCGGCCAGGACTTGCCCTCTGACTCTACCGTGGCCTGCTTCTTGGCCCACGACGCTGGTGCGCCAACAATCACGATTCTGTCCACTTTCACGTCGTGCATCTTCTTCATCCAGTCGCCCTCCTTGACGCTGCTGGGGTCGCGGCTCTCGGCATCGGTCGACGATATGGTCGTCGCTTCCCCATTCAACACGAACTTGCGGTGGATGTACTGCCCCTTCTCAAAGTCGTACGACTCGCCGTCGTCCACATAGAGGTCGCCCTCGGCCGACTTGCCGCCATCCCGCCCGATGGTGACGACGAGCGTGTAGTCGTCCCACTTCATCAGCGAGCTCGACCGGCGCGGGCGATCGCGACGCGCAAAGATGTGGCCGCCCTGCATAAGAAGCGGAATCTTCTGGAGCGGCGCGTCGATGGCCGCCCTCTTCCCCTTCGACGTAGGGATGGTCTTGTAAGTGAAGTAGTCGTAGTACACCTCGTTGTCCGGGATCCAGATTTCGGCCGTCACCTTGTCCTGCTCAGTGACCGGCTTGGCCAGCAGACCCGTGTTGCCGACGAAGAACTGGTCGTCAATGTCGTAGCCGGCCTCCTCGCCGGGGTGTGTGTAGAACATGGGCTTGATGATAGGCGTGCCGTCCACGTATGCCTGGTGGAAGGCTGTGTACCACGACGGCAAAAGGCTGTAGCGGAGACGAAGGGCCGCTGCGATGATCGACGTGTACGGCTCGCCAGCCAGGTAGGGCTCACGTCGCCGAGAATCAATGTGCGCATGGCCGCGGAAGAAGGGATAGAAGGCGCCAGCCTGGTACCACCGAGTCTGGAGGTCCTTCTCGGGGTTGCCAAAGAAGCCGCCCACATCCGCGCCAGAAAAGGGGAAACCAGAAATTCCCTGGCTCAGAATCATGGGGAAAGATGCGTGAAGATGGTCCCACGCCGCTTGGTTATCACCAGTCCACATCGCGCCGACACGTTGAGACCCGGAAAAGAAAGACCGAGTCAGTACGAACGGGCGCTGAAGCTCGCCAGGCTCGCGCGACTTGACGGCGTGATGAGTGGCGTTGTGGAAAGTCATTCCATTGAGGTTATGCACGTCACGATGCTCCCAGCCGCCGTAGTGAATGTTATCCTTGGGCATGGTCGTCTCTGGTCCGTTGAACACGGAGGGCTCGTTCATGTCGTTCCAGATCCAAGTGTTCTTCATGGTGCCCTTGAAAGAATCGTACTTGAAGAGGGTCGCCCACCACTCCCGAGCAGCAGGGCTAAAGGCGTCGATCCAATGAGACGAACCCGGCCAGCACCAGCCCTCGAATATACTTCCTTCCTTGTTCTTCACCGCGTGCTCCTTGGACTTGAGCTCGGTAACGACCTGGTAGCCTTCGGCGTTCTTGATGTGTGGGTCAATAATCGTGACCAGCTTCCGGCCGTGGTTATCTAGTTGTTTGCCCATGCCGATAGGGTCCGGGAAGGTGTGCTTGTCCCAAGTGAAGTACTTCTTCTCGTCTGTGTACTCGATGTCTAGCCAAATGACATCGTAGGGCAGGTTGGATTTGTCCATCTTGCGGTCGACATCCCTGACGTCCTCGTCCGAGACATAGTTCCAGCGGCACTGGTGATAGCCCAGGGCGAACTCCTGCGGCATGGCCGTGTACCCAGTCAACTCGCCGTATTTCTTGGTGAGGTCCTGGGGGGTCGGGCCAAGAAAGACAAAGACGTCCAAAAGACCGCTTTCCGAAAACCAGTGAGTGTGGGTACTTGTCTTGGAGCTACCGCCCAGGGAAAGCGGGTTCCGCCAGTCCTTGGCCTTGATAATGTCAATCCACGTCTCGGCTGCGTTGAGCCAGAAGACCCCGACGCTCGACCCCTTGCGATGAGCCTGCATGAATGGAATGGCGCCGTACAGCGTCATTGGACTGTCGAGGATGTATTCGAAAACATCGGCGTTGTAGAGCCGATAAGGCTCGCTGTACTTGCCCTCTCCACCGCGAGTCTCCCTGAGGGATAGCGGCCCAGCGTGGGACGGGATACCGTAGACGTGATCAAATCCCGAGAAGGAAATGTCGAGCGCAATGCTCTCGGGGCCGCGGGGCTTGGTGTCGGTGTTGCCGCCGAAGCTCTCGTCCCACCAAGTGCTCTCATCTTCCCCACTGGAACTGCTCCCTTCTTTATTTTCCAATGTCGTCTCTTCCTTCTTTTCTCCCCCATCGCCCTCGCCTTCCTTCTTCTCAGTCTCGGGCTGCTCGATCTTAGGCCTCCAGTGCTCCACATTCAACAAGCCCCGATCGTTAAACTTGATCTGACTCTCTCCATCTCGCTTGAAGTCAATGGTAAATGGAGAAAGCTTGATGACAGCTTCAAAGGCGGACGACGGGCCGTATTTGACCGTGGTCTGCGATTTGTCCTCGAAGCCGACTGTAGCCTCCTTGTCGAGACCTAGGCCGCCCACAACAACCCATTCTTCAGCCTCATTGTAGCGCTCCTTCCTCACCTTGCTGTCGTATCGCAGTTCGATTTCCTTGTTCTGTCTCTTCTCCTCGTCGACCGTGACCCGAGCCGTTCCTGATTCGAGGAACGAGACGGTAAGGGGTAGACGGACAGTGTCGCCCTTGGCATTGATGGTCTTCAAGACGATAGCTTGGAATTGGCCGTCTTTAAATGATCTGGACTCGGGTAGGATATTGTAGGGTGACTCCCACGAGCTCGACGCGCCGGCGTTGTCTGCGAAGACTCGATTGCGCTTGCAGAAACCGGACTGGTCGCACTTCTTAAAGTCGTGCTCCTTCACCGAGACTTATTGGTGTCAGGTCAGATCCAAAGTGCACAGCAGCAGGGAGATTGGCATTTTGAGCTGCCTACCTGCCGGAGTCCATAGTGTGCAGAGGGTGGACAGCAGACAGAGAGATGCTGTCCACTTCCCGGACAGCGGGCTCGAGACGAGCATGTCGGGCGCCCCTCGCTGGATGCGCCAGAGAAAGACAGCGGCAAAAAAGGTAGCAACAAGCAATGAAAGGGACGCCTGGCCACTATATACAGCTCATTAAGGAAATAACTGAAGCTTTTACTCGCTCCGATTTCGTCTTGTAAAGTCGTCTCGAGGCCGCGCAGTTCCTAGAGTGGTTGCCCTGTTGCGTTTCGATGGGGAGGGGCGATGGACAAAGGTAAAGCTGTCTCTTGGAGCACCCCTGCACTAGACTGAATCGACCAAAATGACGGTTGCGCACTCACTTTCGGACACCTTTCCCCTGACCAAGCGGCACTTCAACCGGGACTCGCGATTAGCGCATAACAGCCGATTGAAGCATAATTAAATTGGTCTCTTAGCGAAGGAGCTGATGGATAAAACCATAACTCTTTGATCGAGGGTACCACAACGCTGTGCACTTGATCAATTCACGAGTATGTTTGGGAGAGCAAAGCTGGAGACGCAGCTGCAAGATGCGATTGCAAGTGGGTAAAGGATGTTGCAGCTTCTAAGACTACCTAGAACCCGGCATTGTTGTGTATTCATCTACGTGTTTGGTAGGTAGTGGAAGAAGTGCTGTAATAACCCTACTACTATCGCTCTGGGTCTCTCCATTCGGCCAGATAACCGAACGGACCTCATCAAATTCACGGAGTGGCTTGTCCTGTTGTCGTACCTACCTATTTGCTGCAGACACAACTTTGAACGACGACAGTCCTGTTCACCGATTGTAGAGTCTCCTTGTGCCCTCTTGCCCCGGCCCTTATTTCACTGGACGTGAATGCAGACATGCCCAATGGCCAGGCGACGGTGAAGCCAGAGGAGCATAACCTATTAACTTTGGACGGCGGGAGCGGGCCCTCAGGGCTGCGGCGGAAAAGTGACCAACGAGAGACGCGAACACGGGCACGAAACTGGACCCCGCCGCTAACATTTATTTTGGGCGCCGCCTGCGGCATTCTCATCGCCCTCGTCTTTTGCTCCCACCGTTCCGTCTTCTCCCACCAACTCAGCTCGACCAAGGATCTTCCACCAGTCCAAATCTCAAGCACGCCGTCTCCCCAAAAACCTCTCTCTATTCCCCAGGTCTCTCCAAATTCAGAAACCGCCAGAATGTCTATCACCGAGCAGACGTGAGATTGCCCCTCGCCGCCGCCAGGCACACATTCGTGCCCCTCCATTACCCCGCCATTGTCCTTTTTTCCCACACCGTTGTTTTGCGAGGCACAACAGCCCAATTCGTCTGGCCATGGACTAACTTGGGCGGCAGCTTCATTGCCATCAAGCCCGATGGCGTCCAGGTATGTCAAAAACACGCTGCCACCTTTCGACGCCCACTCTAGAATCGCATGCTAACGTCTTGCAGCGTGGACTAGTCGGCCCCATCATCTCCCGCTTCGAGTCCCGAGGGTATGCACATCGAGCGAAATTCCGACCACGGGCGGGGCCAATGTATACATTACACTGTGCTGACAGTCTGAAATAGCTTCAAGCTGGCTGCCATCAAGCTCGTCACCCCGGGCAAAGAGCACCTCGAGAAGCACTGTTCGTTCCCCGATATCCCGGCCCCCAAAACAGGCCCCTGTAGCCTAAGGTTTCTGACCGCCTCGCAGATGACGACCTCAAGGAGAAGGCCTTTTTCCCCGGCCTGATCGCCTGTATGTTTACCGTCATGTCTGATTCTTGGGTTCTTGCTAACCTCTACTGTAGACATGAACAGCGGCCCGATCGTCGCTATGGTCTGGGAGGGTCTTGATGCCGTTAAGACCGGCCGCTGTGAGTTTTCCACGATCTCTTGACACGAAGCTTAAGAAACTAACATTGTCGTTAAAGCCATCCTTGGTGCTACCAACCCCCTGGCATCTGCCCCGGGTACCATTCGCGGGTGAGTTGATCTCACCCACTGTCTTAGACCCTACCCTAAAATCCTTCATCTCTATCTCGCCATATCGCTCCTTGTTGGTCCTCACTAATCACTGTTCCCAAAAACCAGAGACTATGCCCTTTCCATGGGACGCAACGTCTGCCACGGCTCCGACAGCGTCGAGAACGCCAAGAAGGAGATTGCTCTGTGGTTCAAGGAGGGCGAGGTTGTTAGCTGGAAGTCTGCTCAGGAGAACTGGGTCTTTGAGTAAGCCAGTGCTCTTTGTATCTTGTTAGACGCGTAAGAACGACATATACTCTTCAGGGAAACCTGAGACAATCCAACCGGTAATTGGTATAACCAGAAAGCCATGAAATTTAGAGCTACGCGTGCTTGATATATTCCCGTGTTCTTTGTCTTCCAAATTGTGGGGCGTTTATACGGACTTTCGTCGAAGATGTCTCACAACCGGCGTGGTACATTGAATGAGGTAAAGAAAATAAGCTTGACGTTACTCGCCCATCTACCACGGAAGCAAAAAGTCAAGTATGTACTTAACTATAAAACTTCTATAAGCTGTCAACTTGCAATTTAAGCATCACAATTCCAGGAGGCTGATAGTTGTTGGCTGCTGCAGTAACAAGATCTTTGTGACACAACTTCAGTTAGATAGCATCAGGACAATAAAGAGTATTTGCCATCAGCTGCTCGGGCTTCGGTCTCCAAGTGACGTTTCTAGGCCCTTGAAGTTGGTTGAGACCGAGTTAGGAAACCATTGACAACCATTGACAAGGAGCGGTAGCAAATAATGCCGAGTGCAGTGAGCGGCTGGCGATGCGCCAAGCGTCGTGAACTAAAGCGCGCTATACCGGATTTGAGACTGGTGTGAAAACACCAGTCTCAAATCCGGTATTGTGGCTTTTTGAACTACTATTACGGCTACGTGCATACGTCGTAGAAATGCCGAGGCAGATGCGTGTGGGTTGGCGCTTGTTTCTGTCTAGCCCCCTTACTCAAATTTTATGACAATATGAGAGACTCAATTCATTATCCATAATCGTGTCATGTCGCAGCTCCGCCGGCCCGTGCCCCTTCCCCAATAACCCGTATGTGGGCTCCAGCTCCTGACCCGTTCTCGTCGTCGACTAAGGTCTACTCTATCTCCACCGGCTCATCATCCGCGCTGGGACGTGGAGCGCCGCATCTCACCATCCTCGGCTCGGTCCGGCATCCAGGATCTACCTCCCACACGATGCGCGCCCAGCAACTCGCTGGACGGATCCCGACGACACCGAGCAGCGCCGGCGGCATTCTCGGGCTGCCGCGACGCTTTCCTCGGCCATGCCGCCAGTCTCGATTCCGGTTCCAGCTGCAAACGCGGCGCATTCACAACCTCAACAGCACTAATACCACAACTACAACCACTTCAAGTAGCAGTAATGGCAATGGCAGGGGCGGCAAAAGCGCTTCCGACGCGACGTCGCTGCCGCCACCGCAGCACACTCGAACAACCAGAGCCGAGCGCATCCTGTCGCGGCTCCCGCCGTCGCTCCAGAAATACACGAGCCGGCTGCGCGGCGCGCCCGTGACGCACGTGGTCGCGTTCCTGATCCTGCACGAGGTGACGGCCGTGGTGCCGGTGCTCGGGCTGTTCGGACTGTTCCACTACACGGACGCGGTGCCGACGGGGTACGTCATGGAGCACTACGGCGGCGTGGTGCGCGAGGGTGTCGGCCGCTTCGAGCGCTACTTTACCAGGAAGGGCTGGTTCGGGTTCGGCGGCGGCGACACGGCTGCTGTAGCGGTAGTTGGTGGTTGCGACGGCGCCGTCGAAGACGCCGACGCCGACGCCGTTCTGCGGAACTTGGAGAGCGGCGGCGGCGGCGCCCCTGGCAAGTACAAGATCGTCGTAGAGGTGGCTCTCGCGTACGCCATCACCAAGGCTTTGCTTCCTGTGCGCATCGTGGGGAGCGTCTGGGCCACGCCGTGGTTTGCGGGCGTCTTATCCCGCTTGCGGCGCCTTCTTGCGCCAAACCGGTAGGAGATTACAAAAGAAAAAGAAGAAAAAAAGGAGAAAGATAAATAACACAGGCTTTGAGCCACGTCTTATCCCTTTTACTTGTATTAGCTATTTAATCTGAACGAAGGTAGGAGATTCTGGAAGCCTCATCACATTTCATCGGTTTCTTTTAGGGTCATGTTGCAATCCCTCGAAGCTGACTGTTGAAGGCCTAGACTCTCAAATAGGCTCTTAGTCTATAACCTCGTCATCTGTAGGTCATCTAGGTGAGCTGTCTTCTTTAAGCGGGCCCTATCAAAGACCGGTCGCCGTCTCTCTACGCCCTTCCTGGCTTCCTTCCCTCTGAGTGCTGGGCTATCTCCTCCTGGACTCCGTCTTGCCCGGATTGATCCTCGATATGCCCTAGTTAGGCATATATATTCCATCAAATGATCAAAGCTGAACCAGGAGGGGAGCTTCCGTGACTGGTTGGCCTCGAATTTTCCAACGTCGTCTATTCGGTGCTTGTATAGTCGATGAGTCAAGACAACTAATACCCCGCAGTAGCGTGGAAAATATCAACAAGGTTATTGGCAACCGTTTGTATTCCTCCGGCGCAGCTCCACAATGCTCCCATCTCCTGTATACACTTTCTAGGTTGCCCTCCTGATATTTGAAACACTTCACGCCAAGCGATCCCCCCTTTCTCCACACTTCACGGGAGCTATATCGCATCAAAACTCACTCACAACGACGCCATCATCGAGCATACTATGTAGAGACCGTTTCTGAGGATGCTACGCAGAGAACCAGGCACTCCAGGAGACCAGTATTGCCTATAAGCAATAGAAGGAGATACAGTTGTGTCTAAAGTGAAAATGCCGTTGGAGGATGAAATAGGAGGTCTGAGGGGGCGTTGCGGAATACTCATGAGTGAATATGCGCTCCTCTTCAATCGTTATATGTATGGTACCTTGACTTGGACGATGAAAAGTCAAGGACATTGAAATGGCATAATTCCCTCTACACTGTTTTCGTTTTGTCTTTAAGCAAATTTCCAGGAAAGTGATCTCACCCGCCGCAATGAGACATGTAAGCTATGAAGTCACTGGGTGCCGTCATTGACCATTGCATAAAATTAGGAGTTAAGATGAGGGGTCAATCCTATCACAGTCACACGATAGTCGCATCCGGTCTCATTCGTCGAGGGCCACGAGCGATGCGAGATATGGACGCCACGTTTCCAGCCGCCCACTGGTATCTTCTGTTCTTTGGCCCCGAATTAATTTTGAGAGATATTGTAGTGTCAGTGCCTGATTCTGGAACACAAATGATTGAAGCATGGGATGAAAGCTTTTTGTTTCATTTGGCCCCACCGAGGCTCATCATAGTATACGCTTCCCTATTTCAGCGAATCCCAATATCTTCCGACCTTGCAAATAGTTCTAGAGCCCCCATTAATAAGAGTATAATACTTCACCCCCGGGTACGGATGCCTTACCCAAGTCTGAGTTTCCGTTGTGGATCACGAGTTAAATCTTAGGTCATAATTCTCGCAGTTGCACCACGATCAAAATTGATTGCTGGCATACAATTAGATGGCAAATACGTCAAGGGCAATCAAAAGTCATGGCACTCTGGTCGTATTTAATTAATCAGGCATGGCTCCACCTTCAATCTCTCTCTCCCTTTCTCTCTGTGTAGTCTTGATCTACCAGGGTGGGTATTGGGGTGGCTTAAATATCTTGAAGCTACCTAACATCATTCTCACCGCAATTCTGCACTGTTAGGTGGCGGGTGCATTTAGTTCCGGACGAGCTGCCACACGTGTAAGTGCCTAAGTGGCTGCTCGCATGGAACCGTTAAGAATCGGTAACGTACTCTTCCAAACCAGGACTCGAATCCTATTCGCCAGACGAGTTTCACGCATATAGGTGCCACATTGTTTTTGTTTTTTTGAGACGCGGGGTCGCCAATCATATTTCTTTTTTCTCTCAACAAACAAACTCCCGGGCCTCGTGAACACGCCGTGAAAACAACGGGAGCTGCTAGAAAATCTGCCTCGCCAGAGAGCGCGGGGTTTCGCGTCTCGACTTGTAACTCAGCGACCGGGCCAGAGCGGAACCAGATTCAGCGTCCATGCCACACTGAATTGCAGACCTAGATTCTGTGAATAGTGGCAGATGCCCAATTCGGGGACTGGAGGTGGTATGCTGGAAACTAAAAGGGTAGGTCTAGGGGAAGAGTTTGTTTCATTTGCAACTGCCTAATACTTTTTGTACTTTTCCTGCCGCAATGCGGAATATAGGCGTGGGCTTAGCGAGTTGTGTGCATCATCTTTCGGGAACCGCGAGGATGTTTCGCTGGTCCGTCCATAGATAGGTTTTCATTCTGTAAGGATAACCCGCCATTTATTTGGGAATGAAGTGGTGCTGTTGATGCAGGTTAGGGCCGCTCAAAGCATGTGGATAACATGACAGCTATGCCCTTTCTCCGGCTTGAAGCGCAATTCGAATTACATTTCGTCTGCCTACCCGTTGGGAAACACCTAAGATGCTAGCTTAGATGGCTTGTATCTTCCGGGTTGGCTGCCCTGCCCGAGGTACAGAGTAACCGTATTTGCTAGACGGACACCTCTAACGGTGCAGTGTGCGACGGATGCCGTTGACGGGCGGGACATGGCACCAGGGCAACCAAATAGGCATACGGTGCAGAGACGGGGAAACAATGTTGCATGCAAAATATTGTTCGTAGGATGTAGAGGGGGCGAGTTATGGATGGGAATTGGACACTCGAGCAGTGGAAGATGCGGCAATAAACTGACGTGAAGAGGGCGACGACAAAATCCTGAATATCGTGTTTTGGTCTGGTAGGAAAAGCCAGTGTCTTCACGCGAAAACAAGACTTTAAATTTTGTGTAATCCAAGCCCTGGAAGACATGGTGGCACAGTAATGCTTCCTCTGAATCGTATTTTGGCGACGTATGAGCAGGAAAAGAGACGGAAGTTGCAGTGAGATCACGAATGGGGCCCAGTAAACAACAGCCTTCGTGCATTTTGGTAAATATTCTTGGTGGTAGCCGTTGGTATGCCGCATCAGTTCCACGTTACCAGGAAACTGTTTAGAGCGCCCGTTTACGTTGTGTCCATCCTCATTCCCCAAAACACCACGAACAAACAAAGTATACTATTTTTACCACCCCTTGACCGCGTAGTGCCTGGCGTGGCGTGCGACATCTAATCTCTTTCCGGCTCGACCTCCCCAAACTACATGACGTTTTGCGTCGCCTTTCAAGGCCACAGTCTTGCCATCGTCTGATGGTGTTGTGTAACTTCGTTTGCCTGGCTGTCGTTTGTCGGTTCCTCGTGATCGGTCTCGTTGAACTGAGGACTTAGCGTCGGGTTTAGCGTCGAGAGAGGGAGGAAAAATCTCAACCGGCTAGCCGGCCGCATTTTTATCGGAGGTCTTGGTAGAGTTAGGATAATCTTGGGAAAGCCGATGCAGGGTCTTTACTTATTAGTTTTATCCTTCCTTTCCTTCTTTTGATCCTTGCTCTCCGGCTGCCCTTGATTGCTGGGCGACATGTTGTCGGGGGTTGAAAGAAAGTTGAACGTGTGCAGAAAGAATAGAGAAACAGAGGAGCACCTCTCAAGTACGTACTTGGTAAAGGCCCCCAACAACGCGTCAAAATGTAAGAGTGTGTGTGGGCAAACAACAGACAGGTCCTCTCCAAGGGCTATTGCCCTGGCCTGGATACGTCAATGGCAATCTTTAGTTGCTTCCCCCGACACACAGGGCCGAATCTGGCAAATCATGAGAAGACCACTGGGATTACGTTCTTTCCCGCTTGCTCGGCTCGTCCGACTACCCTCCGCAATGCCACTAACGTTTTGGAGTCAGTTTGCACGGGCACCCGTCTGCTTGGCCATTGGCTACTTCAGACCTGCCCACTTCAAACAATGACCGGTCTCGGCACGGTGGCGTGGACGTTGGGCATAACAAGAAGATAAACGCGTTCCTGAGGCCGCAAGCAAGGAGGTACCAAGAGTGGGACCTCATCCTCCCGCCTCCCGGTCCCGGATCTGGTGGCTCAGACTGCTTGGCTAGCAGCGTCTCGCCCTTGCAACAAGTTGCCATTATCCCCAATGGCCTGAATCGGGATCGAGGCCCTTCTTGCCTACCTCCTTTGCGTTTGTCGAACCATCAGTTGGGGAACCGTACCTATGCCACCGCTAGGACAGCCGCGCTTGGCTTTACCAGTGTCGGATACAGGGCTTCAATCCTTGAGGGCACCTCTGCATGCATCCTTGACGGCCCTCAAAACCCTTGAGAGAACACATTCTCGAGACCGAGAGTAAGCTTCCAAGCCATACTTTATTTTCTCGCTGTGTGGCCTTTTCCATCTTTCTTGTACCATGTCACTTGACGTACAGCATGTATTGTGCGGAATGGCGGCAGCTTCCATTTCCAGTCCAACGGATGCTGCGACATGCAATGTCATGGTGGTAACTTCCCAGTCTAACGGATCTAATGCTGCCGTGTCCGTCCCCAGGCCTTCTTTGGCTCGGCACCAGAGAAACTACCGCGTAAGCCAAGATAGTTTCAGCAAATCATCACTCTGAAAAAAAAAAACGTTAGCGACACGAAGAAAAGCGTTTGATTACCTATATTCGGTAAGTTTGCAGGTAGGTTTGACTGGTGCCGAGCCATAGGCCTAAGGTACGCACCGCAATGGTCAATTCGTCTCTTGTCCACCCTGCTGGTGCCGGTCCGTGGGGGGGAACAGGAGCCCCACATGAGAATGCGGGGGGCATGGACGAGGGCGCTCAGGCCAACTCAGGGCTAATTTGTGGGGACTTCCCATGAGGTGATTCCCCACATGTGAGCGTGCGCGGGCCCCATGGAGGAGCCTGGAGACTTGCATTATCATGACATTGAGAAACCCGAAAATTCGATGATTTGATTGGGGGGATGAGGATATCACTCGCCAGCTTTGGGTCATGCATGTGAGTGTGGTTCATCTTGGCTGACTGTTTCTCCCCATGGTTGCTGGACGATGGGTACCCAAGGAGGGTAATGTGGCCGCCATGCGTGTAGTTACCCCATCCAATACGTTAGGGGGGAGGGGGGGTTGACGAAGAAGGGGAGAGAGAGAGAAGAGGAGAGAGAGAGAGAGAGAGAGAGAGAGAGAGAGAGAGAGAGAGAGAGAGAGAGAGAGAGAGAGAGAGAGAGAGAGAGAGAGAGAGTGCCGACAAACGGGAGAGCGACGGTGAACGGGTATAGGTGAGAGAATTGCTGCACGGCTTCGCGCTTTTCCCACTCGCCGTATCGATTCTGAGCGCAACCAAAAAAGCTGAGAACCTGACAGTTAAATTAAACGCACTAAAAATGCGCAGGAAGCAGCGCAAGTGAAAGAAGAATGGAAGGAAGTTGACTAGTGATTAATGCGGAGGAGCGAGGACGGGAGCAAAAAACACGGGGGAGTGTGTGAGAGTTGGGGAGGTGCTCGTATTAGTACTGGACAGTTTGGAAGGGGCTTGGATGCTTGGATATTAATAACCATGGATATGCTAGTAATTGGTAATGTATGAAGGTAAGGTACGGATAGGCGCGGGCATTCGACAGCTGCTTAGGGAAGGTGGTTGGAATGTGCAGGCCATGCAGATGGTAGGAAAGGTGGGCCCGTAAACGAATCCTTCTTTTCGACAAGATCTAAAGGTCCGCAAATATATTTTCGAGTGAATTGGGTGATGCCAAATATCGCTGGAGGACCCCTCCAACGAGGACTTTTCTTTTTTCTTTTTTCGATGTGATTTGGATGCCCCCGAGACATTGTTTACCGAGGCAGGGATCATGGCACAACCAGACACATTTCCCAGTTTCCCCCCTGCAGCTCAGCTTTGAGGGTCTGCGAGATTGATCAAGCCGTTTCGTCCCTTCCAAGTCTACATTGTCTACCTGTCACCTGAAGCACACCGGAATCCGCTTTGACGGAGCGTCAAGCCAAGTGTGCGATACAAATAAATAAAAAACCTTGGGTTGTCATGCCAAATCAGGGAGTTGCAATTACGATAACGTTGACACAGTCCACCCAAACCTATGTAATCTCCATGTATCGAGCGGGGAAACAGCAGCTCACTGCCGGCCACCATACACGCCCCGAAAGGCTTTACCAGCCCCCATCCGTCGCTGTCCTTGGAACTACCTACGCTAGCCTGTTGGCCCACCATCTCCCAAGGGGGATCGGAGGAGCTGGAAGCAAGCTGATCTCAGATGGACTGTTCAGGTCTAAAGGAGGGCTCTTCCACGCCTCGCTCGGTTTCGTGGCCTAACAAGAAATCTGGACACAGCCTTCACGACCGATATACACCGATCGCCTGCCCACGGGAAGCTGTAGCAAGTATCCCCATCCGTGCTTTGTCCCTTCCCATCGAGAATCTGCGTCATGTTTTTATCCCGCTTCCTGTCGGAGGTGGCACACAAAGGCTCTTTCCCCGAAAAAAACCGGTCGGACGAAAAGTGGTAGGACGTCCTCAATCTCAAGCAGCAGCCTCGGGTGTGTCTGGGAAGGCTCCCGTGCTCTTGCTGCCTTGGATATCACTACCTAGTTCGAATTGCTCAAGGAAGGCCGGGAAGTGGCACACGCAAGACCTGGCCCAAGCCCGAAGGTGTCTTTTTGCCCAGCCTCTCCAACTGACGGAGATTGAGGCTCTGTATGACGTCTCCTCTGCCCATTTAACCAAGCTGTCCCGTATCCGATCTTGGATTCCCGGGTGGTAAAGTATCGGTGAAGCCTTTTCCGCCCCCGGACCCCCTATTCGCCTTGGTTGGGCAGAAAAGGCTCCTGTGCCCAGATTCCAGCAACTCGCCAGCCGGTTGTTCTTTTGAGCCAATGAACTAGTGGTAACAATTGAGCCACCCTGCATCTGGATTGAAACCAAGGATAAAAGAGCCTCCTCGTGTAAGGCTCTCACTCATTTGCAAAAATTATCGGCACAATTGCTGCCCTGCCACTGGCCGATTTGTATTTCCTACTTTTGACTCATGGTCTAGTCTGCTTCGAGGAGCTGCAGAAGACGGAGGCGCAGCCACCTTCGTTACCCGAGTGAACAGACACCGCTGTTTGCCATTCACCCATAACGATTCTATCCGAGGCTGTCGAATATGCACTGCACGGTGTCCAGCCCATAAGCATACGATGCCTCACACCCTTTTTGCTTCGAAAGGCCATCTGTGGTCGACATCTTCCTTTTCATGTACGGACAGCTCATGGTTAGGCTGCAAAGGGGCTTGGTGATGTCGAGGATAGAAGAGTGCAACGAAAAAGTCTTGCCCGGTGGACGGGAGAGAGAAGATGATCTATAAGACCTGCCCCTCGGCGGAGTCTGGTGGAAGTCGAAACGCAAAGGCAGCCGCCGCACCGGAAACCAACACCGCCTGTTCGCCATGGCAACCTTCGCCACCGACTCCAGCGCAGCAGAAGAGGGGTCCAGCCAAGGGGTGGATTCCTCAGCGACAGCAGAGTTCCAAACGAACGAGACCTGTGAGTAACACTCGTAAACAGAACAGAGGGAACCAATTCTAATGAGTTAGCCGATATTGATCCTGAAACATTCTGGAGAGGCTGCGACTTCCCTGAGAATTGTATGAAGCTCTAATCGCCACACCAACCTAGATCTGAAGCTAACTCGGACTTAGATCTCCACCACCCACTCGGCACGCCCCGAATAGCGGCCATACAATGGGAGTCCAACAACACGAAGATCATTCGGCGTTTCGAACCTGTCGATTGGAAGCTCGTGCGTTACTACGGCTCGCGGGTGGCCGCGTTGGACGAAGAGGTTCGACAATACGAGAAAGCCAATAGCGACAAGCTGCGGCGACTGACAAAGTACCAACTGAGACTTCCCAATCGCCCTGAAGTCATGAGTCACTATGACGTCCTCATAGCCGAGTTATTTGAAGCGAGGGCGGAGTACCGTACGCACACACACACTCGGGCCCTGGATCCAGTTAGAGTTCTGTGAGCTAACACTTGGACGCAAACAGATAAGGTAGTGTCTCAGTATCGAGAGATGCAACAACTCCACTCGGTCCCGCGACCCCAGGCCAAGAACTTCATGCTGGACTTGATGGGACAAGGGATGTTCGAGAACGAAGACGCGTACGGATATATGAAAGCGCCCGACGACTTCGGAACCGTTGTGAAGCCATTCCACCCATGGATAACGCGACTTTTGTACAGCTCCTTTCACGCATGGCTTATGGTAAGCAGAGCAGGACGGCATCCCCTCACCAGCGCTCGAACTAACAAGCCATACAGAGTAGGTTTTCTGTCCAAGAAGGCGGCTCAAGGTTGGGGTTGCTCAGCGAAGACGTTGTCATCACGGTTTTGGGCATATCGGAAAGCCTCCTAGCCATAATGCTGCTCGCGGTCCCCATCGGCGTGATGCTCCTGTGCGGGCTCACCAGGGCCGGGTACTTCGGCCTCATTGTAGGCTCCACCGTGATGTTCGCCCTCGTTGCCTTGGCCGCCGCAAAGAAGGTGGATCACCACTACATCTATGGATATATGGCCGTCCTGGTCGCCTTAGCTGCCCAGTTGGCTTAGCTGCCAGCAGTTGGGACAAACAGCCGGGCGGAGACAGAGGGCAGAATAGTGCAGCCCCCGTCCAGCACGGCATTGCACCCTCGACGCGACGGCGTGACGGATACCCACTTCCACTCGAAAGGGTACCTTAGGTATAGCATTGGCAAGAAGGGAACTACCAACTCACAAAGGAAAGGGAAAAAAGGGGGAAACAAAACAAACGTGGTTTCCGAGTGACGTTCAAAGTGGGGCTAAAAGGCGGTCCCTCATTCTTGTTTTTGAAATTCCATCTCCCCTTTTCTCTCTGCTTGCTTGGGAACCCCGTCCCCCACTACGCGGCTAGCACGGGCCCAGACACCCGCCCGCCAACCTGCCCGGCCCGAGCCGATTTCGGGTAGTCAAGCTGCTGGCATGGACTGGCCGGGGTTCTCGTTAGGCTGTCGCAAGTTGAGGGGGAATTTTTTTCTTTTTTTGAAACAAAAGTTGTGTTGCTCCGAGTGAGGCTTGCTGGTCTAATCTCCGGCTTCGCACCTCTTTTCGAAGGGAAGCAAGCGGTGAGGAAGTGCCTCGAGCCAAATCAGCTTGGAGAGGAGCTCGAGAGGAAATAACGAAAAAGAAAAGGTAGGACGAGAAATAAAACATATTGTAGAATCCGAAATATCATACAACGTTTTAGAAAAGGCTCGTCATGCTGGGTTGCAACATGAATTGTCGAGGGCCACCCTGTTTGTGGGGAGGAAACTTAAACCCAAGGGCTTAAAATCTTGGTGAACCTGGCCGGTGGAGCGGGGTCTTCACACCTGAAGGGTTAGGGTTGGCTATGGTTGCTTGAGTCGACCATTGTTTTTTTTGGGAGTAGGGAGGGTAGGTCAAGGAGGGCATTCTGAAGTCTGTCGAGAGGATTCCACTCTGAATAATCCCATGTATTGCCACTGGAATCTATTGATTCTACCCACTGACAGGCGAGAAGAATCTGAACCCCACCCCCTTTTATTATTTCTTTTCTAGACTCCGTTATCCTGAACCGATGCAGACAAGCCGGCGCCACCACCCAACGGAAATTTTGCACTTTCCAACCTGCGGAATAACTAGCGGAAGCCTCATCTTTCCTCTTTTTCCCCTGTAAAGAAAAACAAGACAAAAAATGCGTAAATTCTCCTTCGGAAGCAGAATCGGCTGATGTCGACTAGTTCACCAAACAGCTATCACGCCCCCGACAATCCGGCTATGCCTCAAACGTCTTTCAACTCGCCGTTGTGCCGGTGTTTTTGGCTTCGACTTCGTGAGCTAGAGGCGAGACTAGTTTTGGTCGGTTTCTCTGGATCTTTCATGGAGCCGATTACTTCCCGTCGTTTCGGGCGCGGGGAAGTCTGTCTGTTTGGTGTCGGTCAGTCTTCCATGGCAACGGCGCGCAGGATGAGTAAAAACCAAAGGTTGGTCCTACTTCTTCTTTTGCTCCTTCGACGGGATGCACATGCTTATAAGGCTGCCCATTTCGCTTTTTTCGTTCTACGAGGCCGGAGACGACCCCGGAGGCTAGCTTAGCTTGGTCTTGCTGGATCAATCGTTGGCTATTCGAAGATGGCGGAACTTTTCCGATAAAAAAAGAGCGTGGGGAGATTCTTTAGCAAACTGTGCGCGCCCCGACGAATCAGGTAACTGGACACTGCAGCTCGGCTCTCGAGGCACTATGGCCGGCGCCCGGACTCGTTTCCCTCTCGCCGTACATTTTGTCGACGATCCGTTCACGGGCCGGTTGACGGCGAAGCTGGTGAACGACAGACGCGTCGTTTGGCGCGTTCCGTTCCGAACTGATGGCTCCTACACTTTCTTCCCTCCCCCCACTCTCCAAGCCTTGTCGACCAGACTGGCGCCATAGGGGGGTCGTGTCACCACCACCAAACAGGCAGGTGGTGTGCGCCCCTGATGAATTGCCTCGCATCAACTTGCCCATCCCATCGCACAGCAAAGTCGGCCTTGATTCCCAACCCGCGTCATAATGCACCATCCGGTGTCTGCCATTGGCAAGCTTTGGAAGCTGATCTCTCTTGCAGGTTCTTGTCGACCATCCTTCCTTCCCCGTCTGCCCAAGAGCGCTGTAATAAGAGCCCGGTTCAGGGTTAGGGTTCATTGGGCATCCAACTTTGGATAAATCATTGCCCATTCGAAGGCATTGAAACCACTGACACTTGTCAAGGTCTGGAATGGCAGCTGCCGGAAAAGGAGGCCAGCGCATGCAGTCGAGTGACGAAAGAAGACGCCGTGCAGCAAGTGGTCCATCTTGTAACTGGATGGTGCTCTCATGACCACCTACCCTCCCTTTCAGATCGTGCATGCTTCTTGCATGAGACAGGCGCTTAACTCGCACTTGCAAAAATCCCTAGAGAATTCCTTTTGGGCGTGTGGTGCCAACCGGGCTACACTTCGCGTTGTGCAAAGAAGTGTCGGATGCCGTTTGGTCAGGTTTATCCTCGGCACGAGAGCGTGCCTCTGACCGCTGAGGGGGCTGGCGGAGGTGCCCCAACGGGATTTCTCAGCGGGCACGGACAAATAGGGTTTTGGATTCGAGCGCCTGCGTAGCCGTCGTTGGCCATCGCCGCGAATCGGGCAACGATCAATGGGGGAGAGAATTTGGAACCGAGTTTTCGAGGGACAGCAACAGAGAAGACCAAGCTTCGCATTAGCGCACCAGAGGTCCAGCTCGGGGTTCTCTGTTGCAGAAGATGCGGTGGGTGGTTTGATCCTGGTATCGCAGGTCTACCATGACTGATGGAGACGTCTCGATAAAATGGGAGAGGCGCAAAACGTTCGGGGCTGGGTTCTGATGGAGATGAAGGAGAGAAAGAGTAGGACAACAGCCACGCGCAGAAAAGCCTGGTTAGGCTGCCGAATTATACCCCGAATGGGGCCGACTCGGGAGCTTTGTGTAGTGATAGCAGAGAGGGGCAGGCAATCAACTGGGGCCTATCAGCATTCCCGGTGTGGTAAGTACCAGAGAGGCTTAAGGGGGTGCCTCAGGAACCGTCACTGCTGGTCGTTCTTCTACTGGTATGTACAGTACGAACAGGACGCATTGCACACCATCCACTTTCAGCTCTTTCCTCTCCCCCAAGGCTCGCTGTCAAGGAAAGTAGTGCTGCCTCCTGACACCTTCCATTGATCGAGGATTTTGAGACGGCTTGGTGCTTTCTTTGCATCTCCCGTTCGCTGCGGTCATTTCGAGAGCCACTACCATCCATTCGAAACACGGGGGTCTTCATCAACTCGTTTAGTATTAACTTTGGGCACAGTATTTAATCGCGGGTCCAAAGCGTTGCCCCGGCGCCGGAGATGCCTTCGTTCTGCCCCTTCCCCACTATCTTTTCTGGTCCAGGTTCCTCGCAGTCAGCCGCTGGTAGCACATGACTTCCCCTACCAGGACCGGGTCTGAAGCGCATAAAATCCAACACGACAGTCTTGCTGCCTCGAGTCCAGGGCAGCTAGTTCAACGAGTTGTCCTGCCTAACAAGCCTTAGCAAACCACATGGTGTCTTGACTCCCCATGTCTTGAACAACTTTTCCGATCTTGTCGGCAACCCTCTGTTCGATCTGTCAATCTCGCAAAGTTTTATCCCGATGAGAAGATAGAGCCATCAACATTCTGTTTACCATTTGTTGATTCTAAGCGCGTCCAAAGTACGTCCATTTCTTTTCTCTCCAGAAACCCAAAGCGCGGGACCAGGAGTCCGCGAGGGCTTGTCGTATTTACCTTGACCAGAAGCCACGGCTTCAACAAAGAAGACTCGCTGTACCCAGATGGTCAGCTGTTGTTCTAGCCTGTCAATCTCCTCCATTCCGCCCCTGATGTCGTCCTTCGTTCGCCTCGAGGGCGCACTAACTCCTCGCGATGGACTGCCAGCGATCCCGAACCAAGTAATCAACCTACAATCCGGATCACCCGGTCCGGATCGCCCGGTCCGCCTTTCCTCGTTCAATACAAGTGCCATCACAAAATAAAATAGCAAGGACGTATTTGGATAAGATAGAGAGGAATTGCGCAGCGAAACTGCAATTAGGCAGCCTTGCTGTCTGGACCAGCAACGCAAAAAAAGACTGGGCGTCGAGGCGAGGTATGCGGTGATACCCTCTAGGCAACATGACTGACTTCCGTAGCCTTGCCAGTCTAGCAGGCTGACGGTAGGATGCCAGTACATTGCTTTGCGGTTGGTAGGTAGGCATAGAGTATGTGTAACACTGCAGAAGATCCATTGTTCTTGTCGTGACTTCTTTCTACCGTGATCAGGTCCAAACCCAGAGTAATTACTGCAAAGTCTTCGTTCGCACTTGCCCCGCTAGCACAGTCTTCATGATATTTCTTAAGCACATGGGTAAAAGTCTCTGGCCCGTTCGGCTCACGGTAACCTGGACTGGATATAAGGCGCCATTACCGAATAGCATAGTGCGGAAACTACTCTGTCGGCCATCTTGCCAGAGAGCCTCATGTCTACCACAGGCAGACGAGGCGCGCAGTGCATGCGGGAGGGACACTTGTCGATCTTTTCGGCGTGCTGGATTGCCCGATTCCAACAGCCACCCCCTTCCCCCCAATTGGCCGTCTTTGCCTTGGGTTTCCACTGCGGATTGCAAAGTGCAGACTGTGGCTAGAACAGACGAGAACGAAGCCAGCAGCCCACCTTCTAGGCTCCCCCAATTAAGGCATTGACGAGTTAGAAGGTTAAGGGGAAGGGGGTTGGTCGCAATTTCCTGTTATTTCCCAGTGGTGGTCTTGCAAAGCAGAGTCTCCGAGCCTGCAGCGATATAACCCTCTACCAAATAAGTTGACATAAAGAGAATCATTTCCCTAGCACAGATCCCCGCTCCAATTCGAAATGGGTTTGAAACGACGTTCTTCCAAAGATTCCCCGCTGGTTTCGATTAGCAGCAAGATGCCAGCACATCAAAGCCTCATTTCACTTACCAGGCGGCACAGTTCTCTGGCCATCCCTCCTTGGGGGCCTCTGCAGGCGCATAAAATCCGGACCTTTTCAAGGCCGTGATTTCGGCTGCCCGCTTCGAGTGAGTGACTACCTAGGTAGCATAGCCTGACGGCACACATCACTCAAGGAAGCCAGCGACGCTCCCAACAAGACTCGAGCCGGCCCCCTCTTACCTGTCGGACTGTAGATATGGAGCTATGTATGTACACCGCCACCAACGTCCCACGAGTAAAGGAGACGTGTCGTGACAATGTGGGTTGTCTGGCCGACTTAAGGGCCGCCTCTCTCCATTCAACGACCTGTCGCATCAAGCTCCCGTACACCCTCTCCGCGCCCACGGCCCTAAAATGCTTCTCTTGAGCCGCAGCAAGGCTCGAGAGACAGAGGTCTACCGCGGATTTGCCATCGGAAAAGGGGAATGGGACAAGTTGAGCACCGGGAGAACGTTTTCTTGCAAACAACGAGCGCCCCGGCCATGGCCGCGGTCCGACGAAGACTTAAGTCAACCACAAACCCGCCCTCAGTCCAGGCCTCGACCCGTCTCTACTCAAACCTTCAAGCATGGCAGCTACCGCGAGTTCAGCTACGGGCGACAAACCCCACCCGACGAGCCACTACGGTGGTTCAAGGGGCTCTGATACAGTTGACATTGAGATGCAGGCGCAGACAGAGCCAGTGCAAGCAGAGCAAGCAGCGCAGGCAGGCAAGTTGACCCAATACTAAGTAAACACTGGCAAAAGTTTTAATACTCGAAAAAAGGGGAACTCAGCCCCGACGACGATGACAGCAAAAGCCACATCTCAGAAGCAGACTGTAAGTGGCACCTTCTCACAATCTCGCCCTAATCACCCAACTAAACCACAGGCAGTCCGAGACTACCCTATGGGCTGGCCCCGTTTCGCTCGAGAGCAGAACCAGTTATTAAACGGCAGCAACCACCGTCGGTTCGGCGCGCTCCGTCAGCGACTCCTACACTACGACGAGGCCATGCTGGCCATACTCGAAGCCCGGCTCCTCGAGCTCGACAAACAAGACGCGGTCAACGACGCTTCCCAGCTTCGTTCTCTATCGCCGGCGCAGATAAACGTCGGCGGCAAGGGAGTCGAGCAAACATGTACAAAGGACGAGCTGATGGCCGAAATACACGCAATAGAATCCCGCTATTGTGAGTACGTTTCAACGGGCAGAGATGCCGGCGCCAGCCCCCACATGCTAACCCTCGTTGTTTAATCTTCAGGCCAGAGGCTGCTCCATGAAAGAGACATTGACCAACTTCCCTCCCTCAGCCGCCTCGCGTGGAAAAACCTGCGCGAAAACGTCGAGCGGAACGATATGTTTGATCAAGACGCATCAAAGTTCCTTCGTGAGGCCGACGACTTCATCACAACACGAGCTGATGGCATGAACCACCGGATTGAGTGGCTTGTGTACGGCCATCAGGAATCGAGCCGTTGGATGTCCGCCATCATGGTAAAGACACACCATATACCTACCTAGTCTCGCTCTTTGCACGTATAACTAACAAGTGCCATGACCTCCTAGTAGAACATGTTCTTCCTGAAAGAGAGCTCTCCAAGAGGCTCCACCATGACCAGCAGGTTCGATCACGGCCGGCTTAAAGTGATGCTGACCATTTCGGTTGTGCTGATAACCATTGTGTTGCTCTTGGCCCCAATGGCACTTCTGTATCTCACAAATTTCGGCAAGGGCCTGTCAGTTGGGATCGTAGTCATTTTTGGCGTTGCGTTTACGTCCATAATGGCGAGTCTGCCTGACATCAGGCTCGACACTGTCTTCATTGGCATGTCGGCGTACATGGCCGTCTTGGTCACGTTCCTCGCGAACTTGCAGAGCCAGTGCCAATGCTAGCGCTAGCTTTGTCTTTCTTCGTTCGAGTCCATGGTTAACCAGGGGGTTGTTGTCTACTTACTCGTTGTGTTGCTGCAGTTGCCAATCTATCCTTGTTTTTGCCTTTTCAGCCAACTTTGGATATTGCTTGACTCTTAGAATTGTGATTGCGTTATATACTGATAATGAACCTTGGATGATTTCTTTCTTTCTTTCTTTATTATTTTTTTATTTTTATTTTCAATTATTGTCTTTCATTTCCATTGTTTTCCTTACCGTGAAACATTGACATCTCCCCCATTCCCCCCCTTTACTTTATTTTAACTTGCCTTTTATTCCATTTTGGCATTTTTTCATGTCTTCGTTTTCTCCATCGCGTTTCCTCCCATCGTGTCCTAGTTATCTCTATATGCCCATGTTGTTGTTGCTCTGAGTTCCTGTTTCCTATCTCGTGTTACACAAAGCCGACGTCGAAGTAAGGGGGAGGGAGGGGGGGGGAGTAAATAAGGGCCCGCCATTGCATCCACCCCTGTCATTATGACCTGAGGCTAACCTGTCTCCTTGCAGGCCCATCTGTTCACACGGCCATACAAATCACTGTCAGTACTAAGCGTTCAAAGCCCAGCATCTTGAGCCGATCGCTATTGTCGTCTATCCGGATTAGATGCTTGTCATGGTTTAAAGTGTATTTCACTGTTGGCGAAAGTGCAGTTTCAGTTATTCTGTCATATAACCCGCACAATTACTTTGTCCAGTGTTTCTAAAAAGAGTCGGAGTATAGTAACGGGCAAGCTTTGAGCGACTGTTGTCGTTGTCCTACAGCTCCACCTCTGCTGAGCCGCAACGCACGGATGAGAGTTGTCAGGGATCCGCCATGCATAGTCTGTCACCGGCATGCAGTCAAAAACAAGTGATGCCTTCCGAGCCAATATTGGCCCTGGCTCTGCTGCAGTGGCGCGTCGGCTAGAATTACCGCCAGGACTCGGAAAGCTTTTATCTGTGCGAAGATCGAGATCCATGTTGTTTCCTATCTTCGCCGGTAGTCGGAGGCGGGCGTGAGCGGGAGCCCTGCGGTATGCCTGATGCGGTGATAGCGGTGGGTGTTGTGGAAAGGTCTGTCCGCAGCCTCGTCAGGACTCGCGCGCGCGTTTTCTGTGCACTGTTTTTTTGGACCCAGCACAACGCGGTGTGGGACGTGTAACTTATCTTACCTACATAGGTATGGTACCTACCACCTCAGTTGTTTCAAAAATTCCGTTTTCCCATTTGGAGGGTGTTGTTTTCTCAGGAACAGCCTCATGTCGGTTCTCCTTCCTCCATCTCGATACGGCAAATTTGTTCAAGAAGCGCCCATTAATACACCACTGCCAAGCCGGCGACTTTACGACAGGAAGATCAAGATGATGAACGAATACTCAAAACGTGGAAACGTTGGGCGCCTGCACCGGGAAAATCTAAAGCGATGCCAGTCTCGACGCAAAGAGTTTGTCGTCTCTTCGTCCGAAAGGGGGGGTTGGGTCAATACGATTTTGAAATGTGCCGATCCTGGAAGACGAGGAAGGAGCTTTGGTCTCGACATGATGCGATATCATACGGGGAAAGGCAGGTACGTTTTCGAGACTGACACGACTCCACAGAAGGCACGATCTAGGTCAAGACGCCTTCCTGAACCTCCGACCGCTCGATACCGAACCCGCCCCTGACGATTCCTCGACTGCCAAACTCTGACCCCGACCGTAACTGTCTGCCCAAGCAACCGCCAATTTTACACGTACAATTTGCATGCATCCCGCTCTCGATGACGAGGTCCACCAGATTTGCGAGTACCACTTCGCGACTACCCGCAGTTGAGACAACCTACGCCAAGTGCACCTCGTCTTGCCTCGTCACTCCGTTAAACTTGACAAGTCTGCACTCTCACTCGCTCCACCTTGTTCGCACCTTTTTTCGAGAACCCGTTGTGCAAGTTCTGCGCGAAGAATGCTCGAGCTGCACACCTGCACACGCTTAAGCCTCCTCCAGTCAAACGAAATCCCTAAAATACCGTGACACATAACACGATGGGGTCATACCGCCATCCGTTTCCGAACCTTCTTTCCTTGCAATCCTGCAAATGATGGTCTGATCTGGTCTTCGGTGCCACAAACCGCGAGCCCGGAATAGCACTGGCAACGTTCCTTGGAAGAAAAAACAGAAACAATAAAAAAAAAGAAGAAAAGAAAAGAAGACATGGCGGGCGCTCTGGGAGAAGGGTGCTTAAGTTTTGACGAAACTACTACTCTGCCACCCCTTTTAATTTTTTAATACTACTCGTCCTCGCTGTCGCTTGCTAGCTCAGTCGTCTCGCTTGCCTCCATCCTCTGTCGTCTGCACCATCGCATGTAGCACACACCTGAGCGCAAGAATCCCATCAAATTCTCGGGCAGGGCAGTGGTCTGTATCTGAGCAAGACACTCGTCCCAATGATATAGGTACTTATCAAACTATTTGAGAACGGGCAAACACATCTGGAAGCATCGTTCAAGCACTTGGCTCTCGAATGACAAGAAACCCTGAACTTGCATTTTGGCATTTCCAGTGCTTGTGCTAAACTGGCTGCAACCTATGCTAAATCCTGCAACCGCGTGTGTCGTGAATTGGGAAGCTGGGGGACTCCAATCTTTGTAGGTAAATTTGTGCATCGTTTTGTTCAACGAGCTGAATATTTAGAAAATGCAGTGATGATTCTCTCGATGGTGTTCCCGCCGTGAGGCGGATCGCCATCAACAACTCGTTTAGGCGTTGGCCGCATCTGCGCGAACACTAACTCCTGAACGCAAAAGGCCTTCATCACCCAACATCGGAGTTCCTACTACTTAAGGGATGGTCGATCTCTTACCTGAGCTAAAGTTCGACAAACTCGGCAATACGAGATGTTATATCTACTAGCAAGTTCAACACAGGTGCCAAGAGTCTTGAAGTCCCATAGTCTTTGATGACTCATGCATCATCAAATTGCTAGTGCTAGTGTGAAGTTCTGTCTGTGTCTGTGCTGTGGCCACGGATGGAACCAAGAGGGGCTGCTCGAGTGGAGTCTAGGATGCTGTTGCTTTCACTGCAAAGTGGAATGAAAGCCGATTCGGACGCATCCTTTCGAGTTTGTATAAACGTCGAAATAGTCAACCCATTCCCGACTCTTATTTTGCTGCGCGCAGTTACTCAATTACCACAACTAGATTGTCCCGCACGTCGGGTCTTGTCCCCAAAAGAGAAGCCAGAATGTGGAACTTGGAAGCTCAGAGACTCACCTGGACGGATTTGCTCAGCAGCACGTGACTTTGCCACTAGCGCTGTTCTGGGTCTAGCCCGTCAGCTCCCGGCCAATTTCTCGTCGCATCATGGACATGGATTGCATTCGAGTTTGGGACCTCGAAATCATTTTCCGAATCGGCCGTCCACCGACTCGCAAGCAGCACACGTACCGCATTCGCATACCCGGACACGACGCATTGACAACCTGGGCGTTGCTGGACTGTGGCCGTAACAGCAATAGTAACAGTGCATGGCAGCAAGTCGAGACGCTGAAGGGAGATAGCACGGCCGGCACCAGGCAAGAGGCCGTTTTCGCGGCTTCGGCCCTTGGCGATCCGCCCCTTCCCCTTCGCAGCTTCTCGCCAAAACACCGCCTGCCTCACCATGTCGCCAATTCTCCGCCTCTCGGCGACACAACAGCTGACACGCTGCGCGCGTCAGTCTCTCACCACGGCCTTGCGCCCGGCCTACCGAGCTGCCCGTCTCCCCCGCGTCGCACCAGAGAGCTTCTCCAAACCCGGCCCTAGATTCTACTCAACCAAGCGGCCGCTGAAGCAGCCCGGCAGCGACGGAACCCCCGCGGGAAAGAATGCGAAGACAGACTCCAAGCCTCCCCCACCCCCAAAGGCCTCGCCAGACAAGACGCCCGCTGCCGATAAACAACCAGAGGACCTCCCCCCGCTGCCGTCAGGATGGGTCCGCCTGGAGGTTGAAGAGCTCGCCGAATTAGAGAAAGTTTCCAAGCGATTCACCTCCCCCCAACGAGAAATAGTGGAAGAAATAGTCCAGAGCGTTGCGATTATTGGAGCGCCACAAGAGCTCCGCGACTTGCTGACCAAAGGAAAAGCCGGAGAGTTGGGTATCGTCGATGGGGTCAGGCTCCTCCGGACATCGACCCAGATAGCAAAACGAATCGCCGAGTATAGGCACAAGCATCCTGAGAAATTCGAAAAGTTCAACCACCTTGACGAGCCACTAGAGGGTGCTCCCCGCCAGGGCCAGGAGCGCCAACAAGAGCAGGGTGGTGGCGAGGGCGAGGGCGAGGGACAACAGCGCCGAGCGGATGGCAAAGGTGGCAAGAATGAAGAGCCGCCCAGGTTCAAGTGGCCTGAACCGTCCGACATAGCTACTTGGGCTATCGTGATGATGGTGCTGTTCCCAATGTTCCGCGTTCTCTTCCCTAGCTCCGAGTCTCGCGAGATCACCTGGCAGGAGCTGCGCAAGAATTTCCTGGACAGGGGGCTCGTGCACAAGATGGTAGTGTTTGGGAATCGTGTTAGGGTAGAGCTCGACCGCGAGGCTCTCCAGGGCGTATACCCCGACTCGCCCGCAAACAGCCCCAACTTCAGCTACTACTTCTCCATCGGATCTGTTGATGCCTTTGAGAGGAGGCTAGATCAGGCCCAACAGGAGCTCGGCATCCCACCCTCGGAGAGAATACCTGTTAGCTATGAGAGTGAAGGCATGTTGGGCAACATGCTGTTTGCCTTCGGGCCGACGCTCCTCCTTTTCGGCCTGATTGCATGGGCCTCGCGTAGGGCCTCGGGAATGGGCAGCGGCTCTAGCGGCATGTTTGGGTTCGGCAAGAGCAAGGCCAAGATGTTCAACCACGACTCGGCCGTCAAGGTCAAGTTTGCCGACGTGGCTGGCATGGACGAAGCCAAGGTCGAGATCATGGAGTTTGTCAGCTTCCTGAGAACCCCCGAGCGCTTCCAGAGACTAGGCGCCAAGATACCCCGTGGCGCAATCTTGTCGGGCCCTCCCGGCACGGGCAAGACGCTCCTTGCCAAGGCCACGGCGGGCGAGTCACAAGTGCCATTTTTCAGCGTCAGCGGCTCTGAATTCGTTGAGATGTTTGTCGGTGTCGGCGCGTCCCGCGTCCGAGATCTATTTGCTACGGCGCGCAAGAACGCCCCGTGCATCATCTTTATCGACGAGATCGACGCTATCGGAAGATCTCGCTCTGAGGGAGGCGGATTCCGGGGCGGCGGCAACGACGAGCGCGAGGCTACGCTTAACCAGATCCTCACAGAGATGGACGGCTTCAACACGTCGGAGCAGGTGGTGGTTCTGGCTGGCACCAACAGACCTGACGTCCTCGACCAGGCCCTGATGCGACCCGGCCGCTTTGATAGGCACATCAATATCGACAGGCCAACAATGGCGGGCCGGAAGGACATCTTCAAGGTTCACCTGGGCAAGATTGTCACCGTGGAGGACATGGAGTACTTGACAGGACGTCTCGCCGCTCTGACGCCGGGATTCTCGGGTGCTGACATTGCCAACGCGGTGAACGAGGCCGCCCTGGTTGGTACGTAGCAGTCGCGACTGGTTCCCCTTTATCTTTGAAGCGAGGGAGAGATGTGGCTTACTGACATTTCGAGCAGCCGCTAGAGCTAACGCCGATACCGTTGAGATGATACACTTTGAGCAGGCCATTGAGCGCGTCGTTGGCGGTCTGGAGCGCAAGTCGCTGGTTCTCAGCCCCGAGGAGAAGAGGACGGTGGCGTACCACGAGGCTGGCCATGCCATCTGCGGTTGGTTCTTCCGATGGGCCGACCCATTGCTTAAGGTTTCAATCATCCCCCGTGGCCAGGGCGCCCTTGGCTATGCCCAGTATCTTCCCAGCGGCGATGCGTACCTGATGACGACCAACCAGCTCATGGACCGCATGGCCATGACATTGGGCGGGCGCGTCTCGGAGGAACTACATTTCCCGACGGTAACCACGGGCGCAAGCGATGATTTCAAGAAGGTTACGCGTATGGCAAGCACCATGGTGACGCAATGGGGCATGTCGGAGAAGCTGGGCCCGCTGCACTTCCAGAACGACCCGAACTCGCTGCACAAGCCGTTTGCCGAATCGACAGCCCAGACAATTGACTCGGAGGTGCGGCGCATCGTGGACGAGGCGTACAAGCAGTGCAAGGATCTCCTAACAGCCAAGAAGAAGGAGATTGGAATCGTGGCTGAGGAGCTGCTGCGCAAGGAAATGCTGACACGCGACGACATGGTGAGGCTTCTGGGCCCCCGAGAGTGGCCGGAGAAGGCCGAGTTCGCGAAATACTTTGGGCAAGAGGGAGGACCGCCACCCCCGTTCCCCACCGAGAGCACGGATTCCCCGACTGAGCCCCAGCCAGCAATCTTTGAAGAGCCGTCTGCGAAGCCCGAGGACGTAGCAAAGTGAGGCGAGAGAGATGAGGTGTTTGGTGCGCAAAAACAGCAGGAAAAGTGTCGCATAGGGCGAGGAGGGCTGGGTGAAGCATGGAGCCATCTAGAGGAAAAGGGACAAAAGTAGATGGGGCTCCCCCAAACTTGTACATCTCCACTTGTATGATTTACCGATGAAAGAGAAAAATCCAAGCGCCGTTTAAACGGAGAGAGGCGGAGGCGGGAAGAGGAAAGAGGAGGAACATGACCATTGGGAAACTTGGAATACTGCTGCTGCTACTCGCCGACGGCTCTCCTTTGTCTGTCAACCTCGGCCCCTCAGCGGTACCGCCCTTCAACAATGTTATGCATAATCCAGCCAACTGGAAGCACATTACAGCGAAAATGAAGCCGGATGGATGCCTTCGTTATATCTCATCTACCGAGGGGAAAAAAAAAAGACAGGAAAGAAGATGGCCGAGGCCTTTCTCTCTCCCCGTTCTATGTTTTGTTCTGTATATATATACGCGTCGTATATATGGGTTTGGGTTAGAGTTAGGCAGTTATCGAAAGTCAATTGGTCGATGGCTGTGTCTATCTCATTGCCTTATTATTGTCTAGCTTACTTACTGCACCTTGTTGTCTAGTTTGTTTCGCTTTGCTTTCTTCGGAGTCATATCTACCTTGGGCACTTGGGTGGTTTCTAATGTAAAACAAAGGAGGTTGTTCAAGGTAGAGTTTAATAAAATCATACCCTAGGTAAGTAGGGAAGCAAGAAAAAAATAGTTGTAAAATGTGAAATGGCGTCGCGAAAACTTCACGGCGGCACGGGTGTATCATGAACAGTACTATACACATGTTTCATATTGCTTTCCTATGTATTCCGTCCTCCCAGAATGGAACAAAAGATGGGACGGGATGACGGTGTTGGCGATGTTAGCGGCGTGACTACCTTAGCTGCTGTGGTTGGGGAAGCGAACGGCCCGCGGCGCAAAACATTTGGAGGCGAACTTCTGGGGTAGCTATTTTAGCCCTTTTTCGACGTGCTAGAAGGCTTCCATTTCCCAGAATCCGTCCATTTCATCGAATTTTGCTCTTCTCTTCAGCCTTTTCCATTTTCCTCATTTTGTCACTTGAGTTTGGGAGACTGGGGGAGCATGCAGAGGAATAGGATGCTATGCTGAGGGTTATCGAGTTGCTGTTTTCCCCTGGCCATCAAATTCTCTGATCGCCCCCTCTATCCAGAGTTACGCAGATCATCCGGGCAGCATCAAAGCCTCGGCAGTGCAAGCAATTGCAAGGTATCTTGGTTAATGTGGCATCACTTGGAAGAATGACATCAATCACATCCACAACACACGCGACGGCCGCTGGTGCTGCCCGGGCGGTCGGCGCAGACAGCATTGTTGGTGACAGTGGCGGCGGTAATAATGGTGACGGTGGGGGCGAGGGCGGACGCCGGCCGCCCTCGGCGTCGTCGGCGTCGCTGTCGTCGGCCGGCCGGCGCCGGAGAAACCCCAACATGACATGGCCGTCTCACGAAGCCGTTGCGCCCATGGCCGCCGCCTCGTCGTCCAGGTCGTCACTATCGCTCCCCGCGGCTGCGGCTGCACCGCCCCGGGCGCCAAAGTGGTGGAAGATCCGCCTGTTTCGCGGCATGGTCAACGACATCCGCCGCCGCGCCCCCTTCTACCTCTCCGACTGGACAGACGCGTGGGACTACCGCGTCGTCCCGGCCACCGTGTACATGTACTTTGCAAAGTGCGAACCCTTTTGGTCCCAGCTTTTCATGCAGTCGATCTGCTAACACTCGCCTCGCCGTCCAGCATCCTCCCTGCCTTGGCCTTCTCTCTGGACATGTTCACCAAGACCAACATGCAGTACGGCGTGAACGAGGTCTTGCTGGCTTCCGTCCTCGGCTCTGTAGTCTTCTCTGTCGTGGCCTGTCAGCCCCTGGTCATTGTCGGAGTTACCGGTCCCATCACCGTCTTCAACTAGTACGTGCGCGTTGCCCCCATTTCCTCGATGGAATTCACCTTGCTGATGAGGTTCTGCGTTGTTCTTCAGCACCGTCTACGACATTATGAGTCCGGCGGGGACTAAATATCTTGCCTTTATGTGCTGGATCGGATTGTGAGCTGCCTCCCCTTAACCTTCTTGCAAGGGGGAAACAGGAGAGAGATGCTGACCTCGTTTGATGCAGGTGGTCTCTGGTCTTCCACTGGGTCCTTGCCATCACCAACTCGTGTAACTGGCTGCGCTACGTGACGCGCTTCCCGTGCGATATCTTTGGCTTCTATGTCGCCTTCATCTACCTGCAAAAGGGCGTCCAAGTGCTTCAACGCCTCGGCGACGAGGAGCCCTTTTACCTGTCCCTCGTTGTAGCTCTGCTGGTCTTTGCCATCGCCTACATCTGTGGCGAGCTCGGCCTCAGCAGCCTGTTCCGCCACCCTGTGCGCGTCTTTCTCAAGGACTACGGCACCCCCCTCACTGTCGTCTTCTTCACCGGCTTCGTCCACTTAGGAAAGATGAACGACATTCACCTCGAGAATCTCCCAACCAGCACCTCCTTTCTCCCCACCGCCGACCGCGGATGGTTTGTGCACTTTTGGGACATACGCGTTTCTGAGGTCTTTCTGGCCATCCCCTTTGCTCTGCTCTTGACCATTCTGTTTTGGTTCGACCACAATGTGTCGTCCCTCATCGCCCAGGGCACTGAATTCCCACTCAAGAAGCCCGCCGGCTTCCACTGGGACCTCTTCCTGTTGGGCCTGACGACAGGCGTGGCGGGCTTGCTCGGTTTACCCTTCCCCAACGGGCTCATCCCGCAGGCGCCCTTTCACACCGAGTCGCTGTGCGTCACTGAAGTGGTGGCTGACGTCGACGAAAAGTCGGGTGCCAAAGGCCACTACGAGTACAAGGCAACGCGTGTGGTCGAACAGCGCGTGTCGAATCTGGCCCAGGGCCTGTTGACACTCGGAACCATGTCGAGCCCCCTGCTCGTGGTCCTGCATCTCATCCCGCAAGGCGTGCTGGCCGGTCTCTTCTTCATCATGGGCTTTCAGGCGCTCGAGGGCAACGGAATCACTGCCAAGCTGCTCTTCCTGGTGCGCGACGAGTCGCTGACTCCTCCTGCCCACCCGCTGCGCCAGATCAAACGCCGTGCCGCCATCTGGCTCTTTGTTGCCGTTGAGTTCATCGGCTTCGGCGCCACCTTTGCCATCACCCAGACCGTCGCCGCCGTCGGCTTCCCCATTTTCATCTTCGTTCTCATACCCATCCGCGCCCTGTTGCTGCCCCGTTGGCTGTCCCCTGAAGAGCTTGCCCTCCTCGACGAGGCGACCGCCAGCCCTTTCACCATGGAGAGCGCTGGCGGCAGCTACGGCAGCGCTTCCGTCATCGATGCCCCGGACCGCGGGTCCAACAGCGACGAGCCGGATCGCACCCCCAAGAATACTGGCAGCACTAGCGGCGGCCTGTTTTCCGGGCCCGATAATAGCACCGAAGCTAGCGTCCTTCGCCGGGTGAGCCGAGCTAGCCGCGAGGAACGCCTTGCCGAGCTGGGAGAGAACCGGCCCTCGCATGCGCTTGCCGCGGCCGACGCCGAGGCCAGTCTTGCCGGTCCGGGCAGGGCTCGGCGGAGGGGCAGCACCGCCGTGGTCGACTAGAGATGTGTCCCTGTAGAACTTCATCGGCGGTCAGCTGGCTCCCGGAGCTGTGAAAGTCAGTATTAATTGCTAGTGCGGGCCAGATAGGTGGCTTAGCCCGCCCTCGACTGCTTTAAGAACCCATGCTCCAAGTCGCCAAGCATGCCATCTTGAGAAAGGCACTCCTCTGATCTCTGTTCTCCCCTCTGTCAATCCTACCGCCACTAGAGTATAGTTGAGATGGAGCGAGGAAGCTCGAACATTACGGCATATAGAGATCCATACTCCAACAGATAAACACACACCCCTGAGGGGAAGAGCGTCACTGACAAACTACAAACCTCAAGTCTAGACCGGCGTCTTATTATGTGCTACATAGACTCTACATTACACTGCATATACCTACATCTCTTCGAAGCAAAACAGACTAGGTACTTTCGCCGGGGAGATGTATAGGAGGAGGAGGAAGAAAACTATGAAGAGCTCGTATAGAGACTGAGAACCCAAACTTACCCACAAGACATGATAGAGCACGAGAAACCTCGTGATATCACATCTCATATTAGGGGAAAGTGTCTTCTTCCGCTTGTTTATATAATTACTATCCATACATATCCAGACTTGAATAGATGAGAAGGTTAGTGATAATGTGTTCCTAGATTTGTCTTCATCCTAGTACACTATGGTAAATATAAATTTATATTTCATTTTCCCTCTGGGTAGATAATCCTGCACCCCTGAAGCAAGTGCGAAAAGACTCCGGGGCGGGGTCGGTGGTTTAGTGTCTTACCTTTTCCCTACTGGGCTTTTTCTCTTTTGCTCCCCTTTCTTCTTTTCTCAGGGCAACATACCTATCGTTGTGACTTACCTTTTCAGCATGCTTGTTGTGACCCGCCTGGTTCTTTTCTGCGGGCGGGATAGAGTTTCCTTGCTGCGATATTTTGCCCTTGTCTAGGTAGACTGCGAGACCGGGACAGCGGGTTTCTCTCCTTTACCCGCCGCCATACCTTGTCTCACCTCGCCTCACCTCAACACGCCTGCCTGCGGACACAGGCTCTTTAATCTGTGCCTGGCAATCAACGCTTGATTAACCCAAATGGATTGGGCGAATATACCCTCATCTACCAGAATCACTGTTAGATGAATGGAATTTCACCAATGAGTCTATTCTGGCGTGATGATCAGAGCCAAAAGTTTGTCGAAAGTGGCACAAGGGGCGGTATTTCGTACTAAAGGTGTCCGGTCTGTAAATCGCATAAGAAGGGGGTCTACTGCCCCCCGGGGTTCAGAGGATCTTGCGACGGTGGGTTAGAAGCTCGTCGTCATGGCCATCTCAGCCGTTTCTGCTGCTGCTCCCATGCAACCACTCTTCTCTCGCCAGCAGCAGGTCTAATGCTCGATAAGACCTTGGTATTATGGGCCATCCCCGGATTCTTGTCACGGCTACTCGCCCAGGCAATCCCGATCGCCCACCCCTCCAACCGGGCGGAATGCAACCCCTAAACGTGCTGCGGTCCATGGAGCGAGCAGGGCCCTCGCGGAGCCTAGGACACCTTTTCTTCTGCAAACAGGCACATCGAGCGGTTGAGGTCCTTGCCTTGCTGTCTGCACTCTGCCGGACGGCCTCTTCTCTTCCGGTCTGATGCCTCCGCTGGTCCCGCCTGCTTGCAAAAACGCTGCCTCGTGGAGGTTTGATCCTGGTGGGGACAGCCATATTGACCGTCCTCGTCCCCCCCATTGACATACAGCAAAGGCGCAGCTCGGCGGCCAATGGGAGAGAGCAGACGAACTGTGTGGTGGCGAAGGAGGTCGGTGGGGCTCGACGAGATCCGACAGTCACATTGCCGGCCTCTGCCAGTGGATCATAGCTTCCTGTCAACCACCAGAGCCGAGAAGACGGTCCCTGTCGGCTGCAGAGACAAGACCCCGACTGACCGGGGGGTACATACTTGTCAGTGAAGATCCGGCTGATCTTATTGATGGCCCCGGTCTACGATATCAGTACTAGGAGCAGCAAGACGTCGAGACAAGCATACAACGCCCGCAGTTGACGACGTCGACCCCCGGACAGCTGAAACAAGGACATGCGCGCGAGGCTCAAGCAGGCAGGTGGTGACTGGGCGTAGGGGATGCCTCATCAACTCTCGCAGCGGAGCTATCTGTCATCTGCCCTCGCTGGGGCCATTTCGACCGCATCGACGAGCGCCGACGGATATTGCGGCCATCCTCGCCCACCACAAGCCTTGCAAGTACTCTCCAGGTACGGTCGGGGTACTTCCGGTTCGCGCTGCCCTCGCCGCTCGTGGATTGAGCCGATGCATGCGGGATGCCCTTCGTGGGCGCGAGGTGAGAACGAGAAGCGAGAGTCTGATGCCTCGGTTTCTTTCTGCTTTTCCTGCTGATTCCCTTTTCTTGTCGTGCGTCCATGCACAACCCTGCCGATCGCTCCGATGCGCACATACAGAGGCTGGACTGACTGCTTAGCCTCTTTTCGGCTTTTGATGTCTGCCGGTCTCACGCACGACACGACGGCCGCGACCACCAGCACTAGCTAGCCTCTAGAGGAGGGGGTGGCACGCACACCCCTGGCACTGGCAGCGGCGAGCGAGAGCGATAGATTGAAAAGATGACTGAGCGCAGGGCTAGGCAATTGATGGCCAGGCAGCTGGCAGCAGCAGAAGCCGCCCGTGAGGCCAAGGAATGCTGCAAAGCTGGGCAGCTCGCATCCCCCCCGACAGGGCCCAGCCAATTTAGCCAAAAGAATAGATTGACAGAGGACCACCAGAGCGCTCAACCCGGTCATGGGATGAGTACAAGAGCCAGGAAAGCCGGCCACGGCGCGCCAGGAAGGGTGCTCAGCCAGGAACAAAAACGGCTAGACGGGTTGGAGAAAGAATGGCAGAAAAAGCGGAAACTTGATGCTCGCGTGTGCGCTCTCTCGTCAGCTACGGGTCTCAAGGTAAGGTGTGGTGTGGTGTTGAGCGTTCTTCTCCCCTCCGTCGTCAAGATCTGCCGTTTTCCATCGTCTTTTTTCTCTCCCCTTTCTTTCTTTTTCTTCCTTCGGCTCGTAGATAATGGTACCGATGATGAGGTTAGACCGGGGACGATGGCAAGCGTCTCCAGACGAAAGGTTACCGTCGCCCATCGACGTTGCAGACCCGAGATGGGCGCGCGCGCGCTATCAAGACATGGAGAACAGACTCAACCGGCAGACCACTCCACAGCGGTCGCCACGTTCAATATATCCTATCCTTCAGCCACTACTGGCTTGCCCACGTGATTCGAGACAGTCGAGTGCACGAGAAGAGCATCGAGAGCAACGGCCATCTTTGGGCAGGATCATCCGCCCGCCCAGATTTTGGGACACGGTGAGGCAGGCCATTGGAAGTGTAGCCGTAGCATCAATGGGAGGAAGGGTTGGAGTGTGGCTTGCAGCATGGCAGGTAGGTAGACGGATGATGTGACGGCAGACGTCAATTGCCAAGCCAAGCAGGAGACGGTGCAGTGGGTGAGGTGGTGTGACGGTCAGTGGGCGTGGTACTAGGCCCAACGGCGCTGCTGACTGTGCAATTACACTTGCCCTGCACTGCACTTGCACTTGCCCTGCACTGCACTTGCACTTGCCCTGCATTGCACTTGCACTTGCATTTGCCTCCCTGAAAGCTCTCGACGTAGATGGCTCGTGCGCCTCCTACAAGGATCTTGGCGAGCTTGGTCACGGCCGGCAGCACTTGCCTTTCTTTTTCGCGCTGCCCTTAATTTGGTCCCGCGTCTAGTTGACGACGTTGGGGGCGCGCTCCAGCCCCGAGGCCGCAACAGCTCCTTCCGCTTTTGCCTCTCACTCTCTCTCACCCACCATAGGTTACCCACCTAAAGACGGGTAGGTTCTTTCCTCAGCAGCACACCTGAAATGGGCCTGGATCACTCCGTCGGGCCCAAGAGGCGACCCGTCCAGTGGATGGAGACTTGGGATGGACCGCCCTGGAATGGAATCCATGGAATTCACCCTCATCTCCAGCTGGGCAAGGGAACCTTCGCTCACCCCATTACTTCGGAGCGTAGACTCGCGAGCCTCTGGTCTCCACTGACAGCCACAACGGGAGCGTGCATTCTCTCCATGTCCGTCTGTTTCAACCGGCTCCGTGCAGGAGCTACCTTGTATACATGGTAGACAAGGCAGGAGTGGCTGGCTCTAGGTACGAAGTACCTTACCTACCTTACCTTAGGTAAATCACCTGCCTTGTACAGTACCAAGGCAAGGGATTCCGTACCGACGTTCCCTGCCGTCCATTCCGCCTCTGGGCTTACATCTCCCGTCTTTGACTTCTCTCGTATTCCAACTGAGGTGTCTGTCCCCGCTGTTCAACAGCTCCCAACGTCCCACTAACCTTACCTAGTGCTAACCAAGCACCGTATGCCCTCTTTGCAGCTGCTCTGGTCCCAGGGATGGCAGCCACGGCTAGAACCATGGTGCCCCGTTTCTGCCAAGGCCTAACATCATCTGTGTAGCGAGGGATTGGGCTCGGCTCGGAATCTGGAGCCGTTGAAGCTCTACTGTCTCAAGGTTCCTACCCATCCTGAATGCCAAAGTACGGCACTTGGACAGATCGCTCGCCATTCCGACTGGCCCTCCCTAGAGCCTGGCTCGGGGCTCAGGTGTTGCGCTCCGTTCGGGCATGGAGACTGCTTGCGCCTTGTGCACTACCGCGCGGTACGATGCCTACTACGTACTTTGTACTGCCGGCTGCCACCAAGGGCTTCCATGTTTCCTCTCCCTCGCCTCACAGACAGACCAGCTCCTCTCGCCCTCTGGTCTGGCCAGAGCGTGAGAGGCAGTGAGGGCTCTGGCACTGGCTTTGGGGATGCCTCATGACATTCGCCTGCATGGTCAACGCGCACAGCATGCAACCGCTTGGCACGCTCACCACACACGGCCGCTGCCTGGTTGAGGGGGTCCTCTGAGCCCTCCGCAGTACGACTCAAGATGCTTCCGAGATAGCAGTTCTCTGCGCCTCCCCCCTATCAGCCGTCTCCTCCCTACACCCTTCAGCCAGCTCGGTTCCCATCGACCTCGAGGCCCGACACATGGCCGGCTCAGCACTTGCATCTCACCTCGACTTCCCTGCGCGACATGCCGTGTAGCCACCGTAGGTATGCAGAGTTATCTCGGGGGCTGACGGGGCTACCGCCCATGCTTACCGGCACGGTATATGCAGACACGTCTATTCACTCAACGGCTGGGAGAGTGGCTGCAAGCTCGCCGTAGAGCTGACCGCTGTGGTGCCGGCATCCCATCTTCGACGCTGTAAGCCAGAACTACACCAGACCACTCCGCCTCCTGGGTCGTGCCACATTTTTCCCATTGATCTGTTCAGCGTTTTGATCCATGTAATGCGCCTTGGGGATAACGCAAACAAAATGTCAAGGATGGTGTGCGCAAACACCACGCAATAGGTTCTGCAGCTTGTCACTTGAAGAAAATAGCGTACATGGCCCAGCCCCGGGCCGAGTTACACCGACTGAGCAAGAAAAACGTATTAGCCACATGGGGAAACGGATGACGAGGTTAACAGCGCACAAGTCCGCAGGCCAGACCTCCAGAAAGAACGGACATGCCGACCGAGTTTGCCCATGAAACCTTTTTTTTCGAGGTATCCGTGTCAACCAAGAGCTACTGTATTACGCAGATGCCCTGTCTTGGGCAATACGCCTTGCTTGATAGCAGTGCAAACAAGCATATAAGGAAGATTCCGAAGTTCAAGGTTTCCCCGGATTTCTGCGACGTATTGGGACTTGCTGTCAGTCTTCCACGCTTGAATAACTCAGATGGAGCCAGATGAGGTGCCGACTGGTGTTTGATGTAGCAACGTGCAAAGGGGAGAAGTCAAGTCAAGGTTGCACGCACTACCAGAGCAAGCCGGAGACTATGCGTACATGTTGGTTAAACCCGCAGATCCCCTCCAGTCATGTTCTAATGGCCGTAACGGCCCTCAGCGTTTCATTCCGCAGTTAATGACGGAGGGCACGTTTTTTTAATATCCTTATTTTCCGAGCAGGTCGGTGCAGGGTGGGCCAATTAGGCGTCTTGGAGTCAGGCTGGTTTTTCTGCCTGCGAGCTTGAATGGCAGGCCACAGGCACCGAGAAATACCACGCTGGCCGAGAGAAGGCAGGACCCCCCCATGCTCATGCCCGTCTGAAAACGATGGGTGCACCAAAGCGCTGGCGGTGTGACGGCCATGTCTCTGTTCCCCTCTTGGATGGATGGTAATTTCCCAAGCAGGAAATCTTCGAGACTTCCGCCGAACACTTCCCGTGTTTCTCGACAGGAGCGCCCAGACGGGGGCGTCGCCAGGCCAGGCCAACTAGCACTGTCGCCTTGATTGGGGGTAACAGCACACTGCAACATCAAATCACATCACCAGGCGGCCGGTTTAAGCTTCAGTGCGGGCTGGCGGGGTCGATCTCCAGCATCGCATCCCATCCCATCCAGCCCGGGCTGGGGTTAATTAGTTCTAGTGGCCGTTTCGAGCCCCAGACGAACTGCGCTGAGGTTTAATCATACCATACTCGGCGACATAAGGTATCTACTGTACAGAGTACATACAAGCTTGTATCGAGCAGCACCTTGCTTGCACTGCAACATAACGTAACGGCCGTGGCGTAATTTAGTGGGACCCAGAACTCTAGGGGCAGGTGCTGGGAGCCGGCCGAGATGAAGCCGGGACTACGGGTAGCCAACCAGACGCCGGAGCCGACTTTGCTTTTACTCTTCCGTCCGTTAACATGCAGAGACGCAGACTTGCAACAACAAAAAAGGCATCTCTCTTCGAAACCGTGACCGAGTATCGGCCGAAATTGAACAGTCGTCTTCTTCATGCTTTACAAACACAATCATCACGCCCCATCAAATAGAAGAATGGCAATCGATAATCACAACCCAAGAGCTAACGGTGATACCGTGCGCCAAGACTTCAGAAACGGTATGTTTACTGGAATCATGCCCAAGGTTAAGCCACCACAGACAAAAAAGGGGGCAGGGTTCCCCGCTACAAGCAGCCGGGTCTAGCTCTCCATCTTCCTCGACAAGAGTTGAACAACGTGGAGAGATGCATGCACGCATATTAGATATGCATTGTGAGGTTTCAACATGCCACTTAGAATTCTGCCAACTGGGGGGAGAGTGGGCTGCGGCAGATGCCAAAAGTGTCCAATGCGGTCTGGCTTAGCCGCTAATAGGTTAGACAAAAGGCCCGAGGTAACGAAAAAAAGGGGGGCACTTATTCTTTCGAAAAGGAGAAGTGTATTTGGACTCCGTAGTCTACACCGTCCGCTATGTCACGACAACCATAAACAAGATAGCAGAGAAAATATCACTACCTCAGCCAACAGTAGTGCCGTTCAATAATTAATCCCTGCAATCACGTACGGACACACCACGCACACATCATGCACGTCAACGACCGTAACGTCCCTAGCAGCCCATCTCTCCTTGCATCTGGAAATCTGCCTCCCTCTCTCTGGATTTGATGACGGCAGCCACACACCCAGCACCATCACTATCACTCCCGCCCCAATGATGCACCACCGCCCCAAGAGCTCGGGACGGATTAGGTAGGTAGTAGCAGGGACATATAGAGCCGGAAGCCGGGGGAGGGGAGAAGTATGGAGAAGAACCGAGTAAACTGTCAGGTTCTGTCCTTTTGTTTAGTTTTCTTGCCTGCTTGCTAGCTAAACCCGATATCCGCAGTACGTGCATGCATGCGGTATGTAGGTAAGGTATGTGCGTGCGACAAACAGCCCAAGGTCCACCCGCCGACCCGAAAGAAAACATACACACACGCGAGAGAACCGATGCCCCCCCTATACTCCCATCCGCATACTCAAATCGTAGAAGACCAGAAACTATACACCATAGCTTGCCCGCTGACCCGCCCACCCAATGCATTAATCTATTACCAGTCTGTTCATAATATCCGTTTGTTAAACTAACATGAGAAAATTTGGACGAAAAAAGAAAAGAAAAAAAAAGACGAAGGAAAGACACGTAAAAAGGGACATGTCATTTATCGGTAGATATGTGTGTATATGTATGATATAGTATATGATAACACGCGTACCATGAGCGCCAGTGCCGTCCCCCTATTCCACAAGTAGACCCAGGAACATAGTAAAAAAGAAAAAAATAAAAGGAGAAATAAAGGAAGAAATAAAACAGGGGAGGTTGGCGACAACCCAGCCTGGGCCATCCCAAGAGTGAAATGGGGGGTAAGAAGCGAAGATAAGTAATAAACAAAGAAAAGGGAAAAGAATGTTGTTTCCAAAATGTCAGTGGTATCTCGCCCGCCTCTTGTATTCATTAACCGAACTTGGTTGGTTCCCCCTTTCCCCAGGTTTTGTGTTTCGAGGTAACAAAGGAATAATAGGATTAGAAGAAGAGGTAAGTAGAAGATAAACAAGAGCCAGGCCCTCGCGCCTCGCTCGTTCAACGTGGAGAAAGAAAAAAAAAGAAAACCGGCCAGAGCCGAACAAGAAACAGAAGAAAAAAAAGTTGGTATACCAACGGTAGCAGTGATATAATAACACAGGTAACCCCCAGAAGAAATATTGTGTCAAGCACACAAGGGAAGTGAGAAAGTAATTTGGGTATTTAGTCCTTGAACAAGCAGGGCTGGAAAAAAGTAGAAGAGAACAGACAAAGGTAAAAGATGAGAAGAAAAAGAGTATTTGCATTTCATAATATAGTCATCGAACCCCGTCACCTTTAACAGTAGCAGTAAAGAGAAAAAAAAGGGACACCACGCGAGCGCCAAAAAAAGACGGTTCTTTTCCTTTCCCTACCGCTGCTTCGCCCCATTTCCCATTTGTTTACTGGCTGTGGTGTGTGCGCTCGTATGTGCGCGTGGGTGAAAATATTCTCGTGATATGTAGGAGTATTCCCATTTTTTTTTCTTTTCTTGTTTATCTTGATAATGCTTCATTCAATCACGTCGTGCTGCCGTAGGCGCCCGATCCCGTGTTGTTGGATGTAGACGACGGCCCCGTGAAGCTGGGTTTGCGCTTCATGCCCAAGGGGTCCTGCGAGTAATCGTCCGAGCGTTCCCCCCCGGAGTTCTGGCTCTGGGAGCCGCCGCCTATCCCCAATGGGCCGCCGACAAAGGAGTCTCTCATAGGCGTGCGGGAGTTTGAGTTGGACATGCTGGCCTGGAATGCAAAGTCGTTGGGAGGCGCGATGGGCGCGCTCATTTGGGGCATTGAGTAATCGGCCCCCGACGACCTGAAGCCCGGCGTTCTCGGCAGCGAAAAGTCGACCGGGGCCGTGAGCGGTGCCGATGGGAAGCTCGCTGTATATGTGGAGGAGACGCCGCCAAGCTGCGTCGAGGACGTTGTTCGAGGGCCTGGCGAATGCGCCGTGGATGGATGGCCGCCCGACCCTACGGCTGACCGAAATTGCGTGCGCAGGTCAAGGCTCATGGGTAAAGAGGCAGAGGCGGCCCTCATGCGTGACCCCCGTTGTTGGTTCGCCTGTAAGCTCGACGATTGGAAGTTTGGGTAGTTCATGTGGGTGGGTGACTGGACGGTAGAGCCTGCACAGAAGTCCTCGTGTTAGATCTCGGTTCCCTTCTCCGACAAGAGCTGCGACCTACCTGAATAGTTGCTCGAGTCGTAGCCACGGAGCCCACCTGCCGAACCATTGTTCATCTGGTCCTGCTGATACAGACCCTGTGGCTGTCCGCCCATTTGAGGCGAACCGCTTCCGCCATGGTATGTTGTGTAATCGATGGAGCCGTCCTTCCAAGACATGCTTGACCGCAGAGGCGACTGGAGGGTATCGGAGCGGGACCTGTTCATCGTCTCGCGGAGCTGCAGGGGTTGTAGAGGCCGTATTTGCTGTCGTGAATGGTGGCTGTGCATCTGCATGCCCGTGTCGATACTGCTTTGCCGCGCGAATGGATTTGATGTCCTCCCTCCCGAACTCAGCGGCGTCGGCGAAAGGTGGCTCGAGTAGTAGCGATCGTTTGACGACGGCGACATGGGCGACAGAATGTCGGGTGTGCTGAGAGTGGCTGACGGGTTGAAGCCGATGCTGCCGAAGGCCGGGCTGAGACCTGTCGGCGAGAGATGGTCGTCGCCCTCGGGCCGCCGCACATCGACCATGAGCGGCCGCATCATGTGGTCCGAATACGGGCCACCGCCAAAGTCCACCGGTGACGTAATTGGTGTCCCAAGCCCGTGAACTGCGCCGTATGGAGAATGCAGCGCTTGCACATTGTCAAAGTCTTCTGGTACGGCTCTCATCTTCATCATGCGGTCGCGATCGTCGACGGTCAGGCGCTTGATCTTGGCTCGCCTACCTCATCGTTAGCAATCCGCATATCCCCGTGGCCCGACCCAGCCCTACTTACCTATTTTGAAACCACACTTGCACCTGTCGAGGGCTTAGTCCTGGAATCTCTCGTGACAGCCGCTCCCGATGCGCCGCGTCTGGGTGTGGCTGCTTTGAGAACTCGCTCATAAGGAATCTGGTTTGCTGGTGGGTAAGTCTAGGGAGGTCAGCCATTGTTCGTCGCCTGCCAACCGAATGTCTTCATTACCTGAAGCGCTTCATCTTCCGTCGCTGCGCAGTCCTTTCGGCGGCAGTTTGGGGTTGGGCTGGCGCCTCGCCCTCGGGCTCTCCTTCGACCATCTCCTCGTCATCCAAGACGTCTTCATCTTCCTCTTTGACAGCGGTCTGCGCATCGTTGGCTGAGTGGCTCGTGGGACCCTCGGGTCCTTGGCTTGCCGAAGACACGGAGCTCAGCGGATTGGACCCGAGCGACATGCCTGGCGTCTCGGTTGAGGCCAGTGACTCTTCGTGCACGGAATCGGATGACTTTTGGGCGTAGTGATCTCCCTGGCTCCCTGGATGCTCTGGAATAGGAGACTGCTGTTTGGGCTGCCGCAGTCCTAGAGGGTCCAACCGATTCCCCAAAGGCGAGTGCTCTTGTTTCGGTGCCTCCATGTCCAAGTGGTTGCTCGACGCAGCCACGGAGCGTGGCTGCGCTTGGGAGTCGGCATTGTCCGTCGAGCCCGTCACATGTTCGTATGGCTGCGAGAATATGTTGTTGTCTCCTGGCGGGAGGAACGAGTACTGCCCCTGCCAGTCTGACTGCGTCACAGAATCGAAGTTGTTCGACATGCGTAAACTGTCCGCGGACTTGTGGAAGGTGGTCTCAAACTTGCTGATAGACCAAGGACTCTGCTCCGTAGCGCTCTGCCTGGAAACGAGCATTGGAATTGGCGGTCGGTCTTTGGTCAGATAAAAAGTCTTTCGTCTGTTCTGGTCGGAGGGGGAACAGCCACTCGCCCTAGCTGCGCAATCGTCTGTTTCTGAACCAAAAGAGGGGGGGCAAAGCGAGCGAGAGTGCGAAGAGCTCCGCGGCGAGAGAAGATCAGAGGACGCAAAAGTACATCACAGACGGCAACTCCAGATAAACAGGCTTCTACCTTTAGAGCTCCGAATCTGGGTCGTGGTGATCTCCTACAACCCAAGACTGGTTAGGGCTGGAGCACGCCGAAGAAAGGAGCCGTCGTTCAGAGCCGTGGTCAATGGTTCGGGAGGTTGTCTTTGCCCACTCCCCCAGGTTTTTCCGAAGATCAAACCAGAAAACAGCGTTGCAGAGGACAGGGAAGAGGAGGATCGAGTGCAAGTTATTTGGGTCGATGTGCGGTGCTGCGAACTGGAGGACCAGGCCCGCCAGTTAAAACGAAGATCAGACGCAGCTGCCGTGTGGTTGTCAAGGTGGTAAAATCGCCAGGTTGGGATATTAGCCCACTGATCTACCAGCAGTGTTGGGCGAGCTCGTCCTTTTTCAACCGTCGATGGGTCTGGTTTGATGACTGCGTAAAGGTCGGCAAGAAGAGGAGGGGTTTTCTGAACCTCACGACCCCCAAGACAGGAGCATGTCTTGTATAAATCTGAAGGGTGACAAATGATCCTTGGCGGGGGGGCTGCTATACCTCGACAAATACTCCTGGGGTGGACTGGGTCGGGGAGCTATGGGGGTTTGGAGGGATCCCCGTGGGCGTAATAAGGCCGTCTTCCAACACCCTGCCCTTAGGCAGGAAAAGAGGTAGACTTAATACCGGCGGAGGGCCACAAATCTACGCGGAGAAATGTCGACGCAGCATCCGAATACAAAGACAGGGTCTGCACGGGCGACCGTAACAGTCGATGGCAGCAGCTCTAGAAGATCGGGGGTACCTGGTACCTGACAGAGGACGGAGGGTATAACGGCAGTAGTCTTGGGACCTTGTCTGAGGCTTCCTCGATTAGAGGCAAGCCGCAAGTTAAGACGACTGGTGTAATAATACCGGGTCCCCAAAGCATGGAACAACTGAGCCACACCGTTTTTCGTGCAGCCGTCTCTCCCTCTCTGGCGAAGCGTTGACAGGGTTATATCGAGAGACCTGGATTATAGAACTGTCGGCTGAATGGGTAATGCCGTGCCAGGAGGGCGATGGAACCAACAAGGGTGCCCGCCAACGACACGACGTTTAAAAGGCAGGCTGAAAACGGACGGTCAAAACGGCCACGCCAAGTTGGGCGAGCAACCTACCTAAGCTTGGAGGGCGGCCAGACATACGAAGGGGAAAGGCTGCGGCAAGTGCTGTTGTCGCCCGGCATAGGGTTGCGAGGACGCACACATGCATGGAGCTGGACATGACGAGAGGTAGGCAGGAGCACGTCGAGCCAATGAGGCCCAAGCAAACATCCGACACCCACCGAGACGAGACAAGGTCGTTCAACCGCGGGCTGCGGGCGAGTACTTGGAGGACACAGCAAGAGCATCCCAGGCTTCCCTGTAGGGAGTCTGTGATCTCGCTGTCTTACTGTGCAGCGCTGGCGCAGATGCAACCGGCTGGGGTCGCCGGAGCCAGCGTTGCCAGAACGGCACAGTACGAGGAGGCCAGGAGGCCACTCGCACTCGCACGGCAGCGGCAGCAGCAGCAGCAGCAACATACAACAGTAGCAGAAGAATTAGAAGCGCGAACATGTACAGTTAGGAATGCGGCGCATGGCATCTCGGCTGGAACATTTGCGGGCGGCTGATTGGACCTTCACCACATTAGCTCTGCGCCTTCTTGACGGGAGAAAGCATGGCCGTTGTCGAGCTCTCTCCTAGCTCAGGCCAATGGACGGGCATCCACGGCCCAAGTTAGGGGTGTGTGATGCTTGGTCCTTGGTCTGCGGGGAGAGCATGTCGAGAACGGAGGTGGGGGAGGCGAGCATTGAGGCGTGAGTCCAGGGGGCAGATGCAAATCCGGTCACGCAGCCACAAAAAAAAAGGAACACTCCGGCACGTAAAGAGCGCTGTGAGGGCCGGTTGCTCCCAGAGGACCTCGCAGCGACTGATAGAGAGTGGCTGAAAACGGGAACTCTAGATGGGGATGGTGGTGCGGGAGGTGGGGAGGAAAGGATTTGTGTTAAGGTCAACCCTGGCAGCTCTGGGGTGGATGGGGGCGGCAAGGGGGGATGGATGGGCAGATCACTGACGAGCAGATCTTTCTTCGTTGCCGACATCTCATTCAAGGCAAGGCTTGATGGGGGTAGGCAGGGCCTTGGTGTGTGCAGCGTGCATTCTGTATGTGTAGTGTGTATGCATGCATACACCACATACGGAATACATACCTACTCATAGACATCCATCCAGACATGTGGGCAGGACAGGACAGGACAGAGCAGGCGGGGGGGGGGTGTTGTATGGGGTCTAGGCCTTGTATGTCTGTACAGTACCAAGCTCTAAACTCGGCGCCTCGCCACCATGGAGATTTTAGCCTGGGGAATGGGAGGTAGTCGGTCCTGCATCAAACGACTTTGCAGGCTTTTCAACTTGGCGGATTCACTGCTATGCAGCAGAACTAGGTCTAGGGCAGATGGACTGGTCGGACGGGCTTGGTCTGAACCGCGCGCGCCCTACTCCTGCTGGGCGCTGGCGGCCAAGGAAATAAACCAGCGGCCTCACCGCCCGCGGAGCAAGCGGCGCTGTGCCGTTCCATGCCTCAGGACAATTCTAATGCCTCAAAAAGTCGAACAGACTAGGAAAGCAGCAGCAGCAGCAGCAGCAGCAGCAGCAGCGGAGGCGGCGGCGGAGGAGTGTGTGACCAAGACTAGATTCAACGCGGACACGGCAATTGTCTCGTCCGCCCTGCCGCACCAGCGCCGTCTCCTGTCTGTCGTGTTCCCCACGACAGTCAATGCCGGCGCGCGAGCGACGGCTGAAATTCGGATTCGGCCAGGGCGTCCGGGGAACGCAAGCTATGTCATTGCAGAAACAGGGACCGACCGATGAGTTGGGCGTACGTAGGAGAAAAGCTTGTGGGAAGCTGCGCCGAACTACCGTAGGCTGATTTGGTGTGCCCAGGAGTGCTGTCTGGTCGTGGTGGGGTTTGGTGCTACTGTGCGATGGGAAATACAGGAGGATTGTGGCAAGCAAGGTGTCGTGCAGCTCGAGCGTTGCATTGAGCAAAGCGACGACGACAGTGAGAGGTGTGTGTGTCGCGCCAAAGACGACACATCTTAGGTAAGGCGGGGCAGGTAGTTGACAAGTTCTAAAGTTGAACGTTGAAGGAAGAAGCTTCCATGTCGAACCTTAGCGTGCCCATTCTCCTTCCTGCGTGATCGGTGCTGTGCTGTAATGTATGTATGTCATACATACAATACATACCTTCATTTGCAGGTAGGCGGGCAGGTATTCACACATTGTCCATAATGCTCTGCAAGGATGCATTCATAGGTACCTCGGCCTGCCCCAATAACACGGGCTGTTGTGTATGACCGGATTGCGTTTATATACATTCCGTAATAATCCGAACGAAGGCTATTCTCGGCTCCTCCACATCTCAAGTCGGGGCGGCCGCGCCGCGCCTCTGAAAGAGTCGGCAGGCTGGCAGCAGGGGTGTCGCGCCGACGGTTTCAGCAGGGGCATGGGTCGCTGGGGAGGCGGCCAGATGGTGCATGCATCAAGAGGGGAAAGTGAGATGGGAGACGCGAGATGGGAGACCGGGAGATGGGGGCCAGACAACCGAGACGGGCAGAACAACAGCCATGCGACCCGTCGTCCCAACGGCTGGGCTCGCTGGGGACCAAACATGGAGAGCTTCCACCCACTCCCAGGGGCCAGCACACGAGATCTCGCCTGAGCCTCCTTCTAGGCGTCTTCTACCGTCGCGCGATCGGAAACTCGTGCAAGGGTGCTGAAATTTCGGCAGGCAGTCAAGTCGCGATCCGCAAAGTGCCAAATCGGCCATCGCCAGGGTCTATGAGCGAATGGGCAGCGCTGGCTGGGGTGGCCAGGCTAGGCTAGGGACTTGTGCATCCTCCAATCTCTCCCTCTTGGGACCGGAGCTGGCTCCATGGGAGCGGCTCAATTAGTGTAGACCCTTCCTGCTGGCTACGCTGGGAGTCGTGGATCCTAGGATGACACGAGTTCAAAAGGAACGCCTACTAGCGTTAGTTAGGTAAGGCCACTAGTCATTAGCCAGTAGCCCACGGATGGCAGCTGGGGAGTCAGATGGTAGTAGGTAGTTGGGCTGGTTGCATCTGTGTCAGGACAACCAACCAGCCAACATTGGGAACAGAGATTCACCATCCAGCAACTCAAGGTATGTATGTATGTTTATCCTGTCTGTTCATTACGGTAGGCGTTGCAGCCCGGTTTATTAGAGGGGATAGTGACTGAACCCCTTGTAAAGCGACTGTGATGGCAGTCGGTGGCTTTGAGAGACGCCGTGTCACAGTGGCTTGCCGCTTGAATGACTGGGCAGACTGGCCAGCCAAGGAAGGTCGCAGCCGGACAGCCTTGACCCAAATCTGCTGCGCTACGCTACGAGGAAAGAGCGAGCCCAGACTGCATCCATTGGGCAGGATTCGTGTCGATTTGTCAAGCCGCCAGGTTCCTGCGTAAAAGGAGATGATGGAAACATGCAAACATCTCGAAGGCCTGCCGGGTTGGCATCGCTAGACTGACGGGAGTTATGGTTGTTCATTGGGTTCAGATTGCAGGGGTTTTCAGATGTCAAGAAGTGGACGTGAGGTGATAGGCTGGCCGCTTCCTTCTCTGAGCACACCTTACATTCTACTTACTACTCTGGCTCACCTGGTTACACCAGCCCCACAATGCGGAAAGAGCGAGCCGGCCACTCCAGAGGCTCAGAAGTTTCCCATGGCCGGCAGATGCTCAAATTTTCACGACTGAAGATGACCTAAGCTAGCTTCCATTTGGTTTTCCTTCTAGGAGGCTCTGTAAAGAAAAGGGTTCTACGGAGTACGCCGATGGTAGGTAACGGCACTGCAGTGGGAAGCAATTGGAGTACAGCTACAATATGTAAATGCAATGGCATGTAATGTATGTATAACACCTAAAGGTACGAATGACGGAGAGTTTAATAGTATCTATAGATGATAACCTCTTTCGAAAACCTGGAAGCTTGTGTCCCCGATAAGCAAATGATGCGGCGCCCCCCAGTTCTGGGCTAGACCTTATCTGCAATAATCTAGGTACACCATTACACAGTAGTAACCTTGAAGCCTACCAACAGACACCCCGGCAAGCATTCGGTAGTTGAAAGGAGTATTACATACGGATATAGAAGCGATATCCATATGTGCCGAGCATTCGTATTCGTACATAATTCGTGGACATGGACAGTCCGATAGCGATACATCAATACTGAACGGATCTTGTGATTCGTAGGTCTTGCGCGGGCCCTAATATTCAGATGCTCTTGGAATATCCTTACATGCCCGAGCTCTTCAAATGTCTGCTTGAACAAGCAACTGGGAACGAGATAGGTATGTACACACGAAGGTAATTACTCCGTATATGCATGGCAGCTACCCGTGGGATTAAGGACCACATGCTGCCCGCCTAGTGATGGCATTTCCCAGATCTGCAAGCACTATGCTGCCAAACGGCGGTGCGTTTGCAAAGTTTCCAATTTCCGAGAAACATAAGCACAAAGAAATGGGCGAAAACAGCTCTACCACAGAACTTAGGACGCCCAAGTGCGCCCGAGCAAGTTCTATTGTTGTTTCGTCGCATTCACTACTAACATCTGACGCAGCATGCGTGCTCCCACTGACCAAAAAGGTCGCCATTGTCGAGAGCGACCCTGGACGCCCTGGACGCATTAGGCCGGGTGCCAGAGCGGGGGCGTCGGGTGGCTTCGGTGCGATTCGTCGGCCCGCTCGCACCCTCCAATTGCCCTGCCCTGCCATCCAACGACGGCTCGGGGCTCCATCCCGTTGTGCCATTACCTATCCTCTGACGCTTGCGCGAAGTGTCGAACCGGGAATTTACACATCCAAACACACGAATTACCTGATTACGATTGCGCCGATCCCTCCGTCTCCCCTGCCGTCATAGGACTCTGCTGTACAGTACATGTACGGTCCTGCAGCGGTGCTGTGGGTGGCGGTGTTGCCAACTGTAGACAGGCTGTGAAAAGTCCCGCCGCCCCCGGCAGTGGGAGGCGCCCAGGGTCGTGGCTAGCCGGGTGCCTTGCGTTGCAACCACAACAAACCTCCACGACGCCCACTCGACGCCCACTCATGCTAGCCTCAACCGTCATCAACACAATTTTTGAGTGGCTTGCGCCTTCTGTCCACATCGTCCAAACAAGCCCCCACCTCCTACCCGCCCGATGCCGCCGCCGTAGCACAGTTTCCACCCTCGGCCCCCCCAGAAACCGCTTCAATGATGACTGGGCAAGAGGTGCCGAAGACCAAAAAAAACACGAAAAAAAAATCTTGGCTCACTCGTGCGTGCATCGTGCGTGCGCCTTTTCTATCTTTAGAGAACACGCAGCGGTTCGAACACCAGAGCTTCTGTATACCTACGTTTATCTTTGCAACGTTTTGATGCACCTCAGACAACCTATGCTGCCACGACTCGGAATTTGAGAAAAGGCCTTTGGCTTTTGGGTGCTATTCTGAGCCTGTCTCGGGTTGCACGACGGGGCCGACTGGCGCTGCTTGTTCAGGTGTTTAGACAGTTTTGTCCTCGTCGGTCCCGACGGCGCCCATGGTCGCCCAGCTTGGGGGTGCTGGCTTGCTGGGGGAGGGGAGGGGGGGGATTGCTTCCAGGGTAAAGAAAACGGTCGTCGTTCCGATCTGGCTGCAGGCGCCTGGATCGATCGCCCGCGTAAGGCTGAACAAATCTTGCCAGCCCGGCCGGGGCAGGGCAGTCTGAGACGAGGAGCGTCTGGCGGCTCTCGCCTGACTCCCGGCATTTCCCACCTGGGACTAAGGTCAGAGTTTATTCTTTGCATCTCGTGTCGCTCTCGTGTCGCGACGTCGTTGCTTGACGACGCTCTCTCGCTCAATCTTTCCTCCACCACTCAACTCTCACGCGCGCTGCCTCCATCCCATTCCGCTCACCTCATCCGTGAAAACAGCCCCATGCCGAGACGCTACCCTGCTGGGGCCAGGCCCGTCCTCTTTTGTTGCGCCATTTGAGCCACTGCCAGTGCATTGATTCAGCCGGCGCAATTTTAGGATGCTTCCGGGACACGCGCAATCTCTCTCACGCACGCACACGTAGACACACGCAGACACACACACACGCACACCTGCACACTGCCTACACACTGGGAGCTTGCGCCTCCCGTGCCTTCAACTTCCGGTGACAGAGTGCGCTGCAACGGCTCTCGCAAGCTACCTTGGCATTTCGCGACCGAAAGCTGGCCCAGTCATGCTGAGTGCAGTTGTCGGGCTGGTCGTCGCAGTCCAGCGTGGAGTGGCACCAAACACCAAACTTGTCGCGCAATCATGATTTGAGGTTCTGGGCTGCGCGTGTCTGCATGGGAGGGGGGACCCGCGGCGAGAACCTTGTGCGAGCACCTGGAATCCAGGAACCCTGGAGCTGGAGTTGGAGCTTTCTAATTGAACATGCAGCAATCCGCTTCATAACGTCGCCATTGTCCAATGGCTGGGAATTCCAGCCCTCACACAGCGCACCCCCCGCGAGCCCAGCACGAGGGAAGGGGAACGGCACTAGATTCGGGCAATTCAAAAGTCATCAATTCAATATTGGCGGCCCGTAGTTTGGGAATAGGGCAGGCCTTGACCTCAAGGCTACAGTCCAAGTCCCGACACACCCAACCCTCCGAGCCCCAAGCTTCCAGGCTCTAAATTCTGAGCTCCTACTAGCTTCAAACTCACTTGCTTCCCGTCCTTCTTTTGCCCATTGGATGGTGTACTATCATCTGGTCTCGCCGCCGCCCGGCGTCTACTTGAAGCATATGTGCCAGCTTCTCATTTAGTACTCCGTACCGCACACCTCGGCGGGCTGTCACCAAGTGCCTGTCGCTGGGCGTCTGCCTATCTATTCCGTATGCCCAAGTCTAGACTGAGAGAGACGCAGGTTGGCGACAGCGCCGCTGTGTGGATAGCGCCGGCCGCTGCCCGTCTTTCGCTATGCGATTCGATCCGTTTTCCGAGTTTTGCCAGTTGGCCGAGCTGTTTCTCAATCGCACTGATCAGGTATCCCCGGGCGATCAGTCTCTTCCGGGCAGAACGCATGGGTCTGCTGCCTCTCTTTCTCCTTTTCCCGCATTTTCCCACATTCAGCAGCTCATGCGACGGGTCGATGAAAATGGTAGCTCCCGTCGTCGCCGGCGTGAGTGGGCCGAAATTTGCTCTCCTCTGCGCGTTTGACACACGGCCGAGCATCAGACGGAGACCATCCAATGTCCGCTGGCTGGAGATCCGGCCTTCCGAGTGGAACCTACCTGGGCCAAACACAACCACAACCACCATCACCAGCACCATCAGCGTGACTTGGACAAATGTCGCTGCCGTGTAATTGTGTGCTTCCTTTATGTTTCTGTCAGTCGCGCTGCTATCAGCTAGGGCGTGCGCAGCAGTCGTACCGTCATAGTGCGGGACCGGGACCTTCCGCAATGTTTGGCCGCTCTTGACCAACCAAATGGCGCCCATGTTCTGAACGTGGAACATGCCACAGGTGTTGTTTTGCGTGTTATGTTACGTGGTGCGCGCCGCGACGGCAGGTCGACACGCACGCTGGGCCAAGGCTGTCCGACTACTCGGCCCTGTGTCAGCGAGGCCAGTCTGTTGCGCCGGTACAGTACGCTCTCCATGTTCTGGCTAATGAAGCCCACCATTCAGGACGTGGCGGATAAACCCTTCCAGCCACTGGGCATCCTTCATCACCTCAAGCTCAATCTAAATCGGCGGATTGTCAAGTACACACACGCTTAGGCCGGCCTGCCTGCTCAGTCGCCAACTCGCCCTCGCCCACCACGGGGTCTGCCAGCTCGGCGCGCCAGGCATCATATTAATATCAACCCGTGTGGATTGCATGGCGCGAGACTCCAGGTTGGGCGACTCTACGCGTCCATTCGCCAGCAGGCTCAGCACATCCAAGCACCTTTGAGCACTGCGCAGTGACAACCTCGCACACAATTGCCCTCCGCTCACAAGCACCGTCTGGCACCTCAGCGCCGAAGGTGCTTAACCGACCTTGCTTTCCTCCCAAGAGACGTGTGACACAAGGCTTGAACAGCAGATCGAGCTATCTACCATCATTTACGAGTGCATCGCACCTTCCCTTCGGGGCATGGTTGCCGGACTTCACTCGTGTCTTATCACCGGGAATCAGGCTGTGATATTGGCCATGGCGGGCTCACACCCTCCTCAATGGTTAGTATTGAACCGACGCTTTCTTGTGATGCTAAGGTCTAACGAGCCCGACCTCACGTGCAGCTCACTAACCCGCGTTTGTACTGTATTGCGCCGTGTCGTGCGGCAGAGTGAACGAAAGAACGACGCATCCGCGAGCCCTTACAGTATCTGGTCTGCATGAACGGCGTCAGGGCACGTGGAGTCCCAGCATCCCGTCCCCGTATCCCGTCACAGTCACCTGTTTAGCCGTTGTCAGTATCCTCCCAGCCTCTCCTTGCGCCGAGAGACGCGGGCGAGCCTGTGATGTGACCTCTCACCATGTGTTCAGCGGTGCTACGACGACCCTTATCTCGATTACGTGCTACTGACGACTGCTGCATCTTAACCCTCACGATTCAAGGTACGAGAGGCATTGTCTGTCGCTAGGAGGTGTAAATCGTGTCCGAAAGACTCTGAGTTGGCGAGTACATGGTCATTACACGGTATGGACTTGAGGACAATGTCACCCCCTTGCCCTGCCACTGAGTAGGGAGCAAAAATCGTATTCGGCTTTTGTTGTCCCAGAGTGGCGAGACAGCCACGATCTACGCCACAATTCGAATCGCTGTCTTGCTTTAGCTCGACAATACCTAGGACCGCTGGGGGTCAGAACAGGAACCTCAACACCATAGGGCCCTGCCGCGCATCGTTCAGGCTGTAGCTTCGTCACCATGCCTATTCCATCTCTAGATATCCCATTGTACATCCGCCCGCCTCCGGATTCCGGACAGTTTCGATCTCTATTCTTAGGGATTCTCTTCGGCTCTCTACTAGACATGACACCGCAGCTGACCTTGAGCATCCGGCGGGTAAATGGGAGGCGAAAGCCCTAGCCCATCCCGATGACGGCATGCCGTTATTCGTCGGCCTGCGGGAGTCAAGCCTCCTAGTTTTGTACTGCTCGGTCAGCCACAGTCCTGATAGCCGGTGAGTCCATAGGTCCATACCGTTTTGTTGTCAGTGACCCCAGCTTTCACCTGTCTCCCCATTTTTGTCTTCCCCTCACGAACCTTGACCCAAGTTTCCGTATCCCTCGTCTTAGCAGAGCTGGTGTGGCAGGACACTGGCGAATGGGGATGCCATGTTGCTGAACAAGACATGCCGCCCCGCGTCTTCCTTGCATAGCACAGAGCTCCGGCGCAGGAACGAGGTGCGTCACTTGCCGCTTTTGGCATGCTTGATGAGCCGGGTTGCTTCCGTAGAAGCGGGCATGTTTGGAAACTCCCTCTGCTGCCTCCTGTCCAATCCGCGTGCAGCGCTCCCCGTTAGCTGCTGGGTTCTAAGCTCGCTCGCAACTCTGTGCCTGGGTGTCTTTCTCCGTTTCAGGAAACAAGCTCTTCCTCGTTCCGTGGAGCAGGCGGGGGCCAAGGGAGCTCGGGAGCTCGGTGTCATTGCGGATCACATCCGAGAGCTTGCCGTCTGTCATGGCCACTGCACGTGTAGACTTGTACACCGCGTTGCAATGCTGGTTTGTACCTGCAACTTTGATCCGACTCTGTTCCTGACTCAGTGCCCATTATACCCCTATATCCCGGATCCCAGCACCTCGTTATCCTCCACTTCACCTCTCTTGGTCTGTTTATCTTCCGAACCACGCCGGCCATGTCCCTCGGCGACAGCAGGTGCGAAATCTCGTCTGACACGTTACACAGCTGTTTTGGTGTCCCCGGCCACCCCAGATCGGACGCGTGCAGGTTATACTGCGAAGCTCTATATCTCTCCCCATCGATCCCGTCTGAACCCCCAAAATGGCCCTCCCGACTGCGGCCGCGGCCGTCGCCTGCGCGCACCACTTCCTCGCTTGCACCAGTCAAGGCCCTCTGGTTAATGAAAGCATATTAATTGCTGGTTCGTGCTCTCGTGTCAGGTATGGAGAAGCCTGACAAATTTAGCGACGGGACTGCACCTGCTGCAGGCGCGGCTGCTTCTTTCTTTCTTCCATTCTCGCGCGTCCCTGGTCCTGGTTCGTTTCTTTATGCGCCTTGTGCCTGTGCCTGGCCTGGCCCGCGGCATCACTCGCGGCTCAAGTCATCTACTCGCGTGCCTAGAGCACGCCGCGAAGCGGTCGGGCTGGCCTCAGACTTGCCGAGAGAACGAGATGCCACAGCTCCAATTCTTGATTTTGAGAGGATTTGACACGCATGGACCGTGTCCAAGTATGGACGACACCAAGAAGGGGAGAAACCGACGATGCGAGGACCACACCACCTCCAACACCACCCGTACGGGGATAGGTTGCCCGGAAGCTGACCGGGACGGTTATGGGTGGGTCGGAAATATGGTCATGAGGTACGCGGAGGGGGGGAACTTTGTCCTTGTTCGTTCACGCTCCCGCCCCCTCTTTTCCCCCCTTCTTGGATTCCTGTCCCTGATTCTTTCCCCCACGGGGGCTGCTTGGCCGAGGTTTGAAGGAAATTGAAAGACATGCCCTGTCTTGCGCGTCGCGGGGCGGGACGGAATGCTGTGTTAGGTACGGGCGAGTCAGCCTGCGGCATCTCGCCCTGGAGTGGCTGAGGCCCTGACCTCACCTGACCTCCGGAACCGTTGGAAACGGGCATCTAGACGCTGAGCTAGCAGTAACCCTGTTCGAGTCTCTGTGCCTCGATACTTGGACGCATTGCTCCGTATGCCGGAAGCTCACCATGCGTATACCATATGTATTTACACTCGCGCCGCGAGAGAGTGGGTAACATGACAGAAAGACGTGGACGACACACTAAGAACTCACCAGACCAAAAGGGGGGGCAACTGAGTCCCGTAGCTAAACCGCGTACAACGCCTACTGAGGCTGCTGTCGAAGGACACTATTCTCTAAACCTTGCGACGGGGTGGCTTCGAAAGCCCGTGTCATATAACGATAGCAAACGTTGTAGGCAGGGCGTGTCGTCGCCATCCCGGAAGCATCCATAGATGTACTTGATGCCTCTGAAACCGCTCAGAATACAAGTACCCAGTTAGACAAACGCCCATCGACGACATGACTACAATTCAGCTTCGTCGTGGAGAAGCAAGGCAAGAAAGAGGAAACCAGATTAGCGAGCTGTAGATAGATAGATTCCACATTCACCCATCAATCGCATCACATCCCCGCAATCCGGCAGCCTCGGTCGCAGCCAGTCAAACCTGGTGCAGAACTTGTGGTCGATATACATATATACACGTAGATGTCGGGAATCTGCTTTTTTAATCTCCAATAGATGGCAACAGAGTGGTAAAAAGCTTCTCTCGGGAAAAGAAGAAAAAGTGGTCTGCGCTCCCGGGGATTTTAGATAGGATGCTTGATTGCTTGATTGCTTGCTCGATGGAAGAGGGAAAAAATATTGCAATAATTTAATAAACGAAAAGTAGATTGGGCGCGGGGTGAGTGGTGGTGTGTGTCGTAGCTATATGTGTGGGGGAGGGGGAGAGGAAAGGTTTGTTTTGTTTGAACCCTCCCCCGCGCTGTTCGACAACCCCTATTTCGAGACACGAATAACACGACTGCTTCCCTTTTTATTTCCACCACCATATCGCGCATGCGTATGCAACTTGGTTTCGGACTGGTTAGATGTCGACCAAGTTCTTACAACGCATTTATTAGATATGTTTTGAAATGATAACATGTGTGCGAAATAAAAATATCTAGAGGAACGGTTCGCTACCGCTCTAACGACTCGCCACAACAACACGAGCAAAAAATGACAAAAAGAAGCACAAAAAAACACACAACACCAGGGATTCGCTGGTAGTCACTAACCCAACTACTTGTATAGCCCTTTTAAGCTTGGATGCACGATTCACGGAGCTGTGTATCGATTCGCTAGTGAGCGTGGCCGTGATTGGCGCCGTAGAGACTAGACCGGCGAGGAAGACAAAAATGGTCTCTAAACAAACTAGGGTAAGATATACTGTAACTTCTTATAAGTAGCGGGGTTTTTCTCTTCTCTCCTTAGCTAGCACGTTATATTAATGGATGGTGGCTCGCCCCCTTTCATTATACGGAGGGTGCTTGGCCTCTGCATTTCACTTGAACTTTCGAGGAAAGCCGCGCCCTTTTGCGACAATAGTCCAAAATCCCTGGCCCAGGCGTACAGCCTACATTTACCTTAGCTACACGATATGAACTTTTTCTACCTGATAGAGCTTCTTTTCTGTTTGTGACATCGAGGAACCCGGAGATGAAGCCGCTTAAAAACCGTGTCATATCGGTACTAAAGGAGGGGCTTGTGCTGTCAGTGGAGCTTGCGTTCGACTATCACCTTGACTGCAGAAGTTCTTAGTTGTTAACTAGGTAATTCTCGCTACCTGCCAAGTTGTGTATAAAATCCCGAACGGTACCGGGCTGAGCATAACGCTTTGCTAAATATGACAAAATATGTGTTGAATCGTCTCAATTATCATCAGTAGTATGTCGCCTTCGTGTATTTTGTAGCAAAAGATAGCCCCCTCTTCAGATGCGAGTGGAAATTTAGAAGACCACCCGGCGTCTGTGGTTTAAAGTCATTATTTGAGCGTGAACTCGGGGTCGTAGGGCTCCTGGGATTGTCTTCTGGGCTTGTAGGTCTTCGATTCGACCTCAGAGAGCCGAGAAAACGCAGAGTCTTGGACTCCAGCTGCCCAGGCGAGCGGGCGAGCTGCCACCGAGCCACCCTTGAAGCCAGCGCGCGGTCGTCCAAGCTATTCTTGCCCCTGCGGCGTCCGTCCTGGCTGCTCGTGGCTCCACCGCGGGCGAGCAGAAAGTCGACAATCTGCTTGTTAGCCGTCTCGTGACAGCACAGCGGCGCGTCGCCCAGCGCCGGGCTGAACCGATACGCGCCGGTGGCCGTGTCCAGCAGCGAGGCGCACTGCGCTGGTGCTGGGGCCGGCGATATGTGATCCAGGTAGGGGAGCAGCTGGCAGCGGACGGCAAAGTCCAGAAACGAGTCGCTCCGGCGGCTGCCAGACACGGTGGACGCCTAGTGTAGGCCGCCGACCTCGGCGGTGCCCCAGAAGCGCTGCAGAAAACACCGGCCTTGCGAGTCGGGCGCCAGACTCAGCTGCGTTCCCGTCCGGTCCATTTCCACTAGCAGGCAGGCTTAGAAGTTGGCGTCTGCTCGCCCGGCCTCGGTCGAGTACTCGGTGCACCATATGAGGTGGTCTCAGAAGCCGCCCTCGGCGCAGTCAAAGTTTTCTGGCGTTAAAGTCTTCATCAAGAGGAGATATGCGCGGGCAAGACATATTGGCGGGCAGAAGGAGCTTAGTGTTGCTGCAGTGATCTTTTGCTAGATATCGGATCCATGGAGCCAGTCTTTGACGGTGCGTTGGAGCTACTCGACCCGCACGCAGTTCGGCGGAATAATGGGCAGCAGGTGGCGAAACCTCCGGTAGTTTGGCTTGAGCTCGATCTTGGGCTTGATCTTGGGATTGGGCTTCGGGGTGCTCGTCACCCGTCTCCTCATGGATCATTAGAGGCTGCTGACTCGCCCTGCTAGCCTCGAGGAGTCTCTTGCAGCACGCGTTCAAGCGTCTCTTCATTGTCAGCAGCCTATATTGTCGTTCATTTGGCGTTATGGCCCCGACCTGCCGGCGGAATCCAGCGTCTGGTCTTCCTCGTTGGCGAATGACATGCAGAGAAGAGTCGGCTTACGTTTGGCTGCGCGGAATATTTGAAAAATATTACTGGCGCGGACAAAGTAACGGGGTTCAAGGTTGTCCAGCATGGTGGCAAAGAGGTTCTCAAGTTCGGCTGGGATCTCGTCAAGGCGCCGCTGCAGGTCTTCTGGCCTGTCGCCATTCGCGAGACCCTCCATCAGGGACCTACCCACTAGCACCACCCACAGAAAGATTCCCGAGGCCTTGATTGTGACCTGGCGCACGATTTTGGAGTAAAAGTCAGGATCCACCTCAAACAGCTCTGGGAAGGCCGGATGCTTCCAAAAGTGAATGTTGACGTAGCTGGAGATGTCTGGCCGTGTCATGTCCTCGAGCCTCAGGCCTGGATTCCGTCCGTAGGCGTCCTCAAAGACAACTAACGGGCGGCTGGAGACACAAAGCCTTACGTTGAGAAGACTGCCAAGCATGTTCAACAACTCGACGAGGTCTTGGCTCGAGCTATCGAATTCGTCCAACCCGTCGACGAGGAAGAAGTAGTTGGCGTCCTGGACCTCAAACACTCGTCAAAAAAGATGTGGAAGGCGTCGACAAGATCGGACCAAGTCCAAGGCTTGCCGTAGCCTGTTGACAGGGCAAAGGCATCCCACAGAGAGGGCTGTTCAAACGCCGGGAGGTGGATGTTCTGTCGCTGCTCCAGGCACTGGCAGAGCAGCGACCGAATGATGCCCTGCTTGGAAATTTGGATAGCGGTGCCTGAATTCTAGAAAAAGAGGGACGCACGTATCAGATGCTTGGGAGAGCTCCACTGGGAGAGAAGCTCCGCGGTGCGAGGATCTTCGTAGATGAACTTGAGCAGCGTCGACTTTCCCGAGCCTGCCTTTCCGGCAATGTAATAGATGCCATGGCCGTGGAGTAGCCAGTCCCGGAAGGTCGTTTCCTTGGCATTGGGCGGGACGACAAGGTCGGGGTCGAGGTCGGGGCCCGGCTGGAATATCCACTCAAAGGTGTTGGCATAAGCCCTGGGGACCCGAGCCTCTCTCTCGTTGATCTCGGGAAAGCGCAGATGGTCCGTGAGCTTGCCAATGAGTCCCGATATCACTAGGGTCGAGCTCTAGTCGCCGCCTATCCGGAAATTTGGAGTCCGTAGGCCCCGGCTCTCGACCATGCGCCGTGTATTTGCATCGATGGCTTCTGCCAGATTGAACTCCCATTGGCCATTATGCTCTACTCTGGGGGGAGACTGCAGGGACGAGACTGGCTTTGGCGGGATCGATGTTGGTGGCATGGCTACAGCGGCGGGAAGGGTTATGTAGGTGTAAGTCTAGGAAAAGGGGCTTATCTGGCTGCGAGGCAACAAGTTCAAGGTCAAGCAGGTGGCCTTTGTCGGCAGTTGTGGGGCCGCGGTAGACGCGCAGGACTCTGGACAAAAGCTTGCTGCTAAAGTCGACGAACTGGACTGCTGTAGCAGCCACAGCAAAGGCAGAAAACGGCTCCATGGCGCGGGGTTTCACGACAGTTCGATCCAAACAGAATATCCGTATTTCTCATCTGAAATGGCATATTGCGTTGTGAAAAATCCCGCGACGCGCAGCCTTGCAAGGCAGCGGAGCGTGCAAGGCTAGCTAATACCTAAAATTGAGCTGGCGCTGGTCTTCAGTGGTCTACAGTTGTAGACAGCTCAGTGGAGTCCGGAACTCGCTATCGCTAGCACCTGGCATCCTCTCACGCTGTCCGGACATGATGGTTCAGCGATTTTTATATCGCTTCTGTATCTACAAGCCCCTGAGCCACCCAAGGTAGATATTTTAGCTCACGACTCTCATGAAGAGCAAAAAAAAAAAAGACAAAGGGGCAAAAAAACATACAACACCAGGGATTCGCTGGTCGTCACCGACCCAACTACTAGTCTGGCCCTCACTGGCTTGTCTATGGGAGAGCGGACGGGATCCCGAATTTTCCAGTGGGTATGGTCGTATGTGTTAGAGATAGGCACAAACAGAGATCATGTAGCTGAGGTCCTTGGCTCCTACGTACTTCCTAGATACCCAACAGCCCGCCATCCCGACTACGTGTTTGATCTTGAAGATAAAACCAAGTTTAGCCATGTAAATACTCACCCGTTCAGTGCAGAGTAGGTATTTGGCTCGTATATTTCCGCCGCCTTTCCTGCCTGCTTGGCCTAGTCCATACCAAGTAAACAGCCTTGCTTCTACATGCTTGCAAAAAAAACACTATCCGCTAGATTCCCAATGACCTCCCGAAACGCCTCGCAGTGAACATGATATTGAACTTCCGAATTGTCGACGAACCCCCTGGTGACTATTCCTCGTCGCTGCTGTCGACGATGAAGCCTGCCCTGGCCCTTGGCTGCGCCTTGGAGACGGCTGCGGCTGGGAGATCGTCGTCGTCATCATCGTCGTCTCCCCCACCAACAGCGCCTGCTGTTGCCGAATGCCGAGTGTTTCCTCCTGCGCCATTCGCCCCGCCAGGACTTAATGACAACGATGTGCCCTGTGTGCCCGCATCTCTGTCTAGCATGGGAGTATCGCCCGCACGGGCCGTCTGGCTCGTTTGATTCGAGTCCATATCGTCATCATCGTTCTCCTTCTCGTCCTCGTCCTCATCCTCCTCCTCCTCCTCGTCCTCATCCTCCTCCTCCTCGTCCTCATCCTCCTGCTCGTTATCCCCCATGTCTTCCTCCTCACTGGACATTGCCGGCCTTCTGGCCGGTTTTGTTCTCTTCGTTTTCGTCTGGGACCGACGTGGCGGCGACGCTTGACTGGATGCCGAGTGATCATTATCGTCGTCCTCGTCCTCGTCGTCCTCGTCGTCGTCATCCTCGTCATCTTCATCGCTGCTGGCAATGAGAGCAGCCATAGTCGTCGGCCTCTTTTTCGCCTTTGCGGGTGCTTTGCCCTGCGAAGGTCCCGCATCCTCGTCACTATCATCGACACCGGCTATCATATCCCATGCCGACTTGTCGGCGTCGTCCGTGGTGGTGGCCAGCCCGAAGGTCTCGTTCTTCGCCTGTTGCCTAGCCTTCTCTCTTGCAAAGAAAGCGGCGCGCTCTTCCTTACCCTCGTCCCCGCTGGATTCGACGTACAGCGTACTCTTGATCTTACGGCGCTTCTCAAGCTGTTTGAGACGCCTGGCCCGGGCCTTCTCATCGAGCTGCTCCTCCGTGGGGAGATCGGGCTCTTCGCTGCCGACCCGGCGCTGCCGCTTCTGTCTCTTCTTCGGGCGCTGATCCTCGGCCGTTTGCTTCCGCGTAGTTGGTCCGCCCATGGGGAACAACATGTCGTCGTCATCGATCAGACCATCCATGCCGTCGTCATCATCGTAAGCGACACGCTTACGCAAGGCAGACTTGCGGCGCAGCTGATCCTCGGCCATCTGGTCGTCTTCAAAAGTTGGTGGAGTGAATTCGGCTTTCTTTATCAGGCCGAGCGAGTCTTTGAGGCCTTCGGCGGTGAGGCTGCCAGGAAACACCCAGCTTGACTCGGGGGTTTCGTCGAGCGTAGGAGCAAGTCGCTCCATGCCAACGAGTTTCATAAGCAGGCGGAGGTGAGGGTTCTTGAACATGGCGGTGCGGCGAGCATCGTCATCTGGGACAACAGCTGGTGGAGGTCAGTTTCGGCCATGCACGGTTTGAAGGTAGGTAAGGGAATCATCTCCTTACTGATCGGTGGGGCAGCTTTGCCTAGGCTTTCCTCAGCCGTCCCCCCAGCTGCTTCTGCCAGGGCCTTCTCGGCGTTCTCCCATGCCCGGCGGTCGACCTCGGCTTTGGAGAGCTGCTTCTTCATCCACTCTAGGTGGTCTGCTTGGCCCTTGTCGAGGAGGACGCCAACGGCAATAGCTACCTGGCGATCGTGTTCCACCGCCCCTTTAAACTCGAGCTCTGCGCCCGGCCTTGGGTTTGACGACATGGTCTGCTTCTCATAGCCATATTCGAGATAGTGAGCTGAGCTGTTGATCTTAGAAAACAGGAGCTCGGTAAATAGGGCCGGCCTCTCCTCGAGCTTGCGCACGCACTTCTTGATGAGCTGCTTGGTCAGCTCCTCCCAATCCTTATAGACAGACGAAGCCTTGTCTAGAGGTTTAGGGCCTTTGATCATGTTGTAGAAGAGGTGGATGATGTCAAGGCGGAATATCATGACGCTCATGTCCAGCTTGAACGCGACCCTGTAGAAATAGCGATGGGCGCGTTTCAGCTGGGAATCGTTGAGATCTCGGTAGAAGCTGGTGAATTTGACAAACGTGTCGACGACGGCCTGGGGGAGAAACCTGGTGGTGAACCTGCGGAAGTCAAATTTCCTCTCCTGGCTGGTCTTCTCGACGTGCTGTTTGTCATTGGCGGAGTCGTCGTCGCCCTCATCTTGGTCTCCATCTCCATCTTCGCCCTCGCCCTCGGCAGCTTTGGCAGCCTTCTTCTTGCGCCGCACCCGTTTCCGAGAGCGGATCTGCAGGTCCGCGTTTTGCTTCGAATACGACTCTAAAATACGCAAAAAGGTGTGGGCGAGCTCGGTGCAGGCGTCAAGGTACTCGAAGCCCTGGTCCTTGTAAGTTCGAACAATGTTGGCTATTGCGTCGTGCGTTGTCTCCTCGTAGAACAGCCGGCTCAGGGTATTGTCGGCAATCTCCTCATCCTCCTCGTTCCCAGAGTCGGCCATGTCTTGAACAGTAAGAAGAATCTGGGTGAAACAACGCATGACCGTGGTCAATAGCGTCCAGTTGTGGTCGCCAAAGGCGCGATCCAAATGGCGCATCAGTGTGATGAACATTTCTTGGCTGAGAACCTCGGCGACAAGGTTAAAGGTGCCAACCTCATCAGCAGCAGGCGTCTCTTTTGACCCCTTTCTCGACTTGATTCGCATTCGCTCGGCTTCCAAGAACCAAGCGATGAGATAGAAGAACTGGTCCTTGTGGTAGTCTAGAACATGGAGTGCCCCCCGGTCGATGGACTTGCGCACGTGGAGGAACAGCGGGTTAAAACCAGAGTCGAGAAAGTCGGACACGAATGAGCCGAGCTGTTGACGGGCCCTCTCGTCGAGGGTGGCCGGGGGCCCGAGATTCTTCTGCTCCATGCCATCTTTTATAGCCCTTCTCGGCGGCTTGAAGCTTTTGCTGCTATCCATCTTTCTCTCCCGGGTGGCTGCGTCGAGGAGAGCCTCTTGGCCCGTGACTGTGGCCATCTTGCCCTTCTCGCGCTTCACCCACATCATGGTGCCAAATCGGCTGTGGCGGGTGGGTGCGGTTTTGCTGTATGCTCGCAGCATGGCGGCCTCCTTATTCATGGCCGCAGCGAGCTCGTCTGACTTTGCCTTGTTGACCTCCTTCTCGCTGACGAAGAGCTTACTCGAGTCGACGCGCTTGACGAGGTGGAAGAGGGTGTCGAGCACGATGATATCCTCGGTGCGGAAGTCGTCTCCCATGTTGGAGGATACCGTCAGCAGGGTGAGGAAGATGTCCTGGAAGGAGAAGGCGTCGACAAGGGTAGAGCGGGAGATCTGGGTCTCGTCGCCGTCGTACTTGAGGCCCTGGGGAGGGCTGATGGCGGCAACATTCCGCATGAAATAGAGGATGAGCTTGATGATGCCATGGTCTCGGGGCGTGCGTTGGCCAATGGGGAGGGCCATGGACGGGAGGGCTACCCGGACGGCGGTGCTGAGGATGGGGGCGGCATCGAAGTTGACGATGGCACGCTTGTAGCCCAGCTGGGCTAGCTGGAGAACGGGGATGTGGCGGTAGTGGTTGACGGTCATGTTGTCGCGGTCCATCTCGATGGGCCAGGTGAGGGGCACCATGACCTCGAAGCAGGCCAGGGCGATGCGGGCCTTGTAGGTATTGTCGGCGCAGTTGGGGGGCCACGATGCGAGAATCTGGAGCAGGTCACCGCCGACAAGGTTGGCTTCGGCGAGGCAGCGAGCGACGTCCATGCGGTTGGTCTTTTCGTCGTAGAAGCGGATCCATTTCTTGAGGTCGCGCAGAACCTCGAGGGCGTCGTCTCCGAGCTTGTAGCCGTCGCCGTCGCCATCGTCGACGCTGATGCCACCGAGCTGCAGATGGCGGGTTAGATCAGGTCAACCCCAACCCCAGCACCGGCCTTGACAACCAGGCCTCGCAAACAAAGTAGAAGTAGTTGAGTAGCAGGAACTAAGACTTACGGCTGATACCAGGCTGGTGATGTGTGCCCGCACCTCGGGGTGCACTATGTCTGTGTTGACTTCTGCGACCTCCATTTTGGCACGCGCACGGGGGGTGCTCAAGTCAATGCAAGCATGCGAGGCCCGCAAAGCCCGTATCTCGAGGATTGCGTCGCGGTGTTGTGGCTGTTTGGGCTGGTATTCCGTGCTTTGGTATCTGTATCCGTCGGGTGTGTACCAAGACGCAGGCCAAAGTTTGGAGCAGCAAATGTTCTTGGCGCGGGGGACGCGTTCTTCGCGTCGAGCAAGCGCGACCCGCGACAGCCACTTAATGGCACAGTGCATAGGTGGACCTGGGCATCAAAGCCAGCGCATCCTCCCACTGTGCCCGATCCTGCCCACATGCTTGACAGGGGCCCACCGGGGCCCCGGTTAGTGCGCTCACTGCTGCATGGGATCCTGCCCCACGTCACCGTTGGCCCGAGGTTAACCGACGCGCGCATTCCAATTCCACCCCATCCATCGCCCGTCCAGCAGAGAGGTTTGATGCCATCTCGAACTTGAACTTGAACTTGGAGGTTGCCCGAGACAAGCTCACGTCCGCCATCCTCCATTCGCCATGGCCCCCCTAGCCGCGACAAGACATGCCCTTCGGGTACCGAGCCAACTGCGATTGCGGCTGTTCAGCACGAGCAGCTTGCGGGCGGCGCAAGAGGTGAAGCGGTTGGGAGTTGTCGGCGCCGGCCAGATGGTAATCCATTCCCTCCCCTTCCATTCCCTCGCCGCCACAACTGCCAACAGCCACTGACAAGGCGCATTCACTCTCGTACAGGGCCTCGGCATTGCGCTCGTTGCCGCTCTCAGAGCCCAGGTCCCGGTGACGCTGGTCGACTCGTCGCAAAAGTCGTTGGACAAGGGCGTGGCCTTTGCAGGTTGGTGAGCCTCGCCCGCTGCGAGCTGTTGGAATGCGCCTGCTGAAAACAAGGTCGGAAATGCAGAGAAGCTACTTGCCAAAGACGTGTCCAAGTCGCGCATCACACAGGAGCAGGCCGACGCCGCCCGCGCGCTCCTGACGCCCGCCACGTCCCTAGACGGCTTGGCCGACGCCGACTTCGTCATCGAGGCCGTGCCCGAGATCCCGGCGCTCAAGTTCGACATCTTCTCCAAGCTCGCCCAGATCTGCCCTCAGCATGCCATCCTGGCCACCAACACGTCGTCCATCTCCATCACGCGCATCGCCGCCTCCACCACCCAGGACCCCACCGACACCACCAACAGCTCCCGGGTCGTCTCGACCCACTTCATGAATCCCGTCCCCATCCAGAAGGGCGTCGAGATCATCAGCGGTCTGCAGACAAGCCAGGAGACCCTCGACGCCGCCGTCGCCTTCTGCAAGCGCATGGGCAAGATCCCCTCAGTCTCGGCCGACTCCCCGGGCTTTCTGGCCAACCGCATCCTCATGCCCTACATCAACGAGGCCGTCATCTGCCTCGACACGGGCGTCGGCGACCGCGACTCGATCGACGCCATCATGAAGAACGGCACCAACGTGCCCATGGGCCCCCTGCAGCTCGCCGACTTTATCGGCCTCGACACGTGCCTCGCCATCATGAAGGTCCTGCACGAGGAGACGGGCGACTCCAAGTACCGCCCCGGCATCCTCCTCCGCAACATGGTCGACGCCGGCTGGCTCGGGAAGAAGAGCGGGAAGGGCTTTTACGATTACTAGGTCTCCTGCCTTCTATGCTTTTATACAGCGTGGGCAACTAGCCAGCATGACCCAAGGCCCCTACTGTTAATAGCCAGAGAGGCCGAGGCCCCTTACGTTGGATACTGTGTTGTTTGCGGACAAGGCCACTGTGATTTGTACAGGATTTTCCAGACCTAACATCCCTCTAGAAAAAAAACTTATGTCTTATAACTGTATATAAAGAACTGGCAATGTAATCCTAAAATTTAAAGCTAATTTATCCTTACACAGTTCTAGTTCATAATGTTAATTTTCCACCTGCTCCTTTGAAGACCGAGCTTAGAGGTTAAAACAATTATATACTACACAAATAGTTATATCCAGCACAAATAGTATTAAAGAAGCTCCACAGTCTAACTGAGTCTGGCGTGCTGTGTATGGATAGCCTGCACTGGGTGTAAATAACTCGTGCGTACTTCCACGACGGCCCATTTGTTCTGCACTCGTTGGTATAGCTACTCTATTTCCGCAGGGTGCGAGCAAGGACAAGCGGGGGGGTGTAAACGATGCAAGGTGTAAGAGAAGGCAGGTACGCCTGATCAAGGTGGTCACGATGGAGGGAACAAGAGGGCGAGCAATGACTGGCATTGGTAAAAGACTTCAACCTGGCCCTCGCAAAGGAAGGTGGGCGAGGGCCACTATTTACATACATAGTTGGGTGGCTCAATCTGGCGGGTGCCTGGGCCGGGTGTTTGGGGCCAGCTGGTGGCGCCTGGGCCGGGCCAGCTGTTTGGGGCCAGCTGGTGGCGCCTGGGCCAGACCGGGCGTTTGGGGTGCTCTTTCCTTACATTATAATTCAAGAAAAGGATGAAGGAAAACACCCTTTAGCCGTACAGAGCTTTATTCGAAGTTTAGCCATGCAGGGCTTTATTCGAAGTTCAGCCTTACAGGTTTTCTTCGGAGTTTGCCGACTGTGGCTTGAAATGTGGCTCAAAGTGGCTCAAATACAGGCGACATACCTCTTATTAGGATGCAGAACTCGAGGACGGACGTCTAGTCTAATCCCGGCCGGCCGGTGATGGTATCGCGGCCTCGCAAAAGCAGCGCTGGCACCAATCCAAATAAATGCCAAATCAACCAAATAAGGAAAACCGTATTTGCAGGCAAATAAGCCATTTTGAAGGTCAAATTCAGGCCAAATTGAGGGTCAGGTTAATTAGCATATTTGTAAATATTTCCCATTGGTTGAGCCATTTTTGGGCCCAATTTTCCTGGCACCAGGGCAGTCCCTGACCAAGGCCAACCCTGCATTTTCTGGTCCCGGGAAAACCCTCGAATGCCGTGAATTCGAGTGCCGCCGTGCCGCTGCAATGCAACTATCGCCAACCGCTGTAAACAAACTGCCGAATCCTACCTTCCTGCAACCATTTCCCTGGCTCCCGAATCCTCGACAACATGCCTGCCTCCACCGTTGTTGTCACGACCGCCGAGAATCGTCCTTGGGCGAGTAAATGAGGATTCTGAAGGTCAAGGGCTTTTTTCCGTGCCATTCGGGGCTCGATTTCCTTGTTTTTTGGTGGAGCGGCAAATTCCGTCAATTAAGTCAAATAAAACCCACCCAATCAGAGAGAGCCTCTTACACAGATAAACACACCATTTTGGGCCTCAAATACAGTCAAATAAGGCTTCATATTTGGCCTGATTGAATTGATACTAGCGCTGCGCAAAAGTTCCTCGAGGGACGAGAGGTGGAGGATTGGCCTTCCGAGGAGGAAGAGAGTCGACCGTCGTATAATCGAGGGAGCTGATCGTTGTAGAAATAGAGTTAGTGACCGATGTTACTCTGACCTCGCTTGGAGAGCTAGATCTAAGCCCCGTAGCCTTCGCCGAAAGTGTTTATTTTTTCTCGAAGGAGCGATATGATCTACTGAGAGTATTAAGATGAGTATTTACGTAAAAGCCACCTACTCCTTAAATAAGGAGTATCGTAGCCGTGCTTCGTCTAGGCAAGGGACTCCTAGTATACGCGGAAACGGCGGTCCCCGAGACGAATTTAGAGATTGAACCGGCGTAATTCCTCACAGGGCGAAGAGCGGGATGATATATGGTATGCTTTGAAGCAAACCTTGACCGTGCTGACTACAGTGGCTAGGCTAACGGCTCCGATTATTAGTTTAGCTGATACGGAAATTGAACCTCACGTAACCTAGTCTTGAGGGAAAGAGGCGTCGGTGTATAGTGTGCGAAGCTCTAGTGCCGCGGTCCCTGGAAATAGCGGAGTAAAGAAGAGGGGGAAAGAGTGGGAAAAAGAAAGCCTCTCAGTGCATAGACCCCAGCTGAGCGTACCATGCTAGGCCCCAGAAGGGTTGGCATCTAGTGTGCTAGCGCTCGAATGGCTCGTTCCAACCTATCGGGGATACGGAAGACTTACTCCAAGTATAGCAAGATGATGCTGAGCGCGTTGCAAGAGGATCCAGAACGAACAGGATGTATGTGGATGAGGAGCTGTGAGTTGCCTGGCGAGACCCATCTTTGCGTATTTTAGATATCTATTCCGGATATCACTTCACACCCAAAACCAGGGGTCTAGAGAATTCACCGCCTAAAGATGCGCGAGTGGATGGACAGAACAAGTACATGTCCATGTTCCACCAATTACTAGACATGAGGATAATATTATACACTACAATAGTTACTGCGCAGACTATCCGGACATTTCTGTGCGGGGAGCCCTCGACATCTCACGCACTCGAGGAGCCGGGCTGTATGAGACGACCCTGCTACTGGTTTGGGGGCAGGTGGTCGACAGACGTAGAAAGGAACGCAAAGTCCCCTGGTGCAAAATACTGACGCTGGAAAGAGTGTGTGGCCTCTTGGGGTGTGCAGTGTCTGCGGCTGGGATGGAGCCGGATTCACGGCTCGAGTTTCTTGGCAAGCTTTCAAATGGGTTTTGGGCCACTCTTCTTCACTATAACTCGTTTCGCAGATCGCGTTAGGACCAACGCCGGGTCATCCCTCATTCAGCATCCTCACCACGGCTAATATGTCTTCTGCAAAATGGATGGGCTCCTATTTGATTAACTTCGAGATAGACACCCAAGAGATCGAGCCTACGAATGAAGTTCAAGTTTGGGATGGCCTGATGGGACGCAATTTCTGGACAAGCGTATAGAAATGGATATTGATTTCGAGAAAAGAAGAGGCGACTGAGCAAGAGTTTTATCGTCGATCACGTAAACAACATGACCTAATCTCCTGAATAGCGGTATATTGGCGGCCCATTCCGGAACTCAGATCGAAGCTTGGTACCTATGCATATCTCCAAACCCACCCATCATCATTCATAATCCAGAGCCTCCCAGTCGTCCACGGTGCTCGCAGAGGACGCTAGCTCCCAATCGAACCCAACATCCCCGTCCAGCTCGATCCAGTCTTCTTCAGAAAGCTGCGCTCCAGGGAAGAACGACACCTCATCTACCCTAACCCCAGGAACAGCATCGTGACACGTTCGAATGGGAACTGCCGCCGCCGCGACAGTTCTCCGCCTGCGGGGTTTCCGCAACGCGCGAGATCTAATGGTATAAATTGGCTCCTCGCGCGCGATCGTGTTGAGCGAGATATCGGCCTCCTTGTCCCCGGTGTCCTCGGAAAAGCCAGGCCAGTCTTCTTCCTCATCTTCAGCCGTCTGGCGACTGACGAGCCACGGCGTCCGCCGCGGCCGTTCGTCCTGCTTCCACCTGTCGTCGCCAGGCAGGCCGATCTCGTACTCGCGCGCCATGGCGATGCCCTCGTCGCGCGCCGCGCGCCACGCAGTGCGCCGGCTCTTGAGCAGCTGCTCGCGCCGGTAGTCGGCGCAGCACGGGCAGTGGCCCCAGCCTATCGTGGCGTTGCGCTGCTCCTGGCACTGGATGAAGCTGAGGAGGTGCGGCTTGTTGGGGCGCTGGTTTTTGATGTTGGCGGGGTTGACGCTACTGCGCTGTGCCGCGAACAGCTGTCGCCTGTACTCGGCCGCGTCGTCTTGCCAGTCCCACGCGCTAAACAGCTTGCGCCCTTTCCACGGGAGTGGGTTGCGGTGGTGTTTCCCGCGCGGGTTGGGGTTGGCGGTGGACGGCCGCCCTTGCAGGTACTTGTGCTCGGTTAGATGGGAGCTGTCTGGGTGTGCGTCGAGCGCCATGGTTGGGTATGGCAGGTTGGTGAGATGCGGAAGGAAGGAAGGAAGTTATGAAGAAGGCTGTTTATAGTAGGACGGGTGCAGAGTAGGTGCTGGCCGTTTGCTGGTGTGATGTGATTGCAATCATGTGAAGAGCAAACGTGAAGAAGAAAAACAGACCTTTTTAATCTTTTTCAAAATGAAATTACAAGGCTTTTTCCACCACGACGGGCTCCCTCTACGAAGCCGTGCCACGCTTGAGGACATTTGAGGACGTCTCGGCCAACCAAATCGAGAAAGGCTGAGGCTCGATCCGGGGTCTTGGCAAGCCACACGATTGCCGGGCTGAGTCACCGGGCTGTACGGCATACTATAGGGCCAAGTCGGCCAAAACCAAAAATCGGTATATAGGTCTACCCCGACCGTACAATGGCATTTTGGGTTTACTACATAAAGACAGCACATTACGCCTTTGCATCAAACAGGGTAGTACAATCGTAATAACCATTGTGGTCGATAACTCTCTTATGCCCTCACCGAATTACCCTACGTACATTTCGCCGTTGCCTCGTACAATGACTCTCTATAATCTGCTTGAATTATCACTCTTCGTTTAACCAACCTACCTACCTTTACGTATACTCTATTGTGAGCTATTGTCCATTACCTGCCTTGCGTGTACTCTGTTGTGAGCCATCGTCAGCTAACCTGCCTTGCGTGCACTCTGTTGTGAGCCATCGTCAACCACTTGCTCTATTACCCCCATTTACATCGTACCCCAGTTGCACTGTAACCTCTTAACCACCCCCGCCCCCTACTTGCCCTAAGGATGGAACCCCACAAAAGGACCACATTCAAATTATACAAAATTAAACGAGGTTGTATAACGTCGTTTTTTTTCTTCGGTTCCTAATTATCAAGATTTTCCCAACCTAACTCTTTATTATTTATTGTACCCCGTCGTTCAGATGCTGGAATTCTGTGTTCGACGTATCGGAAAGTCTCATAGAGATATACGACGAGAAAACCCAGATTGGGTAGTATGTGGGTATTGTAGAACAACAATTCGCGAGGATACTACGTCGTGGCCAGTCGTTGACTTATCTTCCTCGCCTTCCTATTACAAACCACTCGACTGTTAGGGTCGTCTGTCTGTAAGGGAGCACGGGCTCCACAGAATGCTGGGGTTGGTAATTATGAAGATAGAACAAAGGGCAAGCTCCTATCGCACGGGTAATACAGTCAAATCGGAATGCCACTCAAAGTGTATGAGCGCAGTGAATGTGTATTGCTTGCTTGAAGAACCAAGCAAGAACTATCTAAGACCGTGGCTACGGTCATCGTATATATCTAATTCAGGTAACCAATCAGGACTCTTCCTTTGCGTGCTCAGTGCTCCTCCTAACGCTTGGTACACCGAGCGTCTCAGAGACTACCGAGCGCCCTGCTCGGTGCGCTCGCCTGGTCTTGGCAGACCAGTCGCACCGAGCGCCTCCTGATTGGCTGTGTCGAACACTTGCGGGGCCCGACCCCGCCCACTTGTGCGGCCCAATTGGCAATTGGCTTCCAGCGCCTCCTGCAGCCTTGGACCAGGATCGTAACAAAGTTATCATTACTTATTACTTCGTTCCTAATATCGCTACCGTTGGCCCGTATAATCACTGCGCTAGTAATAAGTGTACTGGCCCTTTCGCGAATTGTATTCGTTTTGGACCCTCGTTCTTTAATGGCGGTTGTTCCAACTGCCAATACTCATCCCGCGCGGCGACTTGCTCATTTGTACCCGTCTATAAAGACAAGGACATAAAGGGCCTGCCTAGAACTAGCAGTACTAGGAAACGACCCGCGCTTGAGCCGGTCGAGGATGACCCTTTCGTCATAACGAAAACGAGTAAGAAGAAGCAGCGAACGACTTCTACCGCTCGTAAATTGACCTATGACGATAATGACGTTAAGGATGAGGATAGCGATGGTGTAGTCGAACGCCGTCGTACTTATATCGTTCCCCTGGAGGTCCTCAATAGCTAGGAGTTGAAACAACTTCGTATAGAGATCAATACTGAGCTCTCGCGTCAAGATCGCTAGATGCTCGTTTAGTACTCGGGTGCATGGGTCGTATACGCCTTTTCATTAGTCCGTACTTGGTAGTTATATGGTGCATTTCTCAATAATGGGGCATTTACATGGACGGCAAGATACCCAGGGCAAATTGCGGCGTTCCCGGACTTGTTTTTTTTTTTTTTGGCGTACAAGCAGCCCGGCTTTCACCTGCGGGTCGGTGTCATGCTTGTACAACCGTCCTTGGCGGGTTTTACACGGCTATCTAGAGATTCACAGCATTTGTACGCTCACAGCACTTACGCACCCTAGGTAGTCGTACGTTAGCAAGGAAAACAATCACGTTGATTTAATTTGGTTGTGCAGGTCGTGATATTTAAATTGTTTTGCTATAAGTAATAACAGGTACGCAGTTAACAACTCGTACAGCAGGGTAGATTGTCAATGGTTGACAATCAAGACAGTAGGGTCAATGCAGAGATAGCAGGGTGCGTGTACAATAACTAACAGGTCAATGGAATACAGCAAAATAGGTGTGCAATATGAGGGGGGGCGACCTAGGGTATTATGATATTTGTTAATCTCTATTAGGATAACGTGGTTTACCACCGAGCGGGCCACCCCACCGAGCGGGCCACTTTTCCACGACTCCATGACTATCGCACACCACAACCAATACAATGTCCAACCAAACCCAAGAAGCCAAAATCATCCTTGCTATCGAGGCTATCCGTACATCCAAGAAAATGTCAATCCGACGCGCTGCACAGACGTACGACGTACCTAGAACTACTCTCCAGGCCAGAATGACTGGCCGCGTTATGAAACGCGAAGCGCGTAACGCCGCCCATCAATTGACCGAAGTCGAGGAAGAAACGATTGTCCGATATGTTCTCAACCTAGATCCGCGATGATTTCCACCCCGGATCGAGGGTGGAGAAGATGGCGAATCTCCTTCGTACGACGCGTGGCGCGAAACGCGTCGGCAAGAACTGGGTATACCGCTTCGTACGACGCCGTGAAGAGCTAAAGACGCGTTTTTCTCGCGCCTACGACTTCCAGAGGGCTCTCTGCGAGGATCCACACCTTATCAGGAGGTGGTTCGAGCTGGTAAAGAACATGCGTACGAAATACGGCATCCAAGACTCCGATTTCTACAACTTCGACGAGACTGGCTTTATGATGGGCGTTATTTGCGCTGCAATGATCGTTACATGTGCAGACTGTCGCGGACGAGGCAAGCAATTGCAGCTAAGCAATCGAGAATGGGCGACAGCAATTGAGTGCGTGAGTAGCGACGGCTTTGTGGTGCCGCCATTTCTCATCGTACAAGGTAAAAACCACCTCAAGTCATGGTACGAATGCACCGATCTCCCAGCCCCCTGGGTTATCAAGCCCTCCCCTAACGGCTGGACTAATAATAATACGGCCATGGATTGGATTCGGCACTTTGATAAGCGTACTGCTTCCCGGCGGAAGGGTGGTTATCGCATGATTGTTTTGGATGGTCATGAAAGCCATCTTTCGTACGAGTTTGAGGAATACTGCAAGGAGAAGAATATCATTACTCTCTGTCTCTCTGCACATTCTTTGCACTTTACCCAGCCTCTCGATGTTGGTTGTTTCAGCGTCTTGAAGCGGTCGTACGGCAAGCAACTTGAAGACTTCATTAAAGCTCATATCAACCATATTACTAAGCCCGAGTTCTTGGTCGCCTTTACCGCCGCCCACTACGACACTATGACGCCTGAAAACATTATAGCTGGATTCCGCGGTGCTGGATTAGTGCCATTCGACCCAGAAGCCGTCTTATCAAAGCTAGATATCAAGCTTCGGACGCCAACACCGACTGGCCCCCCCTCCGCCGACGCCAGCCCTTGGACCTCTCAGACGCCACGTACGGCGGCCGAGGCTGTTTCGCAGTCCCAATTCGTACGGAAGAGGATCAGCGACCATCAAGGGAGCTCGCCGACTTCAATGTTTAACGCTATCAAGCAGTTAGCAAAGGGTACGGAAGCAATCGCGTACGAGATGACCCTCTTGCGGGAAGAGCTCCGTACGACTCAGAAGGCCAATCAGGCCCTTGCAAAGCGCCGGCGGGCCAAGCGCACGAGACTCCAAGAAGGCGGTGCACTTTCTGTAGAAGATGCGCGTGGTTTGATGGCTAAAATGGATTCTAGTCGCCAGAAAAAGAGCAAAGAGGACGAGGATAGGGGTCCGTCGCAGGCAGGGCCGGCGACTATTCGGTGCTGTGGACGATGCGGAAAGCCTGGGCATAATGTACGAACCTGTCCCGTGGATGAAGAACTGTCGGGTGAAGACAGCGAGATGGATTCCGATTGAATTTTTATTGTAAGCGGTTGTAATTGAGTCTAGAAGTCGTAGAGTCGAGGAAAAGTAGCCCGCTCGGTGGTAAACCATGTTATTGTTGTAATGTGGTGAACAAGCGAGTACGATAAATGACAAAGCGTTGACCCCCCTGGGGTCAAAGTAGTAAAATGCGGTCTCAATTTTGGTTTTGGCCGACTTCGCCCTATAGTATGCCGTAGGGCTGACACGGCTAGGCAGTGAGAGGCCTCAGCCAATTGCAGAAATCTGCCCAGACCTTGAAACACAGCCCTTGTGAAATGGCAACATGGCTGTGCGCAGCCATTCAGAGATGGAAATTGTTCATGGTTATGAACAGGGGGATGAGAGTCACAAGCCCCAAAGGAGCAAGCCTGGAGGATTTCCTTCTAAATATTTTGGAACTTTCCAAGAGAGAATCGGAATAACCAGTATTCAAGAGCAAGCATTGATGGAATTGGGGCGAACGATTCTCAAGTTCCAAGATCAAGTTACAATGACAATCAAACTGCTGTCGTGAAACAATCATTGTGATAACTCAACTCAAATAACACCTCTCTCATTCACTCTCATTCACCCCGCTCAACCACTACCCCTCACCCCACCCTTCCCCAATCCCACCCTCCCCAACCCAGTCACTCACAGCACTCATCCAACCCCAAAGCATATAATGACCTCCAAAAACCATTAGTCTAGTCTACTTAGTATACCGCAACGAAAAAAGGGCTGAATGCCAAGAACGACCGACAGCGCGTGGCCGTGGCAATCACCATGCATCATGCATATATGCGGGGAAACCAGCAGCTCCCAATTCGCAAACCCAGCTAATTGATTAGACCTAGCCCTAAAATCAACTAGACCAACTCAGGTAGATTACCAAAGACACGGCTCGGAATCATGTTTGCGAGGCTAGGTTCCTGGTAGCTTGTGGCTAGGTACCGGGGCGCTACGCCTAGACTCATTAGAACGCAGGCCATCCATGTTCATGGGCTGAGGTGGCCAACATCAATATCAGTCGCTAGCTTAGCGCCGGGCTGAGATCCTAGAGACTTGGGTGGCATCGTCCGATATGACTCTAGACTCGTGTGCGAAGCGTGATGATTAGCGGGGGCAAGTCTGGGGGAAAAATGCTGTATATTATTCTTCCATCTATTTAATCAATCATTAACATGAAACCAGCTCCAGGCTATCACCCGGCCTTGACGCCGTTGGTGGCACTCGTCCTTGAGGCGCTAGTTGAGGCGCATGAGTGCAGGCACGCCGTTGGCGCCCTCGTCCTTTACGCCAAAGTCGGACTGGTCCGCTACCAGGTCTATGTGGTTAATGTGCGGCCGGTACTTGCCACAGCCCGCGCGCCGTGCCTTGAGCACCAGCTCCACGAACAGATCGTTGGCCGCCGTCTTGACGGCTTGGTCGGTCCGGTCAAAGGAGATCATAATGAGATGGGCCAGATGGCGCTGGTAAAGGTGCAGGCCCGCGACAAAGTCGAAGCCGAGGCTCTTGCAAATCTCTTTAGCCTCAAAGTACCAATCCAGGGCGGCCTGGCCGTCGGCGGGAAGCACGGGTGAGAAGGGGATGTGCCCGCCGTCGAGGCCGCAGTACTAGATCGACACGATAAGCATCATTGACGGCACGCCTGTCTGCATACCGCTGTCTTCCCAGGGCACGGCAGCCGCGTCGAGATACTTCTCGCCCTTGGAAGCATCTGAGTAGTAGCCGTTGCCGCGCAACACGGCACCGGGGATGGCGGCAAACGCCTCCTAGCAGCGGCGGAAGTTGATGTCGATGATCTCCTTGGGGCCGTACAGACCAAAATAAGCGTCCCACCACGATATGTTCTGCTCCTTGGCCAGCTCCTCTAGCCTCCAGTCGGGGATGGTGCCATTGCCGTCGTACCAGCTGGCCTGCGTGCTGCGCTTACTGAGCTCACGGATAATGTTACCGATCACAGGAGGGTGGTTCTGGACAACTTCGTGAGTGAGTAGGTCACGGAAGATGTCGACCATGGCGGCCAAGCCCGCCTCCTTGGGCACGGTAACGTGGCACGACGTGAAGCCGTGCGGTGCGGGCGATGGCCACGACGTCATTTTAGTGACAATGCCGAAGTTGGACTGCGAGAAACATGGAGTCGTGCGTAGGCCCGTACCCGCCGCGGAACAAGGGCCACAGCTTGGAGTCGTTGACGGACCCCATGCCTATGCGGATGATGGTGCCGTCAGCCAGAACCGCCTCGATGCCGCAGATCTAGTTTGAGTGGTCGCCCTTGGGCGTGTATCCCCAACCGCGATCGAGCGAATTGCCCACAACCGACCCCCCCCCCCCCCCCCCCCCCCAGCCCAGCGCTGGCGTCGAGCACTAGATGTTCTTCTTTTGCTTGCGAATAGTCTCGTACAGCTTGGAGAAGGAAACACCGGGCTCGACTGTGTAATAGGAGTACTTGTCGTTGATCTCAAGGACCTTATCTATGTCCTGGAGGTCGATAATAACAGATCCCTGCGTGCCATATGTCAGCCAAATGCCAGGAGCGCAAGAACCGGTAATGTCTTCTTACCAGAATGCGGCCCGAGTTGGTGCCGTGGCCTAGATTCTTGCCCCGGCTGACGGTCCACACGGGAATCTTGTAATCGTTGGCGACGCGCAGGATGGCCTGGATTTGCTCGACCGTGGTTGGCCGCGCCATTGCCTTCCTAGGAACGCCGCACCACGAGTCAGGCCTCGCCGAATGGGCTGGGCTTTTATCCCGGCATATCGGTGTCATCAAGCGAATAAATACTGAGATAGTGGCGGTGCTCAGGCGCGAATCCGAGGTACTCGTGCGCATTCAGGACAGCTTCCACACAATGGTCGTGGCGCGCGGCGCGGGTGCCTCCGATCGAATCCATATTACTTGATTCTTCGAGGAACTGCCACTGCCAGGCACTGCCCAAGTACGTCTAACGGGAGGGCTTCTCAGCAAGTGCCTTATTGACGCGTTTATACAGGTCGTGTCCCAAGACTCAGCAATTCTCCCCGGGCACATTCCCATCAGTATCTAGGAGCATCGCTAGCACTACCCGAGTACCGCGGAATGAACCGGTGAGATTTACCGGAACATGTCAGAAGCAATTCAAGTCAGCCGTGACGCAGCTACTGCAACGCTAGCCTACCGGAGCGATCCTGATCAGCCCACCGTGGCGAGCCTAACAAGCGTCGATACCGTAATTTCTCAGCCGATTTAGGAGCGCGGGCCGCGACGCCCAACTTCACGTCTTGATTTCGAGATTGCTATCATCTGCGCTCTCGCTATTGAAGCCAACGCCGTGTACTCCCTGTTCGATCACAGCTGGGACGAAGGCGGTCCCTTATACGACAAAGCTACCGGTGATACCAACGCCTATTCCGCCGGTACCATTGGCCGCCACAACGTCGTGCTTGCACACATGCCGGGCATGGGCAAAGCCAATGCCGCAGCTGTCGCTGTCGCTGTCAGCTGCCGAGCGAGTTTCCCCAACATCAAGCTTCCCGTTCTGGTTGGTTAACAAACCTACTGGCTTGGCACAGGAGACCCAAATTGCTCTGGCATACACGTACTGGCTCCGACGGACAAGCCCGGAGGTCCCAACCTTCTGGGTCCATGGAAGCAACGCCGAGCAATTCCAACAAACGTATGCTTCAATCGGCGGGAATGCCGGGTACTGGGCTCCGATGAACCGAAGGCAGATATCTTGTGGCTAGTGAAGACATGGTTGGAGAGGAAAGATCACGGCCGATGGCTGATGGTTATCGACAACGCCGACGACATGCAACTCTTCTTCGGTAGCCCGGCAGACTCTTCGAAGGGCGATGGTGGACCTACCTACACAAGAAAATTAGGACGGTGCATTCCCGAATGCGCACATAGATCTGTTCTTATCACGACAAGAAACAAGCAGGTAGGATTAAGCCTGGCTCGGGGGAATCCTCCTATCAAGGTTGGCGAAATGAAGGATAGCGAGTCCGAGAAATTGCTTCGTACCAAGCTCAAGGTAACCCCCACACCTTATGACTTGGCGACACTCTCTTCTCGGTTAGATCATCTGCCATTGGCACTCGTTCAAGCAGCTGCCTTCATTGAAGCGAATACTATAACGGTGGGCGAGTACCTTCGGCTTCTCGACAAGGGTGATAGACGCCTCGTCGACTTGCTTGGCGAGGAGTTCGAAACAGTGGGCAGAGACTTGGAAACTCCGCGCGCTGTCGCAGAGACATGGATCCTCTCGTTCGAGCAGATCTAACGACAGAACGCTCTCGCAAGCAAACTAATGTCCTTCATGAGCCTTCTTGACCGCCAAGCCGTTCTGTTAGAGTTCTTGTCCCACTACAACGAGCAACAGCGCGGCCAAGATTTAAATGGAGAGATACAGCCGACAAAGGCTCTGGGGGTGATCTGAGGCAGAGGGTGTTGTGGTGTTCAATGCGTAAATAATTAAATCAATGAAATATGATTGAAACAAACACTTGACACATGCCTGACTGCCTTTCTACCTTGGCGTGACTGTAAGAGCCAATTAGGAGATTATTGCAGAAGCCATGTTCCACTTACTGTGTATTATATTGGGCTGGGTATATTAAGTCATACGAAATTGTGGTTTTGTTGTTCTGCTAGGCTCCTCATGATAGTAGGGACATTTTGTATCACAGGTGTCAATTCCTTGGTGTCAATCCATTGGTGTCAATTCCTTGGTGTCAATTCCTTGGTGTCAACTCCTTGGTGTCAACTCCTTGGTGTTAACTCCTTGGTGTCACGTTTCTCGGTTTCCCTTCATTATTCATCCTTATAGTCCACTAGAGTTTGATATCCGTGAACCGATAGCACTTGGTTCCGTCCTTAAAGACCATGTCCTTTTCCTTGCCGACGAGAAAATGAAGCACGTCCTGCTGCGTTATGAAGCCATTCTTGGACAAAATGTCGACATATACAGTATTTAGGGCCACGATACGTCGCTGAGGCGGTTTTAATTCTGGATGGCCACGCACGGCGTCGGCAATGAGGGTTTCTAGGTCGGCCTGCAACAAGTGCTTGGTCTTGACGACGCGCTTGAGGTAGTCGAGCGGCATAAGCAAATCGGGCTCGAAGCGCGTCCCGTCAGACTTGAGCAGCTCAAACTCGACATCGAAGCCCAGTGGGCTCTTTAATGCCTGTTTTTTGGTGAGGTATTTTTCGAAATTCTTGCGGTCCAGCACGGTCGAGCCAGCCATGGTGGGTGTAATGCCGGCTGACTTGGGACGCAGCAAAGCCTGTAGCTTGAATGTGCCGTAGGGCGTGTGTCCCGCCGTGAAGTAGTCCTTCCAGATCTCGAACTTGGAGAAGTCGATCGCCTTGCCCAAAGAGTCACAGAGTAGCTGCAGCCCGGCCGAGTTAGAATTGATTGTGTGATTAGTGTAGAGATGAATGAAGAAGACAAGACCGACTTCCCAAGTGTTACATTTCCGCAATGGAATGTCATATACGCCCACGTCTTTGTCGTAATTTTGCAGACTAAAGCGAACGGTAGTGCCGGACGCTCCGAGTCCGGGGCCCACCAACAATAGTTTCAACATTGTGGAAGGTTCGTTTTGAGGCCAGCGGCGAAGAGTAATCTTCGGACTTGGTCGTGGCAGACGAAGCGAGAAGTCGAAAAAATTGTGAGCAGCTAACAGCCGCCAAGTTCGAATCAACTAGACCAAAGGATAGGCGGATAGTACGGAGTACTTAACTGAAAGTGGTTGTGGACAGCAGAGCTCAACAGAAGTGCACCAAGGCAAACCCCTAGCGTCCCTCCACCTCTGTGCGGCGCAGGCAACAATTCAAACAAATGAAAATGTTAAGAGCAAGTTTAGCTGACTTTGAGGGACTACCAGGACGAACTGAACTAACTGTAGAAAAGCCCAAATAAAATGGGGCGGTTTGGATGGATTTGCTTCGCTTGACGGCGTCGCCCGATATCAAAAGATGATGTGGATGCGAACGCACCCATATTATACCTAGCCACAAGAATCAGTAGAAAAAGAATCTCGGGTCCTCAAATTTCAGGTCAGGGGCTTGTTTGCCTCTGATTAGGCCCCCAACCGGCCCGTACACGCCTCGTGGAACAAGGCAGGCCTAGGTCCGGGGCTGCCCCGGCCCCGACCCTGACCCCCGAATTGCGGGAAACCCCGAAACCCGCCCAGTGACCGAATCCGTGAGATAATCGCAATCAGACCAACTGTTTCAAACCTTCAGATCAACCGAATTTGGCGTCAAAGAATGTAGATTTCACAAGGGCAAAAGAATCCGAACTATTAAATTGAAGATAATTGAATTATGATCAGTGTCGGCGCTGCGCGGTTGATTGCAGGACTTCGTGACCCCGGAATCTGGGCCGCAGTTGTCGGCCTAATTGGTCACGGGTTCGTTTTGAAAGAGATTCGCTGCCAGGCCGGTGGCCAGATTTCTAGAACAGGCCACGCTGAAAGAATCCTAGGATCTGTCGCTATAGGGTAGCCAGCCTTGCGCCTTGCCTGACAGCCTGTGTCGCAGTGTGTTGGTGATGATCCCTGAACGGCAGGGATACGTCGCGGGTTTCCCACCCTTTCTCAGATAGTGAGTGAGGCTTGACGTCGAATCATGAAGAACTGGACGAATCGTACTCGCCATCACTGACGTCGTCAACCATCCGTGAATGTACCTCGATGCTACTCGCATACGTGCAGCTCGGCTTGCAGTGGGCCACGGAAAGCAAATCCCCAGACACTAGATGACAGCTGCAACATTCTCCCTCGTGCTTGCGATTTTCCTCACAAACGAATGCTGACCTGTAATGGGTGATGCGTGGCTGTGGCGGCGACCCAGGTGCGCGTCGGTCTGGCTCGTCTTTGGTGCAGAAGAAAATGGGCATTGCCGAAACGACAGGTCGACGAGCGCCAATGGGGCAGCTCCCGAGAGATTGTTTGACGCCATCGCCATACTCGAGAATGAGACCCTGGCAGTACCACATCCTCCAAGGGAACAAATGGCGTGTAGACCTTTCCACCACCACTCCCGTGGATTTCCATGGATATGATGGACTCCTGGTAAGCGAAGAATCGCTTCGGAACATGGTCAACGCGGTACGCTTCGGGGTACACTACGTAGGAATATAACTATTAGCTAGCATCCTTGTGACGCGACAGGGCACTCACTTGAGAATGTAGGAAACCCGGCACTGCTTGCTGGAATTCTTGCGGGTCTGTCCCAGCGAAATGGGCTTTGACCGTTGAGATGGGGTGATACTCCCACATCTCGGGGCGTCTGATCCAGGGGAGAAACGCTCTACTGCTACCGTTGCGCTCGGCTCTTCTTGTGTGTGGGGGTGAATGGCGACCAGATCGTTGTCGTAATGGAGGAAGGTCAGTCTCGTAATCCTGTCCATCTTGGCGGTTTGAAGCCTCTGGTTATGCTCCGCAAATGCGCCATGCGTTTGAAACCGGCCCAAGCGAGGCGGGGAGGGCGTGTCCCAAATGTGAGGGTGACGAAGGCGGCGAATCATGGGAAGATACAGGTGCCCGAGGCCATACTGCGGGACAATTTTAGCGAAATTCAGGGCAGCCTAATAATCTCTCTACTCCAAAAAGAAAAACGGGTGATGAACTCACCTTGAATTGTAGGGTGGCGTCTGGGTGCGGGCCATCGAGTATCGCAAACGCTAGATGGATAGCGCTTTCTCTACGACCATCTGGGCTGTATAGAGCATAGTGTGAGAGTCGATTGTCAGCCGTATCAGGGACGGAGGGCACCGTTATTGAGACACGGCTGGCTCGGTTCCACGTTTCCAGGAAGACACGCGAGAGAGTGGAAAAGTAACCAACTCTTTCAACGTCGAAACCGCAAAGCGATGCGCAATACCAATGACGTCCCCCGACCCTCGCAGTATACTGCGCGGCAGGTGCTTCCAGACCTGCTGCACCAACTCCATCGGAAGCCTGCTGAAGCCCGATAAGCCAAGCGCTGTCAGATTAGGGACGGGCAGTGGAACGGGCAGCGGAACGGGCAGCGGAACGGGCAGCTCGGTGTCCAGGCGGTGCCAATTTGTCGGTTGTATGCATGTCGCGGTGCGATGGGGGATGGTGATGAGGCCCGAATGGGCCGCCGAGGGACCGCCAGGCGGTCGAGTTGTGGTTCCCAATCAAGGCCAAATAGCCGTCTCCCTTCACTAACTCAGTACCACAAAGGTCGCAACCACTAAACCGCAGACCTGGAACTGGATCCTTGCGCGGGTAGTAAGGTGTGTCCATTTTGTGGTTCGGCGCGGCCAAGATTGTGATGAGTCTGGTCTTCGTCTCTTGTGCAGTGGAGGAGTGAAACTGGGATGATGTGTCAGAAGGGCTTTTCCACACGTCCACAGAAGTCCCCGGCCGTCGCATACGGAGGCTCTGCTTATTCCTTATATCAATCAATACACACACCGCGAATGGTCTCTCCCGTTCTTGACTGTTTTGTGCATTATTTAACTTCTGAGATGATGAGAAGCGAGAAATCAAGAATAATACCGCATTGATTTAGAAATGAAATTGAAAATTAGACCGGCGCTTGACTTATTGATTACTCTTTTTTTCAGCTCACCCAAGCCACACCACCTCCGCCCGCCCATGAGATTGATAAGACTTGTAACGGTTTGCCGTTACATCGGCAGGCGCAAAACAGATACCTATTGCCTAAGGCTCTGGGCATAGCAGCTATCTAGTCCAAACTAAGCCGGCGAATGCGAATACGCAAGGAGCATTGTCTTTTTGCTCCTTCAACTGCTCCCGCCCCGCGAAAAGCTTTTAAATACGGCTCCAGTCTATCTCAGTGACTGTGTAGCTGTTATAGGCCGGCGGGACTTTTTACGTTAATTAACGTTACTCACTGTAGATGCTTTGCGTTGTTGCGATACAGGCTTGGAAAAATTTGATTCCCCACAAGGAGGGTCACTACAAATCGTAGGTAGTCATTAATCAATTCTTTGTCTTTACTATGTCTTGTTTTACCTCTGAACGGCTGAACCAGGTTACCCAAGGTACGCCCACTTAGATCATGTACCCTACCAACCACTTTTTCCTACCCGCGGCTCGCTGTGGCTCGCCTTTGTGTTGTTTTGCTTGGTTCAGTGGAAGGAGGAGCTTCCATCCTTTCAATATGATTCGAGCAACTGGCTAGCTTGCTATCGATGAGTTGACTGGAAGACCGTGAGAAGCCGGTCGGTCCTTGACAGCCCTCGCTAGTCATTAACTGGCCGTGCTGGTGGAAGGCACTCGCTAGGCTCAGCCGACCCTTTCTCAACTAGTCGGGTTGCCCATTTTACTGCCTAGTTCTAGGCGTCGCTCTCAATGCGAACAGCCGGTCTTTTGATACAGTTGGTTTCCAAGAAGATAGGCACCTAGCCTATGCAGTGTCACGGGCGACGGCGCATTCAGTCCCGCAGAAAACTTGAATTCTATTTTTATTCTTGCACGTAATTAGACACAATGGCCTTTGCTATCCCAGGATCGAGACACAGCCCTGCTGTTCGCGAAGAGGCGATGAAAGTAGTGCTGCTTCCTTCCCTGGTCCTCTTGCACCCACTTCGGGTCTTTCTATAGTTTAGATCTAGTTGTGCCCCCAAAATACAAGACGGCGCCTACCGTTTCTCCCAGCAATGCACATACCTAGTTGTACATGTACAACTGTTGCTGGGTTCCGACTCCGGCTTCTGACAGCGCTGCAATGTCCTTGTGGTAAAACTACTCTTTTCTTCACCTGATTTTGGGCTCGTCTCCAGCTGGGTTCTTCAGGAAAGACTGGCTCCTCGTTTCGAAGCCAGGAAATTCCCCAGAGTCGTGCTCGATTACCTAGACTTTGACCAGTATGTTTAGAGAGCCCATCGGCTGCAGCGTTGCTCGCTGGTCGGGCTCTGGGGTGTTGGGTACCGATGCCGGTCGTTTCTCGCAGTTCGTCAGCAGCTCGAAGACGATGCTCTCCCCTGCGTCGCGGCTCTGGAGGTAGCCGTTGAAGGTTTCGTCATCGAGGACGACCTTCTCTTGCGCGCCGATCGGCTCTAGCTTGAACTTGTAGTGGTAGCGGCTTCCAGGGGAGAAATACACCCTCCAGCAGGGGTACTTTGCAAAGTCAATCGTCTTCCACACCGCCGAGGCGAGGTCCTAATTAAGCACAGCCCGCCCGTGTCAGCATGGCGTCGCGTTAGGGGCGGGGACGAGGGAGACGTGCCTTGAACGTAGTGCACTCCGCAATTGGGATGTCGACATGTCCAGCCTCGGACGTCTCATAGCCATGCCACTGGACTCTGATGGTTTTGCCGGCCGTGTCGGTGGCATGTTCTGGGAGAGCCTGGGCCTCGGCCGGCGGCCCGCGCGGACGAATGGAGTATAGCCGCGTCATCTAGCGCTATTGTTTGCTGACGGTGGACGTAAAGGTTCGAGGAGTTGACGATGGCAGCAGGTAGGTAGGTGCCTTGGCTGAGGTATTTTTATGGACAGCAGAGCCCAGCAAAACGGACCAAGGACTGCACTTGTGTAGCCCCCTCTTCTGTGGTTGAGGCTGCAGTCATTGGCCCAACCCGTCGCGAGAGCATGTTGCAAATGTCTCTGAACAGGCTGATCGACATTGACCAGTTTCTAGGAGCATGCAACAGAGTTCTGGCAGCGCGTGCAGGTATGTGCAGGTAAATAAGTATGTGTCGGACGTTGAACAGAAGCAACCGACGTGGGCGCATTGGCTGGAGTTCATTTGGGAAATTCCATTCATGGCCGCCGTTTTGCTGCGAAACGGGCCGTGACGATGCTTTGGCAGCTTGGCCACGGGATGTGACCTTTGTTGAGCCTCCTTCCCGTCTTTTCTGTGGAAATCTCATCTTTCCGACGGAGAGTCTCCGTCCAGAGTCCAGGCGGAGGACGGGCTTGAGCGTCAGAGGCCTGTTTTAGACCCGACCGGGCACTGTCGAGGAATTCTCCGTCGGCGTTCTGCCTTCTCGCAGCGTTGGCGTGGGGGCCAGAAAAAGGCACATGACCGATGCATGGTCCATTAGAAGCACCCCTGTCACTCTTACTCAAGGAAAAAGAGTGGAATGGCTTGGCACGGCAGCAATTGTGGCGTGGGCGACGCCGGCAGCGCAGAAGACCATCAAGCTCCGGGCAAGTGCAGCGGCTCGGGAGGGTGACGATCGATCCTTTCAAGGTTCCATCCTTAGGTTGGCATCTTGTTCGACGGCCTGGCCCGGAGCACTTGGCTGGAAACGCGGACCCGACGCCACGGCCCACGGTCTCGCATCGAGTGAGCTAGTACGGATACCAAGCAAGAAATGAAGCCCAGTGACGAGACCACGAGGTCCGCGTCGGGGTCTACTGCGGGGGCGTTGGATAACGCTTGTGCCTGGAGATTGGCTAGCTTGCAACCGCCTTCGTTCCTTGGCCCGGGCCACTGGCTTCCAATTGACAGGTTGGCTTCAAGGCCCGGGGCGACTGGCTGGCTTGCAACTTGGCTGCCCAGTTTGACTGCCAGGCCCAGGCAACTGACCTCTGTAGGTATGTACCTCCCTTGGGTGCTAGCTGACTGCAGTGCAGGGCCTGGGTTCCACGGATCGAATAGCCGGGAGAAGTATGGAGCCTAAAAGACTTGCTTGCGGTACAACCCTCTCACCGAGTGCTTTGGCGGCAACTTTTTGCATTAATTTCACGGTGTACTCACCTAAGCAATAGCAATCTTGGTGTTGATCACATACTGACCCTTACTATCCCATCAAGGTCCGGAACAAACCGCACATAATAGGAGATTCCTGCCGAGCCTGTGGTGCAGCATTCGGCTCCCGGAACCAGTTGTCCAGCCACTTACGCAGCCTCAGACACGGCCGCCAGCCTGTTGCTCAAAATAAATTGCATTTTACTGGCCCGGCTTGACCTATTAGTTGGACACTCAATCACAGTCGGCTGGCCCTATCAATGCTGGCCAATTGCTGGGCCTGATCTAACGGTCAGCTGTCCTCCTGCCGTGGCCCCGGGGTAACTCGTCATAGTATAGAAAGAGCCCGCTATAGAATGGTACGTTTTCGATGGGATTGGAGATGATGTTCGCTTGCCTAGGGTGACAAGGTCATTTTGCTGTCGAGCAGTGGTGTATGAGATATGTACATGGTGTGTGACGCCAGTAAGACTACCTGCCCTCCACGGGATGCCTCGAAGCTCATGCTATGCGTATGTTAAGCGGACCAGGTATAAGAGCGAGAAATATAGAGCCGCAGGCTTATTTCATGTACCGCTGTCACTCCAAGAAGTAAGCGTGGATTAAGGATCAGGTGTTGTACGATAAGGTCTGCCTGGGAAGGGGGAAGAGAGGGGAGGGTTCACTACCAATTCGCGATTCCAAGAATCCTTTAAAAGTGCCACGGCGTGGTCAATTATCTACATTGTCTAGGTATATAGGTAAATCTCGCGAATGTTTGGACAATTAGTTCTCCAGAGAACCATCTATTCCATTGCAGCCGAAATCTTACGAAAAACAGCCTGCTATGCCCCGGGAAAACAAAGGTATCTAGCTAGCTAGCTAGGCCAAACTAACAGGTTCTCTTGCTGGAGCAGTGTCCTGTCAAAAGCACGAAATAGATTTACCCCGGCCGGCACATGCACCTGAGTCTTTTAACTTCCACTACATCTTTCTCCTTCGAGACGAGAAAATCAAAGATGTTAACCTGGGTAATATAGTTCCTGAAAAATAGCACTCTGAGGTGGTCAATATGAGTATCGGTCTCGCCAGCCCGCTTAGGCCATGTCTTGGAGTTGTTTGCTTCTCTTTTCCCATCATTGATGAACACTTCAACGTCTTTATCAGTGAAAACCCCGTGGTCGACCAACTGTAAGGAAGTCAATCGGGAAAAGATATCGATATAGTTCTAGAGATGTGTTTTCTTCCCTATGTTTAGTTGCTCGCTCTTTGAGGTAGCCGCTTAGGTTATTGCGGTCTAGTAGTATAGGTCTACCGTTGACTTGAGGGTTCTCGTGGGCGGTCTCCATCTTGAACGTGCTGTAGTGGTCATTTCCGGGGGCCGGTTTCTTCTCTTTTTATTGGCTTAGAGCCACCCGAAGTCCGCGAGGTGTGCCGAAATCCACTTTTGAGCGTTCGATCCAACACAAGCCCAGCTCCACCTCGGCCCCGGCCTACCACCGAGAAAATGTGCCCGGGCCAGGCGCGTCTCTCTAAGCCTTTTTCCTTGAGCGGGCATGCTTCTAACCAACGTCCTTGTTTCAAAAAAAATGGAGATGTACACGGGCGGCGAAGACGCTAGAACCCCAAAAGAAGGTTATGCCTAATTAGGTAATTATCCAAATTCAAGTGGTAATTGATCCCTCCAAGGCTCCATTAGTCATTTTGTTCAGCTTGGTACAGCCAACATAGGTCATTAACATCGATATCAACGAAGGTATAGTGTTGGAACACCAGGTACCGGTACTGGAAGCAACAGGGCGTAACTGCACGCCGAAAACTGGTGGTCCAAGTGATGATTGCAGATGTATATGCGTATCTAGAAGAAAGAGGTGGCCGTAGGCCACTTATATAGAATCTGTGACCCTGCGCCTCCACCGCCACCTGTGTGGCTGGTGTGCGCGCCTCCACCGCCATCTATGTGGCTGGTATATGCGCTTCCACCGCCACCTCTGTGTGGCTGACTAGCGCGCTATTCCAACAGATAGATCAAGAAGACGTGCTTGAATTGATCAGACTCGCATCGTGGTATATATGGTATGGGAGAGCAGAAAATAAGGATTGTCGGCTGGCGATGAGAAGGAACCGTGGAGGTAAATACACCCCTTTTAGGGTCCGGTCGTGTGGCTCCCGAGCATTGACCTGCTTGCCTCTATGCTCACCACTGCATTGCCGTGCTCGTGCTCGTACATTCCCTGCACGGGGTACCCTCCCTATCCTCTCTCTTTCGTGTAAATGACCAGACTTTTTCCTTCGTAAATACCTTCACTCTATATCCTTTCCTCAATGGAGTTCCCTTGCTGTTGTTTTTTTCAGTGTCATAGGACTAAACGACTGTCCTTAGGACCGGTTCGACGATATGAAGGAATGGCTGGAGCAATTGAAAGAGATCGCTGATAATATGAGGTAGAAAAGAACAGCCAAAACAATATAACGCGGGTTGCAACTTAAACGTGGACCAGACTGCCCCCATATTTCACGAATCACGTGTCCCCGGACAGCGATCGATTGAATACCCCGGTCCTCTTTTGCACGCCGCTGTTACTCTAAGATTAGGGGTTGAGGCATTAATTATCAAAACTATTCCTCGTATACCTCGCCCCGCACTATGGCTGGCGTGCAATCAAATATCATCCTAACAACATCTAGCTGCGTCATCTAAGAAGTTCGCAAGTGCTGGATTTCCATTCTCTCAAGTAATGCCCATCTAATAGTGCCTAATATCATTTGCTAATCCCATATACTAGTCATGGACGTGCCTTTTGACGATCCTCCGTCAGAATCAAGCCTAGCCCTTATTCTTTCCGTGTCCTCGATCAGATCCTTTTTGACTTGTTCTTCCCATTCTGGCTTGGTATATATTGTAGTTCCGGGAAAAAGAGCACGGGGTCTGGAGCCCACCTGAAACCGAATGAATCTAAATATGTCGTAGTTGTCTATGATGGCGTTATCGAATAGTTCCTCAATGTAGACTATGTTTAGCTTATTTGTGTGGTCTCCTTCTAGGCTGATCACCTGAGGGCGTTTGGAAGGAATGAACTGCCCGCTTGGATGGTCTTTTATATAATCGACGAGCCCACGTAGCCTCAAATCGGTAATGGGCTTTTCATCAACGTCGTCGTGGATCTTGGCTTCCACCAAGAGTTTAAGGTAGTCCAAGGGCGAAAGTTGGCCCCTGGCATTAAATGGTATTTTCGGAATGAAGGGCACCGGCCCTGGTCGGGCTCCACGCCACGTCAGTACTTCGAGGCAAACTTGCGTCTGTGGTGTGACTCCTTTAATGTAGGCATCATATTCATCCGGGCTCTTTAGCCAGATATTCGGGACATCTCGCTTGGACTTCTCGAAGGTTACTAGCTTGAACTTGCCCAGGCGTTTGGGGTCTCCTGATCGGAAATACGGTGCCCAGGAACTGAACTTGGTCAGGTCGATTCTTTTGCAGAGGGCGATGAAAAGTTTCTAGTCAATCACGACCAGTATTAGAAATTTAACTTTCGGCGGAATAGCCACGTTTTAGACATACCGAGTAATCAGGGCATTCGGAAAATGGGATATCGCACTGCCCTATCTCGGTCGTATTACTGCTATGCCACTGAACGTGGATAGTTCTAATCTTAGCGTCTGCCATTTCGGCAATTGTATTATGGGCTATATGTTAAGCGAGGGAGAGCCGTGTCCTTTGGGGTTGTGATTGCTGCTTGGTGACGATGAATACGAAGCGTCGAGAAGCTGATGATAACAAGGTAATGATTACCATTATAGGTGGCTCGCTGGGAGTGTTTTATAGATAATCGAACGCAACAAAGCACATGTCAAGAAGTCTTCATCGGGTGCTGTGCTGTAGCTAAGGGCTAGGCTGCAGTTGCCGGCCTGGGCACGCTGTCTCGAGAGCGCGGTCCAGACAGGTTGGCCAGGTCATGGACCGGTTTTCATGAACATGCATGGACGGAGGTTTCCATGTGGTGTACGGTGTGACTATAGGTATAACCGCGTTTCTCGCTGTTTCGACCTGAGCTAACAATGGCTCGATGGCGGCCCTGGTGGGGGGGAGGGGGGTTGTACAAGTGCTGCCAACCTTGACAGCGGCATGCGAAGGAGGACTAGGGCGTTCCATTCCGACATTCCGACGGAGGCCTTGAGCTTCAGCGACCTGTTTCAGGATTGGGACCTGGGTCTATTGGGGCTAAAAACAAAGGTTGTATTTCCTTTGCTGATTCCGACTCTCGAATGCCACCTTGGTCCCGCGCCGCATCCAACCGCAGAATCGTAACCTCGCGGCGAGGTTTTCCTCTTTTGATTGAATTAGAATCCTGACGAGTCGGAATTCCGGGAACCAATTAAACGCGGAAACCCAGGCCCGATTATTCGGCCCAAACCCAGGTCCAACCTCGCCTCGGCCTCGGCCTCGGTACCCACCCTCCAGACCAGTGAGATGCCAGAAACAAGGAAGAGAAATGTGGACCGGAGACTAGGTACCCCGGCTAGCTCGGGCCCCATCTTTCTGTCCCGTAGTTGTACAAACGACCCACAGCAAATGTGACGCTGATTGTTCGCAACTGAACCACACTCGGCTCCACCACCGAGTGTCGCTCCCCACTGGGGCACGGGGAAGGGAGTGGGGATTTGGCAAGGAAGGCCAGCGAAAACGGCCTAGCTGGCTGTGTTAATCTGCCGTCGACGCTAACGCGGGGCGCTGGCTGGCTAAAGATTTCTGAGTGGGAGCGGGAACCGGGACTGGAGCTGAAACTGGAGCTGGAACTGGAGCTGGAGCGGGGTTGGTGGCCGTGTCGCCCCGCTCCGCGCCTCTCTCTACGCCCTTTTTCTTGCTCGCTTCAAGCCGCCCCACCAGCCGCCGCCTACTAGTTTTGTCTATTGTTGGAGAACTTGGTGACCACCCCCATTCAGTTTTGCACAATTCAGTTTTGCGCAATTCAGTCTTGCGCAGATGCAGGCGCAGCCGCTCTGCAGGCTGGCAATCAATTGATCTTTGCAGAGTTCCTTTGGGGATTTGTTGACCTTGGCATCACAGTACATAGCACGGGCGCTAGGACCTAGGACCGGCCTATTAGTCAGTCAGGACCCAACAGCCTAACACCCGACGGCGTGGCCGATATCGGCCGCATCGGGGTCTATTGCGGGGACGCTGGATGGTCCTTTTGCCTAGCCGCCGAGCCATGGGGGCGGCAGAGTCACGGCGCAAACGACACGGGCTCTTCGTCCACTGCGGCAAGGAATCTGCGCCCCCGGCAGAGCTGCGATGCCTGCAAGAACAGGAAGACAAAGTTATTTATGCAATTTTTTTTTAGCTGGCCACGTTAGTCCGCGCCGCCAGTTGGTCGCATTGACTGCTTTGTGGCTTGCCTTGTTTCCCTCTTCCTCTCTCTCTTTGTCTTTGTTCATTTTTATTTTGTATGAGTGACGGGCGACATCCAAGAGTGTGTTCGGACTAGTAAGCACCAATTGGAGTTTATCTCCCCCCATCAACCCTCCCCCTTCCAAAAAAAAAAAGGGGGGGGAATAAATATTGACTAGATAAAAGGCACGGGATCATGTCGGTACTGCGCGTTAAGCAATGCGACATGCTCGACCAGCGTGCGGCTGCAGCGGCGGCCGTACTACCGCGTGTCGGAAGAAGAATACAAATGCTGCATGCGGCTGCTGCGGCACTCTGTGCTCAACGCGACGCTCGACCTGAAGACGATGAAGGCTATGCTGGCCGAGATCGAGCAGGGCGTCGACATCGCCCCCGCCGTCGCCGTGCCGCCCTCGACACCGAGGAGAGCGACGTGTTGCAGGAGGAGCTGGGCTGCATGACCATTGATGCGTAGGTGAGCGAGAGTAATTTTTTCTTCCTCTTCTCAAACCAGGGACCAATTTTCACTGACAGCAATGCAGGATACGTGGCGCCGACTCGTCAGTGCGCTTTGCCGACGCCGTCGTCTAGGTCAACCTAGTCTCCTCCCCTTGGGCGCCGGCTCTGCTGCGGAGCTAGGGACCGTCAGCAGCAACAGTAAAAACAGCCTGGCCATTATCGTGCCGCTGGGACGGGAAAGGCTCCTGCCGAACTCCCCCGACAGCAGTAACAGCTCCGGCAACAACATTGTCAACATCAACAACAACAACCGCACAGCCGCAGGCGCAACAGCCACAACAGCAGCAACAGCAGCAACAGCCGAATCTCCCGCGGCTTCGCCCTCGGCAACACGCAGCCGACGGCAACGGGCTGGCGGTGGGACACAGGCAAGACCACCGTGTACCTGCTGGACCGCGACGTGTGCTAGAGCTACGCGATACGCTTCTTTGACGAGATCCAGTCCATCTACTGGTTCTTCTCGCCGAGCAGCTCTACACGCTAGTCGACCAGTCATATGCCGACGGCGGGCCGGCAGCGGCGCCAGCTGGCTGTGCAGCTTGTACAGCATCTTTGCCCTATGCTCCGTGCGGGAAGAGCAAGGCGATGACGGCGTACCTGGTGGTGGGCATGATAGTCCGCACTGCATACCCGCTGGGCCTGCACCGCGACATAGCGCTGTCGGCGACGCAGGACTCGGTGCCGCGCGCGCGCGCGCACCGCCTTAGTAGACCGTGTGTGGACCTGCTGGACCAAGAGATCGCGGCGCTGCCGGGCTACCCGTGCGCCATCGTCGACGACGTCATAGGCATCCGCACACCGCCCGCCTGCGCGCGGCCATGGCGCCATCTCACCGCCGCGCCGTGGCCGTAGCCGTGCTGCACCTGCGGTACTGGGCCATGCTAATCCACGCGCAGCGGCCGTTCCTGCTGCACGCGGCGACTCTGGCCATGGGGAAGCCGCTGATGAGATGCGCACGTCGCCCCCCCCCCCTCCCCCTCGCATGAGCGCGGCGCAGACTTCCAGCCCAACCCATGGAAGACGGCCTGCCGTATGCTTTCTTTGACAGTTTCGACGACTTTGAATATTGAGTTTCCCCCGCACTGCTCCTGACCCCTTCACCTTGCTGACGTGCACCGCCAGCACCATTGACGCGCAGCTCGATGTCTTTGACACGCTTGATCTCGACATAGGCACCTTTGCGGGGGAACAGCCCATGTATTTCTGGGACGGTTCAAGGCTGCGCGGCAGGAATGGGGGTCAGCTTCTACTTGCTCGGTTGTGTACGGCATGTCATTGAATTTAATTTGAACAAATGAATTCACGTACATATGAATATTTAGCTAGATATCATTGATTAACCAACCCTTTCCCCTTGTTCATTAAATTATTTCCCAGTCTCGACTGCATCCACCCAGTTCCCGTACAGCCCGTACCGCAGCCTCAGCGGCAGCTTGATGACGGCCAGCGCGTGGGTGAAGTCGTTGGTGTCCAGCAAGTGCAGCTCGCTACTCATGAACGCGTAGTCGTTGATAAGCGCCAGCACGTAGCCGTCGCCCTCCGTGGTGCTGTCGCGCCGCGGGATGAAGACAGGCTCCTGCCATCACCCGGTAGAAGGTCCCGTCAATGTCCGCCGGGATCGTGCCGTACACCTCGACGTTCGCCACCTCGACGTTCGCCACCTCGACGTTCGCCACCTCGCCCTCGACCTAGGTGGGCTTCGTAAAGCCCGAAAACTGCGGTCGGTCGGGGCAGTGCGTTGCCACCACGGGCGGCGAGCCGGACGGGACTGCTGTCGACATGCCATCTGACCTGGAGACGGAGTGGAGAAGGATGCGGCTGCAGTTGGGGTTCGGCGATCTCCCGCGCTTGCCGGCGGGATTCAAATCCGCTAGTGGCACGAGCTCGTGGTTAGTTCAAGTTTTCGGGGGAACAATTGAAATTCCTGACGGAAATCGGAAACGCTGTGAATTCGGTTGCTCGAAGAGCAAATCAGGCAGGCAGCAGGACTGGTGGGATTATGTAATAATAATCCAGACACTGTCTGGGCCTGAGGTCTTGCCGCTTAGTCAGGATTCTGGTCAAACCTGTTCCGATTCCGTCTCAAATGTCCTTGATCTTCCTAATTTTATTTAGGCGCTAGACCTGGGCTAGTAAAATTCTCCACCTTCTACCCTCTACCCTCCACCAGCTTCTCCACCAAAGCTAATGGTATCATTTCTCCACATCCCATACTTTCCAAAACCGCAGCATTACCTAGGTCCATTGAGCTAGCCGCAATTCAATGTCGACGGCAACCCCCTCACCCCGTTTTGGGCCGATGCAGTGGGCACTCGCCCACTTGTCCACTCTCGTTGCCATGCTGGGGTTTGACTTCAAACTCACCGTGGAGACAAACCAGCCCAATGCAGAAAACATCCAGCCGAGCTTATCTGATGACGAATATGAGGATTTGCCAGACCTAATTGCAAAGCCGTCGTTGTTCTTGAAATTCCATGACGCGCACCGTGGCATAACGACACCAAATAATCAGCCCCCCACCCGAGACCAGCCCATGCCCCCAGGCCGGCTGAAACTCGGCCCTTACTTTGAAAAGCAGATGCAGCAACCTATCGAGACAATAGTAAGCAATTCCTGTATCCATCTTCTTAAAAACCAAAAGCCCGTATCTCACTTCCGTTTGCACAGCGGTTTCGTTTTCGCACCCGTATCATTAGCGCGACCATCACCACGGCTGACAGCATTCACCGAAATGTTTGCCGCCTCCATATCCAACCCAGCACTGTGCAGCGGTTTATTGGCCTGCTTCTTGTAATTTTTCCACGCCCGGTCTCTCGCTGGTTCGAGTCCGCCTTTCCCGAGTGGAACCTTCCTTCCCAAGTCATCCTAAAGAAGCAGAGCTCTCCTATTATCCGACATCGGTGGTGCGGACCTGGCATCGCCCGAGGCTTGTCTGCTCAAGATGGGCGATTTTCGCCGGATGATTTCTCAGGCACTAACTGCCCTTGCTCAATTTGGTGTCTCACATGGCGACGAAAAGCTAGATAATTACCATCTTGTCGGCGACAAGATCATGGTCGTCGATTTTGAATTGGTTAACGACGAGCCCTTGACCGAGAAGCAACTCGAGCGAAATATCGGGTTTACAGTGGATTTTTTGGCCGAGCATTACCAGCGAAGACAGCATAGCCTCTGGCAGACAGGTCTCGTACAGATAGATTCCGAAGAAACAAGCTATAGCCTCAACCACTCTTCTGAGACAGTCCAGAACGACAGAGTCTCATATACAACGCTGACCCCGGCCAAATCATTGGGATCTGTCTACTTCACAGCTCCGTCAGCATCTACCGAGCGATTATAGCCTCCGGGATAGTCCAAAGTCTTATTGTTGTCCATATCCCTCCAGATTAGGCGGCCATCAAAGAATCGACGTTCCACCGACTCAAATCCACCGACCGACAGCGGCCCGGGCAGGGCGTTCATTGCCTGAAAGCGCCTGAAACCCTGAGATAGGAGCATGTACAGAGCATATCGCAGCGGGACGTTGGTCTTTTCACGCGGAAACACCCAGCAATCCACTTTGACGGTGTTTAATAGGATATCGGCGGCCTTGGATGCGCGAAATTGGAGAAGGAGGAGAGTCTCGCCGTCGAAACAGTACACTTGTGGTGCTTGATAGTTATGGGCATAACTGGGTGAGGTAATGCATCTTCCGTCAGCCCTCAGATGTTCGAGGTGGGGTTCATGTCAAGGGGGCGGAGGGATAGCATACGCTCGAAGTTCCTTGGACAGCTTCTCCTGCGGCGAATTACCCATGATATTGCCGGATTGCCAGACACGGGCGTTGATCAGATTCTTTTTCATTTCCCCGATGACTATCACCGTCATGTTATCATAAGGTCCCACCAAGTACGTGGCGTCTACCGATTCGGCATCGTTGGAGCCTAGCAGCTTCATATGCGATATTTGCCTCACTAGCGGGTAGTTCCTCCATCCCGCAAGAACCACGTTGGACACTTCGGTGTGGAAGAACAGCTCGCAGTCGGCTTCACTGTCAAATATCCATGACCTCATATTGGGCGACACCGCGTGTTGTTGAGAGCGGAGGGCGTCATCGTCGAAGGTGTTGAAAGTGGTGAAGTCTCCGTTCGTCCTCCCATCTCTATCTAGCTGGGTACGTATCATGAGATTTTGGATTGCATGGTAGGGATTGGTCCAAGCCTTATCGGTATAGGTATAGGCATGGTCATTCTTGACGGGGTTGTCGGGGTTTTGCCAGATCAGATGACCAACCGTGTCCATGATTCAGATAAGTTGCGATGGACCGTCAGCGGTGGACTGTCAGCGGTGATTTATTCGTTCGACTGAGCAGACTGCCAGACTAGCGACGGTGTCCGTTTGAATGAGCAAGATGGCAGATGCAGCTCGACAGCGGCCGGTGGCAGTAGCCGGCGCAGGGCCCGAGACAGTAGAAGAGAAAAGAGGGATAATGAGATAATCCTGTCCGGAGGACAATATTACTGCGAAACTCTGAAAAAATTACTATGTGAAATTGATAAGACGCCTTATCGCCTTTCCGGATTGGCTAACCTATGTGGAAAAGTGGACCCGATTTCTCAGTCGCATCAATATGGGCAGCCCCTATCACATGCCTATCTGCCATTCGGTCAGCACACTTTCCAAAATTGATATAACCGGGATCATTATGTGTATAACTCTACGGAAATTTTGAATCTGAAGCCCGATTCGTATTATAATGGAAATTGGCTGAGATATAAGCGTTTAAATGCTTTCTGGCGTGGTGGGGCGTGCGTAAAGGTGGGCTTGCGTACGTGACTACGCGAATTGCCCTACAACCCCGCGTCGAATTTCAAGTCACAGGGCGTCACTCTCGACAAGGTGGTTTATGATATCTCCGCGCCAGAGTTCGCGTGCGGCCTATCGTACGTGGCAGTTCCAGGGTCAAGACCTTAGATGGCCTAATGTTTGAATCGCCGTTTGATCGGAGCAGGATATACCGCGAAGTGCCGGTATAGAGCATGTAACTGAAGATAGCGGATTACGGGGTAAGGAAGTTACAGCTATTAGATCCATAGGAAGAGGAGGTTGACTCGAGCGATATGATCGGGTATATAACTGATAGCTCTGTTGTATAGATGTAAGATTTAGTTGTGTAGGTTTAGCCATCGTTGTAAGAAAAGATCTCTAGAGCATCGGAGTTGTTGGCCTCCGGATAGGATATTGTCGCTTCGCTTGCTCTCTACGTCATCTAAATAAGTCAACTGTCGCGCTCTAAATTGCCAGGAGCGAGTGAGAGGAAGGAAGCGTCCCGTAGCGCAGCGAAGGGTCACGCGACTGACGAACGAAGCGACGCCAGCAATTTTAGAAGAAAGAGAATGAACAAAAGAAAGGGACGTACTGAAGACATTATTATACCAACAAGGCCAAAGGTGAGCACAGCAAAGCAGAAAGAGGGTGGGCGGAAGCCTGGAGGCGCCCTCGGAAAAGAGGCGCCCACAGTATACGGTACACGGGTCATTTGAGAGCCGGGAGGTACCTTGGCTAGTGGGAAGCCCATCATAACTGGTCGAGCCCAGAGAGATTAATCATTTTAACTGCAGCCAGGTCGCAATCCAACAAGAGACATTCGACATAATGCACGCGAAAAATGGTGGACAGTCATCCAAAGAAGAACGCTTCCTCGATTTTTGCATAACAGAGGACCGGACCAGATTGCCCAACGGCGAGGGTCTTGTCCGAAGAGCCGAAGAGCCGAAGAGAAAATGGCAAGTCATGGGCTGAAAGTCCCCCAATCCTCACACACGGCCCCTTTCCCAGTTGCCAACTAGGTACCTTGCCCAATTAATGGCTTTAGCTGGTTGGCAATTAAAATGCCGGGTATATTGTCTCCCACCCATGTCGCGCAGCACCTTGACTCGTTATCTCAAGTTCCCCAAACAGGAAACTCACGAAGTCCCCACTCTGATGTTTCTAAAGACTAAAAGGCACCATCTAACCACCGATCCTAGGAAAAACTCAATAGTAACAGACAGAGCTCTGCTGCCGAAGCGCACTGCAGAGTAAGGCCAACACCACTACGGCTATAGAGGCAAGAAATCCCACGGCAGTCCAGGCGGTTACCAATCCCTAAAGATGAATCGGCCCCCAATCAGAAGGCTGCAACAGGTACGGGCACCCCAAGAGACTTGATCTCGTCAAATTCCCATCTTCTCTGGATTGCGATGCCGCCGAAGGAAAGTTTGCCCACGCTGCCGCGGTCAACTTGATGGCATAGAGAGTTATAATCCCTAAAAGCAATCGGTGGGCATATGAAATCCTAGAGCAACATACGCCGGCCACACAATGGTACAACTACTTACGGAGAAGTCGTAACAATGTCTAGAACAAGGTCATTCGTGAAAGCTAGCGCCGGGTTCTTCAAGGCGTGTAGAAGTACTAGTGTCATTCTCAGTCGCTTGAGTCTTGCGGCTGCGCTGCCTCCTCGAAGCCTAATAAGGAGTAGGTGTAGTCATCGCCCTCAATCTCAAACCACCAGTCACAATGTGTGATGGTACCCCAACTAATGAAACAACCCTCGTCGGAATACTTTGGAGTCGGAGAGATTTCACGACAGTTCTCCATGAATTCTTTGAGCTTGTTGATCTCGGTCTGAATATCGTCGGCTTCGGGCTCGCACATGCCAAAAAGCTCTTCTGGTCCGTTTTGCCCTCTCTGGACTGGCCGAGAGCCAAATATGCGGATCTAATTAGACGTGGCGACCCAACAAAGAAATCGCCCCACAACGAAATTGGCCCACGCCATGCCCACACCCACTCCACGGGCGCAAATTATCCATTTCTACACAAAATAACTAGCAAAAAAATACTCAATCCTCTTCTTCGGCCTGTCTATATTGTTCGAGCCCACGGGCGATTATTTCCCGGGCTTCTTCGACTGCATGTGGCTGGCTTTCTGCCCGAGCCGTTTTTTTCCGCTTTGGGGGTATTTGACTAGCTTTTTGTGCCTTGGCGATGTCCTCTATACGTGCAAATCGCTCATTTCCATCTTCATATACCCTCTTACGCGTGCGAGGCTTTGAAGCCTCTAATTCGGTTGTGAGATGCGTAATTTGTGCCTTCAAAGACGCGATCTCTGTATTCTTCAGATCCAGGGACCTCCCGACCTTAGTAAACAAGGCCCGCACACGCCGCTGAGCCGGACTGAGGGCATTCCGAATACTGTCCTGGTACTTCTTGATGTCCTGACTGCCGTGCGGTGTTTTGAAGAGCCTGTCATCGTCGTTCGGGGCCGTCGGCGGCGGTGTTGAAGGCCGGGCCGGGAGTGCCTCATTGTCCTTGACCGCCTCAGGGTCATCAAGTAAACAAGCCGGGTTGAAGGGCCAAATCCCGGTTTTACTGAAGCCCGACATGATGTTACGGGCACTCATGCCTTTACCCGAGGCATCTCTGTAGCAGTAAAGGAACCGAACCTTGTTGACAGGAGCTGACGATGTGAAGCTCGCGAGGGCCTTGGTATTTTCCCTAAAATAGGTCTTTAAAGGTGAAAAGACCGAGCGATCGAGAGGCTGAGACTTGTGCGATGTATGAGAAGGTAAATAGACGAACTGGACCTTATTTTGGAAGGCCGCTAACATGAATTTTTCGTTCATATGGCTCGAATGTTCGTCAAGGATCAGTATACGCCATTCGCCCGGCCTTTGGGGCTTTGTTTGGATCAGGTAGACCTCTTTGAGCCATTTCAGCGCAATACTGGCGTTGCTCCAGCCTGTAATTGAGTAATCGTACTTCCATTCCCGGAATTCCTTCGTCAGGTTGAAGTTATCAGGAAAGTGTTGTCCTTGAAGACTGGCCCCGGTAAATATGATCACGGGCTTCAAACGAACGCCCTCAGCAGTGCCGCATTCGATAACTGAAACCCAGGTTGTTGCATCAGAGCTTTTCACGTAGGTTCGGTTCGTCAGGGAGCTTCCTATGACCTTTCCGGCCCGGGTCTCGAGCTCCTGCATGCCGTGCTCATCCATGTTAGCGATGTTGGCCGGGATGACCTTTTTATCCTTGATTTGGAAGGCCAGGCGCTTGAAGAAAGCTTCATAAGCTTCACGAGTAGATCCGCAGACTCGAGAGGATTCCAACAAGGTTGAATTCTTCATCTTTACCGCCGGGTTGCGGCGTAGGAAGCGGTCCACATATCGCTCCCCAATGGTCTTTTTCGTGCTGGCCTCATTGAGTATAGCTTGAGCGAATCTCTGCACCTGATGACGGCTAGGAGCCCTGCCTGCAGCCTCCTCATTGAGGCACCAGTCGGCTAGGAAGCTTTCCTGCGCATTGGAGAGGTTTCTTTCGGCTTGTTTACTTTGTGCTCGATTTCTGCCCCGTGGATGCGTTTGCAGAGGGTAGAAGGAGGGATCCCGAAGTCATGCGCGGCCTGCTTCTGCGATGCGCCCTGTTCAACTGCAAGTATTGCAGATTGAATTAGCTGCTCTCGACGGTTCGACATGATGTATTTTGAAGCTATTCGAGCCTGAATTGATGAAGTTGTGTTGTGTTGAAGTTGAAGGGCGGGAAATTAGATGACAGGGGCAGAGATTTCGTTGTGGGGCGATTTCTTTGTTGGGTCGCCACGTCTAATGTTGCCCAGCTATATCTAATGTGGGATCGCTGCGCCTTGTATCTGCAACATATCATGACCCTCAAGGACTGTTTCAAAAAGAACTGGCATTCGACCCAAGTATAGGGATGGGTTTGATATGGTCAGGCGGCGGCGGCGGCGGCACTCAGGCCAGTCGAAGCCGGCAAGAGATCTCATGAATGGGGCGCTCGAGCAGATTGAATCCTTTAAACCGTACAACTGGGCCGTGGCAGCGTAGTAAGTGTCCCTAATCGTCTCTTCTCAATTACTTTCACATTCACAACTTGGCGCTATTGCTGATTAATCACTCTCTTCTTTAAAAGCACACACTTCGGCCTAGGTACTGTCGATCGTTATGACCGAGAATATACATCGGCAGAGGCTCATTTCATCGAAGCGTAGAACCTGTGGCTAAAGGGAGACCAAATGCGTAGCGACCCATTCAACGGCGCGTGCATGTACCGGCTCGGCTGTGTACCTATCACGATGACTTACCCACCTCGCCACCACCCCCCCCCCTTTACCTACCTCCCATCCCCAACCCTTCGTTTATGGTGCGCCCTGATACCCGCTAAGTTTTTGGTGGCACCCAATAATGTTGGTTCGGGGCTGTTGAGAAACACTGGATATCATGCTGTTTGACTATTCGAGTCGTTGACTAGTCACCAGATGACTTTCGGGGCGCGTCGCCAAGTCAGGTATGTGTTGTTTACGCCTGAGAGAAATTACAAATCAATCCCGACGTCTCACAGACCGCAGTTGCCTTTTCTTACGCCCGAGACGAGCCACGTCTCATCAGATGGTGCTTGCCGTATATCCTCGTGCGAGAGACTCAGGGTTCTGCCTCCTCACCCTGCACAAGGTGCGGTGCGAGGGGTAGTTAATTAGTGAGCGGTCAGGTAATGACCAGGGCAGGTTACCCATGTGGCATCAATTTCCCGGCTTGGATTCTGTACAATACATAAGGTACATGCCTAGGTAGCTATTTATTAGCCTAGGTATGATGTAGCTCGCCGCCTTTCGTTTCGGCCTCTTTGGTCACGTTTCTCCTAATTGTGGCCCGATTCATTTCCCCAACCCACCCTGGTCGACCAAAATTGTCATCGCTTTCGGCATACAGGACGCTTTCAGATCGGTAACACCAACTAGAACCATGAGCGGCCGGACCCGCCGAGTGCCTTATGGCCAGCAGACTATTACCACGAGGGACATCGAGATGCAGAGATTCGACCAATCCAGAGTCGCAAGAACCAGTACCGGAGATGATCCCCACACGGCAACCCTGCAATGTTGGTTTGGGCTTTTGAAAGAGCAGGTGCGCGGGTGGTACCCTGGTTCGAGACCTATCTGCTGCTATCTCGAGACCTGATTTTATCCCTTGCTATCGGATGAGTATGCCATTGTGTGGCAGTTTCTCGGCCGGCGGAAGCCCGAGCCGGCAGCCGAGTGTTGGCAGCTGTTCGCCGACCTGTACTCTTACATACAGGTGTCAAAAGACGAGAGCGCAAGCATCAAGGAGATCTGGAAGACCTTTTGCCCGCCGACCCCTATTTCCCAGTCGCCATCGCCATCCCCAGGAGAGGGCGGGGGGCCGTCGATATCCTCCAAGGCTTATGATCCCTGCTTCATCACTGTTTTCTCGATCCTCTGTTAGGTCTATCCTCTGTTGGGCAACCATGACTCTCCAGCCAAGATTATGCTGGGCTGATTTCAAAGGCCAGCCCAGCTTGATGGTACATCGGCAAGCGCTTGACCAGGATGCACAGAAGATAGAGTCGGCAGTGTAGAGGCCCATCCCGACAATCTTTCGGCAGTTCTGCCGAGCTATGTCGACAAGTCGGTGGCGCCGTCCGATTGGCGAAGCCAAGACAGACACCTCGGTGGCTTTCGAAGCGGCGTGCTTAAACGTTGCGTCCCTCAGAGACATTGGGAAGATCAGCCTGGTCTGGGTCAGCGATCCGACTAGCCATTTGGACTTTGATGCCGTTGGGCGGCGGCTCTCCGTCTATCGTTTCCCCACTTTTCTGCGCTCTGGGTTGCGTGAGTGAGAGTCAAGGGTTGTCGGTGCCGGTCCTCGAGGGGTAAGTTCAGTGACACAACGGCCCTCCGCTCCGCCTCCCCCCTATCAGGCCAAGTAACTTCCTACCTATATCACCATTGTTTCGCCCGCAGACAAGTACCTTACTCTTTTGACAAACACTGATCAAGGACTTGTTTTTTGGGGGGCAGGCTCGTTCGAGAGTTGTACAGTAGCAGCGGAAGTGGCAGTACTGGTGCCGAAGATCGGGAGCCTCATAGTCACACACAACTAGGGAGATACTTCTGTCTTATCGGCTGCTGTTTGGGCAAAAACCTGGCTCACGACGATTGGCCAAGGCTGCATTGAGCAGACTGCGCGACGAGGGACGAGCCGACGAGTACGACGAGCTACTCAATCTAGTGTGTGCCCATCCGTACGACCGCAAAGTCCGCGCACTGCCTGCGTCACTTTGGCCAGTGACGTGCCGCGACCTCGAGGGGCATGTGCAGGAGCAGGGCTCCTACAGCTCCCAGGGCGACTTTCCCTTTCTTGGTCAGCGATTGGCCAAGCTCCAGGAGTTCACTCACCGCCAGCAGCCGAGCGAGCTGTGGGATCTTCGGCGTGATCGGAGAAACCTGCTGCAGTGGTATACCTTCTGGGCCGTCATGGTTGTCGGTGGAATTTCCATTTTGCTTTGAATACGGCAGCTCTTTGTGGGCATTGCCCAGCTGGTCGTCGCGATTTACGCCCTCAGGCTTTGAGACGCACTTCTTCCTCCTCCCCGATTTGGCCCCATGTCAAGATCTCGGCTCCGCTCAGTCCAGTAGCGGTAGGGTTTAATAATAACTGCGCATAATCATCTACGTCCTTGTTGATTGTGGGAGGGGTACTATACTGCTATAACCATATCAATAGTAACTGTCATCATTGCCAGCAAAATGACATACTACGGAAGAAACCAACTTCATTGCTAAGACGGCAATGATGAGCATTGAGACGAAATTGCAGTATCTCGCTCGCGATGAATTGTATACAGTAGACAAGCCTTACTCGGCCGAGTTTGACATTGAGGAGATCGACGGGGTGCAGAAGACGAACTTCATTATCATCACGGAGCCGGTAACAATACGCCCAATTCGACAGTCAGGCAGCTTTGACCTCGGCCGAAATGGCTTCTGCATCATTCGTGAAGGGACCAACATCAATGTGGTCTGTGCGATAAGCAACCCCGGCGCTGTGGAAGCGTCTTACCTGACTGAACTTGAGACCATTCTCTCTCGCTGGTTCTACTAGGTACTTATATACTTAATTAACCTAATAATACTTCCAAGTTCTATATTTACCCAAGTCCCTGGTCACATCTTCGCAATTCTATTCTCAACGACGTACCCAACGATAAGACAAGCCAAGGCCGACAATAGTAGCTACTCGAGGTCACCGATAATTAGGTGGTCAGTTGGCATTATCTCATTTGCATTGGATTGACGTTGGGGACATACCCTTGGCAGCGCGGAAAGTTGGGATGCGGCACTTCTTTGCCGGACCTCTGGAATAGACGTTGTCTCAGCAGAGTGAGTCCCAGACGGCTCGGGCAGCGCTGTGAACCTCTAAACGCAGTTTGCAATCTAGCTCCGGACTTGCGCTTCGTTCTTGTCTATCAACTAAATAAGCCGGGCTTTATTTGACAGGCCCAAGTCTTCGATCCAGCTCCGGAGTGTGTAGCTGACCTGGCGGCCTTCTCCGACGCGAAGAATAGAATCTGGATTCCAACCCATCCTGCGAACCCCTTCAAATCTAAACGATGCCTGCGACTTCCCCAGCTTTATTGTGGCACTTATAGTGGTATCTCTCTCAGAGCCCCTGAAGTGAAGCAGCTCAATCGAAAAGTGAGAATCGGCGCCTTGTTCCAAAAAGATCTCAAGAACGCCGGCGATCCTGTCGGCCCAGCCCGAATCCCATGGGTATTTAGTTCCATGCTCCGGGTTGAACCATTGGAAGAAGTCCCGACGAGAAACTAGTCCCAGATACTCACGGTCCGAGACTTCGAGATTTCTTGAATCGCGTATCCGGGGTTGATTGGTACCATATTCGTTTCCAGGCAAGGCGTAATGATGCGTTGGGCAAAGAGGTAGCCAATAATATCTGCGTTGTCTCTCGCAAGACAAGCGATTAGGCTTATTTTAAGAGGGTGGTTGGTGAGCCGGGGGTCGTCTGCCAATCGTCGCATAGCGTAGCCGGTGTTCCCATTGAGGACGGTTCCGAGAAATAAACTAGATAGGCGGACCTTCTGTCGGTAGGCGGTGCGGATCGGATCTAGTATTACGGCAATGAAAACTTCGGATTGCAGAAGGGGGTTCAACCATACTTCGGACGTAGTCGGGGGGGTTTCTTTTGAGCCGTCAAAAAGGTTCGTGTCTTCTATTTGAATGCCGCTGGAGAAGATTTCCGGGGAGGTGCAGAGGTCGTCCTCGGAGAATATGTCGGAAAGATAGTCCAGAATACCATACAGCGACTTGTCGTTAGCATCCAAACAGAGTTTTGCAGCTTTGATATGGTAACTCGACGAAAACGATAGACCGCCATGTTTTTTGGAGACAAGAATTCGTGATAGGGCGGAGGCGGTATTGAATTTTTGTAGCTTCGCTTACATACGCTCTCGGATGTCTTGTTTCCCGAGAAACTCTGGAACTGACCGATGAGCAAAGGCGATGATCTTGGCTTCATGACTCTTCCTCCAGGAGCGAGGCTGTGTTGGGAAGTGCACCAGCCCCTTGCACCACCCATTTGCTTTCTTCTCAGCGAGTTCGATATCTGATCTCGTTAACGTACGTCGTTCTTGAACCTTGGGGTCATCTCGAATTGCAAAGTACGTGTCTTTTTCGTATGCCTCGAGTAACAGTATTCCGACTAAGGGTAGATTGATGTCGTGTTTGGTTGCCCATGTCAACATGGCGAAGATCTCGTAAGCCCTCCTCTGATCCACATCGTTGATGGAGTCAAGGAGATAGCTGAAGAGGTGCTCCAATTCACGAGGGAGGGAATTGAGATGACTCATCAGATCCGGGAGCTCGATGCCGTTTTCGATTTGCTCCCGCACCGTCCTCACCACTAAGGTTACCCAAAGGAATATGCCATCGGCCTTGGAAGTTATCTCCGACACCAGGAAAGATCTTTCCTGTTGCGGGATACCCTGTAGCCGGTCTTCAACATACTGTTTCATATCCTTTGCAGTAAGCTCGTGAAGCCGAATTCTGTTTCCGGCGTCAAAGTTGTTCATGAAGACGTTTTCCTCGCGACTGGACACGCAGAGTTTTAGGCTTTGTGGTGCTGTTTTGGACTAGCCGTTCAAAGTGTCGACCATGAACCTGTGGTTATATTGAGGGGGTCTGCTCGTACTCGTCTAGTCTATCGATGAAGAAGTAGAAGCAGTGGTCGGGTTGCTGAAATAGCCGGTCAAAAGCCGCTCTGACCTCCTTGTTGTTGATCTCGAGTGCGGATTGGTCGTGCCACGGAACGTTACCAGCACGCATCCAGGTCTCAGGCATGACATTGGATATGAGGCCCGGGCAGCACTTTAACGCGTCGTGGAGGAGGGACCGGAGAAGGCCCGCGAACGACTTCTGCAAACTCGTCCCCGGCTTCTAAAAGAAGAAGCTTGCAAACACAAAAGCTCGGTCACCTGCCCGGCTGGTTAGCACCGGTTGGGGAATGGGCACAGGACGGCACTTACCGGTCCATTCTTCCAGCTTTGCTCGCATTTCTTCGCTTTCAACCAGAAGCTTCATCAAGGTGGATTTTCCAGACCCCATTCTTCCTGAGATGTGGAAAATGCCACCAGGCGATGCAACCCAATTCCAAAGCTTTCGCTTTGCCTCTCTCCGTAACTTGTCGCTATCTGACGGCCAGACATTTCTTGTTTGCTCTTTGGAACTGTTGGCGTTGGCGTCGGCGTCGGCGCCAAAGTCCAAGATCGAGGCAAAGTTTTTGGTATGGGCTTCTTCGACTGCCTCGTACCGTTGGTGCATGTTGTCAAAATTCAAACTCCGAATGATGCACCCCTGTCTGCCGGCATCCAAGGCGTCTTGATGGATACTAATGAGCTCGCGGAACTGTCTTTGGCCTCTCTGTTAATAGAGGATATCTTGACTCTGTCCCGAAGCTCGTCGAGACTTGTTTGCACCTGAATCAGCCTGACACTGTTCTCGGTAGACGAGGTAAGCAAGCCATCTATAGAAGGCCGCTCGTTCGCTGGCTGTGTCGTCGGTGGGGGTCAGTAAGCGATTAGCACAGTCTGCAGCTCAAGCCTCAAGGCAACTACCTCGCATAATACGCAAGCTGCACGTGCAGCTAGGTCCGACACGTGTCCAGTGTCTTCTCAAGCTCCCGTAGGCTCTTCTCGTGGAAGCTCGTCTTGATTGCTGCCCGGATGGTCTCGACTTGGAACTGGGGTCTCTGATTTGTGTCTGAATTGGATGAGCGGATACGGTACTCACGCAGGCCCGTAGCCTCCAGGCCGTTCACCCAAGGACCATATCGCACCATCCTAGCCATGGACCTTCTATCGTCAACTACATTGTGCTGCTCAGCGCGTGCGAAGGGTTCGACGGCGGCGGCGTCCCCCTAAAGCTCCCCCTAAAGCACCACCTCATCAAGATATATTTCTGCGACTCTGAGTAGAGTCGGGCTATTCCCTCGTCTATAGAGGGCGAGGGGAAGTCAGATGACCCCCGTCTCCGGTAATTAGTAGTGATGATAGGGGCCGAAGGAGACCTGGGAGTGCTCTCTATGCTCAGTGGGTGATATTCTTGGCATACGATTGGCGTCGACTAGCGGGCTGCAATGCAAGTCGACGCCTGTTCCACTGCTGCAGATAATCAACATGGCTCCTCTCGCTCAGCTCTTCGTCTCCCCCCTTGCGGCTGCCGCCACGGCGGTGGCCAGACCAGTTGCCGCTGCCGTTGAGGGTGACGTCGAGTCTCTGGAATACCGCGGCTCGCCGCAGTCGACTTCCTGCAGGCCCTCGGATGTCATGACCCGCAAGTCATGGTAAGCCCCCCTTCTCCTCAGACCTCAACCAATGCATCATGCCAACCAACTCACCAAATGTCAGGCACACACTATCAAACAAGGAGAACAAGGCATACCTGGACGCCGAGGTGTGCCTGATGAAGATGCCGACCCGGCTCCGCCTGCGCGGTGCCAGAATCATGTTCGACGCTTCTAGTCGGCGCACGTGTCGCTCACCGAGGTCGTGCACTACGCCGGCCAGTTCCTGCCGTACCACCCCCTGTCCGTGTTCGCGCACGAAGAGGCGCTGCGCAGGGAGTGTGGATACAAGGGCGCGCAGCCGTGAGTCTACTAGAGCTATGCATAAATGGAGTAAAAAATGCTTACACCTGCATCCAGCGGACCGCGGTCGACTTCATCAGCTGGGCGGGGCACAAGGTTACGGGGAGAGGTGCCTGGCCAAGGCGACGGGGCTCGGTTTTTGGGTGTGCGTCGAGGCGTCGCCGCACACAGCCGGCCACGCCGGCATCGGTTTGCAGATGACCAAACCCATGTCCAGCCCCGGCAACCCGCTCTTCTACCTGCACCACGCCTACCTCGACATGCTGTGGACTAAATGCCGAGCCCAAAACCCGTCTCTACGCCTCACCGAGATGGGTGGTAAGAACAGGGGCAACATGCAGACGGAGTTCCACGGCGCCCTGCTGCCTTACTGATGTTCCACCCCCGCCCGGCTTCCCCGGCGGCGGACCCGGAGGCCCCGACCCGAGCACCATTCCGAATGTGACTCGCCCGTACGAGGCCCCGTAAGTTCCCGTATCTTTGCCTAGCTCTGATCAGCTGTTTCTTTGGACTTGAACTGACAAACCGATCACAGTGTGCCTATCATCATCGGCGGCCCGGCCAACGTCACCACTCTCAACCACGTCCTGCAGATGCACGGCCTGACCCGGGATCGGCATATCCGCGAGATCATAAACACCAAGGGCTTCCTGTGCTACGGCTACGACCAGTGACCAGGCAGTGTCCGGGTAATATCATTCTCTGTTGGTCACAGACTCATTACGGGGGTGTGGAGGTTCGGGCTCGCCGAATGAGCAACTGCCAAGATATCATTCAAGTTACTAGGAAGTCTTTCTCAGTAAACTCCAGAAACTTGCCAGCGTGTGGCATATCGGCCTTCCAGCCCGCAAAAAGTAGCTGGTGACACCAATACATTTCCGTCTCGTACATGGGGCCGTCTTTGAGGCCTCGTAGTTGTGCGTCTTGAGGCAATAATTAGCAGTTAGCAGCGCTCTTGTATGATGAAAGACTTGTCTGGCAGGCAGGCAGAGCGGGCGGGTACTGGGCCAACCTTGACGAGAAACCTGGTCTTTAATGTCGCGCATATATTTTGTTTGGTGCCCGTCGACCGTGGACCTCTCCTTGCCCGACCACTCGAGGAGGGACAGGGGCGCGGCACCGCCTGCCGCAAAATGAAAATAGTCGAGCACGGTCTTGCAAGCGTGGTAGTAGGCCTGGCATGGTAGTAGGCCTGGCGTGGTAGTAGGCCTGGCTGAGGGGGCTATCGTGGTTAGACCGTGGCTCGGACTATTGGTAGTTGCGTAATTGACATATCGGTCAGCCCCAACACGGACAGGAAACCAGCACGAACGGAAAGCCAGCACGGATGAAAAGCTCTCCCATAATGGATAGAGGCATGACAAGAGGGAGACTGACGCGTGGCAAGGGGGTGATATACTGACGCGCGACACGGGGTGGTTGCACTAACGCGTGATAAGGAGGGAGGGATACGCTAACGCGTGACAAGGAGGGAGGGATATACTAACATTAACGCCGAATCGCTGAGAAAAATTCACCATGTGCGAAAGCACTCGCTCCGTGTTGTGCAGAACGATGAAGGATACGAGATATATCTCATACCAGTGCTCATTCTTCCTGGACAGGATCTTCTTCTTCAGAAGCCGGAGGAGGTTTTTCTTGAGGGGGACCAAAATTCCCCTAATGGTGATGGCGTCGAGTTGGGTATCCATAGCTGGGGTGACGGGGATGGCGTTGACCAGAGGGTTGTAGCGGCAGGGGCCGATGCTGTGCTCCATCGGGGGCACACCAAGCGTATCCGCTCCGCAGATGAGCCAAAACCTCTCGATCATGCGTGTGACCGACCAGAACATGAGGGCGGCGGCAACCAGATTGCTCTGTGCGTCCAGTTAGTATTGAATAACGTGTGCCTAGACCTAAGAGAACTACCGACCTTGGACTCTGTGTAATAACGCTCGGCTTCCTCAAAGGTTCTCTTCACTATCGGGTTGCTGTCGACGAGGAGAGCCTTTGTAAACTCAGCCCTGGCCGTCGTGGCATACACGCGCATGTTTGTGCGAGCTTCGTCCATGTCTGAGATATAGTACGGCGGCAGAGGGTACTCGTGAGTGATGCCATCGCTGCCGGTCCATACGTACGACGTTGCATCATCTAGGCCGGGCTCGAATCGAGAGACTGTTACCCAGAAGCAGGTTTGATTGATGTCTTGTGTGAAGTAGACACAACGAGGAGGAGCCTCAGTTGCTGCAATGCCGCCTTCTGGCAAACGAGGCCGTGCGCCGTGTCCAGGTCCACTCGGCAATGTCCACTGGCGAATGGTTGCCGGGTCCGCACCTTGTGAGAAACACGTTAGGACTCTGCGAATGTGGGGATGGGCAGAAAGGGAACAAAGGCCGGGGTGGCATACCGAGTCTGAATAGCTTGATATCGACAAGTTCCACCCGGCAGCAAGGTTGTGACAGCAGGTGGGACGGCAGCGTGGAACATCTTCCGCACGGTACAAACTTGTCGCACGATTGATCACAATCAGGCAGGGGGTTAGCAGACGCAGGCGCAGACGAGATGTATGACTCTGTGCTAATATATCTTACACGGAGCTTCTTGTTCTGACAGGCAAGACACGCGCCGACTTGCCTGGTGAATGCAGTGCGTGCCCGAGACTGCTCGTCAAGCTTGGATCGGTCTGTGCCGTATGCACGGAAAACCGTTTGGAGAGCACCCCGGGCGGCTTGTTGACGGGATGAGGCTTGAACCGATTGCCGCCAGCGGTGACTTGCAGAATGGGGAGCTAAGTCAACACGGGCCGAACCGTGCTTTAGTGTATTAGCCGTTGTAGTCGCGGCAGTGTGGCGGTTTGGAGCACCACCACTCGCTTTTGTTGCTGCCGGAAAAACAAGAGCAGTAATAGGCAGCGCAGATTGTAGTTCTAGAACCCAGGGAGGAGTGAACGGCTCGAAGCCGTTGCTCCCAGCCCACCAGTTGGGCTGAAACTCACCAATCTCAACTGCCAGCCGGGTTTCTGACAACGGGGGCAAGCCGAGGCCTTGAGTGACCAGAAAAGGGTCGCTTGCTGTCGACAGGTCCAAGATGGGGCCGGCACTCTCTGCGTTGCACTGCTGCCCGCCGTTGTTTTGATGGGCCGAGAAGTTCTCCAGCGAAGAGGAGTCATTGACCTTCTGACGGCGGCCGTCGACGCTGATGATGGAAGAAATTCCAGTCACGGTCACCGCGTTCCCACCCGTTAGAGGAAATTCGTAGATTTTGGTAGAGGTTGTGGGGCGGAGTGGGAGAGGCGGTGCCGAGAAAGTGCCAGGAGAAGACACAAGCTCAACCGCATGTTCAACAGGCCCAAAAGAACCTGTGAAATCGGTGATATTATTTGGCAGAGCCCATGGGTCACCTGAGTTGTTAGGTGCAGGCGTTATGACAGTGCCAGCCATGATCGTGTCCAATCCGCCAAGAACATGTAGTGGTCCTGTTGGCGCGGACAAGCCCGCCAACCAATAGGGGTCAGGTGCAGCTCCAGCTGCGATCCCGGACGGGTCGTCTTGGTTCTCGGTGGCATTGCGCATAGTCGCAGTGTTAATGATTGGCTAGATGACAAATGCTGGCGTCGGCGGCTACTCCTTGAACAAGTGAGGTAGACACCTTATGTTGCTAGGAAGGTCAGGGCAAGCCGAAGAAAATCGTGTCATGGGGAGAACGTCACGCAGTCTGCCAAGCACCTTGTCGTCTGGAATTGGCCCACTTTTCATGGAATTGGACAGGCCCTGGTTGACATGCCTCTGAGCTTCCTTCATTCTTTGTTATTTCCTTCATTCTTGACTCGGAATGTCTTCATTTCATTCGGAATGCCCTCTTTCGGGCTGATTATAACGCCTCCCTTGCCTTCTCTCCACGAGTATAAGGAAGCGTTCTTTTCTGTACTTTTAGACCTATTGAGCAGACAATTCAATGCGCTGTCAACTTCGATCGCGTGCAACACACCTCAAACGACATCACGACTCTGAGCCCCTACCCCACTTAATAATTCACGAACTACGGGCGGCCCAGCACCTTCGTTAAGATGATAGGGAGGCAGAGATGAGCCCACCTATCCCCACCGTGTTTGCTATCTTTGCGCCTTTCATTAAAAGCTGAGATGGTAGGTAGGTAGGAAACTCCTCTCTATTCAGTCTGATGCCCTTCCCGAACGCCGAAATGGCCGAGTTTGCCAGCCCAGCCCAACATGTAGATCCGAGGATGGTATGATGTGTTGCCACACCGACTTTTCCGCTAGCTGGAAATGGAAATCGGTACTCGTCAGGGCTACAAAACACGTTGACTGCGGAGGCAAACAAACTTTTTCGTTGGCTCAGTTCAGTTGAAGCGTGTTGCTCATGATCAGAGTTAACAGCGCATTAACTTGTCTGTCTAGGCTAGAAGAAAGGTTCAAAGGACGAAGCCGAAGGCTTCCTTACATAGACCCTGTAGCCCTGCGCCTCCTGCCGCCGCCTCCGCCGCTTATTGTCGGTTCAACCAACACACATCTTCAAACAAAGGTCAGACGTAAGACGACGGAATAAGCCGACTGTGGTTTGAAGAGTGGCTCAAATCTGGGCGACAAAGCGCAAGAAAACAGATGATTCGTGTCGCCCACTTTTGAGCCACATTGTCAAGTCACATACCTGCATATCCCTGCATATCCCTTCATTCGTTACTTTCAGCCCTGATCCCTTTTTTCGGGCTCCCGGACTTCCGAATGCCCGCTTTTTTCTCCTTTGCTACGGCTGAGTCCCTTACGGAGTACGACTGAACAGACTGTTGAACCAGGTTTCCTTTGTCCTTTTCTTGGAAGCATAAAAGGCCTTCTTTCCTGTACTATTAGATTGGATTGAGACAGACAATTCGAGACTCTTCAAGCTACTGTCAACTTTGATCACGGGCCAGAATTCGCAAAGAGTATAGCCCACTACTAAGATGCTAAAGTACCCCTCCTTTCTTAAAGTACCCTTCTTCCTAAAGTACCCTCCTTCCTAAAGTACCCTCCTGTCCTAAAGTACCCTCCTTTCCTAAAGTACCCTCCTTTCCTAAAGTACCTAAAGTGTGACGGCCCGCCTTACGCAGGAGGGATGTCAATGGTTGAAGGCAGTAACGAATGTGGATTTAAAGCTATAAGGAAGAGAAAGGAATCTATCGCGGGGTCCGCGCAGGGCGCGGGGAAATAGGTTGTGGTGCTCAGTGCGCACAGGCCACACTCTAAACACAATGCAGCCAATAGAATCAATCCTGTCACATGAGCCCTGTAGCGACCGTGACATAAAGTACCCCTCCTTTCCCTCGGTTAGGCCGTTTTTGTAGGGAACTTATCGGGGCACCCCCCCCCCCCCTTTAACACTCCGGGAACCCACCAATCCGCCTTTGGCAGCTGTATCTAAGAACCCGCGTTTTTAGCGGCAGAATCATTACTTCTGGATACTGGCCCCCATATGGAGATTTTTGGCCTTCCGCATCCCGGGCAAATCGGCCGAATGCAAATGAGGCCTGAAAAGGCGCCTCCCGGGCTTCCACCAAATTGTGTTTGAATTCACGGTTTAGTGTCACCACACAGTCAACTGTAGAGAAGCAGGGCTGCAATGTGGTTGCTGTATTCGTAGAATCTAAAGCTAAAGAAGGAAAAAGGAAAGAAAGCTTCCAAGGCCTAGGCGGGGCGCAGGGGAAGTGGGTTGTGATGTGGGTCACGTGGTTATAGTGTGCACGGACCACTACCCAAATCTGGTCAGCTGTCTGCACCTGCCGTGACATTTAGTTAGTAATTGTTGTCATGGTCGTTGGTAGACTTCAAGTGAGGGAGTCACGCGAGGAGCACGTGACTAGTGTTGAGGTCCGCTCAGACAATGAAGGCCGCTGTAGAGTAGAAAGACCCGGGTACCTGGGGAAGGAACGGCTCGCAGAGACTTAGCTGCGAGCCAGAGATTAGCGCCACGTACGGATTACCGATACCGCCTAACCTTCGTTGCCTCTGTCACTCTCGACACCGTTGTCCCAAAGCCCCTTACACCTGTTGAATTGCCAGAGTGGCGATGCTATTTATGGTGCTGTGGTGTTGAGTCTGTCAACCGGCACAGTTAACTGGGCTCAATTTACATATAGGGTGCTGTATCAAAAAGTAACGATTTTACCGCTACAAAGGCGTACAGTTGATGCCAGCCGCCATGGCGGGTTTTTTGTGGGTAGGTGGGTGTTCGTAACGATAAGCCCCTGTTTGTAGCCCTGACGAACAGCATTTTCATCCAATTTCGCACTCAAACTGATTGACGGAAATGGAAATCGGCAAGCCATAGCCCCCGACCCCTACCGCGATGCTACAAGCCACCGATGCCCAATATCATCTCGCCGACTACCAAGTTGGTAATGGTAGGCAAACAAGTAGGGGGGTAGGGAGGCATATAATACTTGATGCAGCACGCCCAACCTGGAAGCTCGGCACCCAGCTCTAGTTAAAGCCCAGTTCCAGTTAAAGCCCCACATCTAACCCGCCACGGCCCACAACGCAACATGGCGCCAACACCAGAGGATAAGCGACCCGAGTCCGATTTGGTCAATATCACTATCGGGGTTATCACGATTTTCCTTGCCGCCGCTTCCGTGCTCGTTGGCATTTGCCAATATCGCAAAATGCCCAAGAAGACGCGCTCACCCGGCCCTCGCGAAACAAGCTTCTTCCTCATGTCGCGGAACGCGGCCGGGGCGATAGGGGAGGGGCGAATTCATGGTGTCGATCGTTTGTCGCCGCGAGCAGTATTGGCGGAAGAGATAGTCGAATTCCCACTGCCAGTGCAAGGTGTCGCAGGGGGAAGAGTCAGAGTCACGTGACGGACAAAGATGCACGCTAAGGGAAGGGCTTGTCGTCTTGTACCTTAGTCTTTGCCGGGCCCGGGAAATTCTCTGATTGCTCTGGTTTTTGAGTGCGGGATTCTTTGGGTCTCAAGGACCAATTCGGGCCTAGATATACTTGTTTATCACTGGAGCGGAATTTTCCGTTAGTTTAGGTCACATCTATTCAACACAATCAAATCGGCATTTTACCCAGTCAAATGGCACTAGTGATACCCTAAAATTCAGTTAAACTTGGTCCTCGATTCGACTTGTTTGAGTTTTTGCAAGCCTTGATTGTTTACTGTCCGCGTTCTATAGTCTTCCAGCTTTCCGGCCGGCCTCGCCCCTTGTCAGCCAGCGAAGAATTAAATTACGGATAAGCGCGATGAAAATTGAACCACCGCCACGCGGTGAAGAGACAAATAGATTTGAGCAAATAAAAGCCAGTCACTCCATAGTCGGTAAATGACAGAAAGATACCGCCTAGCGCAGCCAGAACTCCACCGTTCGGTTCTCAACTATCCCGCCTCGTGGCGTTCCAAATTCCCCTTGTGCCGCCGCTCGAGCAACTTATCACGGGCCATCACCCATTGAGCATGGAGAGCTCCTCTAGTCCGGGCCAGTAGGTGCACTCCCAGATCTCCTCCTTCTTTACCCTACCATCATCACTACCGGAGAGATAGGCCGTCTTCCACTCGCGCTCCATGGACGGGGGGATGGCCCAGCCCTGCTCGGGGTCGCGGAAATACATCTTGACGAGGTGGCGCTTTAGGGGAACGCCGCCGTCGTGGAAGCCCTCGCGCGCGTGGAACAGCGCCATGTCGTTAACGAGCAGGACGTCACCGGCTATGACGGGCAGCGTGATTGCGTTGCGGGCAGCGATGAACTGGACGGCGTCCGCTGCGTCGCGCTGTGCCGCGGTCGGTAGCGGCACGTCCGCGCTGTGCCGCGGTCGGTAGCGGCACGTCCGCGCTGCGCTCTCGCTGGAAGCCCGTGACGGGGTAGCGCGAAAACCTGAACAGCACCGGTATCTTGTCGGAACCAACAACCCGCTGCAGCGGCCGCACGTGGCGAGGCGGCTGGATGGAGAGAGGTTTGAATCTGTTTTTTTTCCCCTAGGCACGGACATTGCACGTATCCAATTAGCCAAAGTCTAATTAATAGGTATGAGACAATCTCGCTAGCCCGTTGCGGTGGGTAGTCATTAAAGTGCGGCTAGCTTGCCTCACTTACGTATCCAGTACCCATGGCTCGGCGAGGGTGTGCAGCACTTCCAGTTTGCTCGCCGCCAGCTCATTGTACGTCTGCCAGATGCTGCTCAGTAAAGTCCAACCGCTAAGAGGCGCCACGTCCAGGTAGTAGAACGCCATGATCGCGCAGTTATCGGTGTGGAACGACTTCAAGACAAAGCCCCACGAGGGATTGTGCGGGTTTAATTAGCTGGTGGTTCGTCCATCTTCGACACATGGGGGAGGGGACAAAATATACCAAAGGAACATCACTGAAGGCCGGGGCCGTGGTATTTGGTTTTTTCCTTCTGGCTTGTACGTTCACTATGTGGGCTAGCAGTATTTTCAGAGTTTTCCACGTTAGAAAAAGACGGAGGAGGCTTGGCTCTGAGGCGACGGGGCAGGCAGCCAGTCAGCTTACCAACAACGCCCTTCCCAGCCACGTCGACAGACCCCCGCTGTGGGCAGACGTGGGCAGTCACCCCGACGTACATGATCATCTTCTGTCTAGGCGTGTACTTGGTCGGATCGAGTCCATGGATTATCTGGAAGCCAACTCCTCGGTAAAGCTGATCGGAAAGCTTGCGCAGGCGCTGAGAGAACTCGGTTGGCAGCTCGAAAGTGGAACTAGTGAGCTCCGCAAGGTTCTCGCCGTATTTCTCTATTGTCGCGCAGTGGTTAGAGTAGAACTAGACTGCACGCCCCTCACAAAGGCGTATGGCGCATCATGAACCTGTGACTGATAGAGTGGAATACCTAATATTCACTTTCGAAAGCAAATACTGCAGCATCAATAGCGGTAATCTCGTCGCCACACAGATCGACCTTCCACTCCCGCACCTTGGGATGGATGTCTGAGCCCTTCCATACGAGTGGCGATTGGATTATGTCCGGGAAACCCGGCGGGACTTCTGAGATGCTCCGCTCCCTAGTGCGCTCCCTGTCCCAGAAAAGCTCCGTGTCGAGCTTTGACGGGATATAAGACGAACACATGATCAATTTATGATGAAGTTGTTTGCTATTTCAGCAGATTTCATGGCTAGGAGGGTGAGATCTGGTTTTTGGATGAACTGTCAGGAGGTTACCGGGCCTCCTAGATGTGGCCTCGACAGCAATTTCCAAATCCCAAACGCCCGGCGGGTGTTGGTTTTTAAACACAAGTTTTTATGCTGCTGTCCGCGGAATCCAGACCCCCACAAAGGTTCACAACTCGCTTTCAGTTTATCCTCGAGCCGAGCAAAAAGCCGAGGAAAGAAGGATTGGGACCACAGGCAACGTCAAACAACAATAAGCTCTAATTAGACAGAGAGAATCATGGTATCGGCAAAGTTGAGAGCTTAGAGGCGGGTACCAATCATATCCTGGGTTGGGTCTGCAAGCGATATTGCTGGCGGCATCAGGTGGTGTCCGACATTATGTTATCTAGTCCACTTGGTTGGGAGGACAGTCTAGTGATGTGAGCGTACTTAACGTGGTGAGTTTCCGCGAGGAGGGATATTAAGGGCTACTTTACCCCCCATCTAGTGGCACGGCCACGGCATCGCGCTTTTATCGGGGCTGGGGTCTCTGCTTGACACGAGTCATTGGCCTGGATGAATGAAGCATAGCCTGCCCAGGGTTTCAATTTCCTGCATCGTGTAATTAGGTGGCATACCGGAAGAAGAAAAGACAAGAGGGGGAGGAAGATGTTGTACATACTATCCCTTGGGGAGAGAGAACCGAGTGGGCAAAGAACCGAGTGGGCAATTAGCCAGCGTTTCGGGGGAAGGGGCCTTGAAACTGGGCCAAGGTAGCGGTAGGTAGGTAGCCAGGTCGGTTGTGTACATATGCGAGTAACAAACTGTTGGCTGGAGAAAGAATAGCCCAGAACCGGAATAAACGGGAAAGAAAAAGAGAGGTTCCCGGGGGGAGGTTCCCGGGGGGGCGGGACCCGCGCCCCAAGCAGTGTTGGCGCTCCTCGACCATGTACACGTAATTGAGGATTGGGTTGAAGCTAGAGCGGAGACGGTCTTCAAACATCACCATGTCTGCCAGATCTTGGTCGCCATAGTGGGTCTTGATGTTGGCATAGCGGTGAAGAACACCAGCGAGGAAAGCCGAGGCGTCAAACACAGCCCTCATGCCGTCCTGGTCGTTTTGAAGCAGCTGCAGGCCGAGAGATATCACAGTCCACGCCGACGATGCTAGAAATGTCAGCGCCAAGCACTGAGAGAGCACGCAATTAATTCCGAGTGGCTTAGTATTTGGTGGGGTCGAACTTGACGCCTGAGTCTATGATGGCCTTGGACCGCAGGGCAAACCTGAGGGTTCCTTTTTCATTCTCGCGCACGCTCAGCAGGACTTTTGCATCGTAGTCCTCGATCTTCAGCCCACCATTTCTATACTCGTCAAAAGACGACTCGACGCCTGTAACCATGTCTTGGATGACGTTTGTGATGCAGGGCTGGACTTGGCCGTGCTCGTCGAGATTGAGTTTCAGCGCCGATCTCTTGTCGTCGTCAAGGTTGTCTACGGCTTTTTGCCAGAGGTCCCAGAAAATTTTGCTGCTTTCTTCTTCCTCGACACTGCCGTTGGCGCCGCGACCGGCTGGACTAGCCGCGCTAGAAGCTAGAACTGAGGTGATTGGGCCATGGCTGCCAACTCCAAAAGCTGCCGCGCGGTCGTGGAAATGGAAAGAGACGCAGACGGTTCAGGTTAGGAATCTCCAGCAGAGTTCTTGACTGCTTTCGACTTGCGAGAGATCTTCCACAGCCGAAGCATTTTTCTGGCTTTGAACCAGCGGATTATGGACGCTGCCTTCACGCGTCGAGTCCGCCCATCTCAAATGCGCTGCTAGGGGAGGGAAGCGGGAAGGGCTGCGCCCATCAAAATTGGTGACCGCTTTTGACAGCCCATTGGGCTACAATGCCCGTAACCCTAACCCCAGCAAGCCTTTTGCGCTAGCCAAAGTTACCAACTGTTGAGGTTCTCGTTGGTCTCTTGTAACTACAGTCGTAGAGCTATTGATCGAGATACCACGACACATCCAGCAATTTGGTAGCACGTCTTATTCGCATGGACAACTCAAGCATACAAGGTAAAATGCGGACTTTGAAATACTAATTGATTATGGCCGTAGTGAATTTCAAAAGTATCGGAGATACCCCTGAACGGTGATGTAAGACGACAAATCGAGTTAGTAGCCGATAGGGCAGCACCAGGATCAGCATCAGAATTGGCCACTGTCTTGAGCCCGCCTCTTGGCAATGGGCCGAGTTATCCCGCAACCCAAGCTGTCCACTAGTGCCTGCGCAGCTGCTACTAGTAAAGAGCCCCCTAATCTCTACATGTTTACTTGAGAGAATGTAATTCATGGACAAATACACAACCTGGATGATTAGTGTCATGCAACAACAACCAGAAATACAAAGAAAAAAAGTACACTTTTTCCCACTCAACACAAACCATGCCGCCAAAGAACAAGAACAAGAGCAAAGCAAAGAGAGGATGGCAGGATGCTGCCCGCGAAGCCCAGGAACACCGTGACGCATCCATCAGCCACGCCCTGGCTAACACTATCGAACAAGACGTCGCAGCTCGCATCACAGCGCTGGACCCGACGTCGATCGCGCGCATGACGGCCGCCGGAGAGCTGTCAGCGGTGCAGGTGGTGTCGGCGTTTCTGCGCCAAGCAGCCACGGCGCAGCAGGCGACCAACTGCATCACGGAGCTGCTCGGGGCGCGGGCGCTGCGTCGAGCCCAGACACTAGACGCCTCGCCTCCTGCCGCATCGCCAACGGCGCGGCCGCTGCTCGGCGTCCCCGTCAGCGTCAAGTCGCACATCGGCATCGCGGGCGGGCGCATGGCGGCCGGGTACGCGGCGTGGTGGTTTGCGAACCCGCCGGCGCCGCGGGACGCGCTGGTCGTGCAGATCCTCGAGCACGCGGGCGCCGTCGCGCACGCGCGGACCACGGAGCCGCAGAGCATGATGCAGCTCGAGTGCGCGAGCAACCTGTTCGGCGAGACGCGCAACCCGCACCGCGGCTCTGAGCTGTCGTCAGGCGGGTCGTCGGGCGGCGAGGCTGCGCTGCTGGCTCTCGGCGGCAGCGCGCTCGGCGTCGGTAGCGATGTGGGTGGTAGTGTTCGCGTGCCGGCCGCCGCGTGCGGTATCTTTGGGCTCAAGCCTACTGCGTTCCGCGTGCCGACCACGGGCTGGAGCTCGACGCCGCCCGGCGCGGATCCCGTGCCGACCGTCGTCCGCCCCATGTGCCGCACCATCGATGGCGTTGAGCTGTTCATGGCTGTCATGCTGGCCGCCGAGCCATGGACCGTCGAGCCCGCGATGGTGCCGCTGCCGTGGCGCTCGATCGATCTGCGTCTATCAGACAGGCCGCTGAGGATAGGAATAGCGTGGCACGACGGCACGGTGCAGCCGCACCCTCCCATCGCGCGCGCGCTAGCGCAGCTGGCCGCCACGGTGCGGGCACTGCCGGGCGTAGAAGTGGTCGAGTTCCCGCTGTACAACGCCGACGAGGCGTGGGCCATCGCGTCAAGTCTGTACTTCACCGACGGCGGGGCGGCCGACGTGGCGGCCATGGCGGCGTCTGGCGAGCCGCCGCTACCTCTCGTGGATTGGATTTTGCGGGAAAGCCCTGGCACCAAGGTCCTCACGCGTGAAGAGCTCGAGTACTGGCTCGAGGAGCGCGAGGAGTACCGCCTTGAGTATGCGGACTACTGGAACCGCACCGGCCGCTGGGACGACGGGCTGGGCCGCTGGGCCGGCACCGTAGACGTGCTGGTTTGTCCGGTTGCTCCGGGGATTGCCACGCGCCACGGCACTGCAAAGTACTGGGCCTACTCGGCCATGTGGAATCTTCTCGACTACCCGGCGCTGGCGTTTCCTGCCGGCACGGCGTCGAAGAAGGTGGATGTCAAGGAGCAGCGCACGAGTTTCATGAGCGATCACGACAGGAGTAACTGGGATTTATGTGAGTTACTTTTTTATCTCTAAAGATCGGGGCAAGGTATGTGCCGGGTTGGATCCACACTAACAGAACACAGACGATGCTGATTTGTTTGACAGAATGTCGGTCGGCTTGCAAATGGTCGGCCGGCGGTTCGATGACGAGAAGGTCGTGGCAGTATATAGGTATTTGAAGGAATAGGGGTGCTTTGGGGGGTAACTAATTCATTCTTGTTAATAGTCTGGCGCCGGGCATCAATACCATGTAATTATTTAGTTGTCACATTCAGGTTCGCTGTGAACTATCTGCGCGATTCCAGACTCAGCCTTGGCCGAGATTCATGTTGGATCCAGTATCCACTTTCCAGACACTCGACAGAGTAACGTGGCTGGAGGTGGCCGGCTGACCTGCAAACGCCTACAAGCCAAGCTGCGAGACACGGCACATACAGCAAGCCCCTCTTTATTCGCGTCAAATGGGGCTCCCTACCTCTGAGTATCTCAAAGAGACTCGACTAAACATAGTTCGTTAACATGGCGCATCAATACCGCTACGAAGCCCTCTCACACGCCCGCCGCATCCGGCTCCTTTCCATTGGCAAAGACGCCTCCAAGCCGCACGGCCTACTTCTGTCGCTGAGCCAAGTGAAACTCGACGACGCGCCCGAATTCTCGGCCCTCTCTTACACATGGAAACTTCCAGGGTACGCGCCGGGGAAACCAGACGCCAGGTGCTTCTCATGGACAACATCTACAGCCAAGCGCAGAGGAGTGTTCTCGTCTGGCTCGGCGAGCCGGACCCCAAAAAAGAGGTCCTGTGGGTCCACGACACCTTCATCCCCGTGCTGGGCAGGCACGACAGCAAAAACGGAGCTAGAACTGGCGCTACATTCCAGCTGCTGGCGGCGGATCTCCTGTGCAGGTCCGCCAAGGCTGTCGAGCTGCTGGGCCAACACGTCTGCTCGCGCTGGACCGTCTCGTCGCTGGCCTTTGCCAACTTCCTCGAACAACACGGCTGGTTCTATCGCGGGTGGGCTATCCAAGAAGTGGCTCTTGGTCGCGCCGACGACATCATCCTGCTCTGCAGGGGCAAGGAGCTGAGCTGGCGGCGGCTCACGGCCATTTGCCACTTCTTGCAGCGCGCCGGGTTGGCCAGCTCGCCAAGGATCACATACCAGGCGAGTGTCGGCGTCTACGTTGTCGGCAGCAAGCCGATCGACAGAAAAGCGCCCATCGGGATCAAGATCCGCGCCATCGACGAAGCCCGCCGCATGATCGCGGCCGTCCCAACACAGCAGCATCCGGCGTCCGACTCCGCGAGATGGACCCACTGGTACCAATGTGCGAGCGATCTGATATCCAAGACTCAGTCAGCGCAGTTCGAGGACCACAGTGACTATATTTACAGATGCCTGAGGATGCTCTCGCAGATGCTCCCCGAGAGGTGTGCGAGCCCGATAGTCCCCGTGTAATAGGTGCCTCTGTGCTAGCTAGACAAAAGAGAAACCTGTGTGCCTAGGAGTCTAGTCAATTATGCATACTCACTGCTGTGGGCTTGTTACGTTAGTAGGGCACAAACCTTCTAGGCTATATTAAGCCTATTATAGATAGCTTCCTTATACTCATGGAGAGAGGGCAAGGGAGGCGTTGTAATCAGCCCGAAAGAGGGCATTCCGAATGAAATGAGGACATTCCGAGTCAAGAATGAAGGAAATAACAAAGAATGAAGGAAGCTCAGAGGCATGTCAGCCAAGGCCTGTCCAATTCCATGAAAAGTGGGTCAATTCCAGACGACAAAGCTCAAAAGCCTCTCCTCGCGAGATTCTTCCAGGGCGTCTCAAGGTGGGGCTCTGGCCGAGCTTCCATTGGTCAGTCGGGTGGATCCCTCTGGCTGGTCGGGTGGATGCACCCGGCTGGCGTCTGATTAGTCAGAGCGTCTGGGAGGTCTGGAGGACCAGGCCCTCACATCCGATACCTAATAGCCTTAATAAGGCTATAGTAGCTATAGGCTAGTAATAAGGCTAGCTTCGAGGCATAGAGAGGATAGATCAAAGACTATGTCTCCTTCTACGGCGACTAATTCCCGGCTATAACGGACGAGCTTATCTTTATAGCTAGACTACTGTTGTCACAGTCGTCACAGGGCTCATGTGACAGGATTGATTCTATTGGCTGCATTGTGGTTAGAGCGTGGTCTGTGCGCACTGCTTCACTTGCTCAGCACCACCACCTATTTCTCCGCGCCATACGCGGACCCTGCGATAGATTCCTTTCTCTTCCTTAGCTTTGAATCCACATTCGTTACTGCCTTCAACCTTTGACTTCCCTACCTTCGTAAGGCGGGCCGTCACAACTGTCACGGTCGTCACTGGACACATGACAGAATTGATTCTACTCAGTATTAGCTGCATTGTATTTAGAGTGTGGTCCATGCACGCGCCCACCGCGTGCCCTGCAACACTACCTAGAGTATTTCCCCGCGCCCTGCGCGGGGAAGTAGGTGGCCCTGGAAGACTGTCGAATACGAGGCTACGGGCCTCAGGAAGACCTGCCTCTGGCCTATATAAGGCCAGTCCTTTCCCTTAGATAGATTTCCTTCCTTCCTTCCTTAAGCAAGTTGCACGCCCTCCTGCTCCCGGTTTTGCCACTCGAGCCAGCAGAGGCAGCGAGAGGTGTTGCTGACCACGTCGCCGTCGTCTTCCCAGTCCCCGCTGCCGTCGCTGCCGTCGTCGTCTTCCTAGTCGTCCCCGCTGCCGCCGTCTTCCCGGTCGCCGTGGCCGCTAGACGACGGCTCGGGCGAGAGAGCAAAACGGACGAGCCCCCGCTTGCTCTTGGCGCGGTGCTGCCTGGGCTTCCGCACTGGCTTCCGCGCATCGCCGCCAAAGACGGAGTAGTAGAAGCGGCCCTCTTTCTGCACCAAGACTTTGATCTTGGGGGGAGGCACCAGCTGCAGCGGTGAACGACAGCGAAAGGAGGTGGGTGGTGGCCGAGTGGGCGGGCTGGCCAGGTCGGGAGGGGGCATGTCGACAATGTTTTGCGGAAGGCCCTGGGTGGGAGTGTTTGAAGCCACATGTACGTCCTCGACAATGTCTTGCGGACCAAGGCTCTCTTGCTTTGGCGGACTGCCCGGCACGGGAGGGGGCATGTCGACGCTAGAAAAACGAAACTAGCAGCATAGTCAACTTAATTAGAATCCAATACAGCTCACTAGCAAAATCGAGACAGTTCACTAGTAAAATCGAGACAGTTCACCAGCAACATAGTTTTCGCCAACCGCAATATTAGAATGCTCAATATAAGCAAAGACGACAAACCAGTAGTAGCGGTAATAAAAGCCAGTATCAAGGCATAGGAGAAGGAACTGAAAAAATACATCATACTGCTAAGACCCTTAACGAGGAGACCGAGGAAACACAGTCATATAGACAGGACAACTCCCAGCTCATTGTACGTATGGAGACGGCAGAGAAGCAAGTAGAGGACCTCGATCAGCAAGTGGAAAATCTCAAGAACCAAATATAGGAGTTCGGCAACCTCAAGCGATATATGGAGGAAGTCAATAAGCCCTAGAGAAAGTCACCTCCGAGGTGAAGAAGAAGAGGAAATTGGAAGAGATCGAGGATAAGAAAAGAGAATTGAGGAGAAAATTCAAGGAACTAGACGAGGAGGAATTAAGCATTAAATAGTTCGGGACAAGAGGACTATTAAGGACGAGGAGATCATTTTGGAACAATTCCTATAAACGGATACCTAGCAACAAGAAGCTCACGGGAATTATTGATCTCACAGAGGAAGATCTCATCAGGAAGCTATTACACAGCCTGCCTCCACGACTCGCTTACTCCTTCAGTTGCTCGATTGCTCCAATTGCCTTGTAGGTGAGGACGTAAGCTTCATCCTTCTCGTTGTATCGTAGACCCGTCTTGCGGACGTCCTTTTCCTCCAATCCGTTGAGGTTTCCGACATGCATTTCATGGTCTTGTAGCGAGCCAGTGTTGACCCGGGTGAACACGTTCAGGTCGCGTGTGTAGATCTTCTATCAGTATGCCTTGTTGTCGACCGTGTAGTCCACGATGCCGTCGCGCACTTTCTTGAACGTGTATGCTACCATGTTTTTTGTCATGTCTCCCTCCTTTTCGCCCTTGCCTTTGCTTCTGATCGAGCGCGCGATCGCGCCCTAAATCATGTTGCGCATGTGTACTGCGTCCACAGGGTCTGCTCGTCAAAGCTCATATTTATCTGAAACGCTGCACCATGATTTCCTTGCATGACGAGGTCGTTAATCGTTTTTGCTTGCTTGTTGATCACCTGGCGCTGCTCCTTCATTGCCTCCTTCTGTTCCTTCACCTCAGCCTTGAGTAATTCCATTACATCGTCGCGGAGTTAGAACGATGGCTTGTTGTCCGTGGCTTTCTCACTACCCTTCTTCTTTGCTTGGAACGGGATATCGCTGTCGTCGGTGTCCGAGTCAATGAGAAAATGCGTTTTCTTTGCCTTCTTAATCAATGGCTTTGTCGTTAATAACTCGTCTCCTGAGTTAAGCCTAAAGGCTTCCTTACCCCGCTTGGGGGTGCTGGCGAATCCCGCTAGGCTTGGAGTGACTCTGCCGGGATTCTTCTGGGGGGTTTACGGTATATCCTCCGTCTCCTTATTCTTTGATCCTATACGAGGGGCTGTGATCGACGATGCGTGCGTATTATTCACGACGATACCCCCAGTCCACTATGGGTCATATGCACGCTCGTTGTCGCTATCGATCATTGCGTCTAGTTTCGCGTCCACCAACGCTTCCTCGTATGACTCGCGTAATTTGCCGCCGCACAAGACGTACACGGCCTTGACTTGGTCGATCTTGGGCCAAGTAGTGTCGGCAACAGCAGTGACTGCCGCATTGAACGATGGATAGGCGTTGACTATCTTGACGAGCTCATCGAGTCGCTGCTTTGTCATGCGCCAGGCTTCGTGCGAGCTGGGTTGGTTGGTCTTAGGGTCGTTTCGCTTCAGTGCTGCGACGACTAAGTTAACTTCGCGCTGGGCCCAATCTTGCTTTTTCTACTTCTGGTATCGCTCGATTGCCTCCTTCATTCTTGGTGCCGTAGATTTGGCCATCGTGTGATCGAGAGCTGGTATAATGCGATGGGTGGCTTTGGGGTAATCGGTTATGCAGAAATTTGCGTGCAATAGTGGTTTCGGTTTCTCGTGCTTGCGCGATGGAAGTACGGCCTCGATATTTGGTTTGGGGTGAGTTTCAAAGGGCTGGGTGCGTTTTTGGTGCGACGCGTTGTTTCTGCCTGATGTATTGGGTTTCTCATCTCATATTCGTACACCAGATCGCTGGCATGCTCGAGCAACGCCTTGCGCGGGTACCATTGATTGTGCTTATCTGCCCAGTCCTTCCATTTGATAAGGCACTCTAGTTTCAGCTGTCCTCCATGCCGTGTCGTTCTGCCAATGAGCGGTCATGTTCGTGACTGCAGTTGTCAGGTTCTGAACAATGTCCTATGCGCCGGTGTTCCAGAAGTTCTGCATGGTTTGAGCGACTGCCATCGACACGATCTGCGCCAGCATGGCTGCGTCTTGGTTGCCCGTATTGGCAGGGTTCGGGCCAGGTTGACCAGCATTCAATGGTAGGTTGCCGAAGGCGTTGTGGGTATTGGGTAGTTCATTGAACGATCCACGGCCCGCTAATCCTCGGCCTTGTCCCAATTGATTAGTGCCTCGTCCTTGTCCGGGAAGTTCATTTATCTGCGTGTTCGGCCACTCCCTTGTCCGGGGGGGAAGGTGGTGGTGCATTCATGACGGAGGCTAGGCCTGCTTGTGTTATGATGGGGCTGGGGCCTGCTTGTGTTATGATGGGGCTAAGTGTCAGTGTTGTTGTACGATCAAAGAGTGTTGGCAATTGGAGGTTTATTTGAGGGATCTGCTGAGCTCGATCTAGCTGACTAGTAGGCAGTGCTAGTTGGACTTGCGTATTTGGAGTGGTTCGATTGATCTGAGAAACGGCAGTGCTTTGTGTTACTGGGAGAATTTTGTTAGATTGAAGAATAGCTGATGGTTTCGTAGATAGTCCGAATCGTTTAGTAAGGCTTGGTTTGGTTGAGTAGCTTATGTGATGTGGTGATGGCGTCCACGCTCCAGGGGCGGTTGATAGGGACAACGCTGGATCAATAGACGGAATGTCGGCTGATAGCCCGAGTTGTAATGCCAGTCGTGCGAGTGAGCTTGCTATTATCTGAGCTGCGCCTGCCAAAGCCTCTGCCCAGGTCTTGGATGGAGATTCCTGGGGTGACTTTGCCGTTGAGTAGGCCGGAGAGGTTAGGCCTGATGAGAAGTCTTCCAATAGGTCGGGGCTGGTTGTGCGTTTAGGGCTCTTGCTCGCTGTGAACAAAGTTGTACGTAACCGATGTACGTCAAGGTTTTTTAGGCTGCGCGTCCGATTGCTTGCCCCTGCCTGGCCAGGGTTCAGAACAAAGTTTGCACTTGCCGTCTGATCATCTGATCCTAGAGCTGGCTTAATTTTAAGACTTCAGGGTCAGTGCGGGGAAGTCTAACAACTGGCGTTGCTATATGATCGTCGTCCTCAATGAGTAGATCCCGTGAGATCAGCTCTAGTTGACGAACTAATTCTGATCGTGCGATTAGATCAGGTGATGAGCTACCTTCTCTGACCATGGTGAGCTTGTTCAGGCCTTTTTGGAAGGTGGTAAAAATATCCTTTGGTATGTGTATCCAAGACCCAGTTTTCTGGGTATGGAGGCCACATTTAGCCCACTGCAGATAGCTTCCTCCCTTTAGCAGAAATCATCTTCTTTTCTTATTTACTTTCCGATGCCCGATGGCCTTAACAGGGCTGTAGTAGCTGTAGGCTACCCCAGCACACCCTGACTGCGAAAGACGGTCGAGGAAGTTTTTACGTCGGTAGCGGCAATGCTCTTGACCGAACTGCCCAGCTTGGCCGAGCTGTCGAGGGTCGAGAATCGGACGTATCGCCGCCACACCTCTCTCCCGTCCTGGTTCGCCGACTAGGTTTTAGTTCAACATGGGTAGAAAAAAAGGAAAATGGGTAGAAAAACCCTAACCCTCAAAAAGCTCAACTTGGGTAAAATCGTTCTACCCATGTTCGACCTTTCGCATGCGCTTAGTAGATGCTAACCTACGTAAAAAAATCTAATTCCGTAACAAAAAATCAAACCTAAAAAAATAGAACGGAGCGTAGGATATGCTGAGTAATGATACAGTTGGTAGTAAATAATATAATTTATATCCGAGGAAGAGGTGTGCGTATGTAGAGTAAATGCTGCATATATGCTGAGATGGTTGTACTTTAATTCGCTAAAAGCGTGGTTTTAAATGACCCCGTTATTATAAACCACTCGACTGTTAGGGTCGTCTGTCTGTAAGAGAGCAGGGGCTTCACAGAGAGGGTTGCTGAGTTGGTAATAATGAAGACTGAACAAAGGGCAAGCTACTTGTAAGGAAAGAGCCCTAACCCACACACACGACCAACTCACATGCGTACCGAGCGGGCCAAGACCTCACTCCTTCATTATGACTTCTCGCCCGCTAGCCCTGCACTATGTCATGTATATAAGCAGTGGCCCTCGCCCCTTCGCCTTGACCGACTTAAGACGCTAAATAAACAGCAATGCCACTTTTCTAATTATCGTCCTAAGAGCTCGAGGACATGATTTCCAACGAATAATAACTATATAGGGAAACACTATAACACAATGACTCCCATAATCCTGGTTCCCGAGTGAATATGCCTACCTTGTGTCGTGACTAGGATCAACCAGGTCAGTCCGTGTCAACTCATTACAACTCGTCGTGCACCACCTCCCCAGGCCGCGACCCGTCCCACGGCTCAACAGCGCCGCCCACCACCTCACCCAAGAACTTCTCTAGCGCCGCAGCCGACAGCTCTCTTCCCCTCGGATACGGAAACAGCTGGCCTGTCCCAAGGTTTTCCACGGACACGCCCGGCAGCACCCCACCCGACAAACCCGCCAAGGCCGGCATGGCCGGGTTTTGCGCAGTATCGATAATAGTAAACAACAACTCGTCAGCATACTTCTTCGCGAGCGCGCGCACCTGCGTCCTGTACGCATCCCTGTCCGCGTCGGAGGCCGCGAAGAAGTGCACGACGATGCCCTTAGCTGCACGCGCCGCCGCCGCCGCCAGCTCGGCAACCTCTTTGCGGCTGCCGGGCTCGAGGATCAGTGGGGCTGTGCACTGCGTGACCAGCTCGTCGAGCGCGCCCGCTACCCACAGCTCGGTCAGGGTGTAGCTCTCGCTGTCGACGTTGTTGCGGCAGCGGACTGCTGACGGCTGCTGTTGCTGTGATACGGGCAGGAGCAGACCGAACGAGAACTGGTCGTGGTACTCGCTGGCTAGGCTGCGGTAGTGCGCTTCGTACAGCCCGGCTTCAGAGGGCGCAAACACGGCCGTGAAGACGATGTCGTCTGAGGACGTGAACTCGGCCAGGGTCGCGGGGTTGAGTTCGGCGATTACGGGGCGCGAGGCGCGGCGGAGGAATGCGAGGATCCTGGGGGCGTGTGATTAGGTGCTAGATATCGTGCTAGATATCGCATTCCTGCCAGACGGAGGAGACTCACGGTGCAGATTTCCGTGGTCCTCTGTACCGGTCCATCCGGCCATCGCCGTGGTACAGGCGGACGGCCGGGTAGGCCACTACATCCAGCTGGATGCAGGCGGATACATGGGCAGCGCAGTCAACGCTCATCACCTCGGTGTCGTCTGCAGCGGCTCCGACCACAGCCCAATCCGCTTCGAGGGCTTGGCTATCTTTTCTACCTTGGGTCAGCTCACACGTCTCGTGGTGAGGCCAGGATGCGAGAAAGAATTACTGGACCGGCTAGGGCGTCACGAGTTAGCTTGATAGGCATCATATGTAGGTCGACAACTGAGCTCACTAGCACAACTGATGTAATGAAGCACGAATTAGCCTTACTACCAAGACTTGATTGGAAGAGAATCAATGCTCACAGGCGATTAGCAGCGCTTGCGCACGCTTTTCCAGCGCCTCGTCGAGCTCTGCCGGGCTCGCATGCTGCCAGGCACGCACCTGCGATGATGTCAACAGCAGCAGCAGCAATATCGAGAGCGCCTGCAAGGAAGCTCGGGTTTCCATTGCCTCGAAGGTCTTGATTTTTGCAAAAGTACCGCCTAGGTGGGAGGGTGTGGTGCCGCCCAGACGAATATAATCAACAGTGCATGAGCCGGCTAATTCAGTTGCTCGTCCATTCATTGTTCATTCATGGAAGACGCCACGTCTCGGAGCTTCCAGCATGAAACACTCACCCATCGGAACACACCGGAACACATCTTCCCCTCTCCATTCAATTTGTAATTACACCACACATTGCCCCGACCTCGGTAGTATAGTGTGGGCAACTGACTCGCTGGAAATGATCCTATCCCTGCTTATCGCGACGGCCGCCGTGCTCGCCTCGGCGGCCGACGCCAGCACCACCGACGCCAGCACCACCGACGCTAGCACCGCCGCCGCCGAGTGCACACACCCGCCATACCGGGTCTACAAAGTGTCGTCGTCGCCACTGATCCTGTACCTAGAAGGCTTCCTGACACCCGGCGAGCAGACGCATTTACTCAACGCAACAGCATCCCGCTTCCGGCGGTCCGTCGTCGCGGGCTCCGATGGCGCCGCGCAGCAGTCCACTATCCGCACGTCGCAGTCGACGGACCTCGACCACCACGCCGACAACGTGGCCGCGTGCATCGCACGGCGGGCGCTCGACCTGCAGGGCTTCGATGCGCGCGACGCCCAGCTCGAGCCGCTGCAGCTGGTGCGGTACGCGGCCGGCGAGGAGTACGACGTGCACACGGACTGGCTGGCCGACGGCGCGTATGCGACAGCGCCCAACGGCGGCAACCGGGCGACGAGCTTTTTCGTCTACGTGCACGTGGCGGCGGGGACGACGGGTGGCGGCACCAACTTCCCGCTTGTGGTCGCGCCGCGCGACGGGCGGTGGTGCGCGCGCGGGTTCGTCGAGTGCGACGCGCCGTACGCCAGCGGGCTGACGTTCCGGCCGGTCGCGGGCAACGCCGTGTTCTGGGAGAACCTGGCTGGGGGTGGTGGTGAGGGAGACGCGAGGACCGAGCACGCCGGGCTGCCGCTGACTAGTGGCGACAAGGTCGGCATGAACATCTGGACCAGGCAGCTGCCGCTGAGCCAAGAGGCGCGGAGGCGCGACGTGCCGCTGGACTTTTAGCCGAGCGCCCAATCGAACGGCGCCAGGCGCGGATCTGCTGGTCGTGGGTAGATTGTTCATGCGTCTGCCGGATGATGGTGGGTTATGTATTTCTTGGCAGAGCACGGCGGGGAGGCAGGCCAGGTCTTGGACTCTGGCCTGGGCGGGCTCGGTCTCGGAGAGCTGCCGAGTAGAGTGGCTTGGCACTTGGAGGGGAGCTATGGATAATCTGGAGCAATGTCAGCCTCTCGTGCGATTGGCAAGCGCGAGCAAAATTGTTGGTGGTGTAATTTTGGGAGCGTCTAAGCGAGGCAGCCTGTCCGCTCACGCTGGTGGCAATGGGAGAAGACGGAATCCATAACTAGGTCCCCGCCGCTCCTGTGCCAAGTGCAGATCTCTTGGAGACTCCATAGCCAAGGAAGCTTGTTCCGCGACACCATCCACCGGCTTCGACGACGTAAACAGGTCGCGCGTGAATCATGGCTCGGCTTTCTGTCTTGACGGCACAGCTGCTCGCAGCCTGGGGCAGCACCATGTTGGTGCTTCCTCTGGCTGCCGCGCAGTGCTCGGGCGTGTCCAAGACCAGCAACCAGAAGCTGGCCTCGGGATACACGTCGAGTGTCTTGGTTACGGGTCTGCGCACGCCGCGCGGCATCGCCATGGACCCGGCGGGCAACCTCCTGGTCGCCGAGCAGCAGGGCGGCACCGTGCGGCGGCTGACCCTTAAGGACCAGGGCAGCACCGTCTGCGTCGACACCAACAAGGTCCTGATCTCGGAAAGCACCGTGAGTTCCGCTCCAAAACCGGACGACTCTCCTTCTGTGGCTGACGGGGCGAACAGAGCAACCACGGCGTGGCCGTCGCGGCCGACGGCAAGACCATCTTCGTGTCCAACCTGCAGAAGGTGACGGCGTACCCGTACGACGCCGCCGCCGGCACGGTAGGGACGGGCAAGACGGTCATCACCAACATGCAGAACAACGGGCCGCACCCGACGCGGGCGCTGATGACGTCCAAGTTCAGCCCGGACACGCTGCTCGTGGCCATCGGGTCGGCGGCCAACGTGGACACGGCGGCGACGGCGCAGACGGCCGGGCGCAGCATGATCAAGGCGTTCAGCATCAGCAAGATCAGCGCCGCGTCGGTGGCGTACGCGACCGGCGGCGAGGTGCTGGGCTGGGGACTGCGCAACATCGTCGGCATGGGCGAGCACCCCGTCAGCGGCGGCGTGTGGTCGGTCGAGAACTCCATGGACGACATCCGGCTCGGCGGCAAGGACGTGCACAACGAGAACCCGGCCGAGAAGGCCAACTTCCACGGCGCGCTCAACGACACGGCCAACAAGCTGCGCGGCGCCAATTACGGCTACCCGGGGTGCGTGGCGGCGTGGGACACGGGCTTGCTCGGCCAGAGCGCGCTGGCCGTCGGCAGCCTGTTCTCGCCCGACGGCGTGCCCAAGGCCAGCGACTGCGCGACGCGCCAGCAGGCCCGCATCCACTTCCCGTCGCACACGGCGCCGCTCGACATCAAGTGGACGCCCGACGGGGCCGCGGCGTACGTCAGCTTCCACGGCTCGTGGGACCGCAGCCCGCCCGACGGCTACCGCGTCATGAAGGTCGCCTTTGGGCCCGACGGCCAGCCCGTCGCGCCGCTCACCAGCCGCTCCGCCGCCACCACCGTCATGGAGAACCCCAGCACCGGCTCGTGCCCCAACGGCTGCTTCCGCCCCGTCGGCCTGGCGTTCGATGCCAAGCGCCGCCTGTTTGTGTCGAGCGACAGTACGGGCGAGATCCACGTTATTTACGGCGCCTAGGGGGTGTGTCTTTGGTCTTGGGAAGTGGTGTGTCTTTGGTCCTGCGAAGGGTTGTGTCTTTGGTCCTGCGAAGGGGTGTGTCTTTGGTCTTGGGAAAGGGACTGTGCAGAGCACGAACTTGTTGGATTGGTGGTTTCACTCTCTTCGTAGTGTCGCGTTGCAGCTCTCAGAAGCTAAATCGTGCGCAAAGCAGCAAGAATGGGGAGTGTTCGCAGTGTGCATATTGATGATTGATGCGAGGAAGAAGAAAAGCCTTCATGTGCCCGGTCAAAGACTGCCAAGTAATTAAGCCAGGTGAACAATGACTTACCTCTAATATGCAAGATCCTCTGCACTTCTTCCTTCCTCCTTCAACACCAACACATCACTCTTGTGAATTACGACGTGCGTAACAGGGGCCTCTGTCGACCCTGTGGAAAAGGCGGTCTGATCGAGGTCGCCATTGCAGGTCCTGCCTGGGACCATATCTGAATAGTGTCAAATAAACAAACCTGACAGCAAGAAGCTGAATATTGCAGCTGCAACTATGCAATACGAGGGGAGGCGGTCTGACAGCAAGCGCTTTGGTCGAGACAGGGACAGCATTGGCTATGCCGAAATTCTAGTCCCTGTGGCGTTCTCCACGTGGCGACCAAGCTTTTTAGCAGACAATGGTTTGCGGCGGTCCCAGGCTATCGGGATGGCCGGGTGGGATTTTTTGACTTCTTGGGGACTGCTTTGTGCGGAGAAAGGTGCCGAAGCGCCGGAACATCGAACCATGGGCGGTGGCTGTGCTTGCCCCGACCTATTGATTGGGCTTAAACCCCATTGGACGTATGGTGCCACGGTGCCCAATGCCCAGCACAGCCCGTCAGCAAGCCACATTTGAATCCCCAGCACTTGATTACTGGATAGGTCCTAGCGCGCTGCATGGAACTGAACACAGCACGAGAAGCTATCGTATTTACGTAATTTTCCCATGCGGAAGGGAAAAGGGGAAGGGCCGCTCGCAATGACCTCCTAGGAGGCGGCTGAGTTGATGCACGACGCACGGCGCACGGCGCACGGCGCACGACGCACGACGCATTCAGCTTGAATATTCAGCTTGCAAGCCTCAACTAGTCTATGAGTCCAAGACAAACCTCCTGACCATATTTTGGGCCTCGACAAACATAAATAGAGACCATCATGGTATTCTCGACGGATGGAAACAGTCCTCGTCACTCACATCTCGACGATTCGACCTCGGTCCCTTGGAACTGCCAATAACACACTTCAAATTACAATTACCTGCAACCCGCGCTACCATGCACCTCGTCCAGTTCATGGCCTTTGGCCTGTCTCTCGTCGCCGCTTCTCCAGTTGTACCGAAAGTGAAAGTAATCGATGAATGCAAGGCTGTTGACATTGTCGTCGACGTTCTCAAGCTGAACAAGGCGACACCATTCTGTTCGAGCTTCTTGAGCGTCAAGACCTCGACGGCCACCGCCTACGCAACGGTGACCAGCACGTCTACCCAGCAGGTACAGGGGCCTACAATCACCTCAACGGATTATCTAGCTCCAGTGTAGGTACAACAAGACAAGCAAGTAGCCAGCCCGAGGCAAGTCCCGGCACTAACAAACATGGACAGCACGGCAACCAGTGTCGCCGCACAGCTCGTCACAGAGACCACCACCGTCACGGGCCAAGCTGTGTCGACCATCAGCGGCGTCACGACCACGACCTCGACGGCCTGGACCACGACAACAGTCTACTACAGTCTCGGCGTCAACGGCCGCAAGCGCTCTCCGGATGCCGACATCAGCGCCCTGCCCATCGCCCCGCGCGGAGCACCCAAGCTGCCGCCCTTCGTCGCAGCATTCGCCTCCTCGGCCATCTCTAAGGCCTGCAGCTGCCTGTCCATCCCCACACCCATCACCACCGTTACCCTCGGCACCACCGCAACGGCCATCGCAACGGCGACTGGCGCCCCCGTCACCGTCGCCGTGTCCCTCGGCACCACCACGACCCTGCACTCGACCTCGATCGCCACGTCCACCGCGACAGCCCACACGACCACCACGGTTCTGACGACGCAATACTCGACCGCCAGCGCCGTGGTGACGTCGACGGCCACCGTGTCGCGCCTGGCCGTCTGCTCGCCCGGCCCCAACGCGCTCTACAACAAGCCGCTCGGCTACCCGTCGCGCCTCGACCTCGACAGCAGCCAGCACCCCACCGACCTGCCCGACGCCCAGACCTGCTGCGAGTCGTGCTACGCGCGCCAGAACTGCGTCGCCGCGTCGTTCCTGGCGTCGCAGGGCACCTGCTTCTTCGCCATCGCGGTCAGCAGCGCCGGGACCAGCCCCGCGCCGCCCCAGCTCGGAGATCGCTGCCCGCTCGGCGTTGGCGGCAACGGTGTCACTTCCCCGGGCCAGGGCGGCTCGTGGTTTCCCGGCCCCTGTGTCGTCTAGATGCCTTGGGAAGTGTCGGCTGGGTAGGATGGGTGGTGGGTTTGGGTAAAATTAGACTAGACTTCTAGACGCAAGTTGGTATAATTAGGGGATGAAGATTTGTAATTTAGCGCAAAGATGGATAGATTGATAAGTAATCGCACCTCATTAACATTTTAGTCGAATTACTCTGTAACAATCAGCTCAGGTGCTTCGTTAATCCTTGAAAAAGTTAACTTTCTTTTCGCTTTCCTTTAGAGCCTTTAGAGATTGGGCGGCTTCTACGGAGTACCTATTTTCGCTTGAGGAATACTTGTGGCGGCCAGTGTGAGGCCGATCGATTAGAGTGGTGATGTTATTTGCGTTGTTGAGTCTATAGCCGGCGCGGTTAACTAGGTTGTACTGCTGCCTGGCCGTGGCGTTGAAGGAGAAAATATACACATAGGGGGCTGCATCAAAAAGTACCGATTTTACCGCTAAAAGGGCTGTCAGTTGACAGCAGCTGCCATACCGTGCACATCGCTGCGCTGGCTGCTCAGGTGCTATGGTAGGATGGGTGGTAGACATGGCTTTTAGAAAGCTACCGATGCTAACGAAGAATGCAGTGAGTCCGATCGGGTGGATCACTCCACGCCAGACTCCAGTTAGGCGTCGCTTGATCTGCTTACACAAGATATCAGCGACGGCTCTGCCGAGAGAGAACAGCGCCAGGGAGGCGGCGGCGGTCTCGCTGAAAGCTGGATCATTCTACCCCACAGCTATACACCTGCTTGATCGAGCCCCCCCGGACCCGGAGGCGTCGCATCAAATCGAGCCCTCATTCGAGAACACGGTCATCACTGTGGCACTGAACCACAACATGACGCTCTGGCTGCTCTGCTACTACGTCTGCAAGATTAGCCTGCTGTGCTAGGACCAGGAGCTGTGCAACCCCCAAGACTCGCCGGTCCCGAAGCGGCCGGTCCCGGCGCCCTTCTTCCGGGGCGAGGACAGGCTACGGATCGACCGCATGTGCTACGTCGTGCTCGTCGACGGTAACACCGCCGAGCGACACTAGACAGCCATCGGCGCAGACCTCTCTAAGACGGCCGAGCGGTTCTACCCCGTGCTGCACGAGAACGCCTACTAGGTCACGTTCGCCGCCGGCGTCGACGCGTAGGCCATCATCGAGTCGCGCGTGCTGCTCGACGTGGGTGTCTTATTCGTCGAACACGCCCAGATGGACTCGTGGCAGGCAGAGAGAACCTACGGCACGTCGCGCGCCGGATCACATCTGCTAGACCGGACCCAGGCTCCGCCCAACTACCGAGACGACGGCCACCAGGTGCCATTAGATGACGGTATGGAGTAGAATGCCATGCTCACGGCCGGCTGCTTCAAGCTTGGCCTTGTTATTCGAAATGATGGTGAACAACGCATTCGAGCTGGTTAGGGAATTGTGTCGTGGGGTGAAGTTCCTTCTTCTCCTTCTCGCCCCGTTTTCACAAAGAGAATAAAAAAAACAATGATAAAAGGGGTAGGTTTCGGTGCGCATTCTTGGCCTGAATTTTACCTAATTACATGCGCGGCCGTGGCTGCTGCCGCCGATTTGGTCAGAGCACCACATCCATCGTTCCATCATCGTTGAGATATTTCTCATTGCCGTACCGCTCGGCGAGTTTGCTTAAACACCGAGGTCAGTTTCAATTACAGTCGTCATTATAAACAGCTGAAGAAGCAGGAGCTATACCAAAACTCGATGCACGCGGTGGCAACGGTGCGTAGGCCGTCGAGGTATCTCAGCAGCTCCTTGCGGGCCCACCGCTGCTGGCCCGCGTCGCCGGCCGTCTTCTTGCACATGCTGTCGGCCGCACGGTCGAAGGCGTCGCGAGAGCCTTGCAGCCGGGCCACCAGCACGCGGATCGCGCTGTCGAGCGGCTGGCCCTGGCTGTACAGGACGGGGATGGCGTTGTGCACGCACCCGGCCGCCAGCTCCTTCTTTGCCGACAGGATGTCGTTCTCGCTGCGAGGTCCCGTGGGTTAGTTGGCTGCTGATTGGTAATTTACTGAGTTAGGTAGGGGAAAGAGAAGGACGGACTGACACGAGAACGAGCACCGTCAGGTCGTCCCACAGCGCCTGCATCTCGGCCGACTTCATCATCCGGACTGGTACCCTCACGTCCTGGCCGAGTCTGGCGTTCACGGTCAGCACTTGTGACACTGCTGGTGTCGATTCAGTTCCTCATTTACTCACTGGACGAGGAGGCCGCAGCAGCGAATGCCGGATGTGTGATGTCGAACGCGCAGGTAGCTCTCTAGGCTGTCGGGCATTTCCCCCGTCATGCGCTCGCGCTGTTCAGTGGTGCAATGGTCGAGGTAGCTCTCGATTTCCCTGTGGAGCAGCTCGCGGAAGGCTGTGAGGGGGGCCACATTGCGTCAGTCGACAAGATCATCAATATCCCAAGAGCCCTAGTCAGAGCCACAGCGGCCACTACCGATTAAATTACCCACCCAAGCGAGGGAATCAGGCATGGAATCAAACCTTTGCTGGTGGTCAGCTGGACCCTCTCGGCAAACTCGAGGAAGACGCTGTTCGGCAGGCTCGGGCACGGAGGGTTCCACTTCTTCACGGCCGGCTGGAACCATGACAGGAGCCTCGAGGCGGCGCCGCCGCTCGGCTGTGGCGGTGACACGGGATCTAGCCCCAGACAGCACCGCGTGTAGTCGAGGACCTGCTTGCGGTACTCGCAAGACGCGGAAAAGTCTTGGGAGACGGCGCCGGCTCGGTCGTCCATGGCGTCGTCGCAGTGGAAGATCCAGAAGGAGAAGAGCCCGCACGTGTAGAAGTCGTCCCAGGCGGCGTCGGGGAACCAGCTGTTAAGTGTTAACCAACGAGAGGGCCAGTTTGACCAACGAGAGGGTCAGTTTGACCAACGAAGAGGGTCAGTTTGCTGTGCAAGCGAGCACGCACGGGTGCTTTGGAGAGGCTTCGGGGTGGTTCGTACATGGATGTCAACAAAGCAAAGTCGCTCTTCAGCGCCAGCTCCCGCGCCACCTCGTCGGGAAAGACGCTGTGGGAGAGAGAACATGTCGTCAGCGTCTCGTCGTCTCACGCAAGCAAGCAAAACCGCCAGCATGGAATGTCAGTATTAGTCAACCTTTGAACAATCTCGTCGAGCCTTGCCTTCAGGCGCTTGTAGTACTTGTTGCGGCCGCCGCTCGGCCAGCTTTTTGGGAATAGCGACAGCATGTCCGGGACGTGCATGACCTGCCCTTCGAGCTTGGCGATCAGCGCGGCATGCGGCTCGCCATGGGGCTGCGGCTCGCCATCGGGCTGCGGCTCGCCATCGGGCGGCGGCAACACCCCGTCATCTGGGCCATGGTGCGAGAGATCAGGCTCTGTGGAGGCCATGGGTGGTTCGGTTTCTCTTCAGGTGTCGGGCGGGAAGGTTGATGTGCTGTGATAACTGACCACAAGAAGTTGGGAATAAATCCTGCTTTTTAATGAGCGACTCGGCTTGAACGAACCGCCGAGTTGTCGTGCTCGTCGGAACAAAACCAAGAATCACCATCCGAGCACTTTTCGTATTTCGGACACACTGCCAAACTCGCCACTTTGTGATTTGTGACAGATAGAAAATGGTCCTACCGGAAACGCCGAAGATGTGCCCGCACTCTGTGACACCCGAGCACCAGAGTAGCGTGCAGGGAGATAGGCCCAGAGCGGTCAATGAAGAACATGACTGGACGGCACTTGTCTCTTACTCGCTAGCATTTATTTGGACCCCCTTCCCCCCCCCCTTTATGATAATGGGAGGCTCAGCTACCTACCTCTTGCCACGCCCGACGAGGACAGCTGACTGTCTCGAACCAATGCAGAACGAGAACTAACCAGCAAGTGGCCACTCCCAAATGACAGAAGTTGTGACGGCGGGGCTCAGCACCTACTACCGCTGCACCACACCTTCCAAACGGATGCCAGAATTGCAAGCTGCCAAGCTGCAATCTGTAGTAGTAGGTTATAGTATGGTCATGCACCCGTAGGCCTGCTCACAGCGCCTACGGTACCGTGCCGTGACAGAAGTACCCAAGACGAATCAAACCAATTTCGGCCCGATTGTGATTTTCTCGTGCTGAGCACTCCCTGCATTGATCCTCTTTAATTACAAGAGCATTTCTTGCACTTTTCCCAACCACGAGGCCCTGCTCACAAACACCTACACGCTCCCATAAGCTCGCAGTCACACCGACAGACCGGGAATTGGCTGTGTGGCTACCCACGGCCAGCATTAAGACCATGTTACCTTTTGTGGATGCTGTACGAGAAGCTGCTGCCGGACGCCCGCCTGGCGGTACGTCGTCTTCTTCGAATAGCGATTCCGTGCGGCTGGATTTACCCCCGGACGACAAGATGTCGGCACGACAAGGTGGTATCACGGCCTGGTGGGGGTCTCTATCGCTTAACTTTCATTTAACATGGCATGACTGATGACGTACTTGTCGAGTTTTTGTTAGGGCTCTCGGATTATCTGGCCCTTGCAGTCAAGCCCCATTTTCCCCTACTGACACACGAGAACAGGAACAGATTAAGTCATATGGCGCTAGATAAAGTTAGTAAATAGGTAATAGTTAGCAATCAAAATCCAAACCCGTCTATCTAAAACGTAAAAACAAGTAACTAATACCAAACCGAACATGTTACCAGGAAGAGAAAGTCTAAAGTCTTCGGCATATAACTCTGCCACAACCTACCAAAACTATTAGACCTGATCATAACACTTATGTTGCAGGCGGTCGAAGTTCACAGCGAATTGGACTGTCTGGCCAAAATAGGTCTAAAAGTACAGAAAAGAAGGCTTCCTTATACTCGTTGAGAGGGGGTAAGGGAAGCGTGGTAATCAGCCCGAAAGAGGGCATTCCGAATGAAATGAGGGCATTCCGAGCCAAGAATGAAGGAAATAACAAAGAATGAAGGAAGTTCAGAGGCATGTCAACCAATTCCATGAAAAATTGGTCAATTCCAGGCGACAACTTACTATCACAGTCCCCCTACTATAGAAAGTATCTACAAAAAATGTGCTACCTCGTAGTGTTTTACCGGTCTGGCACCAGTGCCAAGCTCTTGTGCGCGTTGCACGGAGCATTGAGACCTCTGAATTACGGCGATTTCTGGGAATAGAGGATATGACATCAGAAACGAAATTATATCATATACTGTGCCACTATCAGGGCTCTAGATGTATTCTCATGTCTCTTCAATTCCTAGCAGGCTCTGTACAATACGGTTTTTGTCGTACTGTGGACAGTCTTCCCCTAATGAGACTAAATTTTCTGTTTCGGGCCCTGCGCCATGCCGTCCTCGTGAATCTTCAAGATGAACTGCGGTTTCACGGCGACGGCGTCCCACAGCGACCCGCGGCCTTGAGCCCGGGCCTTTTCGTCCTCGCGACGGAAGAACTCCTCGGCACTGCGGATGCGCGCCGGGTGAATCTCGTCCAGCAGCGCATAGTCCCTGCGGACGACGCCCTTGTTGCCGCCCGAGGCCTGCCACAGCCGCCAGAAGCCCGAGAAGTTGTTGCGGATGGTCATGGCGGCCGGGCTGGCGGGGTCGGCCGTGTAGCCCGTCTGCAGCGGCGCGGCCTTGCTCCAGTACGGGCCCTGCCAGTACTCGTCGAGGCTGACGTCGACGAAGCGCGCCTTGCGGCCCGTGACCTTGGCAAAGGCGGCCGCCAGCTCCGCGTAGCCGATGTGGTCGATGGCCACGGCCAGGTCCATGCCGTCGGCGCCGCTGGGGTTGTCAAACAGCCACCGCGCGTACGCCGCGCAGTCGTCGAGCGCCACGTGCGGCACCGCCCCGCCCGCCGTCAGCGGCACCCGCCACGTCACCACCTCGTCGCCGTCGTCGTCGCGCTCGACACTCGGTGCCATGGGCGTGTGCGGCGACAGCACCATCTCGATGTACGGGCCGGTGGTGAAGACGGCGGCCTTCATGCCGCCGCTGTTGCCATCCTTCTTGGCCGCCGCGCGCTGCAGCTGGATCCACTCGCCCATGCGGCCCTTGCCGTCGTAGTGGCCGCAGCGGTAGCGGGCGTCGTAGCCGCCGAGCTTGTGGCCGTAGTCGAGGTTGCCGTGCACGTACATGGCGACGCCGCTCTCGGCGGCAATCTCAAAGCACCGCGCCGTCCAGAACATCTCCATGGCCTCGCCCGTGGCGAAGCCGTCGACGTTGACGAACGCGCCCCAGCACCCCGCGAACCCCGCCCGCAGGTCCGCTTCCGACGTGAACGAGCCCGCCAGCAGCTCCACGTTGGGGCCCAGCGTGACGAGCTCCTTTGCCCGCCGCGACGTCGGGTCGCGTGTCAGGACTCGCACCGCGTACTTGCCGTCGGCGGCGAGCCCGCGCACCACCGGCAGGCCCTGGGCGCCGGTGCCGCCGACGACGAAGATTTTCAGGGGGTGGGCCATGTTGGCTGTTTGTGCGTGTCTTTTGGGGGTTAAGAGTCAGGCAGGTCTGTGGAAAAGGGCATAGAGACAAGAGGACCATGTCGGGTTGTTGTTTCTTCTTTGGTTTTCACGGGATGCTCGACGCCTTTTATACCGTCACCACGGCACAGAACAGCACAGCACGTACGTACCTAACTAACATCCGGCGAACCCACCAGACATACAGAGACGGAGATCCAAGCACATGCCGATGACAAATTGAATTTCCCGAGTACGTTGTTCAATGTTGACATGTTCAGGGCGCAGCCGCGCAAATGTTCACTAATCAAGGGAGTTGGCGGTGGTGCGTGTAACTAGCGATCACTAATCACGAAAATGGGCTTTGTGCGGCTGGTGTCACTGCCGTCTCCGAGCTTCGGGGACTACCAAGACAAGGAGCAGCACGAATCTCGGCCCACTGTGGGTTCGGCTGCCTTACTATCCGATATAGGTTTCGTCTTATGCTTCGAGCCCACTGTGCCAAGACATCTCATCAGGCGCTGGGGGTCGGGACCCGACATCTTCCTGGCACGTCATCGTTCCTACCCACCTGACTGACTGGGCTGGGCATGTGCTAGGCTGTTTCCCCGCCAAGGAGTTTGTGCCCACATATTTTATACGATTAGCTCCCTCCACTCCCTGTTTAGTTCTACACGCAACAAGCAAAGCACTTTCTTTTCCATTGTCTGCTGCCATCGTTCCGAAACCTCTTTCGCTTCCACTTCTACAACCATTCTTTGCATTCCAGAGCAAGCATTCCCAGCTGATAGTCAATCCAGCGATTAGACGTGGTGAGCCAATAAGGAAATCGCCTACAACGAAATCTCTGCCCCTGTCGTATAATTTCCTACCCTACAACTTCAAAGCACCACAACTTCATCAAATTGCTTCAAAACAGGCCATGTCGGACCGTCGCGAGCAGATCATTGAAGCTGCAATATTTGCTGTTGAGCAGGGCGCTTCGCAGAAGGACGCCGCCAAGTTACATGGCATCTCTGCCTCCACCCTCTGCCTCCGCATCCATGGCGTAGAAAATCGAGCAAAAAGTAAACAGACCGAAAGAAATCTCTCCGATGCGCAGGAAAGCTTCCTAGCTGACTGGTGCCTCATGAGGAAGCTGCAGGGCGTGCGCTTAGCCGTTGTTAGGTCTAGAGATTCGCTCAAGCTATACTCAATGAGGCTGGCACGAAAAAGATGGTGGGCGAGCGATATGTGGATCGCTTCCTACGCCGCAACCCGGCGGTAAAAATGAAGAATTCGGCCTTGTTGGAATCCTCTCGCGTCAGAGGCTCTACTCGTGAGGCTTACGAAGACTTCTACAAGCGCCTGGCCTTCCAGATCAAGGATAAAAGGTCAAACCGGCCAACATCGCCAACATGGGCGAGCACGGCATGCAGGAGCTTAAGACCCGGGCCGGAAAGGTCATCGGAAGCTCCCTAACGAACTGAACCTTCCTACAAAGTTCTAATGCCACTACCTGGGTTACAGTCATCGAATTCGGCACTGCAGGGGGCATTCGTTTAAAGCCCGTAATCATATTTACCGGGGCCAGTCTTCAAGGGCAATACTTTCCCGATGACTTCAGCCTGGAAGCCGAATTCCCGGATTGGAAGTATGACTACTCAACAACAGGCTGGAGCAACACCAAAATCGCTTTAAAATGGCTCAAGGAGGTCTACCTGATCCAAACAATGCCCCAAACGCCGGCCGAATGGCGTATATTGATCCTTGAACATTCGAGCCATATGGACGAAGATGGAAATGAGAAATTTGCACGTATTCAGGACATTAACAACGCCCAAAAAGCCAGCCAAATCCCCCCCAAGCGAAAAAGAACGGCCAGGGCAACAAATCACCCACATGCAGTCGAAGAAGCCCGGGAAATAATCGCCCGTGGGCTTGAGCAATACAGAGAGGCTGAAGAAGAGGGTTGAGTACTTTTTGGCTAGTTATTTTGTGTGTAGAAATGGAGAATTTGCGCCCGTGGGGTGGGTGTGGGGCATGGTGTGGGTCAATTTCGTTGATGGGCGATTTCGTTGTTGGGTCGGCTCTTCTAGTGTGTATTTCCCCAGTGGTGCGTGAGGCGTAAGCGCACCTCTAAAGCACCTTCGTAATCAAGCGATTACCGTACCGCACCCCCATTCCATGGGCATATATGACCGACTGAGCATCCCTCAAATTTAAGGGCATATTGATCGCCGAAATCCACTGGTCTACCGGCCCTATTCCGAATCGCGGGCAGTACTCCATACCGATCGCGCGAAATTAAATTAAGTCTTCAGGCGACTGAAGCTCAGCTACAACCTTCCTAGGTCGCGCCACTATACAAGACATTACCAACTCCAAAATGGATCTACCTCTATGGGATAGGCCCCATGGCCAACCACTAGACCGCACGATATCAAGAAACATGTCGTCTATGCAGTCGTTCAGGAGCCCGAAGCTCCTGAGGGAGCTGCTGCAGACCTCGTTGCCAGATTCCTTGCTGAAAAAGACACATGGAAGATGGTCCGGGCTCTCTCCATTGCCCTGATCGACCGGGCTCTCTCCATTGCCCTGATCAACCGTAGTCTGTCGCTGGAGGTGCGAGCGAAAATTATCGCTCAAGGCTGGGACGACCAGGAGACTGACTCAAAGGCCCTGTATGACCTCGTCAAGCGAGTTGTTCCCCGACTTACGCAAGAAGCCATCGTAGACCTCGTTGTTGAGTACGCCGCGATCGACCGTACGACCTTCACCACCATGCCAGCCTATTACACAAGAGCCCAATTTCTCTACAAGAAGCTCGGGGAGCTCAATGCGGGAGTTGGTGAAAACTTCCACCTTGATCACCTCATCGTCACTTTGATGGAGGCATACCCTGAACGTTCTCTATTCTGGCTCAGTGGCCTGAGGAACAAGACCCTGGATATGAAGTCCCTGGAGAGAGACCTGGAAGAGATCTCTTCAAGCGGGGAGACGACAGCTATGTTCAACAAGGTCACTGCGAGCAAGGATACAGAGAACAACTATTACCACCCTGGTTGCGTAGAGACACACTGCAACCACACGGGTTGCGCCAGCCTCTTTCTTGTCTGGGAAGACGAGGAATGCTCTAGGCGCTGTATTGAGTGGAAGTTGGCTGAACAGGAGAAGAAGAATTCGGCTATCAAAGCGAAGAAGATGAAGAAGAAGTTGGCCATTAGGGCGAAGAAGGAGAAGGAAACCTCGGGCACGGCAACTATGCCGGCGGTCCTACAGAGCGGCTCAGGCAACCCCAACACTCCAAGCTGAACCAACGCTTCGCCTCAACTATTCGCAGACTACTCGCAGACTACTCCCTCATGCCCCTTATGATCGGCTTAACCGAAGACTATCAGTTCAGCAGCCCGCCCGCGGAGACCTCGACCTCGGAAAACTAAGCGGAACATGCTTACTACGAGCATAGCATGTCAGAATAGCCTCATTTAGAGTGTGGCCGAAGGAAGGGGGTGTGGTGCGGGGTTTCTGCCCACCTGACTGGGCATGTGCTGGGTGGTTTTCCCGCGGATGAGTTCTCGCCTACACATCATGCAGGTAGCTTAGCACCACTAGTTTAAACCAGTAGACAACGCACATTTCATCATTATTCACTGCCACATGATCCATGTGTCCGGTCGTCCCGAAGATGTGTATACCGGGAGATAAAGACGGTGGGAGACGTGTGCTGAATTATCGGCAGTCTGTCTATCATGAAGACGGCCGGGGTTCTAACGGGTCAATACCCGTATTGGATAGTACACCACCACCCTTTCTGCAGTGTTTTTCATTAGGTAGACAAGCATCAATCAAGCGAAGCTGTCCCAAAATGGCCACCGTTTCTAACCCCAGTTTGTTTCACTGCAGCCACCCCGGGCCCATTTTCATCCATACCACAGTTTCTGAGACAATCAGGGGCTGGCGAGCCTTGGCCGTGGATTGTGTGTTTACGTTTGCACGCACGGGCACGTTAGAGGGTTGAGATTGGACTGGAACAGCGCTGCGGGCACTTGGTCCCAGATCCCGTCACTGACAATCACCCACAAAAGAAAGAAGAAAATAAAGCGCCTCTCGCAGTCAAACATCCCCCGAGTTGAAGAACATATTAATTACCTCGATGCCACCCCGATAACATTTTTTAGCCAAATACTTATTAGGCTTAGAACCTGAGCAGGAGCTGAGGCCCGGGACGATCTCACCGGCTTGTTCCGCTCACTAGCTTATCTCATCCGGCGTGTCGTCTTCAGGCCTAAGTTAGAGCTATTCTCTGGCCGGAAGAGCCATATGTTTGTTACTAGGCAAGTTCATGCGCAGTAAATGCAAGATGATACTAGCTAAGATAATCTAGCAGATATATTTTCAGAGATGATGCCGCCAAAGTCCTCATTCGCACCGATGGTGCATGTCCAGACAACGGACAACAAAACCGAAAGCCAGATTGGGCTTTTTGGCATGGGTCTGGCCTTCGAACAAGCTACTCGTCACCTCTGGCCGCTTAGAGAAGAAGGGGCTTTTCGGCGACGATAGTCTTCAGACTAGCAACCAGGCGGAGCTCCGTGCTGTCATCACCGCCCTGCGTTTTAGATACTGACCCGGCGAGGGGTTCCACACACTTGTCGTCGCTCCCGACTCTGAGTATGTGGTTGAGGGCTCCACCAAATGGGCCAAGACATAGGTCGAGAATGGCTGGGTAAAGCACGGAGGGGCTGGCTCAAGAATAAAGACCCTTGGGAGGCGTTGCCGAGTGAGATTGAGCGATATAGGGATGAGTGGATAGCTGTTGAGTTTTGGAGGATCCTGAGGGAGTGGAACGAACACTGTTGCTGATGCAGCTGCGAAGAATGCTGCCGCCGAGAAAGATTCACTTATGGGTGGACAAAAGCCATGGGATAAATGTCTAAATTAGGGATGGCGATACGAATTGCAATGTCTCATGAATCCAGCTATTGTTGGCCCCAGTTTTACAAATCATATCTGCTCAACCTCCGTCATAACATCTCGACCCCCACCCCCACCTACTACCCATTATAGAGATGTCTTAGTTATGTTTTATTTCGTCTGCTTCAATGAGGCTCTGCTCAAGGAGGACTCCCACAGTTAGATTTATCACAAAAGTGAAATGGCTCATACCCATCAACACGTACACATTAAAAGGTTAACACAGGCATATGCCGCGGTACAGCAAAAAGTCAAAAAATTAAACGGCACCGACAGAGTCATACCGGCCGACTCACGAACCTTATCACCGCCATGCAAGATCAAAGCAATTCAAATATCTACGGCTTCATAATTCTTTGTCTGAACGGTATTTTGGCCGTATTTGATTTGCCTATGTTGGATTACGTTGATCTGCATTGAATTATTTGCATTGTTATTAACGCTGCCTGTATTTGGGGTTATACGGGGTTTTGATAGGTCAATAGCCTAACAGACGTGTCCCCGTATGACAGCAGGAGTCACGGTTTCTTGAGGTTTGTCTGGACTGCTTCATTGAAAACCAGTCATGGCTACAGGCAGACAAAGAATCCTAACCCCCGACAGGCGTCCGCTTGGGCTTGCCAAATGCCTCTCGACACCCCACTCGATCTTATCAGACACCACTTGTCAGAAGAAAACTCCACCTTCCAGGGTCCTCCAGCTCCCCTTACCACGCTCAGTGTTTATCTGTGACCCAAATTCCCCAATCGGAACATGCCTTGCAGTCGCCGGGGCAACATTTGCTGTTCCGCCTTCATTTGAGCTTGTCTGGAGGGCAGCAGGCAACGAGGTCACAGCTCAACATAGGTCATAAAAAGCTCAACATAGGTCATAGAGTTTGACTTATGTTGAGCCGTATGACTTATGTTGAGCTTTTCGGTCAGCAAATAGCATATGCTGAGCAGCCCCAATAAAAATATATAACTCGGTACAAGGCAAATAAAGTAGTATAAACGGTCAATTAAAGCAAGATGTACGATAAATTAATTGGTCTAAACTATTAAGGAAAGAAAGATAGAGTGTAAACTGAGTCATACTTTGATGGCCAAGTAATAATATGTTTTCATATTTTCCAGTGTTCGGCATATGCTGAGCCCGTATTTGAAGTATAGGTGACTTGGCGTTCTGCGATCGGCTCACGCATGCACTGCGACTGAATCTATCCCACGCTAATATAATGATCTGAAATATTCAATATCAAATCGTACAGTGTATTATATAATAGGCCATATAGTGTGCCATGACTCCGAATCCGAGCTTCGAGGGCAGCCCACAAAGAGCGTCTAGACGGTGTTAGCATCTGCCGAGTCGACCTCGAGCAGTGGCTTACCTCATTTCGAGTAAATATTGTCATATCTTGCCCCCGGCACCTCTCCAGCCCAGCTCGATTCTTGCAAGGGTAATCCCCCTTATCCTTCCAAGTATTACAATAACCCTGGTAAGTACTATATATACGTTGGGCTTAAGCTAGAACAAAACTAGAAGTATTTACTTACTTTTCTATTATAGTTTTTACAGCCTCGGTCAAATTCGACCCATCAACGTCCCCTTGTTGTCGTTTTGGGAGGTCAGCAAGCAAGCTTAACTTCACTTTGTCGGACGCTGGGTACGGAGTCAGAATATCCTTAGCAGCTGCTCCATACACTTTCAGTCTTGTATACTTATAAGCCATGTGCTAGGCGGAGTTTAACGACGTATCATTACTATCTCTGTTTAGCAGAAACTTAAGCTTAGTGTAAGGAAACCACCCTCGTAACCACCATGGCCACCGCCACCAGGGCCACCCTCGCCACCATCGCCACTATCGCCACCGCTAACAGGGCCACGCACTATCGCCACTACCACCCTGGCCACGCAAGGATGACTCGTAACCCCTTTCACGTGTATATAGACCATGGCCTTCGCACACCTCTTTAGCTCAGGCCAGGTTGAAGTCTTACGCCAATACCAGTCATTGCTCGCCCTGCTTGTTGCTCCTATTGTGACCACCTTGATCAGGCGTACCTGCCTTCTCTTACACTTAGCCTGAAAGATACTTACCTTAAGAATTTCAGCTTCGTTTTTAAAATTGTTACAGTTGTTCTACTTTTAAAGGTAGTATGAAATTGAATCTGTAAGAGAAGGCAGGTACGCCGGATTAAGGTGGCTACAATGCAAGTAAGAAGGTGGGCGAGCAATGAGTAGTATTGGTGTGAGACTTTAACCTGGCCCTCGCAAAGGAAGGTGGGCGAGGGCCACTGTTTATATACGTGCTCAGGGGCTCAGGCCCGGGGCGCCATGGCGTGGCGTAGTGGCTTGTGCCAACTGGCAGTGTTCCGGCCAGTTGGTAACAGGTGGTGAGCGCGCACCCTGTGCGCGCGGCTGGTGTTTGGGGTGTCCTTTCCTTACAAATCTTCATATATGTAAGAGAAGGTAGGTACGCCTGATCAAGGTGGTCACAATGCAGGCAAGAAGGTAGGGGAGCAATGACTTGTATTGGTGTAAGACTTCAACCTGGCCCTCGCAAAGGAAGATGGGCGAGGGCCATTGTTTATATACCTGCTCAGGGGTTCGGCCCGGGCATCAGTCTGCGGTCGTGGCGCCACGGCGTAGCGTATGCCAGCTGGCAGTGTTCTAGCCAGTTGGTGACAAGTGGTGGGCGCGCACCCTGTGCGCGCAGTTGGTGTTTGGGGTGTCCTTTTCCTTACAAGCCACTTTTATCCACCTACCAGAACCAATTTTGTAAGGAGACCCGTCGAATATAGATATTTTTCAGGAGTTTACTCGGGTATAGGATCAGGTACGTACTTAGTATCTACCGAAACAAAGTTGAAGCTAATATATATTGTAAGGAAAAGGACACCCCAAACACCAACTGCGCGCACAGGGTGCGCGCCCACCACTTGTCACCAACTGGCTAGAACACTGCCAGCTGGCATACGCTACGCCGTGGCGCCACGACCGCAGACTGATGCCCGGGCCGAACCCCTGAGCAGGTATATAAACAATGGCCCTCGCCCATCTTCCTTTGCGAGGGCCAGGTTGAAGTCTTACACCAATACAAGTCATTGCTCCCCTACCTTCTTGCCTGCATTGTGACCACCTTGATCAGGCGTACCTACCTTCTCTTACATGGCTATACTATCCTTATGAGTAAAAGGATAGCTTAGAATAGTAAGGCTATCAACAATCTCAGCCACAGAGATAATATGTTTACGGCCACCGCTGATATTTAGGCCGTAATCCTTAAGAGTATTCTGCTTCAAGTCATTCGAGGTTCAGCATATGCTGGAGCAACTCACCTTGGTAAAACCCATCCCTCCCACGATCTCTCCCGCTGTCTCCCTGTCACGGCGGGTGCCGTGGTGGTGTCAATGACGTAGTGCTGGAGTGTGGTCTGTGCGTACCTATCACGTGGTCCGCACCATACCTAGAACCCCGCGCCTTGCCCGCTCCCCGCAACACCTTCCTTTTCCTTCCTTAGCTTTAGATTCCACAATACAGGTTACGGTTATACTCCGTGTTATGCCAGTCGAATCCTCTCCTTCGTGACAATCCGCAATCGGATCATCGTCATCGTTCCAGAATTGTTCTACCGCATCGTCCACACTTTGCTCGAGCACCTGCTCATTCTCATCGCCTGCAGACTCTTCGTCGCCGGTATCGCTAAGGGTACCGTCTGAAGGAGAGGGGGACGGCGTAGGCTCATACTCATACTCGGCATAAGCTACGTAGCGCCTGAACTCAAAATCGGCTGTTGCTCCTCTGTGGGTTGGTGATGTATCCATTGCGGATCAATTCCCCTGAATTGTTATTATTGGATTGGGGTTTGAGTCCAGGTTCGGCATATGCTAAAGCAGAGTAATAATTGTGCGACAATATTATTTTGAATCTTAATTTCTTTTGTACGTTACAGATGTCTACCCTTGCTCGCCGGTCTTTTCTACTTTGGGTTGGTCGGCTAACCTTTAACATATGCTATTTGCCGACTAAAAAGCTCAACATGGGTCATAACAGCTCAACATAGGTCAAACTCTATGACCCATGTTGAGCTTCTTATGACCCATGTTGAGCTGTGACCTGGCAGGCAACTTGTCGGAGCGGGTCAAGCGCTACGAAGCCGAGTACGGCCCCTTGTTCCCTCATTGTGAAGACCAACAAATCACAGACACAGAATATTGTCCTGTACTGCTTCGATGACGAGAACGACGTCCCGGAGTAATTGCGCGAGGAGCTGTGTGAGCTCTACCAAGCTCTCCAACCAATCTTGGAAGAGCTTCTCAGTGTTTCCCGCTCCACTCACCCAGCTAAAAGGAAGCGCTCTTTTCTGTACCTTTAGACCTGATTTAGCAGACAATCCAGTGCGCTGTCAACTTCGATCGCATGCAACAAAAAACTAGGCTTCGAAGTGGCACCATGCTGTTAAAATGGCGCTGGCAGTGTGACATACTGTAGTCTTCAATTTTGAGCGATTATCGAAGACTTTCTAATCGGATTAGAAGAGGACTGAGAGAGGTATCACGGGTAAGACCAAAGGTGGGGATTAATGTGATGTGAGTGTAATGGGATGGTTCTATCAAGAGCGAGGTCCCGAGGGCCGCGGAAAACACCTGCCTCGGGAATATCCTCTATTTTCCTGTGTCAAGGACAGAAGAGAACAGGGGTATTTCAGCGGCGCTGTAGCAATTGCGAGAAGACTGGGCACAATGCGCGGAGCTATTAGAAAGATGTAGATGTAGAAATATCTCTGGCATGTAATAATGAGTAGTTCGAATTGATTCTTGTAATTATAGTTGTGTAAATGAAGTGTTTTGTCGCATCGTAGAAAAGTGCGTCACGCGGCCGCCGGGTACCACGTTGTATCAAAAATATCCAAACCAAGGCATTAAAGACTGGAGATGAGAAGCCGATACCGCTTAAACTAGCGTCAGCCTTCTCTGCCCAACACTCTCAAAGGTTCGAATCGTCGCGCCATCTTCCCGCTCCTCGTCTGCATAGCTGCTCCAATAACCAACGCGCTTGTAGAATTTCACGCCAGCTTCGCCTGTGCCGACTACTGGCTTTAGAATAAGACCCTTCAGCCGCTGCACTCCGTCGCTGTCAAACAACTCGCCGATGCAGAGAAGCCTCCACGCGCCACCAAGGATGCGCGCGCCTTTCTCGTAATCGTCCCACGCCAAGTCAAAGGACACCCAGCCCTCCTTTCTCTCCCATTTCCATCGGTACTGAAACTCTGCTCTGTCGTAGGCTGTGCGCTTGGGCTCCGCCTTCATCTTGAGGACTTGCCCTTCGATCGTGAGACTTGCAGACTTTACCTTCCCATACGGATTCTGCTCGTCCTCCAGATCGACAGCGAATGATTTGACCCGAGCAATCGCGTGATAGTCTGCGCTCTCGTGCGCGGATATCTCTCCGATGACAGACGCCCAACTCCAGGACGGAGCAACGTAACTGCTTGGTATGACGACGGGATCGGTGAGCACGCCGAAGCGCCGCGTCCGCCATAAGAGCGCCAGAGGCAGCTGGGACGCAAAGTAGCCGGCGACGTAGCGCTCGCGGAGGTACTTGTCGTTGAACCGCTGCGCAATGCCGGATATAGCGGGGAGTCTGTCTTCGACGACGGTGATGCTGCTCTTCGCGTAAGCTGCCGTCAGGGTGCGCCAGTGCCAGTCGGGGTCGACTGTGGCGTCCTCAAGCTGCGATACGTCGGGCATGTGCCACTCAAACGGGGCATCGTTTGCATAGACGACGTCTTCCGGCAATATCCCCGGCACGCCTCTGGGATATGCGCCCGACGCCAGAACCGCTCTGCATTCCCAGAAGAGATCACGGCCTGCGTAGTGCAGGGCCCGCGGCGCCAGCAGGCGCTCTTGGAAGACCCACGCCCTGGCGTTCAGCTGAAAGTTCTGGAACTGCGAGTAGTCACACAGCTCGGCCGCAAACACCTTGCCTCGTGTCGTCACGATGCACGGGCTGGAGAAGACGGCCGGCCGGGACTGGAAGCACCCGCCGTGCGAGCTGTCGGCGTGCGACGCGGCGATATTCAGGTAGCAGTTCGAATAAACGTCTGCCATGGCGCGCACGTGGCGCTCCCAGTCCTCTGTGTCGAGCGCCCTTCTGGATGATGCAAAGCGAATCAATCCAGAGAAAGCCGACGCGAAGCTTCCTTGTAATTTCGATAGCGTCCGTGAACGACTTTGGTAGGCTGTTTGAATCGATCTCGTGGTGGAACTGATCAATGTTATCCGTGCGCAGCACCTGCTGGGTAGGACTGCGTCCCCAACAATGACTAAGCGCAAAGTAAGTAACCGAACGCCCCGTGGCTGCCAGCACCGATGCGTCTACTAGCCTCAGTCTCGGTCCCGTGCAATCCAGGAGACGCGGTGGGATGTAGGATGACTTGCGATCCTCCAAGCACGAGTGACGAGCGTTGCAAGTGTTAATCCAGCCACGCACGTCGATGTCTTTGGTGCTGCATAATGTTTCGGTTGGCTCTGGCTGGTTGGCATGAAAGGCGGTCCTCGCTTTCGTGGCGGCATCAATCACATTAAAGGAAAAGCTCACGAACCGCCCGCCCTTCTCGTTTTCCCCTGTCGGCTCCACGCCCTCCCGGAAGTCAAAGTTGAGCGCGTACGGATGAAGACCATCGTCCTTTCGAATTGCACGAACGCAGATGGGTCTCCCCTGGCGGAATGGAAGCCAGTCACGGGTCTCAGGCTCAAAGACTGCTCTCGCACAGAAGGGACATTGACGCTCGGCGGCAGAGATGAGCTGCTGGCGGCTACAGTGGTGAGGATATTCAACTGTCGCCCGTCTTCCCCGTCGCTGATCCAACCCGCGTGGCACTGAAAGTATGCTTTCACAAGCGCTACACAGCTGATAAGGTCCGGCAACTGAGGGAGAGGCGAATTCGAATGCTTCGGACGTGATGGAAACGTCGGAGGAATCGTTAGACGCCTCAGATGCACTGGAAGATTGGCCAGAGCCCATATTGTGCACTGGAGGATTGGCCAGAGCCCATATTGGTGGCCGCGGCGCAAGTGTGATGGCACGAGCAGTAGGCCAGGTAGGGCCGCGAGCAAGAGCTGATTGAGTTGATAGAATCTAGAGGTGGTAGCATGAAGAAGAGACAGCGGAAGGAGCACGTGGAATCATCCCGTGTTGAGGTGGCACAAACTACCCCACTTCCCAATCCAGCCTAAAACCCGATGTTTGGCGACTGCGAGATTTTCATTTGGCGGGTAGCCACTAGCCTGTTTAGACCCTCGAAACGTCACTTGTTCCTGCCTTTTGTGCAACCTACGCACGAAGTTAGGGAACGAAGCAAGACGGTACCAACACGCAGATCGGCAGCAGCTCAGATTTGCCATGTGTCGCAGGGAACACGCTGGCCAATCAGATCTACAAAACCCCCCGACCATAGGGTGTTTTCAGGGCGACAAATGCGATACCAACCTCCAGAGATGAAAGCCCCACTAGCTACGGACTGATCGAACTGCCTCCGTATCTAATACCTGGGAAGGGCACGGGATACGGCTATAGTAGCCCAGGAGATATGCCTTGCAACGCAGGCGAATACGCTGGCCACCAAGTATTTATCTTACCGCCGCTGTTATTTCCCCTGTTGAGGGGTGATTAGAAACGGGCCCCCTTATCTAGCCCAAAACCTATCCGTCGTCGCGTTAAGTTGGCAATTCGTGGTATGGTGAGCAATGGTGAGCAATGGTGAGCCGAGGGTGAGGCGAGCCAGATTTCAGCCTACTCATCTTTGGATAAGGCTTAATTTTTTTTTAGCGGCCGACTACCTAGAATAGGTAGATAGGTAATGGTGAGCCTAGACCGAGCAACGGCATGCCGCCAAGTCCCTGCCTCTCGCAATCTATGGAAAAAAGGGACAAACCAATTTGTGGATTATTATGTCGAGGAAAGAAAGCCAAAGGATCAAAATAACGATGAATAAAATCCCCTCAATAATACCACGGCTCCGCCAGCCACTGTGACGGCGGGGCTCAGCACCTACTAGGTACCGCTGCACCACACCTTCCAAACGGATGCCAGAATTGCAAGCTGCCAAGCTGCAATCTGTAGTAGGTTATAGTATGGTCACGCACCCGTAGGCCTGCCCACAGCGCCTACAGTACCGTGCCGTGACAGCCACTCCCTGACCGCCCCGTCCGCAGCATCCGACACCACCAACACCGAAACAATCCCCTCCCCGTCCCCGTCGTCATCCCCGTCGGCCCTCTCCCAATGGTACTGCTCCTGCTCCTGCTCGCACCCGCCCAGCGCCTCGAGAAAGAACCCCCGCGCCGTCCTCGCAGGCCTGGCCCGCGCAGCAGGAGACCGCCATTCCACTACGAGCGCGTACTATTCAAAAACCCTGGCTAATCTGCCACTTCCATCCCCCTAACTCAATATTTACAAGCCCTGACCTTATCCAATGCTTCAAACACTCAAGGTATTATCTAAAGGAACTATTCGGCCAGAAAGTTGGATAAATTGATTCATTCGACCAGGGGACCCTCTCAGATGGCTAATAATATTGTGGAGTCTGATCAGAGGGTTGAGGTCAAGAGCAATCTTAGCCTCTTTTAACTCTAGATCTTCATCTTGGTCTATGTCCTGGAATAAAAATGCCTGGAGAGCGAGATTGATGATATGCCCATTACATCGGATTCGATTATCTGATAATGACCAGGGAATGGCCTCTTCGTTAAGGGTTGCTTCGAGGATCTTGCAAAGCTTATCGTTGGTTAAAGCATTATCGCTAATTATCCTAATCTTCGAAATGATATTATAACCTTGAGGGATATAAAAGAGAGCTTCGTATTGAGTTGTTACATAATATGACAGATAGATGGAAGACCGATAAGTGCTTTTGAAGGGTTTCTAATTCGAGATCCACAAAATAAGGACAAATTGCTAGAAAGAGCTTCTTATTCGGAGAAGTCTCAACATCGATAGAGATGTATCGTCCTCTCAGGGGCTCCCACCTCCCTTCTCGGAAGTGGTAATGGCGCCGCTCTGACTGGCTTCTCACTTGGGGCAGGTCGTACACCCACTCAACATCATCAGCATCGCCATTGTGGTGTCGTGCTGTTACTCTCTCGGCGCGGTTGTAGGGGTAGTAATAGAGATGGTCTCAAGGTTAACGATTTGATTGATGATAATGATGGTTGGCGTGGTCGTCGCCATGGTCGGGGACATGGGGCCGGCCGTGCTCAAACTGCTGGCCGTTGGCGAACCTCACATGGTGTGTAGGAGCCGAGTGGCACCTCTTGTGCGTCTCATTTTCATACTGCAAGGCGGCATTAGACTTGTTGTCGATCTCATCTTCGGTTCCATTCTTCCTTAATTAGCTTCCTGCTGTTTACCTACCCATTATTGAGCCGACCTCTGTGGTTGTATGCGTCGCCGTGTGGGTACCCCTGGTAAACAGGCCGCTCCCGCCGCTCCCGTCTTTCGGGGCTTTGTGCCTCTGCGGCCATGGAGCCTGAGTGCCCTGATGAATGGATCCTCTTATACAGGTCACGTAATAATATCTTATAACTCTGAACGGTGCGTGTCGTTGTTGGCCTAAAAACTGTCGGCAAAGGAGTCAGTCCTTGTGGCTTCTTGGATGGTATTCAAAAACTCGGGAGCGGTTTGATTTAAGCCTGCAGGAATTTACAGCTAATTATTTCAGTGGCGACGAGCAAGCGAATGTAGGTGGTTAGGTGTGAGAGTGGCGTGAGGGACACTGCCGCGTCATGGGGCTTCATTACGCCGCACAAGCTCTCAGCTCACGCACCCATACGCCCGCTAATTGGCTGCCAACCATCCATACCTGGCACATGCTGTAGTAGCTGTGGCTGAAATGTCACCAAATGGTTGTCTGACTAACTTCGGTCACACGAGGCCATGTTCCTACACCATCTTTGGGTTCTTGGCTTCTGACGACATTGGCGGAATTTTCGCTTCCGTGCGGCTGGAACTGACTAGCGACGAACGACGCTACGATACCTCATTCCCCCAGACTTGGTGGGCCGGCTTCTTCGCGTGACATTTGAATCGAGGTCGAGATTTGGGGAGATGGTGTGGGAGTCAGACTAAAGTCTCCAGTACCTACAGCAAGGGCATCGACACCCTTTGCAGCCACTAGACTGCGGGATCTCTCGCGAAATATTGACTGAATAACCTTGGTGCCCTGGTTGATGGAAGGTCATAAGAGGAGGGCGCGAGGTGTATTTGCCGGAAAAGGGGAAGGGTAGGTAAGACTAGGCACCACAGCAATAGGTAATTGAGTGCTCTTATTGTCAGAAAACCCTCTTGCACATGACTGATCCCATCCGTTGAAGTCGCCTGATACCATCATCCCCTAAGCCGCCTTTTCATCATAAAGTCATTACCCGACCACCCTTTCTAGGAGGCCACTGAAGATTCTCCAGATCGATTTTGTGGGCCAGACGCCGCTCGAAGCCAGTTCCTTAACGTACCTTGGTCATACAACCCCCCTGGGAGGGAGAGAAAGGGGAAAAAGAAAACCACCTTCAGAAATATTCTCTGCACCGCACCGCGCAGTCCAAAATCTCATGTTTTAACTAGTGCCACAAGTAAACTGCGGCGGGCTGCGATGGAGCCAGACAATGTAATTCGCGCCGCCGTTGTTATCCCAAAACTCGTCGCCGGCCACGACGTAGTGGAAGCACAGCTGGAAAGTCTTGCCCTCTGCTAGCCGCGCGATGCTGGGGAGATGGATTGTGAGGGCGAATGTGTCCCGATCAGGCGTCGCGCTGCCCAGGTAGGCGCCCGCCACCTCGTGCGTCGTCTTCCAGCCGTCGTGCGTGTACCGGCAGCAGACGTACTTGTCGTAGGCCAGGTTGCGGACCGACACGGTGGCAAGCAGCCGGTTGCGCTCGTCGGATATCCAGAGCTGGTCGAGACTGACTTCTCTGGTCGATCCTACTGAAGGTGGCGGCAGCTGGAATGGGAAGTTGACTAGCGTCATGGCGACTCTGCTCGGCACGGGGTTCTGTTTGTACGTCTTTGTTGGCGTGATGGATCTTCGGCGTCTTGACGAGCTGACAGCGAGCGGCGGCTCCGCTTCGAGGAAGCATCGGACGTTTTCTTGGGAATCGAAGTGCACCGTCTTGGAGGCGGCCGACGACAGGCCGACAGGCCATGTCTTGCGGCGGAGAATGGGAGGGTAGCCGCCGTTGGCGTTGCAAGAGCCCTGCCTGGGCTTTGGTGTCGAGGTGGCGTCATCTCGGTCGAGGACGGGAGAGGTCTCTGTTTCTCGGACAGGTTGGCTACTCGCTCTTGGGCGAGTAAGATGCCTCGCGGTCCACCCGCTCTCGAGACCGCAAACCGAGTTGGAAACGGGGGGTTGGGGCAGGGCCAAAGCCATTCTTGATGGTTGATGCAGTACCGGGATGTGGTTGAAAAGGGGCTAGGTGTGCTGTGTGAATGGAAGCTAAAAAAAAAAAGGCAAAGAGGGGTGATGGGGGAGGGCTGCCCTCCTAAGTGGGTTCGGGTTTGTTGATAGTATAGTCGAGGCCTCGCTAGCTTTACTTCGCTTTATTCCTATATGTCTTTTGTTTTTTTATTTTTTATCTTTTTATTCGTTGTAATTGGTATTTGAAAATCAGATGCGGTGCTGGGAGGTCTCGATAGGCGTGCGATACTTAACATCCTAGGAAAGTGGGGTAATTTTAGAACCGGAATGGTATGCACGTCAGGGGGCACTGTAATGGGGGGACAATTCGGCCTGCCTGGTATGGTGCTGTTTCGAGCGGACTGTTAGGACAGGGTCGACATGCTAATTGCTGCTCGACTAATTGGTCCTATTCTAGTACTCAATGCTCCCGCGGGTATGGTGTGACCAAGGCCTCTAATTTGCGGGGCGCAGCAATTGGAATCGTAGCCCGGTACCGCCACACTGTTCCGGCAATCGGGAAACTCCCAGACGACCCCAGAAATCCAATACTACTCCAGTGGGCCCAGGGGCGAGCAATGCGCTGACAGCACGGCACAGTCGCTGCAGTGCCGCCTGCCAAGTGCCAACAAGCCTGCAAAGTGTCTGAACATGACGTGATCGGACCAGAACAAACTGTCCGAACGCCTGGTATCCATGGACAGCAATCCACGAGGTTGAAGAGATGGGTGCCGCCTACCCGACGTTCCATTGGCGCAAAGCCGCCAGCGTCTGGTGGTGCTACAATGTGTCAAGTCTATAGGCGGTTCCGAACCCGCCTGGGGCCCTTACTTAATAACACGCTTTATGGCCCAGCGGGATTCAGTCTTCGAGGTCGCCTGTTGGTGGGTCGGCCACGATTCATGTCCAAGCACCATCCTCGCCGCTGCAAGGAAACACCTTACCTACAATATGGTGCACCGCTAATTAATGCAACGGTGTGCCAGCAGCGAGGTAGCGGAATTACCACTGCCAAATGTCTTGGCCGGAGAAAACCGGTTTGGGTCGCTTGGCTAGGATATACGCAGTAATTCTCTACCTACATCAGACCACCTTGGACCTAGCCGAGGCCGGTGGTCCGGACGGGTAGGTACGGTTGTCCGACGAAACCCAGCAGCCCCGCAAGTAAGTCTAATCCACCATAGACGGCTTCACTTCCTTGACATTGGAGCCCGAGGTTACCGAAGGGTGGCAACTGTAAGGACTGCCAAAATTGGCTAGCAATAATTAAGATGCATGCCACCGCAACCTTTGAACCGATCATGTTGCAACCACAACTAGGTAATTAGAAATCACAACTAGGTAATTAGAAACCACTACTAGAAAATTAGAAACCACAACTAGGAAATTAGAACGGCTCGGGCATGACCACGAAAGGCGGCGAATGCATCCGCATCTTTCTGTCAGGAAATTCTTGGCAATTTACCATCCGTCGTATTGTCCGGAAACGCCTTCTTCTCCCCCTTGGTCAGTTGACTACCTAGGTAGTTAGGTATTCAACCAGACTATGGGCGGTATAACTGCGAGATAGACTGAGTCTAATCACCGAACGGAGATGCCACAGACGAGCAACTATACTTCGCGCGTCTGGGATGGATACACTATTCCCATAAGTGACGATACAAGGTACTCTCAAGTCTCACCCTTTTCTCTCATCCGAACAAATCTATTACTCGTTGTCGCAACAGACGTCTCCAGAGGAGTCGTACTACTTCCTGCCAACGTGGTTGATGGATGAGGATAATACGCACTCGCCCGCGGAATGTGTGCTTGACCAGCGACAGCAGCACGTCTCCGCTGCTGCTGCCAGCCCCCGTCAACATCCACATCCACCTCCAGCGGCGGCGCCCCAGTATTGGCACCCCAGTATTAGTTGGTCCAAAGAGCGTGTCTAAACTCCCCTCGGCCAAACTCCGCACCTCGCGCCGCAAATACAAAAAAATCACTAATAGCACCCATATTGACTCTATTGGCAATGTCAAGCGACCCAGCAGCAGCAGCGGTGGCGCGGCTGAGCCTATCACCCGCCCCAAAGCCGAAGCCAAAGCCAAAGCCGCGGTGCGCGCCAACCACAAGGTATTACTCGAGGGCAACTACTGCCGCCGCGTCAACCAGCAGTTTGAGCGGCTGCCTGGCGTGCTCGGCAACAACCCTGACGATGACAGCAGCAACTTCCTGGACCAGGAACTCGCCATGGCCGCGGTTGCGTCGCTGGCCACGGAGAAAGCCGTCAGCAAGATCGAGATGTTGGACCAGGCGCGGCGGCGCATCCTGGCTGTTGAGGCGGATAATCAAAGCTGAAAGGGCAGTTGGCTGCTAATAGGAGGGTGGTGAGGGCAGCGTAATTAGCTGGGGGGTTGGGAACAGCGAATTAGGGGGCGAAGATAAGACGCCGTGGCGGTTGGAAAGTCGATTCTAGGGCTGTTGGTATCAAAGGGGGATGTTGGAATAACATACTGGAATGACGCGCTGATCCAAGGAATGCGGCTCCGCATTCCTGGCCACAGCAACGTCTGTGGAGGAGCGGGCCTGACAGATGCATATATATTGGCCTACGCCCACCTGTTCAGATAGATAAAAAGACAGACACAAACGAATCCATCACTTGAACCACCACCTTATGGCGCGCAGCGCGCCATGCTGTTTCCAGTACCGGTACCCTGGTGATTCCTACAGGGGAATGTATTAGTTAATTGATGATTATTGATGATGATTACTTGATCAGATAGACAAATCCTTGTTAATTACGGCCGAACTCTTCCCTGATTATGGCTGGTCATGGTATGAAATGAGTGTATCGATACAAAATATCCAAGAAACAAGAGTGTGACTAGAATTCATTAGGATATATGTTTTAAGTCTTTGTCTAGTCTAGGTAATCAGTGCTAAAGTGACGCAGAGACCTCGCCCTAGAGACAGGCGATAGTACCAGGTTGGCTACCACCGACGAGGACATTGAAAAAAATGAAATAAACGGCGACTAGCTATGTAAGATACCCGGCCGAGAAATCCAATCACCCATTTCATCAAGCCCTAATTAGTCCATATTTACACTTGCTCTGTCCAATAGTCCAGGCCTAGTCATAACCCCGTCATGATTTTGTAGCACGCCTATCCCGGTTTGTGTTGTAATTAAATCTCGGTCACCCCATTTTGGTCTACGTCTTCCTTTCGTCAACCAAAACACTAATTAAGCCGAGATGGGGGCCCACCATCGCGTGAAAGAGCGAATGGGCATGGCATTGAGGAAAGGCTTGATGTGCTCGTCCGAGCACGGCGTGCCGGAGGAGTAGTATGACTTGTTACCTGCCGCCGTCTCCTTGCAGGTGTCCTCGATACACACAACGGCGATTGTGGCTTCGTTTGTCATCTTGGAGGCAGTGCTTCTCCGGGCCGCATTAACGTCGCTCTGCTGATCTTGAGCCGACACCTCACAGTTCTCAGTGCCTGGGCCCGCGGCCGATACAAGGCTCACGAGAGAATTGTGGTCGGGAAAAAGGTCGGCGATATCGTCGACAGCGTCGACTTCTTCTCCGTACGTCACCGCACGATCCTCGGCCTCGTCCTCGTCCTCGTCCTCAGTGTCTGAGTCGTCCCAGTAAGCGTCGTCGTCCGAGTCGCCTTCGTCGCCGGACTCGTCTCCGTCGTCCAAGTCGGAGCCAGTATCATCATCGTCGTCGTCGTCGTCGCCTTCGTCGTCGTAAGTATCTGCGCGCCGCCCAGCGGGCGCAGACTCGATCTCGTCTGCGTTCTCACGGTCGAGTTCAGCCAGGTCCCATCCCTCCTGCTGGCTCTCCCTCTCCAGCCGCTCGACCAGCGCGTCGAGCAGGTTGGCGTGTCCGACCAGCCGGAGGAGCTTGTAGTCGGACTGCGCGGCCTCCTGCCGGAGCTTCTCGCGAGCTAGGCTGGCAATCTTGTATGTCTCCGACGACGGGCGAGTCAGCGGCAATGTCGACGACCCGTACCCCCCCTCGCGAGAGGGGTTTCGCGAGGCCGCCTGAGTTGCTTTGTGGTGCTCCCGGCGTGTATGGGAGTGTGTGGAAGGGCTGTGAAACATATAAGGTGTTGAGTTGTGCGATCTTCGACTGTCGCGGGATGTCAATCGTAAAAAGTTGTGGTTTGCTAGTTCCGTTTTCACCTTGGGTGATGTTGTTTATTTGCACCGCCATTTATGATAGTGCTAGCTACCTCAGCTTTGACCAAAGACACTAGAGCTTGGGGAAGCTTACCGCAACTCTGGGGCGCATCATGCCACCACACGTGGCGAGCCAAGGCCTACACTTCCGACAATCGGGACCTATCTCACGCCACCCCTCCGGCGGCCGCCAACGCATCGAAAGTTTCCTAACGATTTCCCCATGATGCGAATTTGTTCCCAATGTTAAATTCTAATTAGCCTCGGTAGGGGAGCACGAGGTCATGCTTCCAGAATTCAGGTCGTAAAATCTCTGCGAGAGGGTCCCCGATTGAGATGCACGTATGAATTAGTCGCCGGACACTCATGTGGTTAGTTATAGGCTGTAAAGGTGGTTAGGTGGCTGTCAAGGTGGTTAGGTAGCTGAGGTACGAACCCTCGAGGCAAGTGCCGCGCTCACGAAGCATGCCAGAAATTTTAAGCCAGAAAACACAATACCCTTCAATGACAACTGAGGTTGGAGATGACCAGCGAAATACTCAGACAGGCACGTCTTCACGAAAAAAGGATCCCCATAGCCAATTCAGCATATTACTCAATGAAAACCTCAACTTTGAGTTATTACCACTCCTTACCTAACTGGTCGCCCAAAAACTCTAAAAGTACTTAACACTACCTAGCCCTCTTCTAGGCTATTAGCGAGTGAGGCTTAGAACTCGTCACCGAGAGAGTCGCGTAAAGTTGACAATTTCTTAACATAGTGAGCGTAGACTAAGAAGCTGAGGAGCGTAGATTATGTAGAGACTTGATCGGCGCACCCATTAATTATCATCGGCGCACCCACCTGAAGGTCCGACCAACTGCTGGCAACTGGCATTGCACAGACTTGTTTTATTTGCGGCAAAGTCACCTCTCTGCAAGAGTCCCTCCCAATGCCGCCACCAAATCCGGTGTTATTTCGATCCCTTCCTCGATCCCTCTGACTTCTAGGAGCTCACTCCCGCGCCCTCACTGGAGCCTGAAGCTATTCCCGACCCAGCCGACCGCGCCGACGACGTTCCGCCCGAGGATGAGCTTGCTTCCGACCCCGGCCCCAATTCCGACGAGCCAGTGAGCGAGGATGAGCTTGATTGAATCCGATAACCCGTTACCAAAGGTCGCCCAACTAACCAGGGCGGTCTTTTTGGTGACGAGCCGACGTAGCCACCTCACGCACCACGCAAATCGACCGCTTCAACCGCGAAGATTCGTTTGAGTGCACGGCTCTATTATTCACAGTCCGAGCTGACGGGACTGAGCCTCGAAGAGCAAGACGAAGCCGACAGCGCTGAAGCCAACGTCGAACCTGACTGTATTGTTATTGGACTCAAGAGGAGGGCATCAACACACACAAGAGAGGGAAAGAAAGAAGACCGCAAGCAGCACCAGGGTGCTGAGGGAAACACCTATCCCGAACCCCTGCCTTATAGACTACGAGCTTGCTATGCGGCGTCAGATGAGGGCAAAGAGGCTAGCGGGCTTGCAGATGCTTGAGCAAGACGGTTAGCTATCGAGCCCTCAACACCATGAATATTATCACCAGTCTGCAGACCGTCCAAGAGGCTCAACAATGCCAGTTTTTGACAGAGCGCACAAAGTTATTGTACTGCGCCATAGAATCTAGCCAAGTCAGGGCTAAAAAGGCGGGTCGAAATTGCTTCCTGCCAGCAGACTGACCAGCTAAGCAACGCTGTAAGCTTCAATGGCGAAAACACAAAAAAAACCCCCCCCCCCAGGTTTCCAGCGAATTTAGCGCTTCGTAAAGTCTTCAAGTCCTGCATGCATGCAGATCGCCCAAGGCTAGCGGAGCGTGCGTTAGCTGAAATTCGGCTTTTTACGGTACAAAGGGGGCCGGTGCGATGGCAGCTGCCAGCGACCCGGGTGGTGCACCGATGGCAATTGGCCGATCAAGACTCATTACATAACCACTCACCGCAGACAAGGGCACCTGCGATCTGCGCTGTCCTTCCACACCATTAACTTAACTTATTAATTCGCCATCCATCTTTCTCCATCTATGATCTTTTTCCGTCAACATCCAATCATGAGACTTGTCAATGTGATAACGTTGGGCATCGAAGAATTCATCGACAACAACAACGCTCCCGAGTATGCAGTCCTCTCGCATACCTGGTCTAAGGAAGAAATAACATTCCAGGAGTGGAACGATGGTAAAAATGCCGCAAAAAAATCAGGGTACGCAAAAATCAGCGGGGCTTATTGTCAAACGTCGAAGGACCGATTAAACTATGTCTGGGTCGATACAAACTGCATCGATAAGACAAGCAGTGCCGAGTTGTCCGAAGCTATCAATTCCATGTTCGCGTGGTATCGCGCGTCGAAGGTTTGTTACGTCTACCTCGCCGACGTCACGGCAGACGGCGTCGAGGATATCATGCCCGCCTTGCGCATAAGTCGATGGTTCACCCGCGGCTGGACCCTCCAAGAACTTCTAGCTCCGGAAAACGTTGTCTTTTTCTCCCGCGACTGGATTCGGCTAGGAACCAAAATAGAGCTAGCCAAAGAGATCTCTGCCGTCACAGGCATTCACCAGCGCTATCTCCAAAGTTCAGATGCCATCTTCTCAGCATCTGTTGCCGGACGCATGTCATGGATGAGGAACCGAGTAACGACACGAGTCGAAGACATAGCGTACTGCATGCTAGGCATCTTCAAGATAAATATGACACTACTCTATGGCGAAGGCGCCAACGCCTTCCTCCGCCTGCAGGAGGAGATTATCAAGATCTCGGATGATCAGACCATCTTCTGCTGGGGTTTCGTCTCCTCGGACGTGGTGCCGCCCACCTGGCAAAACATCCTAGCGCCGCACCCAGCCGCCTTCTCTTACGGTCGCGGCTTCATACCGCGCTATGCGGACGATGCCGCCATCGAGCCTTACGCTATTACCAACGCGGGCTTGTCCATCTCCCTCCCTGTCGTGTACACATGTGAAGGCATCTGCGCCATCCTGGACGTCGCCTGGGACGAGGAGACGGAGATTGACGAGAAGAATGATGTCTCCCGGGCGTCTGAAGCGGAAGGACGGTCCCCTTCTACTGCCAACTGGAAGGCCCGTGGTTTTTGCGCTGCCATCCACCTCGGTATGGTCGGCAATCGCGGCCACTACATCCGCGTGCAGTATCCGCCGGTGCCAATTCCCATCATACCGTCGCGGTCACGGAGGACGAAGCAGCTGTTCTTACGCTGCCGCGGAATCACGAAGGATCAAAAACCTGTCTCTTCTACTACCACCGCGGTGGACATGGTGCCCGCTACACATACCAATCGCCGAGGCGAAGCCCTCTTCCTAACATTCGACCGCGCCGTCACAGTCAAGGGAACGTTTACGCCTGGCGATGACAACACAGATGACACCATTGCCCCGCTAAAGCTTGATCGGGCTGGCAGCTCTGTGTGGATGCCACAATTGGGCAGGGGAGAGCCCGGTGGCGAAAGACAGCGCCGCCAGGAAGCATGCCTGTCCATGGTGATCGCAGAATCACCGCTGAAAGGAGAGAAGTATGGTGGGTGGGGCGTGGGGGCAGTCTTCATAGCGAAGGTTTGCTCTGATCCGGCATCCAGCAGCGGCCGCGCTGACCGTGTTGAGGGTAATGAATACCGCGACGGTAGTGATAGCAAAGCCAATTCCCAGCTGACCTCGACGGTAGCGAGAGAGTGGTATACAGAAGTGGCAGGCGTACAGGAGACCGCCACCTTGCAGAGGCGAGCGCCGCCTACCTCTACGTTGTCGGGAACGCTTGAGAAGATCAAGAACATGCCGCCGACCAGCTACGGCCCCTTCTCGACCACTATCATCACGCAGCTGCCTCGACTAGGAGAGTTACGCCAAACCCGCCGTGGACGAGGCTGCACATCGAACTTTCGGGTGGAGGAGCTGACAGCTTAAAGAAAATGGTATTAGATGACTTGGTCAGAGTCTTCGAATCCGGCAACGGCCAACGAACGGGCAAACCAGCCCAGTCAAGGGGAACTGAGGTGGAGCAGATGTTACGGTATCCAGCGCTACTGGCATTCACGAACCATAATTACTGCGATCCCAGGGACTGTGCTTTACATCATTCGTTTTTCTAGGGCGGCTTCCGTCGTCTATGGGATGCAGCTTGCCGTCGTTAGGCCGGCTGCGCATATACCTATAAATCAAAACTAGCAGTACGTCGTGCAGAGTTGGATTTTAATTGAAATAGGCTCTCGGTGCCTTTTCTTAGCTTGTCTATGCTTGATCATAATCTCTAAATCGCGCTTTGACGCTGCAGCCCTGATGACTTATTCTACTACGGCGCTGCCCATGGGTCCCGGATGTCATTGGATGGATCATGTGGTGGATGAAGCATGTGGTGGATGGAGCATGTGGTGGATGGCGCGAGATATTCTATTCAATCAATCACTTAAGATAAACCTTATCTGACTTGTCTCAATTCTCTTTAACCTTTCCTAACTAACCTACAGTCTAAGGTGCACCGTGCTTTCTACTGATTAGGAGTCTTATTTGCTTAACCTATTAATTAGTTAATTACGCTAGCGAGAAAGAATATCTAATAAGATAAATACTAATAATAACGGCAGACTACTATGCGGCCTTAAATATATAACCTAATATTAGTGACGAGTGTCATGTCAGGTGTAAGGCGCGCGGTCGCAGCTGCTAGAGTGGCCTTATATAGCCCACTACGGTCGCAAGTTTCCAACTTGCGACTCTAGACATCCTTTTGGAAGGTTAGCGCAGTGGTATAGAGGGCCCACAGTACGAGCCGTCATAACGAGGCTATCGATAAGGCCCGCGAAGCTCATTAACTAGCGATTAAGCTATTTACCCGAGAGCCTAAGGACCTAATTAAGTAGTCTAAATAGTAAGATCAAGCTATATTAATAGCCTAAGATAAAGGGGTTACCGAAGCAATAAGAATTAAATCTTGCTTTTACGACTTTGTTATCCGCCGACACGTCAAGGGCAGGGTCATGGTGGAAGCCAGAGGCTTCCAGGAGAACAACTCTAACTAGCCATGGCCGCGGCCTACAAAATACGGCCAAGATATTTCATTCTTAGGCCGTGTGCTGCCACCGAGACAAGAACCGAGTAGAGCTCTGCATTGAGGATACTATGGGGCGTGGAGTTTGGCGCATGATGGTGTATTTATCTTCAAGGTGCGTCTTAATGCCTCATATTCATGAATGACCACACATGATGAGAGATACAAGTCAAAGCCCTTCCTTTTCTCTACCCGAACAGGCATCTAGCAGATCGTTACCAACATGCCCGTCCTAGGATGGCACCCCACGTACTCAAAGTACTGCTGCTCAGGCTGCAACACCATAACCTCATGAAACACCCTCAGCGTGACATTATTCCCCAGCTTCTTCGCATACTGGAAAAACCCCCCAAAGATGGCCAAATGCGTTGGATGCTCCTTGCACCACTTCTCCAGGGAAGCAAGCTCATTGAAGTACGCCAGTCCAAAGGTACGATCGATGCCGTCCGGCTTGGCTGTCTTTGGATCAACGACCTCAATGAAGCGACAGCTGTAGCAACCGACCTCGTCGCCGTGGTCACGTAGGAAGTCCATCCCTTTTGTCAAGACGGGATGCATGGTATCGAGGTAGAGAGTTCGCTCTTCGGGGGTAGTGTCAAGCCAGTCCTGGCCCGAGCGGATGACGGCGAGGTTCTTCCTGCCTGGGATGATCACTCTGCCGGTAGGGGTGACGTCCTCAGGGGGTGACCTATATCCATCTGGCACGGCCTTCACTCCCTCTAGGCCATCGGTCTGCGAGAGAGGGATCCTGTCGCGCATGCTCCCCCAATATCCATGCTCCTTGACAGCTTCGCTCATGCACTGACCCATGTGAGCGGAACCTTCGCGGGCGGTGTCGGTGTTGAAGAGTGTCTCGAAGCGGTCGGTCGTTGGGAAGAAGGCCTCGAGGAACCAGCCGTTGGGGCTGTCAGGGCCGAGAGCCTGCCACCACGCCTTGAAGCCTGACTCCTTGGCCCATGACTCGTATGCGGCTTTGCTGGGCCAATACCCCAGGGCAATGATGTTGTAGAAGCCCTTGTTGTCGGTTACCGAGGCCCATTCAAAGAAGGAGGGAAGGGTCGTGCTCGCTCGGGATGTTAAGAAAGTCGTAAGAGTGGCGCGAGAAGCGCCGTCGGCGGCGTCAGAAGCTGATTTGTGCTGGGCCCCTATGACGGCCATGACAAGCTGGGAGACATTCTCGGGGAAGCGGATGCTGAAGCTCGGATACGGAGGCTGGAAGTCGGGGTTCGGTAGCTGGGCTGGTCGAGTTCGAGGACACTTCATGTGATCTGCGATGGACGACACCAACATTGTGAACTGCCTGTTCCTGGGTGTTCTGGTATTCTATAGAGTCGTCTTTGGGGGTGTTTTGGGGTGTGGAAAACGATGCCCCGGGTCCTTCTAGGTATCTAGATCCTTCGTGCGGGTATTATCCCGTGGGCTCGTCCTCTTTCCGCACCAACGTTGGAGCATATGAGCGGGCTCTCCCTTCTCCGGTCTTTTGTCCGCTGCGAGCGTCACGGGATTGCTGCCCAACCGCATGGCCCGAAACACCAGAGAGACCACTTGTGGTGGAGCGTAGTGAAAGGGATGAGTTCTAGTGGTATTTGCCCAATTTGCCGCATTATTATTGCGGCTCCAGCGGACCACCGTCCTCCATATCCTACTGACACGAGGTCCAGGCCCCGTGCTCGTCCCACAACCACAGTTCAGGGCCCTGGGTGTCTTATCACAGACGACGCCACCAAAACAAACTCGATCTCAATTGGCTAATACCCCACTCTCAACACCTCTACCGCATGATGTGTGGGAATGGCGTTGCACTGTGATGGAAAAGGGCGAATCCTGAAAACCTAGAATTTCGGTAGTGGGCCTGGCTAGCCACTCAGAGGGAAAAAAGCAGCACTCTCAGAGCTGAGCTGCGAGTTTTCGGAATGGGGAAGACCTATTAGCGTCCTTCTCTCACTGTTTGAAAGACGCATTGCCGGATGCAGTCAAAGGGGTGGCCGCTTTGCTTCAGCTTGGCATCATGTACCTTATCTTCCCTGCTGGTTGGTCGGCCATCTGCGGTCGACGAAGATCTGAGACCTAGACCCTGCGAGTCTCATTCCATCTTCTATAGGGCTGTCGAGATGTCAGCAGCATATCACAGTTCAAGTAAGGCGCATCCAGAGCGCATCAGCTTGCCACTCAAATGCAAGCCCACGAGAAGTTGTCTGACGTTTCAATGTGCAAAGCGTGGAGACCGCCTCCTCGACCAGAAGCCTGGGTACCCAACGAGCGGAGTAACCGACCTATCAAGCCTCTTCACGGCCCTCTTTTCCGCGATCCGCCGCCGCAGCCGGCCCAGCACCAACCACAACTTCCTTCTGCCGCTTGTCAACGCCCAACCATAACAAGTCAGGCCGGCTGTAGTGCCCAACGATATCAATGAACCCCCTAGCGGCCACGGTCCTGCCAAGGTCCAAGTCAGCATACACAATCCCCTCATCCACCCCCGTCCCACCCCCAATGGGCGTCGTCAGGCGGCGCCCATCCGGACCAATGACGCAACTGTGCCCGCCCCCCGGCTGGCGGCACACAATCCCCTCCTACGTCCCGAGCGCCTCGATGCTCTCTTGGTTGCACACAGCAGTAGTGTGCAGCACGTACGCAGCGCTCTCAATCGCATAGGTCTGCGACAGGCTCTGACACCCCTCAGCGGACATGCTCCACAGACCAGGGTCCTCCACGCCAGCCGAGGGCGCAAGAGGCGGCCACATGGCGATGTGGATGGCCTCGCCTTGAGAAATGGTGTGGTACTTGAGTAGCGGCTGCGTGTGCTCCCAGCAGGCGAGGCATCCGACCTTGATCTTGCCGTGTTCGGCGCCGAAGTCAATCTCGGCGACGTTGTTCAAGTCGCCACCAGAACCGTCGCCAAAGATGGTGCGCTCCATGTGCGTTGGCTTGAGCTTCCGGCGGTGTGTGAGAACCTCGCCCTCGGGGGAGATGACGGCCTGGGAGATGTAGACGCTGTTGGTGGGGCTCCGCTCGGAGAAGCCCAAGACGGCGACAATTGAATGCTCTCTGGCTGCTGCCTTGAGGAGTTCCATCTCTGGTGAGCGGACTGACAGGGAGTTGTAGATGTATCGAGTTTGCATCTCGACGTCCACCGGGCGGGCCCTGGGCGCCGAGTGTTAGGGAGGTGACTAGAGACTGGGTGTGGGAGACTCGCCAGATCCACGCGGGGTAGCCAGGGAGCCAGCATTCCGAGAAGGCGACAAGCTTCGCGCCCCCCCTGGCGGCCTCGCCGATGAGGTCGCACGCCTTTTTGACCGATGCAGCGAGGTCGAGATAAACTGGCTCCGCCTGGACGGCAGCAATGCGAATCGGGGAAACCATTTTCGGCGTTGAGCACCTTGCAGCGTTTTTGTGTGTAGAAGGTGAAGAGCAAGACTAAAGTACAACTTTGACCGAAACCGAATACACAGGAATTCGGAAGCTCTGGAGGGACCATGTCCTTTACTCGGCGTGGGGGCAAGGGGAGGATGTTGCCGACTTTAAATTCCCGCCCGCTGTGGATGAAGACGAAACCGAATCGGCGCAAAGCCTATTATTAGCGCGAGAGGCCATGGCCACACACATTTAGACACGAAGGTGGTACTGGAGGCAGTTGTAATGGCTCCAATCAGTGGCATCCGGGTGCCGCGGCAACTCGCATGTCGGGCCTGAGAATGTCAAAGGGCTGCGAGTCCCCCAAATCTGACATGGAAAGGAGGTATTATCGGTTGTATGATAGTTATTTAAAATATAATTCTTATTTCGGAAGCTTGAAAGCTAGCAATTAAAGTAACTTGAATTTCTTAATAGATAACGTTAACGTGTGTGATAAGCGAGATGAACAGACAAGCGAGTTGAACAATTTCCACAACCTCACCACAACTACCCTCAATTACACAACCACAACACTAGGAAATAACAATAACTGAATCGGAAACAGATGAATCAGACGATTCTGCAGCCTCCTTGCACGTACGTGCATTATGGCCAGGCTTGCCGCATACGCCACAGCATCGAATCTTCGTACGAGACCCCCCTGCACCACCACCATTTTGTCGTGTTTCCTGGACCAACTGCCCACCCACAGCCTTCTGATCCAGTAGATCCTGTGCCTCTTGTACAGTAAGTGATCCTCCAAGCCGAACACGTGTTTTCTTGGCTCTCCGTCGCTTACTAAGCCCCTCATTGGCCTTCCGAAGTGCTGAGACCTCTGTACGCAAAAGAGCCACCTCGTGCATCATAGCCATCGTACCTTTAGCTAATCGATCCACAGCAGTCAGCATTGGTGTTGGAGAGCTGCCCTGATGGTTGGAAATTCGAGTTTTGATGAACGCTGACTGTGAGGCAGCCTCTCTCGGGTTTTGTGGCGTTTGGGAGACCCAAGGTAGCGATGTAGTTGGGCTTGTAGCTGGGGGTGTTGGAGTCCGAATACGCACATCCAGCTTGGATATCACCCTCTCTGGATCGTACGGCACAAGGCCGGCTCCAGCAAACCCCCCCTGGATATTCCTTTCCGTAACCGAAGCAAAAAACGCCTCTCTAAACCCACAAAGAAACTCCAGCTTGCTAATATGTGTGATGTTCATCCGCATCAGCTGCTCAATCTGACAGCCGTACGCCTTCTTCAACGGCCCAAAGCAACCAACATCCAATGGCTGAAGTAGGTGTGAAGAGTGCGGAGGCATACAGAGTGTGATGATGTTGTGCTCCCGGCAGTAAGTCTCGAATTCTTCGGAGTGGTGGCTATCGTGGCCGTCGAGAATTAACAGTCGGTATATTCCCTTCGTACGAGATGCTGTGTGGAAATCGAAGTGCCGAATCCAATCCATGCCTTTCTCATTAGTAGTCCAGCCATTGTCGGTTGTTGCGATACGCCAGGTACCCGGAAGGTTGCACTCTTGATACCAGTTAGCAAGGTGATATTGCCCAGCTAAGATAATGAATGGTGGGATAGTCCAGCCTAGAGCATTCACTCCTTGGATGACTGTAGCCCACTCTCGATTACCAGGCTGGGCTTGCTTAGCCCTACCACGGCCATCAGAGGTAGTAACTACCATAGCGGGGATGATAATGCCCATCATAAAGCCGGTCTCGTCGAAATTGTACAAATCTTCGTCAAGGATACCGTACTTGGCCTTCGTGTTGTGCACAAGCGCAAACCACTCGCGAATAACTTTTGGATCTTCGCATTTGGCCCTCTGGTAGTCGTATTTACGCGTAAAACGCGTCCGAAGTTCTGGCTGGCGCTTGACGAAGTTGTGAGCCCAGCGTGTACCGACAGAGGGCGCGTCGCGTTCGCGTAGCAATCGATTGGCCATATCTTCTACGTACGAAAGCCGGGGATGAAATGCGCGCGCACATAGCTCAATGATGTACTGAACAATCGTTTTCTCTTCCAAATCCGTAAGCTTCCGCGAATTGGCTGGAGTATCACGTCGTGCAGGTTTGCCGTCGCGTCGGTTGCGTATAGTATTTACCATGACTTGATATGTTGTTGCTGCAGCTCGAATACTGAGTTTTGGGTCGTTTTGAATAGCCCTGAGGGCCAAATTCACCCTAGCTTCGTATGAAGGAAGAGACATTTGAGTTTGTTGAGGAATTTGGTGTTTTGTAGAGAGGAGGCGCGTCGCGTCAAAAGTGTTCAACTCGCTTGTCTGTTCATCTCGCTTATCACACACGTTATTTTATATATTTATCCCATATTACTAAAAGTGGATCTCGAGATTACTTCCTTCCTTATTTAGTATCTTCACTAGTACCTTTGAGTTTTCGTCCATCATTTCTTGGAAGCAGCGAATATGCTTCGTATTGAACCTTGCTAATTGGGCGCGGTGCTGCTGGAAGCAGCGCGAGGAATTCAGTGAATCGTTTGCAATCCGTTGCAGCCGAGAGAACGACAGCGTCGGCTGGACCAAAAGAGCCGCAAAGTGGGGTCTAGGCAGCGCGGGGTAGGCAAAGCGACCGAGTGCAGGGTAGGTCCTGCCGGGTGTAGGCTCGGGGGTGGCTCAGAGCTCCCTGTCTATATAACGAGAGCTGTCCTTTGTAGACTACTTTTCTAGATCGGAACTAAGACATAACCTTCAATTCGATCGACCCACCTTTTCTGCCGTTCGCCCTACCGTTTCCCGTTTCCAAGCTCCCTCAAGCTCTCTGTGAGACCGTCTTATGAACAGCTGGAAGACCCTGACGTGGGAGATATTTTCTTTTCTGGCCCGTGATCAAAGTTGACAGTGGCTTGAAGGGTCTTGAATTGTCTGCCTAAAAAAGGTCTAGAGATACAGGAAAAGAAGCCCCAATTTATACCCTAAAAAGTAAACAAAGGAAATCTCGTGATACTAGGAAGTGAGCGTCATAGAGGGCCTTTTAAGGTTCAACTCAGTTATGGCTCGGATGTGACTCAAATCTTAGGTGACATCCTTCATCTTGAGTAGGGATGAATGACACAGGTCTGCGGTGCTGTCTTGAAGGGTGCGTGTCAAGTGCAAAAGATGTGATTTCTCCGCGGCTTTTTTCACGGCTGGGAGTAGGTAGTCTCTTCGCCTCCACCGAGCTTTCTGACTGTTAGGCGTAACGCTTTCTGCGTCTTCGAGCCGTCGCGTGCTGTGAATAACCAAGGCATTGCCGGGGATTACCATGCCGTCGGGGGCATAAGTCAGGTGATCTGCTTATGGAACACCCCTGGATTTGGAACAAGGTTTGTCATCAAGGACTTGCCGCTCGCCACCCAACTCACCTATTTCAATCGCTTGCAACTCGACCAATTCTGCTTCAATACTTATCTTCTTTTCTCCATTCAATTGAGAAATGAAAGATAAAGCGATATACTCAGTTGGATTTGCAGAATGCGCTGGCAGAGTATGCAGAAACCGGTTTACTCCGTAGCTCTGCTGAAAATCACGGCATCCCCCCTACTACTCTCTTTAATCGGGTTCGTGGTTCCGAGCCAGCCTCCAAGGCCCAAATTCTTAATCAAAAGCTTTCTCCGGCTATGGAAGAACGCTTAACCGAATGGATTCTATTCCAAGGGTCGCTCGGTCACCCTCCAACCCACGCCCAAATTCGGAAACTAGCTAGAAGAATGCTCGAAGATAACGAGACCCTCGGAAAACGCTGGACTAGCCGGTTTTTGGCTAGAAATCCATCTTTTTCTACAATTAGGCCTCGGAGAAGCCATGCAAACCGTGCTGATCGAGCCTGTGAGGCCGTTATCCGGCCTTGGTTTGACTATTTGAAGCCTCCAGGCGTGGAGGCTATTCCAGCCAAGCATAGGTATAATATGGATGAAACTGGCATTGCTTCTGGCATTGGAGATAACGGCCTGGTTGTTGGATCTAAGGAAAGAAAAAAATTCCAGAAAAAGAAGAAAGGAGACCGAATTTGGACCTCGATTATCGAATGTATTTCCGCTGACGGCCGGTATTTGAACCCAGTCGTCATTTTCAAAGGTGGAAGCCTTCAACAACAATGGTATCCACGCGATTTACAGCCATTTAAGGGCTGGAAGTGGAAACCCACTGAAAACGGCTGGTCTGACGATGATACTGCCGTCGCATGGCTCCGCAATATCTTTCTTCCAGAGACTCGGCCAGCTACCCCCTCGGAGAAGCGCCTCCTTATTTTAGATGGCCACGGTAGTCATACCACCGAAGAATTCATGTGGCTAGCCTTTTCTAATAACGTACAATTGTTATTTCTACCAGCCCACACCTCCCACGTTCTCCAGCCCCTGGATTTATCGGTTTTCGGCCCTCTAAAAGCCCGGTACAGAGCCAAGCATAACGAGGTTGTTTCCGGCTTCGACGAAGGCACTGTTGCTGAAAAGAGGGCCTTCCTAGAATGCTACCGGCAAGCCAGGGTCTATGGAATGACTGAATCTAATATCAAAGCCGGCTGGAAAACTACAGGCCTCTGGCCGGTCAGCCTCAGGAAGCCCCTAAGCAACGGCCTTGTTATTAAGAATTCTAACGGCGACGTTGGTCAACTGACCTCTACGGTTTCTATAGACCTTCAAGAGGTCCATAACCCCATTCTAAATAAGAATTCGGAGGGCCGGCCTATATGGTTTACCCCTAAAAAGCCGAAGGATTTCCGTATTCAGGGGCAGGTTTTTCTAGCCGGCCAGAAACGGACTGCCAACGACCGACTTTTCATACGCAAGGCCGCAAAAGCCTTCGATTACGTGGTTTTCCAACTAGCCAATACGGCGCATCAATTGAAGGCTGCAGAAAAAAGCCTAGAACGCAGAAGAGGCCGAAAGAGAAGGAAGGTCCAAGTCGACCCTAATACGCAGTTCGCTGGAATTGAGGAGGTTCGTGCCTCACAGAGAGAGGCTGGCAGAGAGGACATTAGTTATTCTGAAAGAGAAGAATCAGGAGAATCCGATACTGAAGACTTCATCATTGTAGCTAATTAATTGACAAAGTTGTTGGCAATTGAAGTTTGTGGTGTTGTGCGGGGTCCGATTCAGGGGCTGTTCCATAGGCAGGGGTGTTCCAAAAGTCCCCCACCTGACTTATTTGACAACCCTTGCCTTTTCTAGAGATGGCACGCTTTGACAGCGCAAACATCCTTGAAAATATCAAGTTATTTCTGAGACTTGGACCTGAATGCAAGCGTCATGGAGCGCCAGAGTCTCAAGCAGGTGGTTCAGGCCCAAGGTAGACAGATTAATACGGGCGGCTGTATTGCCGCGGCCCTTCAAGTCACTTGCAGTTGCACGCATATATGTGGTATCGCCACCTTGCTAAACTATGACGCCTTTGCTCAGCTTCTATTACGCTCGCTTTTTATACGCCCGCTTTTCCTTCCTTCTGAAAATATATACTACCAACCTAGCTTACAATTTGGTCCAATGACTTTTCACCAAATCCGAAATTGGAATGCCTACCAATAGTCCCGCTCAGTCACACGTTCACCTACTCCCGCAAGAGTAGGCGGCAATGTAGGCCATCTAGCTAGAAACAGCCAGCCACGTCAAACATGGTCCCAGGTGGTCTTGTGCTCGCCAACCTTCCCGTCGGGATGGGCCCGGTCATGCACGCCCTTGAGACCATCAAAGGTGGCCTCGACCTTGTGCACGACGGCCTCGCGGATACGCTCCTCGCCGCGGTCCATCCATGTGTGCCAGCCCGCCTGGGAGAGGGGCCACAGCACGCGGTTCTCGGTCGACTCGATCCACTCGGCATTCCTGCGCTTGGGCCGGCTGGCGATGACGTCCATGTCGGCGGCGATCTGGGCGCAAAATGTCTCGAGCGGCAGGTCGTTGACGTCGCGGCCGAAGGGGTTCTCGATCTCGCGGCCGATGAAGAGGATGCCGAGGATGATGTAGGCGGCCGCCACGGTGCCCGGGATGGCGATCCAGCCCTTGAGCGGCTCGAGGAGCTGGAAGGGCAGGAGGATCACGTACACCCAGGTGATCTGGGCGATGGCGATGGAGTAGGCGATGGGCAGCGGCGTGCTGAGCACGCGGTCGGTGCCCGTCAGCACGTCGTTGAGCGTCATGATGTTGTTGTACGCCATGGTCTGGTGCATCGAGACGGGGAGCTGTCCGTTGGCTACGAGCTCATCAGTGAAGGCGGCTAGGTAGGACAGAATCTCCAGGGGAAGGTTGCCCAGGGGTCGCTCGGCGCGCTTGAGGGCCTTGCGCGGGTTGGACTCGGCAAAGGACACGCCGAGGTATTCGCCGACGCTCTTGAAGAAGCCCGGGTTCCGGTTGAGCGTCTTGTGCACCTTGTCGGGCTCATCCACCGTGGCAGCCTTAGCAAAGGTGTCGAGATGGGCCACGAGATGCTGGACATCGTCGTAGCAGGTGTAGGGTTCGAAGCGCAGCTTGTGCTTCAGCGCAACGCCGAAGGCCACGATCAGGTTGAGCGCGGTGCTGTTGAACACCTGTCAGCATAACACGCGGTGGCAACGAGACCGACTCTCCACTTCCACGTACAGCTTGGCGAGGAGATCCTTCTGGCCCTGCTCGCCCTGTCTCTCGGTAGCGTGCACCCAGTAGACGCGGCCCAGGTTCTGAGAAGCCAAGATAAGCTGGGCAAAGTAGCGGCGGCCTTCGGCATAGCGCTCGTATGCCGTGGAGCTGCGGAAGGACAGGCCCAAGCCGACGACGAAACCGAGGACGGTGAGCAGGATGCTGGAGATGTTGATGGGGCTCACTTTCATGTGGATCAGGGTCACAGCGGTGGCCCACGCCCCGACAGCGAGGAGGGGGAGGATTATCTTGGGCAGGATACTGCCGTGCAGCTGCATGAAGATGGGCCATTTGGAATGCTTTTGCATGTCTCGAGGCCCAGCAAAGTAGTCGTCCAGGTCCAACGACGTGTTCTTGCGACTGAACGGGTTGGGCGCCTGAACGCCGCGAGGCGACTGGAAGGGCGAGGCAATGTCCTCGGGAGCGGCAGCCTGGCTGTTGTTGTTGATAGCACCTGGTTTCCCACCCATCGCCATGGCCGGCCCCTGGGAGGCCTCGCCCGGAGCATTTGCCGTCTCGGCGGCGGGAGCTGCCGCACCACCACCGCCGCCGCCGCCACCATGCCCGCCGCCGTCGTCGCCCATTGTGGCACAAACACGTCTAGGCTAGGTATTATACCAAGAAAAGGCGGAGGAGGGTATCAATTGCAGTCAAGTGAAGCGCACAGTCGAGTGAAGCGCACCAAGAAGACTCAAGCCTGGCAGCCAGCTGCGCGAAGCCGGATTCGGTGCACTAAAAAAAAGGGAAGAGGTGACAAGGAGCGACGACCAGAAACAAGAAAGCAAGGTGAACTTGGCAAGAAGGGAGGGTCTGGACCTTTTTAGCTCCCATCAAGCCAAGAGCTCCGCGGCAATCAGAGCGGGCAGGGAACAAAGAGAGAATACGAATCGCCCCTGTCGCGTGCATCGTGAAAAGCGCTCAAATTGGGCGACAACACGCTGCAGGGGTCCTTCGCCTCGTTTCATTATTCTGGGGGAGCTTTCTTCCCTGCTGAGACCTAGCGTGCTGAGGCCTAGCGCCTGCAGTGCTCTCGGTAGTGGGGAGTGTCAGCAGCAGCCGCAGCGCGCACACGGAATGGCGAACCAGGAGCTAGAGAGCCAAGACCATCATACGTGGACCAACCAGGATCATACCCGCCCAATCCCTTGTAGTCTTGGCGGTGCAATTTGTCTCGTCTTCTCAAGCCCGGCTACGATGACTTTGATGAGAGGGACCACCTCAGATTTTGCAGCTCAGTGTGTGCAGAAGACAGTCCTGTCTACATCTACGAGTATTGATTGCACAGAGAACTGCTTACGAGAATGTAAACAGTCAAAGTTGACGACAGGACGAAGGCACGAGCAACAAGGGTACGTCGACAAAATTATCAGGGGGTCCCCGCCAGGTCCCCCCGACATTGCCAAGGCTCGAGCTCTGTTGTCGGTGCGCCTTCAGGGGGCTACCTTGCGCTACAAGGTAGCAATCCACCTGTATTCCTGAAAATCGTCCCTGAATGAAACCCAAGACTGTGCAAGCAATTGTTCACTTATTATACAAAACGATCTCACTTTTCCACCTTCATCCGCGGGCCAATCTCCTCTCGCAACGGCCGTAGCCTAAGCACACAGCAGACCTTTCGGATCAGCACGATCCTCCACCCGCCAGAAGGGGTGTAGGCCTGATTTATCCAGACTACTAGAGCAACTGCGTGGACAATCTGCAGTGTCTTGGGCCATGATGTCTTGGCGTCACAAGTGGTTGCACCTAGGTAATCGGTCACGCTGTGAGAGTTAGAGTTGATTGATCGCGCCGGGTTAGCACCGGGTTTATCAAAGCAAAGAGTGAGGCTCGCAGAGAGTATGTGCGATGCACGCGCACGACTTGTGGGTTGAGTGCACTCAATTGACCGTTTGTGAATTAGTTCAGAATTGATTGCTTCATTATTCTCTTCGGCTCTGTTGAAGAGACCTGTATTATGTATATAGACGGCGGCGAGGTGTCTATCCCTTTCTACCTGAGCCGAGCTACGCCAAGCTACGCCGAGCTACGCCAGCTAAACTATCCGTTCCTCTCTTTCCAATAGTTAGAACTGCTAAACTGCGTGCTCCTGGCAGGTCTGAACGCAGCGCCTGCATAGGGTTGCTGCAGTGGGCTCAGGTGCTGCAGCTGGGCGTTGCGGAAGCGGTGTCGTAGGTGACGGTACCGGGCTAATGTATCGGGCTGTACAAAGTAGGTCGGAGGGACCCGAAACACTAGTTACAACAGTAGGACTCAGGGAAGTTACAATAGTAGGGCTCAGGGAAGCAAGACGACCAACTCTGTAGGACCCTACCACAGGGACTAGACTATAGGGAACTCTACCCTGCAACCAAGCCTGCACCAAGACTTTAGAGAACTCTGCCCAGTAGTTGACCGTAAGACCTATGCCGTGTAGTCGAGAGCCTCGTAATGAGCTATGCACTATAAGACAGAGGAACTTGAACAGACAACCACAGAGCCCTCATAATCATTCACCTAGCAATGCGGTATTTCCAACATGGTGGCTGCCTAACGTAGACGTCACCAAGACTCCATGTGTCACATTATCTTTTGAGCTAAAGACCAAACCTCGCGGCTCGTTTAGGACTTGGAGTGTTTGGGAAAGAAAGGAGCTAGACGAATGTACGTAAGGCGACAGCCCGTCGAGATCTTCGTTTCCCTCCCCGGGCCACCCCCTGCATCTCCCGGGGTTCCTTGCAGAAGATACAACGACCACTTCAACAGCGCTCACAACCTGGTCCGCCCAACCCATACGTCAGTGACTCCCGACACGCCGGGCACGTCGCACAGGGCACCCCGGTGCTAAGATAAGTAGTACAGCCGTCGAATCTTGTCACTGTTGTTCGTGTCGGCCTCGGCTGCCGCGCCACTTCGCTCGAAGGTGAGGTGCAGATTGGAGGCAAGGTACAATCAAGGAACCGTGGACACTGCAGAGCGCGAGTCATCGTCGTGGAATGGTCTGGTCCACATGCTTCGGGCGTTGCCTGTGCTGCCCGAGCAATTGGAGAGGGGGGAATAGATGCTAGAATGCTATGATGGGCCGGTCAGCATGAGCTTGACGACGGAAAGTGGTTGTGGGAACGTACGGAAGCCCAAGCGAGACGATGTACCAAAATAGGTTCTGGAAGACATCCATGTTTTATGCAGTAGCTAGAGATCCTTTATACGTATAGCGCCTCGTTAGATGCTGGTGCGACATACGATTCTGAAGACCATGACCGCGTCTGGCGAAATTGAGAAAACCTGGGGTTTCTTACCGAGCTTTAAAAGGTCAAGTCTTTCAACCGGGGTGATAAATAGCCTACTCCCTAACCCGGTTAAATGAGATGTAGCCCGGGCCGCGCATGCGGCCGAGCCGGGGCATAGGTGGATCTACGGGCTACACTATTCCAGACCATCACCTTGTACTCACAGGGACCGGCTGTCGGAAAGCCCTCTTGATCGGTATTAATTGTTCCGGTCAACGCGGCCAGCTCAGGGGCTGCATTAACGATGTCAGGAACATGTCCGGCTATCTCGTCGAGAACTTTGGTTATAAGGGGGAGGATACGGTCATTCTTGCCGACGATCAGCAGAACCCCATAACCCAGCCAACGAAGCAGAACATTCTCAGAGCCATGTATTGGCTCGTTAAAGATGCCCGTCCAAACGACGCGCTCTTCTTCCATTACTCTGGTAAGCGAGCTCTAGTACTCTGTTTGGCACCGGATTCTAACCTTTGTGGAAGGTCACGGAAGCCAAACCAAGGATCTCGACGGTGATGAGGAAGACGGGTACGAGGTCATTTACCCGGTTGACTTCCGCCAAGTCGGCCATATTACCGACGACGAGATGCACCGTATCACGGTACGGCCGCTCCAAGCCGGTGTGCGTCTCACAGCTATCTTTGATTCTTGCCACTCTGGAACAGCGCTCGACCTGCCTTATATCTACTCCATCCAGGGTATCCTTAAGGAGGCTAATCTCGCTAAAGAGGCTGGCCAGGGCACGAAGGCTGGCCAGGGCCTCCTTCGTGCCATTTCGGCATATAGCCAGAGTGACCCAGGTAGTGTATCCAATAATATCTTGGGCTTCTTTAAGAAGGCTGCCGGTGGCGAGAATGCTCATGACCGCGCTATGGCTACAAAGACGTCTCCCGCCGACGTTATCATGTTCTCCGGAAGCAAGGATGATCAAACCTCGTTCGTATACCCCTCTATTATAATGATTTATCCTTAACGTTTTTTTTCACCTTCATACACTGCGTTTCATGACTGGGCATTTTGATGGGGTTTAGCTTGAGTTTCGTGTCTAGAGTGGCGGGTTGCGTTGGAACACCCTACCTGCTTCTTATCTTAACACCCCCAACACTCCTCCACAATTATCTTGTAGTAGGATGCCAGCTAACCACTCTACTCTAGTGCCGATGCAACGATTGCGTTACAAGCCACTGTTCCCATGTCATGGGCATTCATCACCGCGTGGAAGAAAATCCCCCAGCAGAGCTATGTTGAACTATTGAGTAGCATCTAAGACGAACTGCAAACTCAGCATGCCCAAAAAGGGGCAGCTCTCCTACTCTCACCCTCTCGGTACGTGTCTTCAAGTCTCGCGCTAGCATTCCACTATTTAGATCGCCTGACAGAAAGTAGATCTAAACCTCTTGTTTGCGATATGACTGGGGTTTCCAACGAAGAGCCCTGAGAGAACGCGCTGGGTTGTGGGTTGGAGCCAAATCGTGTTTCATAAGGTGAGCCGATACAGCCCTCGGGGGCGGGGCGGATACCCGAAATTAGAATCTATAGCAACTGATTCGCTACAAGGGATGATGGGGCTACGAGAGGAATAATAAAGTGTAGATAGACCTATAGTCTACCGAGAAAAGCACCGTGATTTACACCTATACGGCTATATGTTGGTTGTAGAAATTGGAAACTGCTTCTTTAATGATTGGTACCCATTTGAATCCTATCCTTCTTTTGATATGGAAAGGTTAGTTGCTCTTTATAACAAGTCTCCCAGAAGCGTCTGGGCCCGGGGGCCTTGTTTCGTGTCTGAAGACATGTGCCCCGCTGGCTAGGGCGGATTGTAATATTACCCTGCTGACTTTATATAGAGAGAGTGCATACTCCTCCAAGAGAGAATTGAGGCTGTCGGTTACTTACTAAACAACCTTGCGGCAGGGAAATGCCCGAAGGGTATTCAAGATGTTAGAAAAGGCAAGCTCAGGTCTATGAGGACCTGGTTCGGAAAACGAATTACCTCTGACATCTCTCTTTTGTTGTAAAGTCCCAGCAAGCGACGTATTTACTGATAGCTCGAGTGGCTTTGTCCGTAGGCACAGGGCCAGGCATCTTCTTGGCCAACTCGGGCGTGTTTCCCGCATACAAAGACAGCTTCCCCTAGAGCAGCTTCGTGCAATGGTACGAGAACGTCCATATCCCCGACTGGATGGGTGCCAAGGCCGGGGCCATCACGTCGGCCTGGAGATACCATCGCTTGACGTGGACCACGACCTCCGTTTCTTGTCGCCTACAAATACCGCGACATCTCAGCATTGAACTTACTCGAGTTTATGAACGTCACGCTCAATCGTCTTTCGTTGCCCTGAGGGTGAACCAATCACCGAGTTTGCCAATATCACGGCCATGGCGGGCCCGCATATTGAGACTTTGGGGGTGGGGGTGTCGGTGGTGGAAGCGTCGGTGGTGGCGGGTTTTCCTTATCTCACTCCCCGAACTCTATTTTATACCGCATTTTCTTAATATTGACACTTGCAGCAACAGAGCGAGGCCCGCTCCTGGTGATAGAGGGCTTATTTGGCACGTCTAACGAGATCAAGGAAATTGAGAGGACGTTTAAGAGAGTTGATATGGCAATATGGAAGCTTATGGGCCTACGGTGATGGGGAAGCAGCCTGGGGCTACTGAGGCGGAGATAGGGTTGTGAACTAGCCAAACCCTAGTGGCTAATGCCCTAGTTGCTAATGGTGGAACGTCCTCGGATTGGCATGGAACATGACTTGTTTGGCCTATATGTGGAAACATGAGCCTGGTGGCCGAAATTCTTATACTCCAATACTATGACTAGGTATATATGCACTTTGACTTAACAATTGTCCATTCACAAGTGGTATCCTTCGCAAAATTCTCTAGGCGCTATATCCATTTCTACCAAGAAATCAAATTACCCTTGCCGCCTTTCCTTTTATTACACCTCCGCATCCCATCTGTATCTCGTATATCGCAGTTAACAGTTCATTAACGCCCGGCGACAATGCTCCACCAGCAGCAACTCGACTGCTGAAACTCTGACTCGGACTGCTCAAACTCTGAGTCGGACTGCTCAAACTCTGAGTCGGACTGCTCAAACTCTGACTCGGACTGCTCAAACTCTGACTCGGACTGCTGAAACTCTGACTCGGACTGCTCGTACTCCTGCTGTGGTAGGCCCCCGCCCCTAGTCTCATCGAAAGTCGTCCTGCCGCCCGTTGTTGTGCATATCCAGCGGGTTGCCCGTATGCCGGTAGAGGACTCCCCTACAGACTCGGGCTCGAATACGAATGCTGCCCAGATTGGAGCATGGTACTCGCTTCACTGAGCCGAGGGCTCCCCGGCTGATGCGGTGATAGCTGGTCCTGTCCAAGGTCCCGTGGCGATGGCTGTGGCTGTAAATATTGCGCCGGAACGGGATTGCTATCCCCGTTATCCATCTCAATATACTCCTGCCCCGGATTAGGACGCATCTCCCGCTCGTAGGCCGGTAGTTCAGTTTTATAGCCCGTGTATACCACTATGGGTGTGCTCGGTGTGCCGAACTCGGCGACGGGTGGCTGCCCTGGGATGCTCTGGTACTGGTACGTGTTGGAATAGGGATGCGCCGGTGGGCTCGGGGGGTAGCTGCTCATGTCCTCGGGGGGGTAGGGTTGGTTGTAAGGGCGTCCTGGTGGCGGGAGGCCAAGTGGTTGTTTCCGTTTTCGGTGTTTCCGGCACCAGAGGACGAGAGTCGCGAGCAAGGCGATGAGAATGATGCCGCCTATGGCAGCGCCGACGCCGATGCCTGCTTTGGCGGCCGTCGAGAGCTCTGAGCCGCCTGCGGCCGTCGAGGGATCTGAGCTGCCGGGCCCTGGTTTGGAGACACCGGTCCCCACGATGCCGGCGGTTGTGCCAGGAGTGTAGCCGGCTACAGGCGCCGTCGGTGGGACAAAGTTATTCTGCCAGAAGATGGAACTCCCTGACAGGGTCGGGAGCGATGCGTATGCGGGGAGGGATGAGGAGCCTGCGTACAGGACGTCGGTCGACGCGCAATACGGAGTGCAGGCGGCCAGGGGGAGCTTGACCAGATCTGTCGAGTTGACGTCGACGATGCAGCCGGTCCAATTAGTGACGCCATCAGCATCGCTGTCAGCGTTGAGGCTCTTGCAGGCTTGGTTGATGGCGACCCATTCTTGCTCGTGGAACGGGGGCGGCTTGTGAAGGCAGTTGGGCGAGACGAACGAGGGGTCGGTGCAACCGGCGACGTACGTGTTTCCGGCTGTGAAGGGCTGTGTTGGACTTTGCGACCCACGACGGCGGAGGAATGATGGAACTTACACTTTGCATCCCAGCACGCGTTCGCATCGCCCAGCGACAGGCAGTAGCTTCCCGCCTTGCAGCATGGCCAGGTCTCTATTAGCTCGTTCCCACAGGGGATAAAGTCCCCCTTTGTGACCGTGTTCTCGGCATAATAGCACGTTCCGTTCGCAATGTTCGGATTGATGGTCGACATGTTTTGCGTCTGGTCGTGTCAGGTCCAGGCCGACAGCGTGCGGGGAACATGGACGATTCGAGGGTCCTCGTGGCAGGTGTGCAATTTGGGTCACGGGAAAAGGAAAGGGAGACAGGTCGGGGGATTTAGAGTTACGACGCAGAGCGGGCAGTGCATAAGATGAGGGGCCGGGCCGGCAGGCCACTCGCCCCCTGGGTCGAGCCGTTCTGGACCCAGTAGGCAGCGACAAATGGGAGACGGGGCGGCCTCGGTGCGCCAGCGAGAGATGCGCGATTCTGTGTACGTCCTCAGAGCCTATGGGAACCCTCAGAATACCCCAAGCGAAACACGACTAACTGCGCCACATGCACCACGTCGGAGAATTGCCGAATTAGATGATAGTCCACAGCCTTGGGGCTGAGCCTTTACCCGAGACACGCCCTGCTCGAATGTCATCCTATCCGGGAATCGCGATTGTCAATCTTGTCGGTTCGCGTATAAATAAATGAGCTGGATCCCGTTCTCTGACATGACCTCGCCGACAAGCCGCAGCCTCGCATCCCACGTGCAGAATGTCAAGGCCAACGGCTGGCGGCGGTTGTTGAAGGTGGATTCGCGGCCCTGGCCGCAAGGCCGCTGTTTGGTGGTGTGCCGACCCAACCAACCCTTCGATTTGCCCATCTGGGGTTACACATGGCTCAACTTTCCCCGGCCGACATGATCCCAACTTTATGCATTTCGCTGGAAATACCTCAATCACTGTGATATCCACTCGTTAACGTACGTGAGATGCTGATTATAGTCTAGGACACACAGATTTGGGTAATGGTCAAGCGAGGTGGACACATCGTTTCCCGTTTCCGCTGACGCCTACCTTTACCATATTACCAAGAGACTATCATCAATATTCCCGCCTACCAAGTCATGAGAACATGGAGAAAGTCCAATGCTTAACTATTTCCATGGTTCCATCATTCAGTGGCACGATTGTTCATTGGTCTTGTCTTGCATAAAAGCGGTAGCCAATGCTAAGGCTTGGCACAACTTGCTTTGCATCATTTCTCTTGCACAATTGCCGCATTCAAGGCCCGAGCTTTATACATGTCCCGCCGTGGCCTGGGCGCATCCATCTCAACCCGTGAGATGCCGAGTTCCGCTATGCCGCGACAGACTCGATCGACATGTAACAGAGTATTATAGCTCGGGAGCACCTCTCCAAGCAGGCAGAAGCGACACCAAAAGCATCAGAGGCGTTGCCGTTCATTACGTTTGTCTGTAACGTTTTGTCTGTTATGAATTTTATTCTGCAAAGCTACATATTCATGGAGTTCCGGTTTTAGGCCACCCCCCTTTCCCATAATGAACAGGCTGTGGTTTTCTTCACTCCGCGCCCGAGGCATGTTAAACACTACGATAAGTTAACGGTATTTAGGGACTAGCTGTTTCCTACTATTATTAAAGAAGTTTAGAGATTCCTAGGATTTATTCACTTTACTAAATGGCTTAAGAAGTTTGAGTAGTATTCTAAACCCTTAGTAGATCTAATAAAAGGGGGGACCCCTTTATATAATTTCTAGAGTGCTGATAAGCCATCGAATAGATTGAGAGGGTAGCTCTCAAGGAGCTAGCTGTTACGATCCCGGCTCAGGTGTGTAGGCGGCGTCTTCGGGAGGCAACAGAAGGTGCTGAAGAAGACTAAGAGGAGTTGTGTTATAGAAGGACCATAGTATAAAGAGTGGTGAGTGCGTTTTGTCAAAGTTAACTATACGTTACAAGTAACGTAGGACGCCTTTTCCTGATTCAATCACATGCATCACATGTGCCCGCTGGCTTCGAATTTACGCGGCCCTTCCAAAACATGACCAGCACCTGCTCGCGCGAACAGTCAACTCAATAGCCCACCGGAATACATTCCTCAACGAGTCGCGACCAGCACGGCTCTTTAATTTCTTCTTAGCATCACTAGCCTTAGCCAGGCCACCAGCGGGCATCGTCTCCGCCGCCCCCACCGCCTCCGCTTTTCTTCTTCTTATCGTCCTCTTCCTTCGCCTCCTTTGCTGCTGCATCGGCTCCCTTCGTCTTCTGCACCTTGGGCTTTGCGACTCTAGCTTCACGCTCGGCCTGACTGTCAGGATTGACGAGAATGACGTTGTTTCGAGCTGCCGTGAGTCCATAGTAGTGGAAATTGTACCGCCAGTTCTATAACCGGAGGGTGGCATTAGTGAGCCGGACCGTGGTGTGGGGATCTGGGTCAGAGCCAGAAGGGTTGGTCGTGGGATGAGGGCCATCCCTGGGTAGCAGGCGGTAAGAGATGGACTTATTCTTCGTGAAAAAGTTGAAAGCAACCGATGGTACCACTGAACCTGGGGTGGGATACAGCTGATCCTTCCGCCGGGAACTTGAGGATCAGGCTGGCCTGGAGGGGCTTATTATCAAGCTTACATGACTTCGGCCAGGTGAGGTCGGGAAGTGGTTCAAGACTCTTTTTTCCCTGGCAAGCGGCACAACGCAGTACAGAACTGGCTCCTGCTCGTCCGTGCCACGATCCTAGTGTTTCTAGTTGCGGAGCTTGTATGGTCCTTGGAGAAAAGAGCTTCAAATCTGTGAGGTTCAAGCACGGCGACAGGAGAGCCAAAAAGGGTGGTAAATTCGTGGTAGTTGCCCCTGGTTAGCAATGCATGTTAGGACTTTGGTAGGGGAACCCAAGTGCCTCCAAGTTCCGAAAAGCCACCGTAAAAAGAGCCAGACGGCCCACCGAAAAGCCCAAGTATAGTCAAGGTGCCTGCTCTGCATCCCCGGGTGTTAGGGGGGTTAGCGCAGACTGACTCCCACTTTAGTTGGAATTCTACTTGAACGGTAAACTTACATACAATTAGTCTAGTCTAAGAGGTCCGGCTTGTTTCAAGTGCCCAAACTCAAAATAGACCCACCGACTCAGGCCCCCAGGCCGCCACTTAATCATTAGTCGTGTGTGTGTCATGGTAAAGTGTCGCCCACTTTTGAGCCACTTTTGAGCCACACTGTCAAGTCACATCCCTACGTATCCCTTCATTCGTTCCTTTCAGCCCTAATCCCTTTTTTCGGGCTCCCGGACTTCCGAATACCCTCTTTTTTTCTCCCTTACTACGGCTGAGTCCCTTACGTAGTACGACTGAACAGACTGTTGAACCAGGTTTCCTTTGTCCTTTTCTTGGGAGCATAAAAAGCCTTCTTTCCTGTATTATTAGATAGGATTAAGACAGACAATTCAAGACCCTTCAAGCCACTGTCAACTTTGATCACGGACCAGATAAAGGATCATTCTTCGCGCTGAGAACTGGAAAATGCACTCAGCAGCTGCAGTGGAATTATAATGGCCACGCACTAGAGCCCTAGTCCACCCTCGGCGTACGAGCAGCACAACCTCCTGTATGAGGAATTCAGTGGGTACAGGAAAAGAGGCTTCCACCTAGTCAGTATTCATGACACCTTCCAGAGAACTCTGACCAAGTACACTGTCGTCTACAAACTCGGCTACGGAGGGTTTGCTGATGTGTGGTTAGTCAAGGTGACCAACACGATCCAAATGGGCACAAGGCACGTTCGATTCTTCATTCTGGACGGCCGAGAATCTGACCCGGACTGATGCCGTCTCTAGAATCTCAGGTGAGAGTCTGAGATGCCGGTGGTTCTCGCTGAAGATGCTCAGTGGCGACGCCTCCTGGTCCTAGAAAGCAGCGCATGAACGAGCCGCTCTGGGCAAGGCTGTCTGTCCACCAAAAACTACGGCCGTCTTCGCAGAATTTTCTTCAAACCTTCTCACCAGATAACAAATTCATCAATACCGAGTGAAACACTGTCTTACTCTATACGTATATCCGGTATTCGCCGCGTTCAGTCTTGCTAAGAGAGAGAGCACCGATGCCACCGAGACAGAGGGCGGCAGAGGGCGGCAGACATCTCCTCATATCTAGCAACCTGCACAGCAGCGCCGATCATTCTAGTTCACGCCGACACCAACCTGACTCCAGAGTTTCCATGGCTGCGTGCTGTCTACGCTTGGCCAAACTTCTTATCTAAATGCAACCACCTCGAAACCAACAGTTGATCCCGTCGATGCTGCCACCCCAATACTGCGGCGCAAAATAGGCACTGTGAAAAAATGCAGCACGAACAGGAGAGGAGAATCCGGCAAACAGAATACGCTAGGTAATCTACCGTTGGCTAAGCACCTTTGGAAGCGCGGCGTGATAAGGGGAACACATGTTTCGTGCCTGTAGGTGCACCAGTGTACCTAGATACCGATTATGCACAAGTCAACCCCTTGTACAAGAACCCGCCCTTCTTCTGTAACAAAATCCTCTGCATTGAAGTCCTCATGCCACTCGTATGCTCCTCCAACTCCCGCGCAGTCGGGCTCTTGTTGTGTGTATTCTTCAGATAGTCCTCGCTCTCGTACGCGGCAAGCGTCCACAGCTTGTCCTTGTTGCCGGGGTCCGTGTATATCCCAAACGCAAGAGTCCCGCTCTCGTTGCGCGATGCATCTACTTCCTCCTCCCAGTGGTCAATGACGTGGTGGACGCCGCCTTCCATGTAGGTCAGGGCCTCGACGACGATGTACGGGTCGGCGACCTTGGCGAACTCGGGTTTCACGAAGCTCTGGCCGCTGATGACGGTGAAGTTCTGGACGGTTGGGTTGTGGGCCCAGATGTTGGGGGTGTCCTGGGACCACTTCAATAGTGAGGTCGACACGATGTCGGCCGCGAGGTGCTTGTTGAGAGCTTCGTCATCGTCGTATCTGCGTGTCGCGTCGGCTCAGCTGCGAATTTCTAGCTTGACAAATTACTCACTGTTCGATCGAGTACGCCGTAAGGTTGTCGCCGCCGCCACGGGGTATGACGAGCGCGTGCTTGGTCACGCCGGGTTCGTTCGTGCACGACCAACGAGATATGTTGTCCATGCGGCTGATCAACTGAGGCAGATTTACTATTAGCTGCTGCTCCGAGCAAGCTCTTGAATTGAGCTCCATGTATACCTCATCTCTGAACACGGTGCTGGACGTTGGGAACAATTTGAGATAGAACACCGGAGCTCCCGCGGCCGATACGTGTTGAATCGACAAGCCGAGTGGGACCAGCAGGCTGAGAAAATGCATCATGACAATTAGATTCCGTCGTCCACCTGGTGTTAGTATTTACCGTGCAAGCTACGGGCAACTCGTACGGGCGAAGAGCGGGCTCGCTTTTATAATTGCTAGTTTGGGCTCATACAGGCTATACAGCTATTTACCGTTTCCATACTGCCAGTAACCTCTATCCTTTCCGGTTAAGATGTGTGACCTTGAGCAAGTTATAATTGGGTGGGGCATTTGGATGTACTCAAAGTAAATGAAGTGCATCTGCCGCATGGTCGGTGTTGCCCCGGGGAACACATTTATCCCTGGACCCTTGCGTGGATTTAGAACAAGGTTGAGACGAGAAGTTGCTCTGTCCATCTAGACTTGACACATTACAGCACCACCAGACGCTCGCGGATTTGCGCCAATGGAGCGTCGGATTTAGGAGGAACCTATCTCTTCGGCCTTGTGGGTTGCTATCTATGGATACCAGGCGTTTGGACAAATTGTTCTATTCTGATCACATCATGGTTAGGCATTATTTTACAGGCTTATTTACAGGCTTATTAATTAGGTAGGTCGCACTTGGTAGGTGACACCGCAGCGCCTGTGCCGTGCTAGTCAGCGCATTGCTCGCCCCTGGGGCTCATTGGAGTTTTGGATTTCTGGGGTCGCTAGGGAGTTTCCCGATTAGCGGAACAGTGTGGCGGTACCGGGCTGCGATTCCAACTGCCGCGCCCTGCTAGAAGTCTAGAGCTAACCGACTTGCCCCGCTAATTAGAGTCAGGTCTAGCCCTTGGTCACACTATACCCGCGGGAGCGGATTGAGGGGGCTACACTCGACTAATTGGTCCGGTAGCACTGCATATCGACCCTGTCCGAACAATTCGTCTCGAGACGGCACCTTCATCATCATACTAGTAGGTGGGATTATCTCTTGCTAAACTGCGTGCCTGATAGGCCTGTAAGAGGGCACCTGTATAGGGCGCTACAGTGGGCTCGGCACTGTAGCTGGCGGAGCAGAAGCGGTAGCGAAGGCGGGCGGCCAGCAGAAAACCTTATCGGTATCGCGAAACCTTGTCGGTATCGCGAAGCCTTGTCGGTATCGCGAAGCCTTGTCGGTATCGCGAAGCCTTGTCGGCTACGACCGCAACATAAGATGCCTCCAATGGAGGCTCCTTGCTCCCGTTCTTCTCTCCCTTCTTAATAATACCGAGGGGGGCGACTGAATTCTCGGTATCACTACGTCGAGTACCATCGCCCAAAGATCGAGTCTTTGAGGTGTGGAAGCTACGGTTCCTAGGGACCCAGACCTAGTTGGTCGCCGGTGAGGGAGACAGGGCGAAGACCGACCCATGATCCCCCTGGAAGAGTTCGGGTCGGTAATTTTGTGTAAATTTCAAGCATTCACCGCCACGAGGCAAGTAAAACACAGAGCAGGCATGGCTATGACTATTCCTTTGGGCTACCTTTATCTTCCGAGGCAACGCAATCCATATATCCTTTATTATCTACCGGCCACCTTAGATGGTGAAGGTGGAAGTTCTCGCCAACTCCCGCATCGGGTCCATCGAGCGTCTTGTATGCCCAGGCTCTGCTTTGTCCCCTGTGCTAGGCACAGGCCAAGCCTGGCCTAGCCTGGACCACCTAATGGTCCATGCACCACCAGCCTATCCCTCCACCATAGACTTTTCGCCTGCGGGCAGATAGTTTAGATTCCTCAAGCAATCAACAACTTTTCCTAGTAACAGTGCACCTCGCATATCCCCCAAGTGGTAACCACACTGCAGCAGTTTCTTCTCGGGCGGCCGCGTGGTGTCGTGTGCTGTGCTCGCTCCACTCGGTCGGTGACTCCACCGGTGCACCACGCTCAGCAGACCAGAAGTCTATGTTGGATGGGCGTGGTCGTAGCGCTCGTAGCGACCTTCACTATTGGAGATTGGGGGTGGAAGGAACCGGGTGTGCTGGTACCACCCGAAGGGCGCTGTATACCTTTCGGCCCGCTGACGCGCCGATTCGATCATGCGGATCTCGCGGAAGAGGTAGCGGCCGGGCATCACGGCCTCCACCACTACGGCGATGGCTTCTTCGCTGTGGGTTGCGTGGGTTGTGACCGAGACTTCTCTGCTGGCGAACAATCGGTCGAGGTATTGGAGGAAATCCACCAAGTAGCCAGTCCAGGCAGGGGCCTTTCCAGGCTCCTCCTCCAGTGCAGCAGGACGAACAGGCAGCACGATGACGAGGCCCGGCTTCACAACGCCGTACAGCACTGCTTCAGCCTCCTCGTTGATCTGCCTGCAGGGCAGTTCTCGGTTTCCGAAGAAGATTGAGATGCTGGTGTCTGTCTTGGCTCTCGCGGTAGTCGAGGGCGGGACAACAATGGTACTGTCAGTGGGATTCGCGATTGTCGACGACGGCGCTGATTGATCACCTAGCATGCTTGACGTGGAGGGCGTTTAGGTCTGCAAAAGCCAGGGCCGTAATAGTCAAAGTTGGTGTCGTTGTCTTGTTGCGCGGGAATCTCTGCGAGTGCGACGTGACTTGCGAGATTGGGTTCGGGAGCGGTTGGCGGTGCGGGGAAAAGGAAAAGGAAAAGGAAATGTAGCCCTACTGCTAGTTCAGGTCTGAGTTCAAAATCATTTTCGCACTACAGCTCCCCGCATCAGAACATACAACTCGTGATACACCAGAGTCACTGCCAAAACATGTCGGTTAGTCTTGGTGAGGGAAGCATCGTGATGGTGGTCGTCCTGAACGTCCTGTTACGGGGGTCGTCCTGCACGTCCTGTTACGGCGTAACGGGCTGCTGCCACACCTTAAGGCTTCTAAATCGCCTACCTGGCCCCCTAGACGGTCCCATGCCTGTTCCAGTGTCTCTGGGGAACGCGCAGGGACCTAGTTGCAAGATATTAGGTGAGCAATTTAGAAGCCCTAACGAGACCCAGTATTTTGAAAGTAAGGGGGGGGGATTCCGTTACAAAATGGAAACTTCTGGGTAGATTTCAGAGGCTTTTGCTTATAAAATAAAATTCAAAACGAAAATAACATAAATAATCTTATCAAATTTCTCAACGCTTCTTATCGATATATAGATGTACTTTTTGGATTTGAATCGGCCTAGGACTTGGTTGTAGCTACGTATTTATATGCTGTTGTGAGAGGCTAGGTTGAAGACTTTGAAAGTTTGGAAAACCGTGGCAAATCCGATGTGTTTGATAACCATTTTTGGCTAAAAAGTTGGGCTTCCTCTGTTGGTTTTAACAAGCAACAGCAGACAAAGAGATGCTCGCTGCCTGGTACTCTGGGTGACAACAGCCATATGGGCGCAAGCCTCACAATACGTTCCGCTCCATTTCAACCGCCTTCTTGGCCCGTCGGGTACAAGATGTGACCAACCACTTTCGCGACGGGCGAAGCCGACATTGTGTTCCAGTTGAACGTCAAGGCACCGTTAGTTGACGCCCAGCTCCAAGAAGGCGTAGAGGTCGGCCTTAACCTCGGACATAACCTCGGACATATTCGATTTATTTTTATAGAGCCCCCCAAAACGAAATTGATGGCCTTTTATTCCCTCGAGGAATGTATCGCCGGCATCTGGTATCTCAGTGCAGCTCCAGAAAATATAGCCCATACCGAAGCACAAGACTGGAGGGGAGAGGAAATGCTCTTCCAATACCCAACCGCGAGTGTTGAGCGGCAGCTCCCCAAAAGCTTTGCGGAGGTCTTTTCCAAGAATGGTAGACACGTAGGTATCCAACTACTAGACACGTAGGTATCCGACTGCATTAGCTGGCTGCCCTCTCCAAAGGGGGCCGGGTCCTGTCTATGTTGAAGGGCCGTGTTACATGAGCGGGCTAGGTGCCTCGGCAGGCCTAGTTTGGATTGGCAGCCCCGGACAGCGAGACGTTGAGGTTGCGGTTGGAATAGACGTCGTGCATCTTGGCCGACTCGGAACGCCAGTCTTGGGTGCTCCCGGGGCCGGACTGGATGATGCAAAGCGAGTCTATCTACAAGTATTAGATGCTGATGCTCTTGACAAATTGCGAACCTCGACGAAGGCCCTGGGAAGGTCGGAATGCTGGATCCCGGCCTGACGAAAGTTGGTCAGACTCGCAGCCTCGAGACGTATAAAGCCGGGATTGAGGCCCTAGCAGTAGCTGAGTGTGGTGTAGGGGCCAGAGACGTGTTTCTTGGTGGGTAGGATGAGGTGGACCTTGGACTCGCCTAGCTCAAGGAGACCCGTCGGATAGACTGTGGGTTGGTTATTGTGGCTGCACTTTTGGTGCGTGCCGTCGCATCCGTTGAGCCAGTCTTGTGCACGTCCGATCAGAGCTGGCGATGCATGCCTAAAGTCTATGGGTGCTCTGTCGGAATACTCGAGTCGAATTTGACGTCCTCGTAGATGAGATACTCTTCGCGCAAAGGCACTACGGTATCAGAACCAGGACCCAGGGGATATCGTAGCTTTTGCAAATGAAGCAGCGTGTCGAGAGCGTGGTACTAGTATTAATATCGACTTGGGCGCCCTGCAAGTGCAGGCGAGTGTCTCTACGAAGCAGGTGCAAATAGCGCAACCACTTTCGACCCCTTGCATTAGCGACGCGGCGTCTTCATGGTGCGGACTTCCGTAGTCAAAATCGCCCTGCAACGCGAGGGAGCACTTCTCGCAGATCATTGCGCGTGTCGTGGCCGAGGGAATTGGTTTGGGTTGAAAAGAAGAGGTAAAGGTTAATTAAGGTCAAAGGTGAGATTCTCCAATCTTGACTCCTGCCGAGTTCCAACGGTCACGTGTATTTTTAGATAAGGTGATTAGTTGATTAGTCCCCTTACGGTCATGGTAAATCAGGTACTGACAGACCGCACCACCTCGTGCTTTCAGTTCTTGAAATTTTAGGCTATTCGATCGACTTCTTTTCCTACAGGGCCTGAACTCGACTCAAGCTCACAAAGTTTCGCCTTCATGTCTTCCGAGGCAATATTTTGAACAGATCGCCGATGAGCCTCTCCAAGAATGGAATCCAGCAATTAACCAGCCCAGGCCTAGACTAGACGAACGTCTTCAACTCGTCGCAGTATCCCTGTGCAACAGCCTCATAGCCGCAAAACTCCACAATCCTCTTCATCTCCTCGTCCTCGGTGCGCTTACTCACCACATGACATGCATCCAAAGTCAACCGCACCGCACGAACGCCTCCAGCCTCCAGTCGACCTCATCCTCTCCAAATCCTCCGTCCACCCTTGGGCCTCGGGCATGGATTGCCCCGCATATGTCTCCGCCAGACATCACAAAATGTCTCCGTAGTTGCTCCGCAACTCCTCCCCAAGTCCCTAATCCGTCCAAAGTGCCCTAATCAATCAATCATATTATGTCTCCGAGGAACTCTCCCTGTCGCATCACGAAACGACGGCGTAGACTCTATAAAGAGCTCTCTCTGGATTTGCTCGATATAGCAAAAGCAAAACACTCAAGAAATTCCCAACTTGCTAAACTCCCTCTTCTTCATCAAGACCAACACAAACAAAACGGAAGTCGGCTCAAACACCTACCACAGCCTCGCCTGCACTACTCCAATGTCTGTCCCCACTGTTGTCTTCATTACCGGCGCAAGCAGAGGCGAGTATCTGCACCATTTGCCCCTCCCGTAGCAAGCACTGAAGAATTGAAGGAGGCCTACGCTCACCCGTAGCCGTCTAAGCTAACGTTGTCTCTGTCCGCCGACTATGCAGGAATCGGCAAGACACTGGTCCAGACCTATCTTGCTCGGCCCAACCACATCGTCGTCGGTAGCGTCCGTGACACGGCCTCGCCCAACGCCGAGGCCCTCAGGTCGCTGCCTGCCGCCGACGGAAGCCGCCTGCTGCTGGTCAAGATCGAGAGCACCTCATACGCCGACCCCGCCGCTGCCGTGCGCGAGCTCGAGGCCGCCGGCATCGGCCACGTCGACATTATTATCGCCAACGCTGGCGGCACCGGCGGCGGCATAGCCCCTCTAACCACCGTCACCCCTGGGAACGTGGCCGACGTCCTCGCCCTGAACGCGCTGGGCCCTCTCGCTCTGTACCAGGCTTTCCTGTCTCTGCTGAAGAAGTCGCCGGCGCCCAAATGGGTGTCCGTATCCAGCGCCGTGGCCTCCATTGGCAACATGGAGAACTTCCACTCCCACGTCGCTCCCGCCTACGGCATCGGCAAGGCCGCGCTGAACTGGATCACCGTGTATGTCCATCTTCAAAAGGCACTGCGAACGATTCAATTGGGATATGGCTGACTGTGCCCCAAAATTAGAGCCGCGCACTGCGGCAACAAGGAGCTCATCGCGTTTGTCCTGCACCCTGGGTAAGCAAACAAGCACGCCCACCACTCCAACAGAAAATCTCCCAACCCCAATCCAGCCCTGGGAGGATAGAAACGGGAAAAAGGAAAAAAGACCAAGGATCTGACCGCCTTGGCACAGCCTGGTCCAGACCGACATGGGCAACCGGGCCGCCAGGGGCATGGGCCTGCCCCAGGCGCCCATCACCCTTCAGCAGAGCGCCGACGCCATCATCAAGCTGGTAAGCTTCCCGGTCAAAACAGTCGCTCCCGTCCTTGTTGCCTACGGGAAATACAAAGAAGAATTCAAATCAGCACAGCTCTAACTGCGAACTCTTAACCAGACCGACGAGGCCACACGCGAAAAGACTTCGGCCAGGTTCTTTGACGCCATCCAGGGCACCGAGATTCCCTGGTGAACTCATCTCTTTCTACAAGGGCTATTCGCTGGGAGCCTTGTGACGTGATTAATTATCCTACTGGATGAGCAAGGTTACCCATTTCCCAGTTGAGTAGCGAGTCTAGAGTAAATAAGTCTGAAAGAAAGTCGAATAATACCTATATAATTAATCACCCCCCAGAGCATAACTCTAATGTACCCGAGTCAAATAAAAATCAGCCCAGTGCCCCAAAAGGGTGAAGAGGAGAGTGGAACGCCGGGGACATTGAGCCTTTTTGGGCCGATATACCCAGCTAGGATTGGCGGAGGCACCCAGACACCGAGCTTTACCGCAGTGTCTCGGAATACCAGCGGCTACTCTCCGATTGGGTTGCCATGCGACAACAAGAGATGGCGGATGACGACGGCTAGCCCGGCCGAAAAAAAGACGAAAGACGCACGCCGTTCTATTATTCCTACGTACCCAGGCAACCGTTTGAGATTTATCATCTCCGAGCAGCAGCAGAAGCAGCCTCCAGTGGCCATCGTGGGCCAAATTGAGGGAGATACTCAGCTTCGACCGCGCTCTCTGTTGCCCTCCCTACAGATCAACCCCTTCTGCCGAGCCCGGGCCTCGGGGGACCTCGGAGAATCTGTGGGTTACCTAGGTGTAGTGATTTCGTTGTCATTATACTTCAAGCTACCTAGCTAGGATGCATAACTTACCCTTCAAATCCTTCAATGCAGCAGCAGCGGTTCTCGGTGTGTAATCTCAGCAGCCCCTTCCAGAATAACGAGGTTTGCCGTATTGGGTGCGAATCGTGAGTGGTTCCGAAAATTAAAAATTTATTACTTTTATTTCCTTTTGCTATTTCCCTTCTTCTCTTTTCTTCTTTTCTGAAAGAAACACCATTCAACCGCAGCAACGGATGACCGGCCTCCGATACGAATTACCCACCTCGCAGTTTGAAAGCTTTCAAATTCTGTCAAGGTCGTCCAATCTCGCACGCTTCTGAGACCGGATCATTATCGTGGCTCTCTCTCTCAAAAAAAAAAGAAAGAATGTCTCAGTTTTGGCCTTTGATCAGCGGTACCTAATACGTAATCGCAGCGACGATCCGCCAAGACCGGCCGCCTCTTATTGGTGTAGTACTTCTCTCCTCCTTTCTCAGCTTTGCCTCAATGCAATACCACCGTACCACGGCTGTGGAACGCGCATGCCGCGGAACCACCAGGCGAGAAAATTCTTCAGCCAGTCGTGACACAAAAAAAACCAATTCGGCTTCATGTCTGTCGGCAGGTCTCGCAACCATTCGACATGCTCGGAATAGCCGCAGCTGAATGCTATACCCCACGTGCATGCAAATGGTGCCGACGATGGAGGCGGGTCCGGGGGAAAGACTGCGAGGGCGCGGATTCCGAGAGTGCGAGGCTGCCTAAGTAGAGAACTGCCTTTACGGATTCCGAGAAGCGCGGCCCACTGTTTTGGACACGCTCGCTATCGTGGCATGCCATGCTCTCACTGTCTTGCGGCGCGTTTTCGCGCGAACACTCTTCTGCTCGTTGCAGCGTCTATTATTGGATAAGTTGGTCCATGTGGTGATCAGATCTATGTGTTGACGAGTATTTGAACGACCAATATCCCTCCTCAAGTCCTCATACCCCCTGGCAATGTCCTTCTCGCCTCCCTCTTCTTCCTCGCGTATCATTGTCCTGCTGTTTGCTTGTCCTCGTTGCTCGCCGAGTTCCTCGTCGCATACGGATACACTCCCAACAACTCCGGAACCATGAAGTCTGCCACCGCGATTGCTGCCTTGGTTGGCATCTCGCTCTATGTCTTCCCGGGAGCAGCAACGCCACTCCCTAGCAACGCAAGCTCGGCGGTGGCGAGGACCTGCAACCCGCGGTCCCCTGGGTACTGTACCGGAACGAATTACACCGCATCGCTCCAGGACACGTACGTGTGCGGCGACAGCAGGCTCGGCCCCGTCGTGCTGCCCACCTATCTGGAACCGCTCGAGTCCGTGGTCGAGCTCTACGAGCGCTACGGCGGGCTGTGCCCCGGCGAGTTCCTGGCCAAGCATTGGAATGCATCGCATGTCAACCCCAGGACCGGCAAGGTCGAGCCCAGCTACGAGTACCCTCCATTCGAAGGCTTTTCGCTCGACGCCCACCACCAGCCAATGCGGGCCAACTTCACGCTCGAGAACGGGACGTATGTCGACCGGTTCGGCTCCGAGTCCGGCAACTACACCAGCCCGTTCGGATCGCCTTACATTCAACGTTCCCTGCCGCCGAACAGCTTGAACACGCACCTCCCCACAGGGTGAGCTCTCTCTCTCTCTCTCTGTCTCTCTGTCTCTCTGTTTCTCTGTCTCTCTGTCTCTCTGCCTCCCTGTCTCTCTGTCTCCCACACTCCCTAAGAACCACGACGGCGGAGGACTAATTCGCAGGATCAGCAACGCGTTCAACTATTATGTGTACCACGTGATCAAGCCGTTCATCGTTTTGGCCGGGCCGGCAGCGCCATGGTTTGAGATGCCGGGTCAAGGCGTGCAGTACGAGCTGTACCAGCCCATCTCCCAGCTCCTCACCACCGCGGACGGCGGGCCGTACTTGGAGCGTGTGGCGAACCCGGAGACGCTGTTGCCGGTTATTCAGTAGCCGTGGCGCTTATGTGAAGTGCGGCGTTATCGCTGGTGATGAAATAAACATGGAGCATGTTGAGGCTGCACAGCAGCGAACCAGGAAATAGGGCGTCTGGGCTGGAAGAGCTGCATTTTTGCATTGACGATGACGCGTGTGACGGCGCGCTTGTTTTTTGTGCAACGAGTCAACCAGAGACTTGGAGTTTGCTCACCGACTAAGGTAGGACCTACCTAGCTGAGGGGGAATGATGGGATCTTTGGTCTCCTACTAGCGGAAAAATCCAGGGTAATGCAGTGGTGGACTTGTATTTTCCCTCGTGGACTCACTTCGCTGGCTGGATACATTTGGGTGACCCACCTTGCTGCTGCGAGCCTTCGGAAAGCTGACGACTGTCTCTCTCCCTGCACTAACTACGGGAGTTGGACATTAATTAAATCATTTGTAGGTATGCACGGCACCAGCAGTAGTATTATTAACCCGACTTGCACTAATTGAATACTTATCCGAGGCTACCGGTTTGGTTTGATGGCGATGCCGTGTGCGGTTCCCGCTGTAATCATGTACGATGCCGGTCCACGGCCGTATTCTCACGGCTGAGTAGGGGATGTAATTACGCGCCCCCCAGACCGACAGCTAGGATAGAACGCGGCTCCCCCCAACTCCATTCCCCCCCCTGCGTATGTGCCACTCCTAAGGCTGTGCTACTACTATTACTGCTGCTGCTGCCCCGACGGCGGCCGCAAGGTTTTTTCGTCATGTTATGTTAATGAGGGAGTTGTTCGGTGATGTAATATGTTCAAAGGGGGGCGGGGGCCTCAGGAGTCGACGATGTTGCTTGGCAAGAAGGGCTTCGCTGAGAACTTGACTTCGATGAGGGCTAATTAATTAATTTACTGCGTGGTAGCGACGTGATTGTCGGCTGTTTGGCACTCTGCGGTGCGCTTGGATGAAGGGACATATGTATTTTGTTGACAAGGTGACGTTATTCTGGAAGAGGCTGGCTTACTTTTCGTTGTAGGAAGTGAGCGGCATTGCGTGGAAAATGGCATTAGCCTTGGGATACTGGCTTCGAGGTGATGCATGTCGTTATGTTAGAACGAGCGTGCACTAGGAGTTAAAAGACACTGAATTTCGATTCGTGTTTTATCGGGATCGTGGAAACACATCCGCCACGGGCTGCCCACCTGGTAGGTACCTGGGCTGGTGCCCGCGTTGATCTCTTATCGAGGTACTGGGCGGTCGGGCTTCGTTGGCGGCGGCGGCGGCCATTGCAAGTTCCAACGGTTATGAGGTCTGTCACTTTGGTGTGTTTGGGCTGCCAGCCAGCGCCGCTGACCTGACCTGGCCCGACGGCGTCGACGGTAGCCGTAAGAGGGATAGAGCTGCTGGTGGCTTGGTGTTCGGATCTGGATATGAGATCGATCTGAGAGGGCCTCGAGGAAAAAGGGATAAAAGAGCATCTCACATGGCCTGTTATTAGTCTGTAATTGCGTCGTAGAGTGCGTGCGTGCTCTAGACCACGCTCTGACATTCTTACCCAGCAGGCATATCATCTATTAATCAATTCAATTCCAACTCGTCATCCATCATGTGTAATATAGCCCAGACCTACTATAGCTGCGGCTGCAGGGGCCCATACGTTGTCAAGGAGCCTCGCTGCTCTCGCCACCCGAACTGTTCAACCACGAACGTCGGCAGTACCCACCTTAGCTACCCCTACCACGATCACCGGCCCAGGGGCTAGTGAGTTGAGAAGGAATTGCATGCTGTTGCAGAACTGGGGTGGGAATACAGAGAAGAAATGGGGGTTCAACGGGGTGTCGTCGCCGGTCGACGGACGATTTGTTTTTTGTCATTGTTTGTGGGGCTGGTTCCCCTGAATTGAATTTGATCAAGGTAACGTATTATACAAACGAGCGGCGAATATAAGCGAGCGGCGAATTTTCCCCGCGACGCGACCCTTCATCTTTGATCCTCAATTCTACCACAACAAGCTATAGTTACCCCTTCGAAAGAAGCTAGGGTAATCTTAGATCTCAAATCAATCCAAAATAGTAAAAACCTCAATATTCTTTCCACAGCCAATCTGTACAATGTTCCAGAAACAACACTTCGCTATCGACCCGCCGGTCGGCCTTCACGACGCGATATTCCAGCTAATTCGCGAAAACTCACAGATCTAGAGGAGCATACGATTATCCAGTATATATTTGAGCTATGTGTACGCGCGTTTCCTCCTCGGCTTTGTTCGAGGGACAACAGAAGTGCTGAAGAAGACTGAGAGGAGTTGTATTATAGAAGGACTATAGTACAAAGAGTGGCGACTGCGATACTTGCGTACTTCAAAGGAAATCTATTTAAGGGAAAGAATAGGTCTTAATATAGACCTGAGGTAAGCTTTCTAGAAGGTTCTAGAAGCCGTAAGTGGCCCTATTTGACAGTCTTCTAGTGGGCTCGTAGGGGGTTTGTGTTACGGATCCCTGAAGGGATGCACCTCGGTGGGTCCTGCTGAGTCAATCTCGGCCAATCAGGAGTGTCCCACGCCTCTGGCCCGGGACATGGGACCGGGCCTGGTTGACAGCCAATAAGAGGTGTCCCGTTTCCCGTTCGCGGGACACGGAACCTCTCTTTCAAGTCCCGCGTCCCGGACACGGGGGCTGGGACCCTGCGACCATTTTTATTGGTTCTACAGATAGATATATACGATGACCGTACCCACGGTCTTAGATAGTTCTTGCTTGGTTCTGCAAGCAAGCAATACACATTCACTGCACTCATATACTTTGAGTGGCATTCCGATTTGACTGTATTACCCGTGCGATAGGAGCTTGCCCTTTGTTCTATCTTCATAATTACCAACCCCAGCATCCTGTGGAGCCCGTGCTCCCTTACAGACAGACGACCCAAACAGTCGAGTGGTATCCCTGGGTCCCGAGGTTCGGGACCACTTAAAGTCGGGGACGCGGGACAGTATCCCGCGCGCCCGGCGTCCCGAGACCGCAAGTCTTGGGACCACGGGCCAGTGGGACCATTGTTATTGGTTACACAGTTAGATATATACGATGACCGTACCCACGGTCTTAGATAGATCTTGTGAGGACCCGTCCACCAAACTGGCCCTCAAGCAGCCAGAGCCGCCCAGAACCCCCGGGCCTATCAGAAGCCTCCTCGAGGCCCCACCTACCCCACTGATAGATGAAAACTTATTCGCGAGCACGCGACGCGTTGTCGGACTTTTCCTTCTTTCCTTCCTCAGTTTAGAATCTTCGTCGATAGCACCCAATGGACTGAGTTCACCTCAATGCCTTGCCCTGGTCGTGACAGATCTTGACTCCTAATTGGTCCCTTCCATGGGACGCTCCTGATTGGTCCACACCAAACTGAGCGTGCCCCACTTATTACAAACCACTCGACTGTTAGGGTCGTCTGTCTGTAAGGGAGCACGGGCTCCACAGAATGCTGGGGTTGGTAATTATGAAGATAGAACAAAGGGCAAGCTCCTATCGCACGGGCAATACAGTCAAATCGGAATGCCACTCAAAGTGTATGAGTGCAGTGAATGTGTATTGCTTGCTTAAAGAACCAAGCAAGAGCTATCTAAGACCGTGGCTACGGTCATCGTATTTATCTAATTCATGTAACCAATCAGAGTTCTTTCTTTGCGCTCCGTGGGCCCCGGGTGCTCTGCTCATAGAGCACGGAGGCCCCGCAGAGCGCCCGCTCCGTCCGCTCTGTTGGTCTTGGCAACAGATCGGACAGAGCGCTACCTGATTGGCTGCACCGAACCCCTGCGGGGCCCGGCCCGCCTGCCTGCCCTGCCTAATTAGCAATCGGCTTCCAGCGCCTCCTGCAGACTTGGACCAGGATCGTAACATACGAGCATTAAGACCCGCGCGATTACTAGACGTACTCAGTATAGGCGCCGTCCTGGTAACTAGGGATACGTACGTAATACCGGAACTTAGGGAACGCCTCTAGGTTGCCGCACTTCCGCGGGTAACGGCGAGCGCGCTGTAAGGAAAGAGCACCCCAAACGCCCGGCCCGGCCCAGGCGCCACCAGCTGGCCCCAAACACCCGGCCCAGGCACCCGCCAGATTGAGCCACCCAACTATGTATATAAATAGTGGCCTCGCCACCTTCCTTTGCGAGGGCCAGGTTGAAGTCTTTTACCAATGCCAGTCATTGCTCGCCCTCTTGTTCCCTCCATCGTGACCACCTTGATCAGGCGTACCTGCCTTCTCTTACACGCGCTATCCGCGCAACTGGATAAGGAGGGTGATGCACGAAAAGTGTAAATAGCTTCATTACGTGAAGCGCTGGTGGGAGCCCCACTAATAGCGTTCGGCGCTAGCACGTGACATAGCGGGGTCTGGGGATTTCCTACCTTAAGGAAATCGCCGCGCCCACCTAGCCTTAGAAAAAGCATCACCTTTTACACTTTTTTGCTTCCTTCTCGGTTTTACCGCTTCAGAGGGCCCGGAAGTACGACTCCCGCCGGATAATCTTGGTAAAGAAGATATCCAAGTTGGCGAAGTCGGCCTCGGATACGCGTACCTCGGTATTAACCGCGGATATCGAAATTAGGCGACGCTTATTATCCTAGCTACAATTAACCAATCGTATAACAAAAAGAGAGACTCTCGAGGGTAGAACTTACGTTAATAGAGAAAGCGGCAAGGAGACTACGATTACTATTATAGGTAGTGGGAATGAGGATCCAGATAGACCTATCCGCCTCGGTGCGATACGGGACGGAGCCGAAGAGGATAGTCGATACCGTACCTTTATTAAGGATGGGCACGGCACCGCCAGAGCCGTCAATAGCCGTCAATAGAGACAAGAGCCATTCTGCTGAGAAGAGGGCAGGGAACCGCGCGCACATAGAGAGAGAGAGAGCGGCTGGAAGTGGGTAGGAAACAGCGCGCGCAGAGAGAGAGAGAGAGCGGCACGGTACGAAGAAGAGGAAAGGAAGGGAAAGGTACTTATTTATACCCAGGTGAATGGCCTGAAAGGA